ACAGACAAGTCAATAGTGAAAACAGTGGTACCAAAAAATCGCAAACAACTTCCGTACCTCGTCAAACTACCATAAAGGCCACCACTGCTCAGCCACACAGTCATATTAGTACTTCTGCCCAAGATAGCAAAGCTACCGTTAGAAACACTATCGCCATATCGACAAGCAATACAGTTCCTACAACGAGGTATGCAAGCATGTCTCAATACACCGTGACAAGTCCTAAATCTCAACCTAAAAGTAAACAAGCAGCAGCTACTTCATTAGCAAGCTCGACCAATACAACGGTAGCGCAGTCGAAAATAGTGCAATCTTTAAAAGTCGTACCTGTAATTACTTCAGCTACGACACCAGTACGCACTAGTTCTACAACAACTACTAAACCTCAAGCGAAAAGTTCTAGTAAATCAACACACAAAGCGAATTCAGCCAAATCTACTAAAAGTACGCCTACATCCCATTCAAGCAGCAGCTCTACTACCCCTGCTACACTGAAGACGCCGTCTACAGCCACCAATGCGTATGTATCAAGTTATTATATATTTGAGATGCGTTCTTTTAGCATGATTTACTAATATCAATGATTATCTATCATTGACTGTCGATGCGTATATGTCACGTCCATTGATTTATAATCTATTATTAATTTATGGTGCGTCTGCAATATGCGATATTGCACTCAGACCCGCTACAACTACTAAGGACCATACAATCGAAGAAGAAGATGAAAATGATATTACGTCTATGGCAGGAGTTAATCTCATGGTTAGATAAGATAACAATTATAGCATTACTACAACCACAATACCTAAAATCTAACATAAGCTTTATCTGCAGGAGGAAAGTGCTGCCTTACATTCCAGTTTAATCAGTTCAGATACTAAAAGTTGTAAAGACACAATAGGATTAACATCAAGTGCCTTGCAAAATAAAATCAAGAAGATAGGTTGATTACTATCTTAAGATATACATATTACTGTTTAAGTTACTTATATAAATCACATTTTCGGGTAATAGCTTTAAAGTATGGTATTAAAGAAGTATCTTCTGAGGTTACCTCATTAATATCACATGCAGCAGAGGTACGTATGTATTCATCCGTATGTGGACGTTCCAACGATGCATTTTAAATCAGAATGCTATCCTTTTAGGAAAGGCTTCGAAATATAATGGAAAGACTAGCAGTTATCAGTCGTCACCGAGTAGAAACTTTAAAGGTAAAGAATTAACACTATTGATAAATTAGCCTGTAGAATAAATGATCGATCTTATCCTAACTAAGTAGCAATTATATTATATTTTTACCCAGGATGATTCAATGTATGTAGTAGCTGATGAAATTAGATCTAGATTACAAATTTTTGAGCAATTGGACAAATTGGAAAGAAAGAGGAAAGACGAACAGGAAAAAGAAATGTTAATGCGCATTGCCAAAGTGAGTTGTTGTATTCATTTATAATTTGTGAGCATGAAACAAGTGATTGCTAAATGTCTTAATAAAACTTAAAGAGTCGATCTAGACAAGAAGATCCTGAGCAGGCCAAACTTAAAGAAAAGGCAAAGCAAGTACGTTCATTAGTAAACTCTATTGCTGAATAATTGCTAGATCAAATGATATGTAAATAATGCCTATGAATTCTTTAGATGCAACTTGATGAAGAGGAAAGATTGCGTAAAACTGCTGCAAATACTACCGCTCTTGCTGCTATTGGTCGACGAAAAAGAAAGACCGAAGACAGTGTACATGTAATGACAGATTAATTATTACTTACTGTATGTGATAATATTATATTGTAAAATCTACATTTTCTCCTCTCATTCAGGTATCTCAAGGGACTCCAAGTCAAAATGTACTCAAGGTAATTGATACGGGATTTAAAAGACATTTTTGTATGAATATGAAATTAACACCGCATTGATATTAACGAGTACTTTATTTTATGCTCATTTCTTAACAGAAACCGAGAAGAATTAGAACTGCTACAATGAAAGATTTGGCTTTTGAATTAGAAAGTGAGAAAGGAACGTCCAAATCGTTATTCCTATATAAAGCTTACTTTAAGCTATAAAACGTATTACATAACATTTTACGAATCAGTTTTCTGCGTGAAGACGTACTGAATTTGATTCATTATTTTATACATCGTGCCTAATCTTTCAAGTTTTAAATTATAAAAACGATTTAGACTGACCTTGTGTACATGATTGCAGGATTTGTATTTAGCTTCCTAAGCTATGCGTTACATTGATTACAGTATGTTAATAACAGTTAATCTTCATCTTATTACATATTGATTTCGATCTAAGGCACTAAATAGCGGTAAACTAATAGTATCTATACTCCATTTGTGTAAAATAATGTACAAAATTCGAACCATAAAATCCAAAGTTTAACGATCAAAATATCGTTCTTATAATGTTGCCCTTCTGTTGTATTTGGTATCATGACATAGTGACGTGCTATTAACCTGTCTAGTTCCCTTTCATTTCATACTGTATCTATATGAATTATAATTGCTAGTGCAGCTGCGATTGCTGCTTCGAGTAAATCACAAAACAAGCGATGCTACTTATTTGAAAATTGATAGCTAAGTATAGGTGATTAATCTGATTTAGATAATATGTTTACATTCTTTTAACAATAGACACTTATGTTGCGTATTTATATTATCAAATTAATAACTTAGTGTGAATATACAAAATTCTAATTAGTAGCTATGGCTTTCAATTTACTGTACCATAACCTATTCATATTTACATCGGTGTTAATTGAAATTAAATGTTGACAATTGTGGTTTCATTGAATTAGAATTATAAAGTGTTTTGTACTGTACATACTGTGATTGATTCCGATGTATTTTAAATGCAAGTACTAATAACACAGTAGCGGTAACAACCAATTTGTGATTCCTAAAATTTATGTTTGATTTCTAAACTCCGACTGTTCCTGTGTAGAATCGAATCACCATCTATGTTCTTGATATTATTCGTGCGTTTTGTAAACTATACAATGTCCACAAATTGTACATTTTACATTGGTCAAAGACTTCAAAGAGCTGTAACAGTAACTTTAATAAAAGCTGTAACTTTTTGAAACCTAAGTGCCAGTTATCAATATTATTATTGTTAGGGAAAATTATATATTAACCAAAAAGGCAAGTTTTCATTAATTAATTGATAAATTTCGGAATTAATAATTAATGAAATGTAGCTTTTTTAGCTAATAATTTTCCCAGATTATTATTATCTATCTATTGGGTGCTTTTTAGTTCTATGATTCTAACGATTAGGTTGCAAAGTCACTGCGTTGCTCTATATACTGTAAATATATATATATTAAAGTGTAATATTTTCATACAGAGTGCAATACGTACAATGGCCAAAGCCTGATTCATGTTTTTCTTTTACCTACCGTACTCTACTGTACCTCCACAGTACTGTACAATAGATCACTCGTTTGTTATACAGTAGTACTGTACTACGATAGCCCCAGTATAATGACTTGATTCGTATTTTCTATGAGGGGGGATGTATACTTTCTACGGGAAGAACGTAACTTCTGAGGGGAAAATGCGAAATAGCAAGCACTACGTTGTCCCCCTTTTATACAGTACTGTATTCCTTCAGTAGTATCTATAGTACGGTATTGTACTGTCATGGACTTCTAGAGGTATCTAAAAGCAAGTGTAGAAGTTGATGGTTCTGTAGAGTAGCCAATGTTTCAGAACGAGAAGAAACATTTGTTCATTGATCCCCATGATTTTCCCAGTTATCTTTTGGTTTATGTCGAATTTTGCGCAATGCTGAATTTCTCATTACAAATGCTTCTGAGCAAGCGTGAATATTTTTCTCTTTATTTATTTTCCCTTTATTTATTTTATTTTATGGAGAAGTCGGTGTTTGAAAATTGTTTTAGAGCATGTACTGTACTACTGTACTGTATACTGTACTGTACTGTACAGTACTGTATGTGATTAACCTTGATGCATCGGTACTACTGTACCGTACAGTAGAACAATGCACTCTGATACAGTACTGTACTGTACTGTACACCGACCGTACTGTACCATCCAGTACGGTAATCCAACGGTGCGACTGCGCGTTACTTCGCTTCTGTTTACAATTCACACAAAGTTTACAATAGCAGGTACATTCCAAGAAATTTTTGTTGCATATTTTTGTAAGTTTCGTTAACCTTGAATAAAATAATTAATTGGAAAATTCAGTGATAAAATGTCTTACAGTAACAATAGGATTGTATGGAGTACCGGAGATGACAGAGTGACAGTGCTAATATGGGCGTAACATTACTGTATCTTTTCTACCAATAATCATTCGATCTACTGTACTGTACGCTCGTATTTCTCCTTTACTACAGTACAATAAATTATTAGCAGCAATTCAAAAAAATTTTTAAAGCATTGGTGCAGAGGTAATAAATCTTGATGTTTATTTTTTTTTGTTTGTTTATTTTTGCCGTAAACGGACTGTACATTATGGACTATGTACCGTACTGTACTGTGTAAGGTACTGTGCTTTTTCTTTTCCTTTTTATTACTGAACTCTATGAACTCTTTGGGAACCCCTACAGTGTCTACAGATTGGATAAGAGTAAAGTACGGACTGCATGCCACAGTGCACGCGTACAGTACGGTACAGTACTGTACAGTACAGTGCACTGTTACTCTTGACTACGGAACAGCAAGACTTCTGACATTGCGCAGTGAGTACGAATTATAGACTACTATATTAAGCTTAAGCATCATCAACAGTGCTTATATAAATACTGTACACTATTTGAAGACCAACACGAGAGAAACAGCCTCCATTTCACTTTTGTGGTTCTACTGTAACAGTGTCACGTTGCCGCTCCCTCAATTTCGTATACATACACAAGTCTAGAGTATCATCATAGTAAACAGTTAGTAGATCCGAATTCTTGCTAAATAAAGAGTTGTAGTTTAGTCTAGGCTTTGGATGTACCTTCGATATCTAAAAATATGGGCGCATGTAGTGGAAAACAACACCGACGAGGCAACCATCATCATATCCGAACACGACACCATTATTATGAGGATAAATTAGTCCTCGATACGTTACAAGCTTTAAGAGAATGGTAAGTTGAAAAGAAAGGTCTCTACAAATCCGTCATTGAAAGTACTATCATTTTCTTATTTCTTCTTAATTACATCGTAAAATCGTGGACATCTAATACATATTACAACTTTAAGTAATCATCCTGTTTTAGTCTCATCGCAGCTCAGTGCCAAATGTTCAATTGCTGTTTTCCATACCGTACTTATTTCCTGTGTTTATAAACCCTGCATGTTTATATTTATCGTAAGACTGCGACTTGTACAGTACAGCACTGTACTGTATCAAACTATCGTACAGTACTATCATTGAAGACATACGAACATTGGACTATCATACACTTATCTTGAAGGATGTTTCAAATTTTAAAATAATGTAAAGTACATTTATTTGGTATAAGCAGTTCTAGTCTATGGTAGTCAACTTGACCAATTTACCTGAAAGTTCTATGAACGCCTTAATGATGCAGTAACAACTTTGAAAAGTACTGATCTGTTGCTGTCCAAAATATGGATCAACATTGATCCAAAAATATTGTACAACGATACGTTTTAATTTTCAAAAGTACAATAGCAAGTTATAGTTGCAGTACGTTGATCCTAGTAAGGATAGCATTCACGTAGACTCTATTTTACTGTGCACATTTAATAACTCTAATACACAGTATTCCTTTTTATTATTCAATTCAGTTCTGTGTTGTGGTAAAGTAGAGACTTATTAAAATGTATGGCATATACGGCACTTTCTTATACTGTACCTTGTGGCACTCTCATCATAGTGTATTCCACAGCATTTTTTTATAAATAAATTGGTCAATCATGCTCGTAAGTTGGTAACAGCTGCTGAATGTAAACAAGAATCATGTAACTACTGTATGATGGTACTGTAATGGTATTTTATCCTAATGTACTGTACGTGCTGCACTTCGAAACTGCAATTCTTTAACACTATCCACCACCCGGTATTACTGAGATATTATGTAATAGTTGGTGATATAAATTATATATCCCAGTCATAAGCCAAATGTTTTAAAAATTGGATAAATTTTAATTTATTCAATCGAAAACTGGTATATGTACTACTATTCCATGAGTCTTTGACACCACGTTGGCAGTTTTCAAGTACTGTACTCTACTTGTCTGTCTGCTACGTTACTACAGTACTGTATACCCGGTGAAAACTGCAAGTGACTACTGTACAGTCCAGTGCATACGGTACAGTATATTGTTGCGGGTATTTATTTATCTTTTATTTAATTTGATTTGACTTTACTCCACTTCTCTCGAACTACCACGGACTTCTGTATAACTTGTATCTAAGCTTATCCGTTGAATGATAAAATAAGAACTAAATCTAGCAGATCAGAACAATACTTGCATTATGATCCTGATAATAGTGTAGATGCTTTTATTGTTTTCCTTTACCGCGTCCATGGCGTGTTATTACTACGTCAATTTCTAGTTGAATATTACGGTAGTAAAATAAAATCAATCAATTCAATTACGCTAGAATAAAAACTGGGCGCTGTACTGTACTGTAGTTACGTTATCTACCGTACAGCGTAGTAATTTTGCTTAAATACTACGGCTCTACACGAGCTGATAAACTGCTGTACAGTGTACAGTACAGTACAGTACTGTACTGTCCGGTATGCCAGTTATCGGTAGCTTGAAGATAGCTAAAGCTGAATAGCCGTTATCGGAAACACGCATCGAATCATGGATCACTAGAAGAAAACCCAGTAGTATTCTCTAGTAATCCATGATCGAACTCATCGCAGTAATAAAATGGTACATTAGGCTTAGAAGAGTGAAGTTAATACATCATCCGTGATAATTATAGTGAATCAGTTGCAAATCTTCAGTACAAGGAGAATGTTCTTTCACTCAATGGCATACAGTACTACATACTGTACATACTTAATTTGGCTTATACTGTACATAATTGCGGTACCTTAACATCATGTATTTACAATATTTTGATATCATTTTATTGCATTTAACCCTTTTCGCTCTACTGTACAGTTAAAATATGCGTATGCGCGAAAAGTAAAACTAATCATCTTTTATGGTCTAGTAAAATGCAATGCAACATTAATTTGAATTTGCTAACTGAAATAAAATTGCATACATAAAGTAATACTTTCCTTTGATATTTTAGTAGAGAACAGGATGTACCTGATTCCTTCAAGTTAATCAGTTATTTAGCCGAAGAAGGTAAGACAGGCTATCCTTTATGGGATGCTGTAAGTGTGTTGATTGATATCAAGAAGTAAAAATACCATGATTCGTTAGTCTGATTAATAATATCCTTGATTTAAAAAAACTGTAAAAATTGAATCGATATTCTGTACAGTACAGTACAACAACTTTTTACTAATCATTTACGATATCGTAATTTAAATTCTTACTATCCCTATTAAATGTCCAAGTAGCTTCAGTCATGTTCAATATGATTATGGCATACAATTAAATAGTTGTTTCTCATTCTTACATCATCAGAAGAGGGATGGTTGAACATAATAACTTCGTACATATTTGTAATAAATTTGAAAAAACCGTTAGCAGCCGAAGTCATTGGCTTCGTTATTGACACTACTCCTGCGCCAAGTAGGGTAAGAAATCTTGTTTTCTCATACTGTACTAGATATTCTTTAACCGTGGATAAAAGTTACATACTATATATCGTATTATCTATTTTTAAGCTGAATTTCGTGGACTAACTGTTGAGATAACATCTTGCGCTAAAAATATTTCTTAAATACTGTATAACAAACCAGCAGTTTTGTACATACTCAACTTAGCGCTTTGCAAAGGTTATATTGTAGACAGCCAAGCGAGTATTGATTCATGTTGTAGTCCTAATGCACTAACTTTTCTGTAAATAGGTAAAGATAATTATTAAACCTTTGACATACACTATCGTTCATTATGCGAAATCTCAATGTAAATTTGCTTAAGGATTGATTATCAAGTATGAATGATGATTAAAATAACCCATGTTTAAACCTTTGCAGAAAACCTTGCTTAAGTTAATCGAAATGCTAGATCTTTCTACCGACGTGACAAATAGCAGCATTATGGAAAAATGTGGACGATCGGATGTTGCACCAACCACAGACATCTTTAGAAATGTTGCTATAGTCATTGGATTATTGGCTGCAAGATTTCCAGGTATAGTAATTAATATATGCGTATCATATTATCAAGTATTTAAAGCTATTACTGCGCTAAATAATAATACAGTATGATTATCGCTGGATGGTAGTATCAATATTGTACTTTATAGCGATTCAATCCCTCAAATTGATCTCATATCGTTTTAGGAGTAATGTCGACAAGTATGTTTACAGAAGGTGTACAAGATTTTTTATTATCAAATTTGGTAAGGCCAAATTTAATTTATTATCGTAATACGATCCGTAATCATTACGAACAAGCCAAACCTTCTGATAAATATTGATTTCTCCGCTATTCAGGATCCTTCTCGCCATAAATCGTTGATCTTATACTCTTTGATCGCTTTAGAAAAATTTGCCTTGGCATGTAAGTTAATGAATTATATCTGCACCTTCACAACATTTTATACGTTTATAACAAAAGGTTTTCTTTAAATTTTAAACAGCCGGGAATAAGGAAAAGTTATTAACAACCGATATAGCGCAACGTATAAAAGTTTTAGAAGAGAGTTTTAGCGATGCTACAGATCCAATTCATAAACAAATACATTTTTGCTCTCAGTGGTTGCTCGATAATATCTGTAAGTAATATTAACCTATCGAAAGCTATATATGTACTCTTCTTGGTCGACTGTAATTAGCTTTTCTTGAAATTTCTGAAATTATGTTAAATTATATATCGAACTAATTTAATTAAATTGTCTTATTTTATTTATGGTGCCAAACTATACCGCCTTCAGTCTTAATTGATGTAAGTAGCAGTAACATATTCTGTATAGTGTACGTACATATTTCATGCTGCTTAATGTTTATTTTTGATACATTTAGCTAATATTTTATCATAATTTTAACATCAGGGAAGACCTTTCTCTTTTGAAATCTGTGATACTTCGAAAGTAAACGTCATGCTAAATAGTGGCGACGCTAATGGCCATTTTAAAATATCTTCCGACGGATTAAAGGTTAATATCTCTGAATTAACATTGTTCGAGTATAAAACTAGGTGCATTAGATAACCTAAATTTAAATCCTTTCAGGCTAGATGCGATTCAGTTCTGTTCGAGAGTGTTAGGTCCACATATTGCCTCTATTCAGGTAATAAATAAAATCACTGACTTAAGTATGCATACCTAAAAAGCTAATCTATTTGTAATACTAAATCATAATTTAAATTATAGGAGTATGGTTCTATGAAGTTACGGTACTTACAGAAGGAGTTATGCAGATCGGCTGGGCAACTAAGGACAGCAAATTTCTAAATGATGTGAGTGCTAAGAAATTTCACTTATTCGATTGCATTACGTACTGTCCATAAATCCGATTAAATTTAGTTGTTAATTAGCTAAAGAACGTATTTCAAAATCTTACAGGAAGGGTTAGGTGTTGGAGATGATGAATTTTCATTTGGCTATGATGGCTGCAGACAGTTGTTATGGCATAATGCTGAATCATGTCGTCACGCTCATAAACGATGGACACCAGGTAATGCTTAGTTTATTCTTAATCCTGCAACTTCAGTGCTAAAATATGTCGTGCGCTTTCTTTTTTTAGGAGATGTTGTCGGACTCCTGTTGGATCTAAATAAGGGCAAAATCTATTTTTATTTAAACGGAGTGAAATGTTCTGAAACGTTTCGAACTAAAAAGTATGGGTATTAGTTATTGCATTAATCATACTCTAATAGCATAATTGAATTACTACATGCAGTTGTTGAGTTCAGAGTTTATAGATTCCGTTTACATTATAACCTATTTTATTTTGATAATTTAAATTGATGTATGAATTTTTGATGGTATTATCGCAGACAAGGATTTTATGCAGCGGCAAGTTTAATGGAAATGCAACAGGCAGAATTTAATTTTGGATCAAAACCGTTCAAGTGCGTATAACATTTAACCGAATGATATTTCATATACATAAGATTGTGAAAGTTTTCGCGATTAAATTAAGGGTTTCGTTAATATCCTCTTGCAATAAATAGGTTTAAACCACAAGGTATCAAATTTGAATGTATGAATAGTTGGGCTTACTTATCGGAAGAAGAAAAGCGAATATTGCCCAAGTATGTATCAACGCTAGGACGCTAGGAATAGCTATAGCCTTGCAAAATATTATTTATCGTCACTACCGTTATTTAAACCAAAATTGTAATCTTTTCCGTTAGGCCATTCAAAAAGGACATAGTCCTTGAAACAACCTTCGACTCGAATTGTTGTGCCATATGCTATGATCAAGAAGCTTCAGTAGAACTCTTACCTTGCAGGCATAGGTAGAATTCAATAAACGTCTTATATGCGATTTTTATAGGAAGCAACTGCTAGTCAAATAATTTACTGACAGCTTTTCCTTTTCTCAGGGATTTATGTATGAAATGCGCAATGCAATGTGAAGTTTGCCCAATGTGTAGATCAGTTATTTCTTCCAGGCAACCGATCACGAAATATACTCTAGTGTAAAGAGCGAACACATGAAAAATTTCTACCTTTTGATGACATATTAAAGATTATAAATACTACTATATTTAATTATTTAATTAATGGCTGATATCGTGGTATTTATGGATTTCGATATATACCCAATGCGAGTTCAATAAGAATTAATTTAAAAAATTGCAGAACCTAATTTAATATTTCCTACTGCTAATTTTAAAGATTAAGAGTTACCTTCCAGTTAAAAATCTTGTACAGTATATCAAGTAATTGCTATTATTCATACATTATACTATGTTTTCTCTACGGACTGTATATACGAGTATATGCGTATAAGTATAATGTAACTATTTAAAAATCTTTGGTGGTATTGAAAGAAATTTATTATGCGACATTCTAAAATTATTCTACATGCATTTGTAACGGAAGACCAACTATGTTTCGGTATATTTAGTTCTTCTAAGTAATTTGTAAATACTGTATGTAATATTCGTATTTTTACAATATTGTACGATTCAAGGAAAGATATACGCTATAATAAATCTCGTTTGAGTATTGTTAAGCGATGAGATGGAAATAATGATTGTCTGAATCATTCGATTCGGACATTCTTTGCTACTCCCTGTGAAACAATATTGTATCACTCATATCTAAGTATCGACTTAATACAATAGCAACCTTAATATTTGATACCAGTTTCTCAATTAGATACTATTCTCAGACTGTATACGTAATCGTAAATACTTTGTAAAGTGATTGATAAGGCATGAAGCTTCGACAGAGAAAACTTGTAGCAATTATATAGTGATCGGCAATGACACAAATTTACTCCCTCTATTCTTCTAAATAATCTATGATAATCGAGGTTAAGCGTCCTTCTAGTTGCGTGACAGTATAATTGATCCCTCATGGTTTAAACTTCTATACATAATCAACGCAATTTACAATTATTTACGTCGAAAATAACACAGGATTTATGACAAACAAATGCACCATACCTATCAATTCAGTATCTAAGTATATTACTGCATTGTTGCCTGTACTATTCCACTGCACATTCACTAGGTAAGCCTACAAATGCTATTCATGATTAGTACTCTATATGAAGTAGTACTGTACTGGGCATATGACTTTACTAATCGTGGAAAATTATGACTGAGTGAATTTATCATTACATTTTGTGCCCTAGCGTTTGCCATGACTACATATCATATGTTTATTTAGTATGCGAATGATTCGATTAACTTAACGAGTAAGGTTTCAAGATACTGTAGTTAAACAATACAATCATTTCTGTATTCATGGACTACAGTACTTGAATCATTGGTCCATTATAGTGTGTAAAATATAATGAAAGCTAAGATTATGTACCAAACCAGTAGATATCATTAAGGTATCAACTGCTATCTCGAGCGCTGTACAACCGTGTAATAGTAACACGAACGAGAGAAAATAATTAGACTAGTTTACAAACAAAATAAAGCTGTTGTACTACAAATATCATAGCAATTGCCAGGCCAACGCCTTTTAATCTCGTTTCCATGACAGCAACTTGCAGAAGCGCTATCGCCGTGCAAGTACAGTATAGTGATGAATACGGTAGCACCGCTAGTAAAAGAGTATATATATACAGTAGTATAGCATCATTGTATCTTTTTCGGCCCTAGTAAGAAATCTATCATACGTTTAAGTCTCTATATAGGATCTTGACTGTAAACTTGTCTGTTATATCAAAACAAGGACAACACATGTACATGACTGTATGTACATAGAAGCCAACATGGCAACCGCGGACAAAACTGATCCAATCGTTAATAAGGAACAATCCTCAATTCATAAAGATGGAGAAATTCCTAGCGAAGACCTACGTAGAGGAATAGAGCAATTAGTTGAACGTTTGACTGTTATCATGAATGAAACCCGTTCAATTTCAGCTACGGAAGATATACTGTTGAATTTAGAAAGCACGGATGAGAATTTCCATAAGTAAATTCATACACTGTATACAAACAACTTATTCATACACTTATATGTTACGTATGGATAAACATGTACTAGTACAGTATACACCCTACAGTATTGTTATTGAATAGAAGATAATGACTGAAGCCTATGGTAAAGTTAGTAAATTTATCTAGATTAAAATAAAATATGTTTTATTTATTTTACTTGATTTTGCTAGATATGAGTTAGTTAAACTATTACGGAGGAAGATTGAGACACAACTGGGTCCACTTATTGATGATGAGTTAGATCGGATTAGCCTAAGTAAAGAAGCACAACAAGATCATATATCGAATCTATGCAATAAAATCTTATCTTCTCAAGAGTTAGTAGCACTCAATATTTACTATCGTTGTTGTTGCATACAATCACTCAAAAATCATCAAAATTTTTACCATGCAGATTTTCAAATTTCTCTCATTCACTCCATTACGAAATAAAAACTATTATAGATGATTTGGTATGCGATTGGATATTACAGAAGAGTACTTTGAGATATTTAATCTTTCTAAAAAGACTAATAACATTATAGATTACTCTACGAAATAATTTTTGTACTGATTGCGAGCATAAAATGACGTAGCTACTTCATATTTTGGGATTTAGGTGCAGAATTATCATGACGACATTCACTATCACACCAATCAAATGGAAGGTATAAAAACTAAGTCTGGAATTATAAAAGACGAGATTATTTTTTTAAATAGTAGTTCAGAAGACGACAGCGAATATTCTTCGGTATGGCAATTAATAATGATAATGATAAATATTCGTAACTTACTCATTAATTAACAAACCAAATTATACCCTAAGTAACAAAAACTACCGATTAATTATATTCTTATATCGGGCTGGGATTTCATCGCAATAAACAATTGCTATCATGAAAATTTTACTAGACCGAGGACTTTTTTTTCACATCTCAAAAGAAGCTCAATTCGATTGCAAAGAACTTAGGTAAAGAAAATACTAAAGAGGTATGTCTATAGGCTATTACTGTAAGACTATTTCCTATCATTTTGCATATATATTATTAAGTTATTGAACTAGTAAAATGATATTTTAGCTTCCATCCAGCAACTTTACTTCCTCATGACAGTTAGTATGTTATTACTTTGACCGGTCGTCTCATGTTTCTCATTTAGGATCGCCTTCGCGCAGTTAGAGCATTATCTAATATGCCAGAATCGGATATTATAAGTGGAGATTTTTGGTCAATACTATTTGAGAATTTAACAACTATATTATCGGATGACGATAGAGAAATAGCTGTGAGTTACCATGCTTTAGTATGATAATAGAAGTGAAATTAATATTTATACTATTGAATATTATTTCTCAAATTACAATATAGTTTTATAAGCAAAAACTTATATGATTATCAAGTTTTAAGCGTTACTTGAGAAACAAAATATCAAATACTCTTGTATTAGTTCTATGCAAGCTAAAATTAAATTTATTCAGAGATTCTATTATATATTCGTATATACTGTGTTACTGTGATACGTAATACTCCGACGCATGACATATAACCTAAAGAAAGCATGTTCTATTTCTTTGTATAAAAACTAATTTGCCGATATTATTTATATCGTACGCTGAAGGAATCAGGTCTTTGCTTTCTGGAATCTGTACTGTCATCCTCTGACTACTTACTTACAACTCATATCTATAGTACTTTAGGTAAGTTAATTAAGTAGCATTATTTCCTGTTGTATCACCATCACAACCAGATTGCCTGGCTGTAGTCTAATTGCTATAAATAAAAACGATTATGGATAACTTTATAGAGCTGAACAATTTTAATACTGATATGCAGTTTTTATACAGTCTTGGATATTATCAACCCTACTACAGAAGTAACGGAATATAAATATATGCAGTATTTCACTGATTGTAGCATAAAATTTTTCTGCATTTTTAGTGCTCCACATCACTTAAATATCAATTAACGCCAATTTCTAATCGAAATTCATTCAGTCAAATCATTATATTGTAATCATCTAATCAATGATAGAATAAAATCTAAAGTTACTGCTTGTATCCCAGATCAAAATATAAATATCAATCGATGCTAACTTTAATTTAAATACTGTTAATTATGTAATATGTGCCCTTACATTTTACAGTAAATTATTTACAAAGCTTCTTCGCTGACCCTGATAATAAAAAATACAGTCAAGAAGTTTTCGACATAAACCAAACTCAATTCAATCATTTGTTGAAAGGAGTAAGTATACTAAATTGAAGAATTGGCTCTGCAACCGAATGATAACCTCTTACATGAAATTTCTTCATATACTTTCTATTAACTCAGATGCGACTAATGAATTTATTCCTGCGCGATATGGCACCTTACCTAGTTCGCTATTCAGAGAAGTATGCTATAGTCTCAAATCCATTTGAATTTAATATCCTAATATGATTCTAGTGAAATATTAAGATTTCTGTGAAAGCATATTTCGTTTTGCTATCTCACGGAGCGAATAAATTATCCTATGCAGATCAGTATAATTGTCATTATTTAATGATCTCACGGAACTTAATCCAAATTAACATTAAAATTGATCTTTTACAACAGCAAAATCAATCTTCTTTAAATACTATTTTACGCAGTAAATTAGCCAATACCCATCCTTTACCAATATAATAGTAATTACTTATTAATTTAATAATTAAAGCAAAAACTTTATACCAATTACAGCCTATTCCTCAAATTATGTAAATCAATAATGCTATATCTGGTATAAATGAGATATAGTTTCATGCTTCTAGCATCCTGCCAGCTCATAATACTGCCATCCACAGTATTAGCTTTAGCTCTTAATGATACTAAATCTCGAAGAAATCTTAATGAGATACAGAATATAATTATTACTGGATGATCTCTTTCAGTCCCTTCTTATTTAAATCCCATAATATTGCATAATTTAAATAAATCATATGATGATTCTTAAAATATTTTATCTCCTTCAGATTTATTGTTACCATTATAGAATCAACCCTAAAATTAATGAATATCTCAACCAGCACTGTACAAATTGGGTCTATTAAAGTTACACCTATGTATTTAATTGGACTAATTGATCCCAATGCTATTTGGTTAGACAGAATTACGGTAAGGTGGAATTGTTATAATGGTTAAAGGAAGACTTGTGATACCGTAGGTCGTATGAAACATCGATATTAAAAAACTTAATATACTCAAATTATAATGTAAGTGAAAAAGGATTTCCTTCTATTCGTTGCAAAATTCTCTAGCAAGGTCACTATACCCGAGAACGCATTTATAAATACGAAACTGAATGTAAAGCAATGGTAAAACAAATATTTCCAGTAATCTAGTGGCAATAAATTGACACCGTAACAATTGTAGCAAAGCTATATCTTTTGCATCTTTATAATGAAATGTATCAATATTAATATACCGTTATTAATATATTATTACAGATAGTATTAGCTATTTCCAAATGTTTTCGTGTCATTAATGATTTCGACCAAGAAATAATCATTGCGAACACCAAAGAAGAAAGCGATCAAATGGCCCAAGGTAAAACAAATGGAACCACCATGCAGATTTCCATAGCATGTAAATCGTCTTCATTTGTAGGAGCAAAACTATTACAGAACAGAAACCTCCATTCCGTCATCGTAGATATGTTTGAGAATGCTGTTATGAAAATCATTATTATCATTTTTCTTGTGTTCATTGCCTGCTAGAATTTATTAGCCATAATCCGAAGGAATTATCATTTATACAGGCATTTTTTAGTAAATTTACTCAATTTTCTTAACCTGTAATAGAATCCCAAGTAAATTTGTTACAGATTTTTATCTTAGTACAACTTCAAAGATTACCCTTTGAACCTGCTTAGGCCAATATCAGAACGATTGCTAACAACAGAAATTAATTACATATTCTAGATGGCTTTCACAAATCTCATCTATCTTTACTAACAATATTGAGTTTATTACATCTTTTCGATAAATATTTTGCACTAACGGTACCTCAGGCGATTTTATTATCATAAAATTCTCAATTATTAATTTTTATAATGGATAACTACTCCTTTGAATTTGCACAATTAACGTCCCTAAACGGGTGCAATAGTTATTATTAACTATACAAAAACTCTTTTAACTTTGACTTCAACTGTGATGAACTAATACACAAGCAGATTCTTATTTACGCCTATTAATAATATCGATACTACGTTAATTTCTTTACTGCTACTTTAGATTATGGAATATTATCGAATTAGGCTAAGCTTTTACCGTTAATGAAATGAAAGCCATTTAAACTTATTCACTTATATTAAATTATAATTTTAAATGACGAGACATTATTCAGTTGAAGTTATTACAATCAGCACTATTAGATCGTTCATATTCCAGTAGATTTAATATACTTAAAGAAAAATATCTGTTTACCAACTGTTCTCGTTAAATTTTATCTACAATTAGCTGCTTACACCTACACCGATGAAAATCTTCAATACTGTGGCTTCTTCTACAGTCTTAATGTCCTTGGAAATTTCATTTACTATAAAGGTGGCAGACAACTTTTCCCAATTCAACTGCCAAACATTGACGGTGAGCTGCTTATCATGGTACTTTCAGTTTTAACTATATACAAATGCCATAAACCAGAATTATTTCGATAGATATCGTTGTAAAGCCGTCCCTAAATATATACTGTAGACTTGGTTAAATATAACATAGAATACAATCATTTGATCTCTTTTTTATCATATGGATAGACTTCAACGTTGAAGATTTGCTAGTCTATATGATTAAACTTATGATGGCATTTTCGAAGACCTCTATATCAATAGAAGGTAAGCGTTACCCGAGCAAACAATGTTTCTCCCTGTTATACTATTCTCACTTTAGATTCAATTCCTGTTATTCTAACTTGTATTACATAATATTATGACTGTTTCTCTGATCATGGTGTAGATAAACTCAACCCTGCTAGTGTTGTACTGAGAATTCTTCGACGGCTTATTGCTAATACCATTACATGTCAACAGTGCATCTGTAAGGTAAAGTTACCCTCTGCCATTAACTCCCTACTACTATGATCACATGAGGTTCAATAAAACTAAAAATATTAAAGCCGTAACAGCAATCACACTGTATACTTCTTATGGACGTTCGCAATTAATGGATATTCATTACGAGTATTAACGAAAGATAATTTATTCCCCGGATCATAATAGGAACGATTAATCAATGTATTACTTTCTCCAATAACTTCAATCCTAGAAACAGGCAATGTAAGCAGTTGCTCTGTTGCTTCCTGATGTCTTGATTTATAGTAACATTAATCAATCAAATTATCGTTTTCAATATGCGTTTATAATTCGTGATTAGGACATGAAAGGATTCATAGATAACACTTTTGTATATGTAATTGAAATTTTAATGGCACTTTCCGCCTCGAGTCTTGGTTTCGAATTCTTAATTAAGTGCGTATAACCTAAATAATTAACATTGATCTTATAATGTACAGTACAGGAAAGAGTCCGTACTTCTTCTTAAAGAGCTTCATATCTGTAAATCTACTTTTTACTTGCTATATTGACGATAAATAAGATGTGAAACGTAATAGCTAATCTTTCATTTTCTTTATTAAATTATATCTGAATTTAAAAAACGTATCATTACTCTATCTTGTTGCAGTTGGAAAGTTCCTATCCGTATCTTGGTTCAATTTACAAAAGAATTATTAAAGCCAGATAAATCAGCACAAAAATGGCCTGCTAAATACGTAGTAAAAATTATGACATTTTTTCGACATTTATACCAAACGTGTATTGGTTTCTCGCTGTTGGAGGAACTAGATTCGCATGATACTCTGTTAAATTTTCCATTTAAGGTAAGATAAAGTAGTTTCCTATATACGAGTGTGATAAAAGAAGCTAAAAATTCGATAACTTCCAGTGTTTTACTGTATGTAAGTAAGTCTCTGTCACCTGTAATTCTCATAGAGTCTCAAAGTGAAGCTCTTCCGAACTTATTTTATAGTCAGCAAGTGTCCATATTACATTCTTCTCCAAAATATAGAAATAGGTTCTCTATACGTATTGCAGAATAAGGAAAAACAGTTACTTCGTACTATCTTCTCATTCTAGAATTTTACAAGGACATTCAAAGAGTTAAATTGAAAAATATTAACGATGTTGCTAGTAAAATATTAGAGTATATATGCTAACAATGTAGAAAAGGAAAAATTTTTGTCTAAACTTGGATCTTGTATCGTAAAACACCATAGTAGTGATAACATCTCTGTGAAAGTAAAACAATTTTACAAGACCGATATACTAATTCATTCACCTCGTATAGAATGCACGAATTCACTGTAGAATCACTCAATATGTAATTAGAACCATATTAAGCCTTTACGATATGTTTCAATGTAATTAATTAAATAAATAATAGTAATTAGCTGGCAAAGTGGCAGTATGCCTCATTGAAAACTCATTATAGAATCAATTCGATCTATAAATAGCACTAAGGGCCAATTTTGCCTCATTAATAGGTTAAAGACCTTAGTTCTACAGCTACGTCATCGTCAAATCTTGACAGTCAGCTTGTTCATTGGGACTCAAGGTATGATAATGTGTCCGTATATTAATATATATTATTAGAAATAGAATGATCCTGAAATACTCGTATACGATTATTTTGTCATTTTATCAACTCTTCTCTCTGGGACCTTCAAGGTTATTATGGCAGCTTATCGATTGTATTACATACTATGCTATGACACCCAAGGTAAGCTATGCCAATCTATAAGTTGATAAGCAATCGCTAATTAAAGAAAAACCATAAATATAATTCTCGAACTATATAATGATTACGCATTAGGGTGTTTTAAAATTGGAATCACACGATGCACTGGTCGACTGCGTAAATCATATCTACTACATTTGTTATCAAGATATTCAGGTTAGGGAAACCTAAGATATAATCAGATGTAGTCTTTCCATATTGATATTAAATTTTCAAAATCTTAACTGTAATGTAATTCACTTGTTACTAGATTTTAGAACATGAAAAGTTGCCATACTATATTATCCTAACAAATATCACATCCACACCACCTGGAATAAATGCTTTACTAAAGACAGGTAATAGAAAGATGTTGCAAAAAAGCGCAGCGTATGAATTTTTATGTTATACGAGTACATCTAATACAATAATAAAATATGTGAACTTCTTAAATCTTTAGTATTACTAAAATCTTGCGTTTAGATTATATGAAATATTTGGCTAGTGATATTTGGTCTGCCTTTGATGCTCAACGGCCTGATGATTTCTTTATTATACCACAAACATTTTTATATTTACCTGGTGATCCAATGGATAAGAAAACCTACGATGTATGATAAAACAGTTATTGATTCTTGTACCAACTTATAACTTATAGGAAATTTAACTCATATTAAGCTCTATAGCATATTAAATTTAATGCATTTATATTTTCCATGTACAATCACATGTAGGTATTTATAGCAATTATTAGACTACTGTCATCATTTCCGGCAGTATACGAAATTCTTTTAAAGGAAACGTTATCACGTGAAAAATCCCTGATTCCGGTGGAAACACTTGAAGTAATAGTTCTTTTAATACAATGACTGTAAATGGCCATTTCTTTTCATTTCTAATTAATATAAACCAACTTTCTAATAGGATATTATTCAGCAAATGATTCTCATCGATATTGAAGAACAGACTTTTGCTGAATGTGATTATTCTCAGTGGCATTTATTTGGACTACGGTATCATATTAGAGATAGAATCATTAATTGATAGGAAAGTGCTTTAAGATAAAATATTTTTATGCTGTTTATTCGAAATCTTGCTTCCTAGTATGCATTATTATTGATGATAATATTGAATGCTGGATAGTCATAACTTAGTAATTAATTATGGAATATGTATGGCATTTATGCGCAAGGTTGCTGGAAATTCTTACTACATGCCTTGATACTTATCTGTTCCTGGAATCGCGTTATGGGCTTCAAAAGTTTTTACTTGAGCGTCAGGAAATATGTAAAATTTGTGATAGGTAATACATTGTAGAATAGGTCAATTTTATAAAACAAACCCTATGTAACGCCACATATAATATAACTACTGGCTACTTTAAACTAAAAGTATTCTTAATCCAGATTTATCAATAATTAGGATAAATACTGTTCTTGCTAAAACAATATTTCAACTAAGGACATAACCAACATATTATTATTCTATACATATGTTTTAAAATCCTGGTACTACTTTTAGTTAGTAATTCTAGCAGAAAACTTTTAAATAAGACCCCTTATAGAGAAAATATTATTTAATACCTTAGTTATAGGGTGTTTAAGACCATAAAATGAAATTGCAATTTGAGGATTTGCGCACTATATAGTATACTGTACACGTTGTTAAGAGAATATTCTTTATTTTTTATTATGGATCTCATAAAATGCTCTAATACTCAAGATTAATAAATTTAATCAATCTAAGATGAGAAATTTCTAAATACACAACTGTCATTTGTGATGTCATTTGTGATGTTAAAATTATAATATTTAAACATTTTCACTCATCTAACCAATATTTGAAAGAAGACGCTACAGCATTTTGATGTTATGATCAATCACTTTAGATTTGTCTTACTCATACCTAAATATTGTATATTAAATATTAGATAACTTAATAATAAGCTTATTAATACTAGTACAATTTTCAATGTCAAAATATCTATGATGGATTGTGAGTCTAATATTAGATAATTCTTTTATGATTTTCATTATGACATTGATGGACTCTAAGATAAAAATTTTGTGAATTGTTTCACTTGTTTTTGTTGCATCTTAAGATTCACATTAATCCTCATATCCATTATTACTACCTGAAGTATTTTATTTTTATTCATATCAATGAAGTGACGAATTTATAGCTGATGTCCATTCTATTGAACGCAATCGGATTCTTGTCAGAATTAGCTCTATTGGTGGTCCCACAGAACGTCATCTTCCTACCAGAGATATCTCGGTTAACTTTATAGATATGAACATATTGTAGATCATCTCGAAAGAATTGTGGTCTCAGAATTTTCATTTATTATTCCTGTAATGTACTTGTTGCGTTCGAAACAATGATAGCGGATACGTACTTTCGTAATTTTAGAATCCTGAGGATCTACCACCTCAATTTTCTTGTCTTCCGCTGCCATCATATTACTTACCAGATATGCAAAATCAAAAATCATCAGTTGCTACAGGTGAAAATCTATCGATGCCATTATGTTTAATCAATATTTGGAGTAATGACAAAAAAATAACTTTTATGCTGTTAATTCCTGGCATGAAAAAACTACAGAAATTATAGAAGTAATCAGGTCGCAAGAGGAATTGAGTAGGTTAGTTGTACGCATTAGGAATTTCATACGACATTTTTAATAGTATGAAAAATTCGCAATCTTTTGCAAATTATCATCAAATGTGTTCTATAACTTAACTATTGATTTTGAACCGAATATAGTGAGGATTGGTTGAGAAATTGTAAAGACGCATTTTATCGCCTTATTACTTTGGAGCCTGAAAAATTGGTTGGAGCCGGTAATTGTTCATGTATATGATTTTTACCATTTTTACCTGCACTCTAATTGCTAATCTATGCCATTTAAAGGTTTATCTGATCTTTTATGCGCCGTTTGTGTTGTGTCAGAGAAACAGGAAGTTTATCTACCTAAAATAGGTATTAGCACTTCTTAATTACCATATACTAGTAGGCAATGTTAGGGCATAAATTGTTACAACATTACTCACGATAGCTTAAAAATAATGCTCAGTTGATACCAATGTAATAGCAAAGTCTAGAATTAAGGTATAGTACTAATATACTTTTTTCCATTGAAATCTTTCAGCCACAACAGATAGTGATTTGTCTCGGACACAAGCATTTGATCGTACGAATGATATGATATCGAAAGGGATTTATTTAGTCATAAAGTAATTACACTATATCATATACGAGCTCGTTAGTTATAACAACTGACAATATTAAAGCTTAACTGTGCCATATACTAAAGCTATTAAAGATATATTCTTAATTGATTTAACGTATTTATTAGCTACGGGCAGCGTCTTCATTTACTTGAAAATACGCCGAATAACTATTCAAATTTATCAAGCCTTTATCATCGTTTTTATAATCACCTAAAAGGTTAGCATAGTTTAATTCATCTATTTATGGAATAATTTACCGTAACTATTCTTGCACTGTATTAACAATGGAATTTCGAATTAGTTGATTCATCGAATAAGTACACAGGATTTGATTGGTTTGCTGCCACTGTATACTTAATGCTACGCGGTAATTCTGATTTAACATGGGACTTTCTATGCCGATTTTCTACAACATTATCATCTTTATTTTTATGGATGCCACGTGTTTACGCGGTATGTATGCATTAATTAAGATGCTACAATCGTTACAGCAATAATGGTCAATACTTCAAAACTATTAAATTGTGCATTTTATGATGTGTTCAATCGGCACAATCCTGTATTTTATTATAGGGAGTGACTTCAAGTCCATTGCTTGATTCGGAAATTCATCCAACTTTTTCCATAATCTGCCACGAAATCGATCGCGTTTTACAAGTAAAAATATAATCGTCAAATTCGCTAAATTTCGTCTAGAGAAAGTAGCAGATATAAGTAGAAAAGTGATTTTATACGTTTCACAACCCTTAAAAGATTGTCTTAAATATCTTATAGCTTGAATTACCACTGGTTCATTCTGCTTTTCTTATGGCTGGATATCCAGTATCACAAGTATGCCACTATTCAATGAAGAATTCTGAAATACATGATATAGTGACATTTAGTATCAGACCTGCGTTATAATATATAGTGTTAAATGTAATAAGTTAACCTTTAATTTAATTTTATGCCACCAAAATCTTAATTTATTTCATCATGGGTCTTTTTCTAATTTTAGATTTGCCAACATTGGCTAAGACAAATGTTTTGGAATTTCTTAGATTGGCAGGAAATTTGCTACTATCTATCGATATGTATTATTTTAGGTGCTGATTATCAGGTTAGTATGATAGTTTAGATAATTACGGTATACGATAGTTAAGGTTAAGACCAATACACCTACAGTATATCCATCCTGCGGAATCTTTCAAACACTCTATTGTTGCAAACACTGCTATGATATCACCATTAAATGTTATGGCGGATGAATGTATTTGTCTAGGTATACTTTTGTATATCGATACTTCGTCATCTTCAAGATAACATCATAGAACAAACACAAAATAGAACATTGATCCCGTTCTTAAAAGTAACTAATAGAAATAAAGCATCATTAAGATTTATATAAATTAATAGTATTATTTGTAATAAGCAATATTAAGGTATATTGATTGTTTGCATTTTGTATTGTATGAAGGGAGAGCCAATTCGAAATTTTACCATTAATAATTATATAGCGAGCATGAAGGAAATGGAAATTAAGTATCGAACGTCAATCATGACTAGGTTAATAGAATTTTCTAAAATTATCTTAGCAAAGTAATGCTCATATTCCATTTTAAAAGCTGTTTTATAGTGAATGAATATATTTAAATTTGATTTTTATTACGGTTTTATTTATTATTTGTTATTAAGAATGACAAATTATATTTCTGCCAATATGTTCAAAGAATAGAATTCTTTATACCTAAATTATTTTGATAATAGAATTTTTTTCTCTCGGCGGTAATACCGCTTAGCCAATCAAGCCTACAATAATTACAATTATATATGTGAAAATCTTTTTATAAAATACTATAATTACTATACTTTAACACTGGCACTGTGTTGCAATATAAAATAATTTAGAATATGTAAAAGGTTTATTATCCTCTTGATTTAGATAAATGAATTTATATACTTTTACTTAGAATTATACCATTGACACGATACTGTATCGTTCCGGGACATACTTTTAAAATAGATTTTATAGATAAAAAAGGATAACTATGCAAAACAATAGCTAGACGATTGAATGATTTCACAAGTAAATTTCATGATCTTTTATGTCTAAACTTATCTATTTATTTAGATTTATTAGCATCGATTCATCAATCGTGCAATTTATACGCGTATATGACATACTGTTATATATTGTAATGTATTAAGGCCAGCCGTTATTGCTAAATTTTAAGCTGGTTACGAAGCTATAAATTCTATGAAATTATCAGCAGATTATTATGTTTTTAGCTATGTATTACAGTGTAAGAAGATTTGCATAATATTACTGATTTCAATGACACATACTTTGGATGAGCTTAATATCTTAATTTGGTACTTTTGTACTAAAAAAGTTGACTTCAACAACAGTTGTATGACTTGATTCAATAAAATTCTGAGATTATCGTACGGAATTCTATTAAAGCTTCGAATGGGTACTGTCAATATTGATGTATTTTAATTTAATGGCTTGTTGCGAAGGTTGTTAAGTGATTTAATTTTCAAGCGAGCTGAATGTTACTGACAACCTCCATTTGATTGCCATAAATAAATACGTGTATTCGAATAGCTGATAAGAGTATATTTGCCATGGTGATACGTTATCATCTATTATACTTATAATAATACTAATTGGTATCCAATTTAATGTTGTATATCAACATGACAGAACTGCCGGAATAGTCAATAGTGGGTTCTACAAGTACCGTTCTCCCATAGTTCGATGGAAAGGAGGGTGCATGGGATGTAACTGCTGATTATATAGTACGAATGATGAGCCTATTAAAAGCGTTGTCTTTTTACTGTACAGTAGTATGGAGTAGTTACCGCAGCTGCCTTAAATTCAATTTTAATATAACTATTAAGTTAACTTATTAGGAGGTAGTCTGTATATCTGGTATTCATTCGAAAGAAACAACAATGACTGCACGGCAAATTCTTTTCAGATCATTAAACTACAGTATGTTGCAAGAAATGTTTATTCTGAGCTACTGCTGTTTGTATCTACATATACGTTGATAGCTGTGATTGATTTTTGATGTCCCTGCTTCACGGTTTAGCGCATAATTTGACTAATGGCTTCTACAGTAATGTATACTTGATGATAATCAAGAAATTGAAATTTTAGAACATTACTGATGTGAGCGTAGCGAGCGGGGGCAGTTGCTAGTAAATCACCTAACAATTGGAAAATGTCGGTGTAGTGAGATGTTCTACTAATATTAATATTATACGTGCTATGGTACTGAATATGTATTCTGTATAGTCAGTATGATGAAGGTTATTTATTGAAGTGGATGAAATGTAATTCAATGATAATATTCTCGGTTCTGGTTGGGTATTAGTGATTGTAATAACTACATGTGCTGTCGATAATGTTACGTATTGGTACGTGTAATCCTGTGTGTTTTACGATGTACAGTACGCTATAATAAGGATATAACGAGAACCGGGAACATTCTAGAAGTTGAATTGCGTGAGACATTCCTGGCAATAAAGGTCTGAAACATGCCACGCGGTGTAATTTTGCAATTTCCTGCTTGGCATGATGACAACATCATCAGCTACAGCTTGGAATCTGACTAGGAAGCAAGTGGGCGCAAGTGGATACAGCAAGCCCATACAGGTCTCCCAGTCACAGCACATCACAGCACATCCAATTCGTCATTGCCGTATTACTGCGATTTTATTGATGCTAGACTACATTTCGTAGTACTACAGTATATGTCCACTGTAGTACTGTACTGTACTGTACTGTACACTACTGTAAACTGTACAGTCTACAGTCTACAGTACAGTACGGTGCAGAAATGCAACAGAAGGTACTGTACTGTACTGTACAGTACAGTAAAACTTCAAATCTTACAGTACTGTTCACTGAGTGTTCAGTACTGTACAGTAATCCATTCCATTTGCAAAATTAAATACTGTAATTGCTATACTGTACAGTATACTGTACCGTATGCAATACTACAGTATGCGGTAAGCACGGGTACGGTATACAGTGTACAGTACAATACAATACTGTACTTTTTCCTCTTAAATGCATTACTGTAATTGTATAAAATAAAATTGAAATTGAAAAGCCTAAAAAGTCTAGACCATACTAGAAAGTAGATACTGAGTTTTGTTGTACAGTAAATTGAAGTCATTGATAATTCTACAAATAATCCAATTTTAATTTCTATCGGCTAGATAGAGTACACCGATCGAAAGATTGCAGCCTACTGTATGCATAACATATACGCGTATCGATTGTTATATAACAAACTCTTACAACGCTGTAGCCTAGAGACCCTTCTTTAGAGACTCTCCATGGGTCTCCACTCTCTCGTGTAGCCCTATATTAAAGGTGTGAGTTTCAATTCGAATAAAAAATCGTACTAAACATTGAGCACTGTAGCTTGTGCCGTGCCGTGCTGCCATCAGCACTTGGCGGTTTTATCTTGCCTTTATCAAAGTGGTTAATTAATTTAACGAATCTAAACTTTACTTGATATCAAAGCAAAGCGCTTGCCTGTACTGCCAAGGAGTACAGTATGGATGGAATGGAACAAGATGAAGATAGAATAACCAAATACCTTAATAATAATAATAATAATAATAACTAACTAAAAAGAATAGATTTCTAGCTTATATAGTGTACAGTGTACAGTACAGCATTATACAGTATATATACTGTACGGTTTTCTTCGTACAGTACTGTATTGTGCTGTACACATACTGTACAGTACTGCACTGTAAGCACTTGGCGCTTTTGGCTTGCCTTTATCCAAATTTGTTAACGAATCTAAACTTCACTTGGTATCAAAGCAAAGCGCTTACCTGTCAATTAGTGGCTTTGCGTGCCATGGATAACGGAATAGGCGATCCAAAGAAGGTAAAGAAATAACTAAGAATAGATTTCTAGTCGTCCGGATATTACTCGAGTGAAATCGACCTGATCCAATTTCAGCTCTTAGCGTTATTGCTTTAAAGCTTTTGTTCTGTAAAATTCGATCCTGCGCCGTTTCAGATGTCTCGGTGATATACTGTAATACAAGTACCGAATCTTTTGATTTGATTTGATTTTCGACTACACTCGTAAATTACTTTGCAAAGCACACTTGAATTAAATTCGTTATATTGTTGATAATTTTATAGACTGTATATACACTGTGCATTCTTTATGACGTAAAGTGTCATATTAGGTAGAGCTAGTAGCGCATTACTGTATTTTACTGCCAAGCTTACCAGTGACTTCATCGTGCTCCTCGAAATAGGAAATTTCGAGCTTCCTGCTGTATGTACAGCGTACAGTATACTCCACTGTTGGCTACAACTTGGATATTCGATGTATTATGTTGACTCTTTTATTCTATACTGGAATATCTTTTTATAATACTATTTAATCCGTAGCTAAAAATTGGCTTGCACCTTGAGCATTTTAAAAATCGATAACGGTTTGATCTGACTTTGATACGACTTGAGTTTACTGTGCTTCGTTTATTTCTCTTCTTTCGATTCAATCAATAGTTGTTACAGTTTTGTAGCTCATCTGTTAACTTTGCAGCGCCTTGTACTTTACCTCTTACAGAATGGTGATTAGTGAAATATCTTGGGGGAATTTATTGAAATACTAATTTATAAGATAGTAAGAATAAGTGCTTGCATCCTAATAACTTATCTAATCCGCTACTTGATACCGAAGACTACAGAAGAGAAATAAACGCGGTACCGGCCGTGTTTTACACTCTATTTATATAAAGAAAAAACTCCATTGATCAGATTATACTGCACATTAAAATGTGTATCGTTTGATATTTTTAGCAAGATAATACATTCATAAAAAGCTATTTTGATCATTGTAAAGTTATAGTTGATTATACAACTATTTCATCTTGGAGATTTACTGTCTCCTAATTTTTTCTTTGAGGTTGAAATGAAATGAATGGTATCGCTTCAATAATATCTTGCTGTATGCGCAAATCAAATTTTTGCAGTTGTGCAGTTTATTCGCTTTACCTACTGTACAGTACAATACTGGACAGTCGTAGCTACATTGTACTGTAGTATACAGTACTGTACAGTACGGTACTGTAACTGCAGTAAAAATGTTACCTTTGGTCTCGTTGCTACTCCATCACCGCTTGCTTACCTGTTATTAAGAATTCCTTGGAAGCAATGTGCCTAATTACTGATTTACGCTGTACTTAATGAATGACCTATTGTAGGAGTAAGCTAATCTACCGTATCCTAGACATTGGCATTACTGTGCATTGCGTACAGAAATACACTTTTGTAATAATTGCTCGTCGCGTGATTTTTAATTTCTGCAGATAAAAATATGAAATTGCAGTGTAATACCGCTAGTATGTACCTGATAGTACAGTACAATACAGTCGATGCAGCAGTGCATAGTCGTACTCTTCCATCTTATATAAACTTCTTTTTATACTAGAACCACAGAGACTTCAGCGCTCTTCCTTTAATTTTAATTTACTTACTTTTATTATCATTTAGTAGCCCCTAACTGAAATTGTGTAGGCTACACGATTACTATATAGCAGTACTGTCTGCGATAAAAATGCAGGATACAGGATGAATGAATTTTAATATACCGACTACAAAATAGAATCTGATGATTCTTTGCTCTTCAGTTAGAGTGAGTCGTAACGGCAAATGGGCATAACTCCGTAAGTAATGCTCTATCAAGCAAAACTTAGTATATTTGTAATTATCTGTTAGTTATTACTGACTGCAGTCTTTAATGTAGAGTCTTTAGGCACTAGCCGATCGAGTGCCAAAATGCAGATGCTCTTCTTAAAACGTCGAATAATTGAGCTGCTAGCATTTGCAAGTATAATCTCGCCAATTGAAAGTTACTATACGAACACACCCATGTAGTATTGATCGTCAGTGCTAATTGTTGTAAGGATCGTGATCGCCTAGAGAATTCTCCTACTGTACATGATTTTTGGGGGGCTTCCCCTACGGGAAGGAGTTACTTACTTCATCAATCAGTGCGTTATTATAACCTAAACGTTATCTACATGTCAGAAGTTTTTATTATCCCGAGCAATGACATGCCTTTCTCAATACCCTAATTCGTATATACGAATATACATGATAGATAGGGTGATGGTACCGTCGGAAAAAGATGATATCAACTATAGTTGTACAGTAGCATAGTAGATAGCAATGAGTTTTGCTTATAAATATTGATGGTGCTTGTTTCTCTGTTATTATAGGATTTTACAGTCAGAAGTGAAAAGTCGGAATCGAATCGACACGGTAATAGGCTAATTTACCGATTAATTAATAGCTGCGAATTTGAGTAAAATCTACGCTACTTATGGATGAAGACATCTACCATTCAGTACTGTTTACCCTAGTTGCTTGTCATACACCATGACGCCTATCATTTTGTATCCTACAGTATCATAAATATCAACCATCAGCAAGATGGCGTAAGTGCCAAATAGTCAGCACTGGCTCAGTGAGGTCATCCTTACGTTAGAGCAATTTCATAGATATTACCCAACTTACTATACTTTTAATACCTTAGCATGAATCACTCTTGCAATGCTATAAACACAAAATGTAAGCGAAACTATACGGAAAATTATGTACAATACATGATGTCAATGATAAAATAATCACTTACATTCAGATACAACGAGTAAAAGTACACAAGTATTGCTACATTTAGTTGTTGTATCGGTTATGCTCTAGTTAAGTTAGTGCTTGCTTCTTCAATGTTCAGTAATCATTAGTTATTAATTTAAAAAAGTAGGGTACTCGTCGTAGTGATTATTTTAATGTATAGTTACTTACGTCTAGTTTTTATGTATCTTTTAAGTTAAGTACTTTTACATCGTGACATATCGTTACAACTAACATTAAACTTTCTGGTTAAACCTAGTTATCGTTGCTTCTTACCATTACATAACTCTGGAGAATTTAACTTGATATTATTTAATCTGTGCATCGCAGTTTTTTGCACAAATTTATTTGAGATTCTAATGTTTGCAAAATTCGTATTAATTTCATTAAACTGCACGGAAAATTGAAAACTTCTGCTATAGTAGAAAAGCAAAATATCAAGATGGAAAAGGTGAGATTGTCAACTTATCTTAAATCATTCATTTGTGAAGGAAAGAGTTCTTGAAGATATTACCTTAAAAAAAGTTGATCGTTTTAGGTCAATTTAAGGTAGATTATTTTATGTTATCTTATAACAATGATTCACTATTTGGATCGATCATCAAGTATTCAACTTGCCATTAGATAACGAAAGTTACGTTAATATGAGTATGACTAAAAAGATTTTAAAATTTTTGGAGCATCATATTGGCTTTGCATACAATTTCTATTGAATTACCATTCTTTTCTCCAATAATCTTGCCAATGTAGCTAAATGTACATAGTATTCAGCTTTAATGAGTCAAATATCGTACTATACGTTAGTATACAATCATCTCTCAAATGTTTTTTTAAACTTTCTATGTAGCTACTGCATGATAATAGTTTTAGTAATTTGAAAATTTCTATAATTATAAAGAGGTGATGACGATAACATGTCAACATAAGTTTGCACATTAGAAACAGGTGTAATTTATGATATCCCGATTAGGTTCATTGTAATGTAAAATTGACCATTTCCTTTAATCTGTTACCCTAAGAATGCTTTCATTATAGCATTTCTAATACTACATATTTATATATGAACATTGCATAGAGTATATGACCTTTTAAGAGACAAAGTGTCGTACTTAAAGTATTACCATTTATTTTAGGCTGGACAGAAGCGTAAAACGGTTGTAGCCAATAATGACGACGATGATGATAAACCTTTGGTACTTGTTTGCGAAAAGTAATTACTCAAAAAGTAACTCTGAAATCTAAATATTGCCCATTGTTTTCTTGTAGTCACTTATGAAAGTTAAGATAAAAAAGGAGCCTGTTTGTCTGGACGAAGATTTACCTTTGGTAATATCAGCATTAATAAGTTATATTATTAGAGTATTGTTCATTTAATAAGTATAACTTAGCATAAATATTTTGCTACCTTTAACCTCTTTAGACAGCAATGATTGGCCAAGCAAAAGGTATATCAACTTAGAATGTAGTTTTAATTTCATGATAAAAATTAACATACCTTGGTGGCAACTTATTAGGAATAAAGCGGAAGACAACAGATTCGGACAGAACAACGAAACCAAAAAAGACTAGTTCGGTGATAAAAAAAGAGCGTAGCGAAAGTTTAGACACACCAAAAATTAAAGCTAAAGTAAAGGCTGCTGATCCTGTTTCGAAGCGCGCTAAATCGAAGGAAAATATTAAGAAAGAATCTAAGAATACTAATAAAAAGTCCTCGTCAGGCAAGTCGGACAAGAATGGCAAGGTGAAATTGGAAAATGATAGTAAGAAAGTTAAGAGGGTTAAAAAAGAGGTATGCGAACTCAGCCATTTAGCTTTTTAACAATTAAATTTATTGCATAGAATGTAAGTAGTTTAACGTATACACGTCATAAATTTGTAGAAAACGACAGAAGATGAAGATGTTTGGAAATGGTGCGTGTTGAAAGCCCAGATTTCATAAGTTATAGTTTCAAATATTAGGCTACTGAACATTGTTATTTTCTTTAAAGTTACGACTAATTGATTTGTTTAATTTTGAGATATAAGAATTAATTTTAAATTATAGGTGGGAAGAAGATACTAAGGATAATAGTGTAAAGTGGAAAACTTTAGAGCACAAGGTAATACAGTAGATGCATTAGGAGCAAATACGCATGTATTAAATTAAAATTTTAACATTTTAAAATTTTAGGGGCCTTTACTCGCTCCACCTTATGAACGATTACCTTCTAATGTTCAATTTTACTACGATGGTATGTTTTTAATTTAGGCCATACATTTTATAAGTCTGCGTTAGGTCTAATTTCGGCTTCCTATAAATAAATATTATATGTTAGGCCAAACTTTTCCTTTGAGTGATAAAACAGAGGAAGCTGCGGGATTCTATGCCAAAATGTTAGATCATGATTACACGCAAAAGAAAATATTCAATGACAATTTTTGGACTGATTTTAGAAAGGTTAATTTCATGATTTCTATTTTGTAATATACGTATATGTTGAATATATATATATATATTACTATGTTTAGCTGTATCTTATGCAGTTAAATAGTATAAATTTTGCTACGATTTTTTTTAGGAAATGACACCTGCAGAAAAAAATCACATTAAGGTATTTTCCAAGTGCGATTTTTCTAAGATTGCAGAATATTATAAAATGAAAGCCGAAGAACGAAGGAATATGTCAAAGGAAGAAAAAAATGTATGTACATCATTGTCGATCTTTAGCATTCATACAATATTACTGTGTAGCGTCATTGTTATCGTTTGGTGTAGCCTATAACTTTGTCTCTATGTTCTCATGTGTTCATACTATTATGTTTATAGAAACTTAAGAAAGAAAACGAAGAGTTGATGCAAGAGTACGGTTTCTGCATTATTGATGGCCATCGGTAAGAGCCCATGCTAGGAATTTTTTAACTTCGTTATATTGTATTGTAACTTTTACTTATTTTATTATGTGGTTTAGACAACGTGTTGGGAATTTTAAGATAGAACCTCCAGGATTATTTCGAGGAAGGGGTGATCACCCAAAGCAAGGGAAAATTAAGGTAGTTATAAGTTATGACAATTACTTTTCAATATGTTTTACTAATAAAATTGCGTTTTTGATATTCAGCGACGTATAGAAGCTAAAGATATTATCATCAATATCGGAAAGTTAGTTACGTTGATCATTTATTATATAAATTAATTATCTATGAAGCTATAAAATTAAATTAATGATGTACACCGTCGCTCTGTTCTATTGATTACTCATGTCAGAGACGCTAAACTTCCAGCACCTCCTCCTGGCCAAAAATGGAAAGAAGTTCGCTATGATAACAAAGTAAGTGAAATATGATTGAAACATTTGTTTTTATATGACAGTTTATTCAATGTTATTGGTATTTATTATTATCTAGGTAACATGGCTCGCCTCTTGGACTGAAAACATTAATGGTAGCATCAAATACATTATGTTAAATCCAACCTCGAAAATCAAAGTATGCTTTCACGTGAATATGCTTCTATAAATTCTTAGGTAACTTTTTTTGACAATTTTCATTTGCCATTTAGGCCGAGAAAGATTACCAAAAATACGAGACTGCTAGAAAGTTAAAGGTATCTAAAACATAAATAATTACGTTAGTGCGAATCGATTATAATTGAAATCATACGATATACGAATGCAGCGATATATAGATAAAATTCGCCAAGATTACAAAGCGGATTGGAAATCGAAGGAGATGAGGATCCGACAGAGGTTTGTGATATGCTAACTAATATCTAAAAAATTATATTTAAATTAATAACATTAAATTATTTATCCCGGTTGTAGATCCGCTGCACTGTATTTTATAGACAGAGTAAGTACAGCATAGTATCTAGATTACAACAGGTTACAATGATATTTAACTGATAACTGTGTACAATTATAGTTAGCTCTTCGTGCTGGACATGAAAAAGAAGAAGGCGAGTCTGCAGATACCGTTGGTTGTTGTTCCCTGCGTTACGAACATATCAGTGAGTTACGTTGATATTAACTGAGTGATCGTTATAACCCTTATACTCGTGCTTATAAGCAAACGGCATGAGCTCTATCGATGTAAGTATATTAAGAAACGCAATTTTATAGAACTACATGACCAATTGGAGGATAAAATGAATGTAGTTGAATTTGATTTTCTTGGAAAAGATTCTATTCGCTATGTAAATCAGGTTCCTGTTGAAAAGCAGGTATGGAATGGGTATTCGAACTTCGAATATGAGTACAAATACTACAGTGATTTTCTCTTTATTAACTAGGTATATAAAAATTTAAAATTATTCTGTAAAAATAAGAAAAAAGGTGATGACCTGTTTGATAGACTGTCGGTAAGCCATATCTATGTATATTAAATTACGTCATAACCGACTTAAAGTTCTCAAGAAACTTCTAAATTGCTATTACAGACAACTTCTCTTAATAAGTATTTATCAGAATTAATGGAAGGGCTTACAGCGAAGGTACCTAAATGAATAAACAATTTTGTTATGATTATAAACGTAGTTCATCGAAAATCTCTACTGTCTATTTTAATACATTTAGGTTTTTCGAACCTACAATGCTTCCTATACTTTGCAGGTAACTATATAACTATTTTACTCTATTGAAGTACAGTACAGCGTTAAATTTGCGTTGCTTAATATTATAATGCAAATTGTAGGAACAACTACATCAAGTCATAGATCGTAAGTACTGTAATTTAAAATTATTTCTGGCCGGCTTGCAAATCTTCCGATAGATGAGAATGTGATACTTACTTTTTGAACAAATATAGCTAAGATGTCGATAGAGGATAAGATCTTAATATATAATAGATCTAACAGAGCTGTTGCTATTCTGTGCAACCATCAGGTAAGGCAATTTACGTCAAAATTAACCCCGTCGAGTTTCAATTGTAATCTGAATGACATTCCTTTAACTATAGCGAACTGTTTCGAAAACATTTGATAAGCAAATGTCTAACCTAAGGGAAAAAGTATGTAATCGTTTTTATAAACATATACGCTTAGTCTTGCTAAATTTATTTTTATGTGAATTTCACGCCTTATTATAAATTCATAACACTTTGATAGATCGAGAAGAAAGAGCAGCAATTAAAAGAAGCAAAAAAAGAAGAAAAGAGAGCAAAATCCGACTTGAAAGAGAGAAAGGATGAAAGTTCTAAGAAGTATTATTTAAACTTTGAGAAATTAAATGCCATGATATTATCTGTTACAGACATTACATTATTGTATCTGTTTGATAGACTTTATGAAAAGAGGAAAAAGAAAACTGAAATGCTAAATAGGCAGTTGCACAAGTTAAATCTAACCGAAACAGATAAGGTACCGGTACATTACATATTTATTCCTGAGGGTAGACAGCAATATTTAATTGCATTTATACATTAGGTTGAAAATAAGGAAGTTGCCCTTAGTACTTCAAAATTGAATTACATGGATCCTAGAATTAGTGTGGCTTGGTAAAGCAATGAATTTTTTTACGATATATGCTAGTAACGTATATAAAACTCCATATAATTAATAATTTATAACATTAAAGGTGCAAAAAGAACGAAGTACCAGTGGAAAAAGTTTTTAACAAAACGCAGAGAGAGAAATTTAAATGGGCTATCGAAATGGCCAGTGAAGATTATGTATTTTAATTCAAGATCATGATTAGGACGGTGATATAACCGCAATTGTACAACGATCTGGTGCGAGAAGTGTTTTTGTGTTAAGAATGGTATAAATCGAAACGAAATCAACGGTAACATAAGCAAGTCCAATTGATTATGAGAGCGCTATTTTGCTTTTTAAATTAAATTTTACCGTTGCTACTAAGCTGTTACTATATCGTGAGCCTATAGAAAGTAAAATGAATTATATATGACCGTAAACTGTTAATGTGGATATAAGTAGTTAATATGATCCTTATGTATATTAGTGAACGACCTTAACAGTTTTTATCTATTACAATATATACAAGTCAGGTAGTGACTAATGCAAAGTAGACCCTATTCGAATTTTTTGCTGCAGTTAGCAGCTAGTCAATTAATTCTTTAATATCCATATCAAAACTGTAGCGTTTATCTTTGTGCATCATTTCTACTGCTTGTTTCATTTATTCAGAGCAATTTATACACGTGCGGTATACTGTAACTGATGCCACCAATAGATTTCATGCATTCTGAAAATTGTTACCAGTATAATGCGTATTCCCATCATTTCCCAGTTAATACCTGATATTCAAATTTATAATCCGCTTCAGCGAACTTAAAGATAACTTTTTTTTGAACAATTGTATGTGTTTATGAACATTTACGAACATTACTGGTTTGCTATTATGTGATTATGATTGATAACCATAATTTAAGAGTTTTTAGAATAATTATAAAGATATCTGAGTACACTTACGCTTATGGATATCTTACTTTTTGTTCAACTTATTATTAGTTATAGTATCTATTGTAGAGGAATCTTGCTTTGAGTAATGCTCGGGGATGCAGTTACTTTAACAATTTTAAGTCCTAAGGTCATAAATTGATACGTGTCCTAAGCTCTGTACGGTGTAGTATGTAACTGCAAACTATCAAGATATAAATGTTTTAAACTTAAGTTGATTTTAACCCAAGATGAACGGAAGTCTTATACTTATACGTATGTAACGCGATGACGTAATTAGAGTATTCTATCAAATGTAAATTATTTCTAATAGTGGAACTGTCACTGTCGTTGTAGAAACACTATAGCAACCTTAATGTATTAATACCGTTATCCAGTTATTCTTTGCAGTCAATTGTACTACTGTCGCTTTCATTAGATAAGAAGTATTTGCCTTACCAATTTATGATGACATGGAGTGTACTCATGAAATCGTACCGTACTAAGCGGTTTTTATATATTGGATAATAAATTAGTAATGAGTATTTAGAGACAATATGTAATTTGAAAAGGCTATGAGTATGATGCCGTCATTTAAGCCTCGGGTGGTAGATTGCTTAGTAAATCTATGGGTCGTAAATACCAAATTCCATAAGAAATAGGCAGATAGAGCTTTGTAAGTTCGCTTGTGCAAATAGTCAACTAGACTTGCTAGTAACTGAGGTTATAAAGTTATATCCGTATTGATTTGTGCATGAATTACAATACTGTAATAAATATTTGATGTTTTCATGGAAATTCAGTAGATTTTGTATCTAAGCGGCTATTTAAGCTTTTAGTAGATTAGACTGTAGTATACTGTATATCGAATTGTCACTAAGCAACTTTCGTGATCGTACCTAAACTAGTCTATCTACTCTTATGGTTCTCAAACTAACTCCGAAGATCCTCGGTAAGGGAAAACTAACTTATTCCTATACTATTGTAATCAAGTCAAACGATAGGTTTAGGTTAATAAATATATTTATTACTTGCCCGTTTACGTTAGTACCAGTGTACTCTACGTTAGCCTCACTATCGTAAATTACTACCAGTTATACGCAAGGAGCATCAAGCTCCGTAACACGAATTTATTTGTGTACTAATATTGATAAAGCATAAGTATGCGCAAGTATTTGACGGAAATTCATAGGATACGAAATGATACAGGTCATGCTTAAAAGAGATTTGGTCATTTTTTAGGGGGGGGGGGGTTGATATGCTTAATAAATTATACTTTATCATAAAGAAGTATGCATAGTACAAGATGTAACGTGATCAGTAAATAACAGTCAAGGAAATGAGACCTATTCTACAGTTAAGATAGTACAGAAAGTACATGAAGCTATCTATAGTTAACCGAACCTCTGACGCCCCCTATCTATAGTGCATATCTCAGCAAAATCTTGCTACCAGCTTAAAAAGATATTTAAAATGCAATAAATAAAAAGAGAACACATTTTTCATGCTTTTGTAATTTAAATAGACTACTACTATACTTCCTTTCCAGTATCAATTTGGTAATAAAATAGCATGCGTAGGTAGTGTAATATCTCACTGTTACCAAAATTTTTAACGTGTTATAATATTTATTTGTGAGCCAGTAAATAAACATAATATTATGGTCTATGGCTGTGCACTGTAGTTTATAAATCATTCGCTATAGATTGATTGTTAGCTTGAATTCTATTTAAAATCTAGTTAAAGCTTAAATACTCGCTCTCTCTTTATATAACTAGCTATTTAACGCTATAGGACAATATATATGATACGGCTAATACTGGAAATTAAATAATATCGGAACTATCCCAGTATCTTGATTTCTGTTTGGCGTTTATCGGATTTATAGATTGATATTCTTTTTGAATGAAAGCCTCAACTAGCCAACATTGGTTATATTCTTTGAATATAGTACAGTATGGCCAGTAAATCAAGAATTTTTAAAACATTCTTACGATGCGATATATGAATAATGTCACTATCTCAGAAACAGCAAAATGGTAATGATTTTATTACGCAAGACAGGAGATTGATTATTGCCATTTTAAATGGTATTTACATTCTAGTATTAAAAGACCGATCTCTAATTACCATATTTCAAGTATTTACGATAAACCTATGTAGTATTGTAGTACTAGCAATATACAGAATATTTGAGGTTATAGCTAGAATGAAGACCCAAACCGTTGTTACTATATACTCTACAGCACGTATGGAGTAATGAGATAGAATTAGGACAGAATGGATTGGGTTACAATATCAATTTCAAACATTCTTTGTACCATATTAACTCAATTCAGTTATTACTTATGAGCCTAGCAACAATACTGACAACAGTTAGAATGAAAGGATTATCTGTATGGTTAATAATAATAACATATAGCTATTAAGTTTTATTAACCTATAGCCTAACAATATACGCGTACAATATCAATTTTAAACGTTAAAAGACTTCTTAACAGATTGATAGAAAAAATACCACACAACCCGATAAATATGAAATAAACAAGGTTCTATCTAATAAAGTTTAACTCCATTATTTGTACTGGACAATTACTTCAGTACACTATTTAGAGTAGATGTAGAAAATATCTTATAGTTTAGTCATGAAATACCAAGACTAAATCAGTCCAGTATGCTCAGCTGCGACATAATTCTGCAAAAGTTACTAAAACTTAGAAGATTAAAGTAACTTGTAACTGATTAATTTAGACTCGGGTTGATAAACACCACCGAACCAATAGTTAGTAGTCGCATCTTTGCTTGATGAACATTCATGATCAATACTATATTGAGAAAAATAGCCAAAATTTGATTCTGGAGGGTTAAAACCATACTCTGAAGGAAATTTCCATTTCTGGCAGTAACTATAAGTGCGCGATGATAAGAAGGTGACATGATAGCTAGGCGAAACATATATCGGTAGTTGGCACATCTTGCAAGTATAACCACGAACATTGACATAATCTACGATATAGCATCCTGGTTGAGCATTATAAATAGCCATAATATTATATCGGCAGTTTTCAACGCGCATATAATCCCTATGACTTATAGGATATTTCTTTTTCTTATCAAAGTTACATGTCGCTCTCCAATGGGTAGTCCTCGGTGAGTCATAAATCGATTTCATACTAGCATGGCTTAGTCGGTAAGCTTGAAATTGAGGGGTACATTCATTATATGGATAATTATAGTAATATGGTTTGCGAAAATTGATAGATTCAGGCAACTTAGATGTTTGGATTCCTCTATTTCGTGTGAAAGATTCAACTAGCGTCCAGACATAGGGTGGATCCGATTGGAAGTCGCAATATACCGGTGTGAGAGACAATCCAGTATGGATAGCATAATGCCCATTTGTAAGTGTTTTGTTTGAAGTATAGAAAAGTTCTAAGCACGATTTGACTTTTATACCCTATAATAATAATAAAAAAGTTTATTCACGAGAGGGAAAACGAAAAAATGAGAGCAATTACAGTTATCGGATTCAGTTATTATCTTGTATTGGAATCGACATCAACTACGTTTTATTCAAGAAAAAAGTTGAGATCTACTGACGTTAAACTCCATTCTCTAGACTGATAAAATTGCATATATAGTTAGTATATGAATAGATTCTAAGAAGGTCGATACAATATAATTCTATGTCTATAGTCTGATTGCAGTTAGATAGTCCTTGGTAGTTATGAGACGAACCTAATCTTATGCAATAAAGTGAAGTTTACAAGAAACTGTAGTTCTTGTTGTATTTTTGAGAGGACACTTTATCACAATGGTATATCATCTAGATGACTAATTGACTTATTCATATCTGCAATGAAGAGTAACCGAAAAGGCTTTGGTGATTGGATATGATATTGTACTGTACAGGGAATGAAAGCGAGAAAAAGTTTCAAGATTTTAAATTTAGATCAATACATGCGATCAAATGATTTAAAAATCAGCTTCTTAGTAATATGAAAGGTAGGCAATAGAAATAATCTTTATAACAGTTATTAATCGGTTAACTCGACGAACACGAGAGGTAAGTTTGTACTTTAATCCGATACTGGAATATAGCAGGGATTGTTAAAGTTGATATAAAAAGATTAAAAATTTATCAGGCATAAAAAAATGTTAATAGTTTATGTTACTCGGTTATAAAAGAATATAACTTACAGAAGAAAGATTTCCTTGTACTTCATTCGTTAAACTTCCAACAAGGATACATAGACTTACGAGCAACTGTATATACTTAATTGCGTCGTATTTCATGGCGATGATTTATGGATTAGAAAATAGAACAAATCTTAAAAGTCCTTAATCTATATTATCGTCACCAAGTATAGTCAACACGGAATCAATACTATTTTAACTTGAGACTACTATCAGAGAAGTAACTGATAATCTATCGTCTATAGTCAATAGTAAATTTCGTTAGCAGCTTGAAGAAATAAACTAAAAAGATGGGTGTCTTATTGTTTTACGACTATTGAAGAAAAACCATTAAATTTTATTATTCTTAGCATTGCCGAGGGACTGACAGCAGGGTTTTTCTGCTGACTACTTTACTAATGGTTTTACCATTCTTTATCTGTCTATCAAAATTTTGGCCATCTATCACCCTGTTATATGGTGAATTAGCTTAATCAATTCCCAGCGGATTTTATTGCATTAACGACTTGATTCAATTCACGCAGTGTCTGCTAAACGTACTTCTTTAATAGATAAATAATATATTACAAGTTAGTGATGATAGAGCAGTAGATTATTTATTGAATAATTATCCCTGTAACAGTCTTGTTTATTACACTGGTCGTCCATAGGCTCTACTGAAAATAGTAACCCCTCTTTTTAACTTCATGATGTTATAGCTTATTCTTCCTTTAAGCCGATACAACACGATTCAAAAACTTGATAACCGCATTGGTAGACACTATCATCGTTCTTTTGATCCGTATCAATTCATTACGCTCCATTAGTATAATTCAATTACATTTCACTAACAGTAGAAACTTTTCGCCGCGATTGCTAAAGCCATGAGTTAGAATAGAGCTTTGTCATAATATTATTTCACCGTCAACAATTGATCGCGATTTCTAGAGTTTAATAAATATTCAATAATAGTTAAAACCACATGCTGTGCTCGCAAATAAGACTAAGTGAATGATTGATGTAGATGTTATGAAATCCGAGAAGTGCTAAAGAAGAATGCAGCTTTAGTTATGCTGTCTATTTACGTCAAAAATCAAAGTTAATGATAACACTAACGGTCTACAATCATAATGACGAATGTACAGCTAAAAGAATCAACTATAAACATTTATATAACTTTGGGGTCAAACTCGGAAAAGATAGGATCGTTATCATCTAATGAAAAGTTAAAATAGATTGAGTTAAAACTTTACAATGATACTAGATATAACACTTTAATACAGTATATTATACTGCGCATCTATAAATTTCATTAGCTCGACTCCTCTATATACCTTATAGTGATGGTAGAAAGAACTTTCGTTTTCCCAAGAGGCATGGCCAACTACTGCGCAAAATGATTTGGGTAGTTTAATTTCCATCAAAAGCTCTACTATTATACGTAAAGTGTATTGTCCGTGATTGAAAATGTGACTCATGAATAAAGATTCTATTTATTACTAACCAATCTCGCACGGTAGTTGTTAATTAAGGTTATTAAGCACAGCCTAATTCACCAGATGTATTTTACACTTCCCTCCTGTATTCACAGGAAAATATATTAAACAGTAAGATAATAACACTTTTAACAACTTGAATTATGACACGAATTCATTTAGAATATATATAGATATATTTTTATATATCATGCTATATACATCGTAAGGCGACATTACTTTCCTTGCAATAACAGTATCTGCTAGCGATTTTTGAATGCACATTTACTAAACTCATTCCATACAATATTACCTCGAATCTTGACGTTATCACTATGAATAAAATAACTATGTTGTTTCCAGGAAGTAACAAGTATGATCATGAAATTTCATCTCCCATTATTACTATTACTATAAGTAGCGTAGTTAAATAAGGCCAATTTCTTATTTTATCTAACTACTTAGATTGCACAGTCATTTAACGGTCTATTCATCTACCTGTAAGACTCTACTTTTCAATTTAGCTACTAATCAATAGTGTTATCATTCCTATATTATTAATATATTACCAATCAAATTAGAAATGGTCATAGGCATCAAAAAGATAAAATTACTTCAAGACAAAACTTTGTTCTACATTTACTAGTATTGAAAACGTTTTTAGTATAGTATTTCAGGTAATTTTTATTTCTATACAATAAATTAATATATACAGTGTCATAAGAACTTATTGGATCGGTATATATATATCTGTTGCAGGAGCAAAAATAATATGATTAACCAATGTATCACGATTAGCGTACTGCGAACTATAGCCTAGGTTAAATTGGCTCAATATATCACAGCGTATTCCATTAATCGGCAGATTGGTACTCATAAGCCTTTGTGAAATAGACACGATTCTTTTAAAATGATTAGATTTTGTGATCTTTCAATCTTAGACTACACGTTCTCAAAATAACTGAAAGCAAGCTTAAGTTGTTTAAAATATAAGTGTAGTATTAAACTTCCGGATATAAAAATATTAATAGCATGCCGCACCGTATAATTATGTAATGGTAATTATTAGTATATGTTGCTTGCTATAAATTTATCACATCACTTCTTTCGCCAGAGTTACCTACTCATCAGATTTAGTTTTTAGCAATCCGATAACGTACAGCGTAGCAGTATATAAGATATGGGCAATGATAAAAATCTTTGAAACTGATACAGCCATTAACTGCAAATTTCTGTTGGATTCAGATATTTCTTTATAATCTCCTTTTGCAGTGATGAATTTGTAGCAATATTTATGATGAGTAAATATCTATACAAGAATATTCTACTTTTGTTATTATCTCATATTTATGATCTAGAAAAAAGTTTACGTAGTTTATTATGACATGATTATATAGGAGTAGCATAAGGACTTTCTTACATATAAAAGATGAAATAACAACAACCCGCGAATTGATAATAATAGTAACTTAGAATTACTTTATCGATTAGACTTTATTACATAGTTATTATTTGATTACACTCCCATCTGCCAATACTATTTTCATCCGAAGTTTTAATATAAAATACTTGCATTAACTCAAAATAAACCGTATAGCTTATAATAGCCAAAGTATTACGTTTATTATGGTGCCATTTACACGCTAGATAGAATATAGTATGGCTGTAGCAGAGAACGATGGTGATAAACGATTGATACTGTTATAATCAGTAACTACTCTATAAGCAGTAATGAGCATGAATCTAAATATTGCTTATTGTTTCCTTTACTCACAGAATGGAAGCTTACGAAACGGCCTCTTGATTTCGATGGCGATTTACTCTTAGTGCGTTATTACATATAATGCAAACATCGTGCTCAAGAAGTTCATAAATGGATATTAATGTACTCAGAATGCATTTTGTAGATATCGTTTGAAACATCGAAGTTATTAAAAATGAAATTGTAGAAGAGTATTGAGTTGCATTATTAAAATTGGTAGGTCGTAGTGACTTAATGATCAAAAACGTCGATCAGCTGTCACCGCTGTGTTTACTTACAGTAACCAAACATAGATTAATTAGGAAAACTGGTATGCGAAGAATATTGCATAAAGCTTCCATAAAACTGTTAGATAAAGCTAGATTAGCATTACTTAGCAAAGATACACCTTGAAAAGAGATGGAAGCTGAATAAGTATAAAATCAGCTATGAGTGTTATAAAAAAATTGAGTGATAAAAATAAAAATAACCCTCAAGATTTTCCGATAGTCAATTTTTTACCAAGCATTGGAAGATAGGTAAAACATGGCTCATTTCCTTACAATTTAATAGATCATAAATAAATTTAAGAAATTATCGTAAATATGGTCATAGAAAATATAAAGATACGGTGAAACCAAAAAATACCATAACAGAAAAATAAGTAAGATCGTACTCGATAAAAACGGGGATTTGAAAATTAAAAGAACCCATGAAAACATTTGTATTCAAAACACCATTATTTCAAACATAAACTTTTGAAAATGGGAAAGAATGGTTATACTACTTTTCAGTTAGTTGCAAATAGGACTGATAAAACGATCTTTTTCTGGAATCATTGGAAAGACTACATCAGTATCAGCTAATCTATATTTATACAAATATGCTAGATATGGATAATTTTGATATTTCTACATTGATCAAAGATAATACTACTTAAATTATGCTTTACCAAAACGGAGTATGCTCGAGGTAAAAACTTGTAATATCGACATTAAATAGTTGATGAGAGCATGGTAACTTGAGAAAACGAGGGTTAAAACGATGAGTGATTTTGATACTTCTATTGTGAGATTTCTAAAAACGTTATTTATTTGTGAATACCAAAACTGATAAAACACATGTATACTGCATTAAATTGATTACGGAAAATAATGTATTAATTACAGATCGTAGTAAACACCATACAGTTTTTTAAATACAGCAAAGATTCGAAAAATATTACATATAACAGTAATTTCGAGCCTCTATCAGAAAAAATTAATGAGATTGCAAGTCCAATGTCAATCTCGATAGTAGCTACAATTAGTACAGATTACCCATTGCAGTAAAATAATACCATTATACACTTATTGCGCTAAAGCTAACATCTATATTACTAATTCAAGAGATTAAAAACTCGATAGACGCGAAATAAACACGATCCAATCTGATAAAGGTTATCGCATTCTATTGATCATAGATATGTAAGTATTCCAGCTGGTTATTCAGGGTAGATATTGAAAGCATTATATGTGTATAGTCAGAAAATTTACTAGCTATCAATCTAGCAACGATAGATCAACTTGAATATCATATTGCAATACCTTTAACGTTCAGCATATTAAAGAAGAGAATAATTGATTAATTTGTTGCTAGGCTGATAAATACCGCCGAACCAATAGTTAGTCGTTGCATCCTTACTTGATGTACACTCGTGTTCAACACTGTATCTATAATAATAGCCAAAATTACTCTCCGGAGGGTTAAATGTGAATTCTGATGGAAATTTCCACTTCTGACAGTAATAATAACTGCGTGAAGACATAAAGTTCACATGATAACTTGGTGCAACGTAGATTGGTACTTGGCAATTTCTGCAAGTGTGCCCACGGACGTTGAGGTAATCTACAAAATAACAACCTGGTTGAGCACTGTAAATATTTAGAATATCATATCGGCATATGGAATTTCGTATATAATCCTTATGACTCATAGGATATTTCTTGATTTTATCGAAATTGCAAGTCGCTCTCCAATGGGTAGTTCGCGGGGCTTTATAAATTGACATCATAGTAGGACGGTTCAATCGATAGGCTTTAAATTGAGGAGAACAGTCATTATACGGATAATTGTAGTAATATGGCTTATGAAAGCTGATTGATCCAGGTATCTTGGACGTATAAACACCTCTAGTGCGCGTAAATGATTCAACTAGCGTCCAGACAAAGGGTGGGTCCGATTGAAAATCGCAATACACTGGTTGAACTTTAGTTGCATCGGTATGAATTGCGTAGAAACCGTTTATTGCTGTCTTATTTTCTGTTGAATATCGAATTTCCAAACACGATTTTGGTTTTATACTCTGTAATTGTAAATAATATTCAAATTATATTAAGAAAGTAGAAGATCGGAGCTATTATCGAACAAATAAGAACATAGAGTTACTTTATTTTACTGTGATATCTGAGTTACTTCTCATGAAATTAGATATCTACTATTCATATAATTTCATATATGATATAATGATTAGAGTAACATAGTTAAGAGCGATGAATATTTTACAAATAACCAAGGGAAAGATACATGCAAAGCATTAAATCTAAATTCTATCCTTTGGATATTTCTTTATATTTCATATTGCGGTAAACGCATATGCTATACATTGTGGCTTATTATTTCATCAGATATTCTGATATTTAAGATAAATATCGAAAATGGGCTCGTTAGTAGGATATAGTTATAACACGATGTAAAATCTGATGAAGGGCAATTTAATGATCAAGAATAAGCTAGTTACATGTATACGGTGCTATTTTAAACGTTTACATTCGATGGTGAAGAAGACGACATTATTAATATAATCTACTAGGGCCACTAGTCAGCCAACTATACTAGCTACAGAGACAAACTTATTTATAATAGTGTGGTAAAAGTACTCTAAAATTAATTATTTTACGCTAGTATGAAGGATTGAAAAAAAAGTTCAGAGATAATAAAAAATGGCTATTTTATGTTATGAATTCGAAAGGTAGTACAACTTACTGTCAAAACACCTCCATGTACTTCATGCGTTAAAATTCCAACAGTAATACATAACGTTGCGAGTAGCAATGCTCCATTCATGACGTTGCATTTCATGTCGAAGAATAAGTATAAGGAAAGTTGCAGAGATCCTAAAAAATTTTATCTGCGGAGAGTCGCCGAATGCAGTTCGATCTGAATTGGTAAAAGTTTTAAGTTTATTAGCCGAAAAAGCAGCTCTGCTAGTTTATTCGTGGATAGTATATAGTCAAGAATGGTTCAATTAACGCCTTTAAGGTTAAAAAAACACAATGAAAGATAGGAGACCTTATTTTTTGACCACTATGGAGCTAAGGGGATTCGATTTTTTTGTCATCGCTATTACCAAGGGACTAGCAGTAGGGTTTTTAAGGCTAATTTACTAATGGGTCCTCTATTCTTGTGTGTCTATCAATGTATCAGCTAGCCGTCATCGTTTACGTGATAATTAAGAACAGCTAATTCCCAACGGAACTTTGGTGCATTAAATACATCAGGTTAATTCAGTTAAAGAATAAAAACTTAAAAAATTATGTTTTTTAGTTGATAATACATTAAAGGATAAGTTAATGAATACGGAGCTGCAGGTCGTTTAATGATTGACGTATCAGTCATTTTGTTTCTTACACTGCTGGGTAGTCTATACTAAATATATTAGTTCTTTCATAATTTTATAATACTGTACCATTATTTTTGATATCTTTTTCGCCGTAATGGGAACATAACTCAAAACATTTAATAATTGCATTACTGGATGTTCTGTCATCGTTCTTTCGGCCTGTAATCAAACTGACAGTCGCCTTCGATGCAATCAAACAAAAAGTTTATTAAAATTCTAAAATTTTTCATCATAAGGACTAGATAAAGCTTTAGCATTGAATTAATATTAAATTGGTTCATAATGTCAAATGTCTTGTTTTCATGACCAAATGCTATGATTAGACTAAAGTTAATTTAATATATCATGATTATCAAGCCACATACCGTTTATAAAAAAATTAGAGTCACTGGTGTTTAGTTATGGGAAGTAAGGAATAAAGTAACTCAGGGCTATTTACGGCAACGTTCGTAGTTAGCGATGATGTTGGCATTTATTAACGTAGTGATCATAAATATCATAACTAAGCCAAATCTGAATTAATAAACATTATCAAAACATTATGATTTAGCTCAGAATTGGATAAGACTATAATTTTATGTGAGTTGATATAGAATAAAGTATATGGATGTTAATTACATATTACTGCCTGCACATTCAGCTCTTAATATATCCGCATTCATTATCATTCACGAAAACATCTTTTCCTGCGGGAGCCGATCACTTACTGTACTCTACTACTTAGCAACTCAAAGTAATTTCTATTATAAGCTCTGCTGTTACGTAAAATTTAATGCCTATGATATTAGGAAGGTGACTAATACATTGAAACTATTTTATTATGGCTCCTAGAGCAGGGTTAGAATCAGTGCGTCTATTCTTTGTTAATCTATTACTGGCAATAGATGGACAAAACACAATGATACTATACTTTAATCTCTTACACTATAAAAATATTATTTCTCATTTAAACCGAATAAAGAATGAATAAGTGAGATTTAATTGTATTTCTATATAATTCTCCAGTTATTATTCTTTATGTGGAGCTATTGTGTAAATTGTAAACTTTCGCTGTGTAAGCTTAATTTTCATACACGATCATGTATACGAGTACTGATTCCAGTTGTGCTATCAAATTAAGCGGAATACTCTGTTGCTTAAATTATGTGACAGAAATATCTTCATAATAAAAACAGATTTATCAAACCTATTACATTTTACTGTACGTAATATTAATTCTAACGTTAATACTTTGAAAAATGCAAAATTTAAATCATATAAAATTCTATATAAATCTCATAGTACTTGAGCAACAGGTTTAAAACCATTATAGGGTTCTAAATCATTATTTAATGTACTAATATGTGATACCCATTGCCACTAGACTGATTCTTATTCTCTAAAATTGACTGTATACTATCTTGCTCACAGCCGATTTAACGAAAGAAAAATATGATATCGCAAATAGTATTGCCGTAAGCTAGTGTACACATTATAACACTGAAATAAAAACTTACTTCAGTATGATAATATTGTTCTAACAGATTTCTAAAATAGAAATGCTAGTCTAAGAAAATCGTGAAGTTAAATTTGATGCCATTCACTAGCCATAGCAATGAAGTAATTAGCTATATGTATGTATCATATTATAATTGTTTGGATCTGGTTTACCATTCTACATCCAAATTGAGAAACTGACGTGATTTGCTTGGCCATAATTTTATAATCTATTAAGAATTTAAAATGTGCTGCTTAACTGTAAATGCATTCAATTTCAGTGGCAAAATATAAGGATCATTTTATTTCGTATTTGAGTCCTTACAAATTTACATTCAAGATATGTAGTTCAGTAACAAAGATACGAAGAAATTTGGAATCACTTGAAATAAGAAGATTAGAACCAAATTAAAGTATTTCTTTATGAAATTCGTATACTACCTCTATTATCAATAAAACACCATAAAAGTTAAAAACAGAATCGACGTTGATGCAACATTTACGGCAAATATTCTTGTTCCAGCTGCATGTCGATATAGAACCGTACATTGTCAGTTAATCAATAAATGAAGTATAAAAGACTAAAGTTAATTCATATAAACTAGGCTCCCCAGGCGAAATATTACCACTAGAAATGCGTTATTCAATATTGCAATAAGTAAAAGTCAATAACAGAAATATCAAGGGTTATTTCCATGATGAAAAGTCGAGATAGATAAGAAGTACTGTATTTATTTCTTAACGTTTTGTTGCAAATCTTGAGCATTATAAACGCCACCAAGCCACCAATTAGTTGTCGATTCTGGTGTTGCTGTACAACGAAATTTCTCGTTGTAGTTGACGTATGTACCCCAGTTATACTCATTTTTTACAGTATGGCCAAAGCGTATTCTACCACAACGATTTGGAGATTGGCTAGATATAAGACTTAAATGTGTCGAACCGCTAGCGTAAAATGGCATAGAGCAGTGACTGCAAGAATGTCCATGAATATTCATATAGTCTGCATAGTAACAACTACCGCCAGAGGAACCTAGAGTCATAATGTTAAGCGAACACATACTTCCCCTTACATAATCTCGATGCGACATTTTTTTATCTATGCCCATGGCATAAAGATCAAAATTACAAGTTGCTCTCCAATGTGTTGTTGTTTGTGATCCATAGATTAGCCTCCTAGCAGCTAAAGAAGTACGGTAGGCTTGAAAATTATCTGGGCGACATTCACTATAAGCATAATCAGTGGTAAATGGTCGTTGAAAATGATAGTGGCCTTTCTCTTCCGATCGATACATACCCATTTTGCGTGAGAATGATTCTATTAAAGTCCAGACGTATGGCTTTTCGGAATTAAAATCGCAGTAAACTGTATGAAGTGCTTCTTCTTTATCATAAATTGTGTAATAACCATTCAAGTGAACTTTAGGGCGAAGTTGTTTGATATCTAAGCATGATTCTGGACGATATAATGTCGTTGTTATTACTTCAATACTTGCCAATGAATAGGGCAGAAGCGATACCAATAACATGACAGCAAAAAGCTGCACAGACAACTTCATGATGGCAGTTGCGACTCTTGGAATATTTTAAAGCAAAAAGATAACAATGCGTAAAATGTGAACAGAAGCAGTTATAAGTATGCCTGTATTTAGCTCAAGACAATCTATGCAGTATCGTCTAAATTCTTCGGTAAACTGATGGAAAGTAGTGCGTTGTACCCACGTATGCTGGACTGAAATAATAATATGTTATAGAAACAATAGATAGAAAAGTCCAATAATGCTCAGCATGAGTACCATTCATATCGTTCACTTAGATACATATAGGATAGAACATATGGTATATTATAAGTTTACTGACAGGAGTGTAGAAATAATGAGGGTAATAAATAGTTTTCGGTGATTCATCTATTACGGTGTAGAATTCAACATACAAGCAGGTGATAGGATTCACGCAATCGATCTTATTCAAAGTACTGCATATTCACGAATCTCTAGACTACTCATACGTTAAAAAAGCATTTAAGATTTTAGAGTTGCACTCATTTCACCTATAAAAAGTCCTTATCAATTAAATTTTTTGATTAATAAATATTTTAATTAATGTTGGGTTTCGGTAATATGCCCATATGATTTAAAAAGTTGCTTAGAAGGAGAAGACTATAAATATATTTATTCTTAACTCATATTTTGAATTACATACGTGCTTAATAATATAATATGCTAAAATTATTTGTCAAACTTGTAGAGGTTAGTACACACTTATGTGTGTTTATATGAGTTAGGGCTATTAGAGATAGCATTAAGGAGTTAAATTGCGGATACAGTGCTATATTGTATATTTGTAAATAATCAACGCGCAGCATTTGATGAAATTTTACAAGTTTCGATAAAAGTAATCAAGGGTAACTTACTGGAAGAGTGGCAAGATATATTATGTACTGTAGACATATCTTATTCTCATTTAGCTCGAGCAAGATGATAACAAAAACATAAACTGCCATTTTTATGCTTGCATGACGTATGAGTAAGTATGTAATGCTTGTGATATAAAGAAAGTTTAAGATATAGGAACTACGGACCAGGTTACTTTCGGCATTAATATCAGCACTTGTAGCAAGCTTTTAACCCTTTGCTGAGCGTTATAGGTTGATATCCGGTCAAAGAGAAAAAAACTATGTATGGATGATTCTTCATATTTTAATGGGCTTCAGAGCGTTTCTGTAACCGTATTCAACTTTGATTTCAAGTTATCAAATACTTCATATTGTGATCAGTGCTATGGATAGTTATTTTGTACTATACGTAATATATACTCATTTGTACTGCAAATATGTTACTATTCTTCAATAGTCAGTAACTTCATTAATAAATGAAACATAAAATCAGACTTCAATCGGGAATAACGCCTGTATTTGGTTCTTTAGCGGCAAAATCGATATAGGAATGTAAAATTTGATATGAAGACCTAATGATCTACAAAAGCATTCTTTTCGTAGCTCATCGATGAAATAAAATCTTCTAAAGTTTGATAAAGAATTACTTTTATTCTTTAATCATAAAATTAACATAGATGAAATAATTAATAACGTTATCTGAAACCCTAGCCAAATGACCATTAGTAGTGTTACCGATAGTTTATAAAATACAAGCCCATTCCTATCACTAAAGACTGCAATGTAAATCCGTGCAATTTACAATTAACTGATTTCAATAATTAATGATTTACTTTACCGAAAATCTCTTAAAGAAGGGAGTACATGATTGCTAATGAATATAAGTATCTGCATTGTTAATATTCAGTTTCTTTTTATGATATTCCCTTCTAAATTAAATGAATTCTAGGGCACTTAGATTTTGAAACACAGTGAAAAAAACTACGATATATGTGAAACAGAGGCTGTTAATTCTAATCTACCTCGATATTATAATTATCAGTACGGGCTTATATCTGCTTAGTTGAAGTATCTACAATGTACTAGATTTGTACTCGGCATAGAATGCTACGGGTATAACATAAGCTACGTTAAGATAATTAATGAGAACCGATTTTATATTATCAAAAAATCAACGACATAGTGGCACTGAGACAAATTGTGATCAAACAAGATTATGATAAAGGTACACAATTTATCCTTGAAAATTTTTTATGCTTTCTTAACACTCTGCATCGAATCCAATGCATCATAGATTCCTCCAAACCACCAGTTCGTAGTTGAATGTTCGGTTGCTAAGCATGAAAATTTTTCGTGGATTATATTATAGAAGCCCCAATTATATGCCTGAGCTTCAAATGGGCCAAAATTCATTTTACTGCAACGAGTAGGGGAGATACTAGACATGATACCAGGATGCATGCCGTTATTACTATAAAATGGTACGGTACATTTTTCGCATGCATGGCCACCAATATTGATGTAATCCATTTCATAGCAACCACCACCAGAACTATAAAATGTAGACATATCAAGACGGCATAAATGTGCTCTCACATAATCTCGATGACCGAAAGTACTGACTTTGCCCATAGCATACTGATCAAAATTACAAGTTGCTCTCCAATGTGTAGTCGTCTGAGAGTGCCTAATTAACTGCATAACAGCTTTAGATGCACGATAAGCTTGAAATTGATCAGGGCGACATTCGTTATAGGGATAATTGATAGTAAAAGGCCTTTGGAAATGTAAACGATATTTTACATTACTATATCTTTTTCCTGCCTTACGCGAGAAGGATTCAATTAAAGTCCAAACGAAAGGTTTATCCGAATTGAAGTCGCAATAAACTGTATGCAGCCCATTTTCTTTGTCGAAGATTGTGTAAAAGCCATTTCTGGTAACATTTGGGCGATAGTATTTGATATCTAAACATGATGTGGGATCATATTTTATGATGATAGTCGTTTGGGTAGGGACTGACGATGAAAAAGGTAAGCATGCCAGCAAAAGTAGACATATAAGGCCACTTAACAACTTCATGTTGGTAATTCGTGTTCTTCTGTTATTTACTACAAAAATAAGAAATAATTTCAGCCAGAAATTAAAACGATATTAGCTATAACTAACGCAGTATTATGTGCTATTACCTAGTAAAGCCAACACTAATGAACAGAGCCAGTCTTAAGAATAATGAGGGGGTTGATTCACATAAAATAATGCTTAGGGAAGTTACGAATTCATAAATAGATCAACTCTCAGCATGCTCAAGTCAGAAAACAATCGTAGAATGATTAATGATTTTGAGAAAAAGCAACGTTCTGTACTTTGTTTTTACAAAGAATAGCAGTAATTACAATCCAGCCTAAATGCCTTTTCAATATTATGCTTAACCAACGACGCAGCTGTGCAGCTATGATAATGTCTCCACTTACAAGGCTTAACCAACCCGGATTTCTATTAAAAAGCATCCTACCGTCTATCATGAGCTCGAAAGATAGAATGAAGAAAGAATACTTATTTGTTGATCGGTTGGTATTCCCAAGGCACAAAATCCCATGGGCTCATAAATTTCGCTAGCGACCCGCTGACGTAACCGGCTATTCACTTTTCAATTAGCGATATACAACGTGAGGTGTTATTAATTATTTTTTTGTAACTTTTTATCCTGTAACTTTAACTAATGCAGCTCTAATGGAAAAATTCTAAATAGTAAACGCACAGTACAATTGATAATCCACTTTATAGCAATGTAAATAACAATGACTCTAACACCTATCCTTTACTAATAGATGTAAAGCAGGAGTAAAACTAAGTCTATTTGCAGTCAGCGATGACATTAAGCAGAGCTGTTGTCTGCAGCTACTGAAAATAATCTTATATACTTTTATTAATTTATGATCGCATTTGATATATGTTTAATAGAAGCAAATGATACTCTATGCTTTCCCGTAATTTGATACAAACTAAAGACGCGACTGCTCAATAATGCATAGTTGCAATCATTATAATGATAAACATCATGACAAAATTATCACTTCTAAATTGAAGGTTTATTGGGGTAGTTGCAATATTACTTATACAGTCTTCATAATTGTGTCTTTAATTTAATAACATTTTGTTGAGAATGTCTTAGCCATTCTTCAAGTTACAACCAATATACTTGAAGTAAGAGCTGGAAAATTACCTGAAATGATTATAGTACTACGCGCCTATAATTGTGCAGTACATACAAGCTTGATACTTTATCGATACACGGTGGTTGTTAATGCAGTAGCCAGTACCAGCATGAGTTCTATCCTTAACTTAAGTGTATCTGTTTAATGAGACAGAAGTTACCGTACTAGAATGAATGAATTTATTAAATCGCATATAACTTTATCATCAGGGATATGGAAATTATTTTTGATCCTTTATTTTTAATATCAATCAGTCTATTGCAAACAGTAAATTACGTTTTTGTTTCATATTTGAATTTAAATAAGTTCCAGTAACTAAAATAGAGTAGATATACTGCTATTATGTACATTATGGCAAGTTCGTCCAAATTATTTGAAAATTTACCTAGGTGAATTACTTCTTAATGATAAGAATCATAAATTATGATGAACACTCTTTAGTTCTAGCGCATTAAAGAGTAGCATCAAAAGAAATAGTTATCGATATTCTGTCAATGAGCAATTGCAAGAAGATATCAAATCGTATAGAGGCCGTTTTTGTTAATATTACGATTTAGCAGTTTAATATCCAAGCACATTCTAGCAAAGTAGCCATCGGCGGTCACACTCAAAGATTGTAAGAGGGCGATAGCCGCTACAAAATAAAGGAAAGACGACGCCATGTCTGTTGCTGTTGTCAAAGACTCGTAAACTCGAACGCTTGGAATCTTTCTACACTTTTAAATAATTGCAGTATGCAGGAAAAGCGAAAACCCGTATGGGTAACAGAAATATTATGACGATATTAACAATTAGAAACGCTAAACTAATATTAGTTCTTAAAATTCTACTACAGGGTATAAAGTTAATTGTTGAAAGTCAGATCTCTTGGGAGATCGAGTAGATCAATTGCGTTGATGCTGCTACAATGGCTAACTATTAGCATAAACATTAAGCCTAATGGTTTCATTAATCTTTACATATATTCTATAGAAGATTAGTTATTGAAGCTTTTACTCTGTAAGACATTTTTTTTTTATTTCATAAACATCAAAGGCTAATATACAAGTGTTTAGATTCATGAAGAATGACTAATTTTATACAATCTTTATAGCTAGTACCGTACTAAAGCAATACTGTCGTTGGTCTTAATATGAGAACAAAACTGGGTCCTTTCGCGAGATCTCATATCGATTGTTTGCGTATGCAAAGCTTTCAAAACAGTTTTAATCATGTCATACAGCGAAAGTATGTAGTACGTACAAGAACTTTATAAGACTGCAAGAATTTTACTTATATTTGTGGGTACATTAGCCAGTTGCTTACGGAAGCTATTACATTCGTAATTTTAATAGGTTTAATTGGAATGAGCGCGTTTCTACAAGAGTATGTTACCGTAACTTTAATATTCTATGGGATGTTGTCACTCAGTTATCTCAATTTACTATGATGAAACTAAAGAAAGCTGTAATGGCATTAAATGCAATACGTTCCTAGACTACTGAAGTCGCAATTCCGAAAAATGAGTTTATTATATCACAAATACGGTAGCATATCAGCAAAGAAAGTAGACATTATCTCGACCTTATTATGAGTATCAACTAGATGACGTTAGTTTCAAAAGTATAAATGAGGGTACATTGCTATATTTCTAAAACATGAATTTAAGTGAGACAGACTTATACAGATAGTTGCTGTATTAAAATAGATCCATGCATATTATTATCATTGGTTCTGTTAACGCATTAGAGGTTTTCGCCGAGAGAAAATAATATATGGTATTAACGAGTAACTGCTAAAGGATACTGGCAAATCGTATGAGTATAACTCGTTTACATTTAATTTACCACTGCTAATGTTAAAATATAACAATTTGTGACTCACTTGATATTATATAGTATTATAAAATTACCTAATATAACCCATTTAAAATCTAAAATCGCTATTTGTCTAACTTGATACAGTCAAATTATTTTATAGAAAGAAATTAGTTAAATCGGCTTGATGTTAGTAAAACGATTGGTAGTAACGTAAATATCGCCAAACCACCAATTTGTTGTCGATTCACCATATCTTGTACAACCAAAATCCCTATTATAACCATTGTAAGTACCAAAGTTATACTCTTGAGGCGATCCAGCAGCTCCAGGAAACTTAATACGGCCACAGTAGTTTTGTGTTAGAGAAGAAATAGTGCTGGCATGAGTAGAAGTCGAAAACCACATAGGCACTAAGCATTTACGGCATGCAGTTCCGCGAATATTTATATAATTCATCCAAATACACGGTTTACCGGAATAGTAAGTCATCATATTTAAACGGCATTTTCTTGCCCTCATATAATCAGTATGATTAAAGACGAATGAGAGTTCTTTAGCTTGTAGATCGAAATTACAAGTAGCTCGCCAATAATTGGTTGTTCTAGCATTCCAGATAGACATCATATACCTCTTGGATAAGCGATAATTTTGCCATTGATCTGGACGACATTGACTATAAGGCATATTATAGTAGAAAGGTTTTTGAAAGTTGGCATGTCCAGGTAGAGTAGATCTATACGTACCCATATCACGAGAAAACGATTCAACTAATGTCCATACGTAAGGTGGTTCGGAATTAAAATCGCAATAAACAGTAAATGCTTCGTTTTTGTCGGTATGGATAACATAGTGGCCGTTTTTGTTAATATTACGATTTAGCAGTTTAATATCCAAGCACGTTCTAGCAAAGTAGCCATCGGCGGTTACACTCGAAGATTGTAAGAGAGCGATAGCCGCTACAAAATATAGGAAAGACGACGCCATATCTGTTGCTGTTGTCAAAGACTCGTAAACTCGAACGCCTAGAATCTTTCTACGCTTTTAATTAATTGCAATACAGAGAACTGAAGTAGAATATGCGTATGGGTAACAGAAATATTATGACGATGTTAACAATTAGAAACGTTAAACTAATATTAGTTCTTAAAATTCTACTACAGGGTATAAAGTTAATTGTTGAAAGTCAGATCTCTTGGGAGATCGAGTAGATCAATTGCGCTGAGGCTGCTACAATGGCCTAACAATTTACATAAACATTAAGCCTAATGGTTTCATTGATCTTTGTATATATTCTATTGAAGATTAGTTATTAAAAGCTTTTGCTTTGTAAGACATTTTGTTTTTATTTCATAAACATCAAAGGCTAATATACAAGTGTTTAGGTTCATGAAGAGTGACTAATTTTTTACTGTATTTATGGGTAGCCCTGTAGTAAAGCAATACTGTTCTTGCCTTAAAATATACTGGAACAAAACCGGATCTTTGTCGGGATCTCATATTGATTGTATGTAAAGCCTTCTGTACTGTTTCAGTCATGTCATACAGTGAAAGTATGCATCGCTCATACGTGTTTATAAGACTGTAAGAATTTATTTATACTTATGAGTATATTTATCAATTGCTGACAGAGCCTGTAAAAATTCTACATAGTATATCATTAATATAATTTGATACTATTGCACTTGCAATTTCGCTAGGTTTAATTGAAATGAGTGCATTCCTACAAGAAAATGTTACTGTAACCTTGATATTCTATAAGATGTTATCACTGAATTATATCAATTTACTATGATAGAGGCAAAGAAAACTGCAATGGCATCATGCAATATATTCTATGAATAATGATGCCGCTTTCCCAAAAGAATAAATTTATTGTATCACAAATACAGTAGCATATCAATATAGATGATAGACAGTATTTCGACCTTTTTATGAGTATCAACTAGATAGTTTTAAAAGCGCAAATCAGGGTATACTGTTTTATTTCCAAAATATGAATTTAAGTGCGACAGACTTATACAGATAGTTGCCATGCTGAAATAGATACATATATATTATCATCGGTTATTCATATAGCGGAGTATTATTATGATCAGCAAATCTAAACTTAAAAAAACCTACACAGGTGAAATATCTTTTTATATTAAGAACTATAAATTATGATCAGTACTGTACTGTTAACGCATTAGAGGTTTTCGCCGAGAGAAAATAATATATGGTATTAACGAGTAACTGCTAAAGGATACCGGCAAATCGTATGAGTATAACTCGTTTACATTTAATTTACCACTGCTAATGTTAAAATATAACAATTTATGACTCACTTGATATTATATAGTATTATAAAATTACCTAATATAACCCATTTAAAATCTAAAATCGCTATTTGTCTAACTTGATACAGTCAAATTATTTTATAGAAAGAAATTAGTTAAATCGGCTTGATGTTAGTAAAACGATTGGTAGTAACGTAAATATCGCCAAACCACCAATTTGTTGTCGATTCACCATATCTTGTACAACCAAAATCCCTATTATAACCATTGTAAGTACCAAAGTTATACTCTTGAGGCGATCCAGCAGCTCCAGGAAACTTAATACGGCCACAGTAGTTTTGTGTTAGAGAAGAAATAGTGCTGGCATGAGTAGAAGTCGAAAACCACATAGGCACTAAGCATTTACGGCATGCAGTTCCGCGAATATTTATATAATTCATCCAAATACACGGTTTACCGGAATAGTAAGTCATCATATTTAAACGGCATTTTCTTGCCCTCATATAATCAGTATGATTAAAGACGAATGAGAGTTCTTTAGCTTGTAGATCGAAATTACAAGTAGCTCGCCAATAGTTGGTTGTTCTAGCATTCCAGATAGACATCATATACCTCTTGGATAAGCGATAATTTTGCCATTGATCTGGACGACATTGACTATAAGGCATATTATAGTAGAAAGGTTTTTGAAAGTTGGCATGTCCAGGTAGAGTAGATCTATACGTACCCATATCACGAGAAAACGATTCAACTAATGTCCATACGTAAGGTGGTTCGGAATTAAAATCGCAATAAACAGTAAATGCTTCGTTTTTGTCGGTATGGATAACATAGTGGCCGTTTTTGTTAATATTACGATTTAGCAGTTTAATATCCAAGCACGTTCTAGCAAAGTAGCCATCGGCGGTTACACTCGAAGATTGTAAGAGAGCGATAGCCGCTACAAAATATAGGAAAGACGACGCCATATCTGTTGCTGTTGTCAAAGACTCGTAAACTCGAACGCCTAGAATCTTTCTACGCTTTTAATTAATTGCAATACAGAGAACTGAAGTAGAATATGCGTATGGGTAACAGAAATATTATGACGATGTTAACAATTAGAAACGTTAAATTAATATTAGATTTTAAAATTATATTATTAGGCATAAAGTTAATTGTTGAAAGTCAGATCTCTTGGGAGATCGAGTAGATCAATTGCGCTGATATAATTACAATGCATAATGGCCTATGACTATTTAAACAAACGTCAGGCTTAATTAGTCCATTGGTCTCGTCATATATCCCATTGAAGATTAGTTATTACAGGCTTTTATTTTGTGAAACGTCTTGCTGTTTGTCATAAATTTCGAAGACTAATGCACATCTTTTTAGATTTACGAAGAATGACTAATTCTATGCCGTTCTTATAGACGTTACTGAAACAGATACTGTCATTGTTAATATCACAAGAACACACTTTTAGACTTTACCGCTAACGAGATCTTTTGCATAAGCCAAGGATTACTAGTATGTCCTAGTATAGGCTACATGGCAATGTTTTCATATCAGCTCTAGTGCTGTCTATGTCCGACAAATCAGAGGGAATGCATGATGATTTCATGGCTTAATGTGCAATAAATAAGTAACAAGGCGCAGAGAAGTACATGGGATCGCTTCATAAATATAACAGAAAGACAAATGTTGAATTTACGGTCGGCCAATGACTGTATGTAGGTGGAAAAGTATTTTAAGGTGCATGTTTACTGTAGTATTGATGGAGTGGATTGGCAAAGTGTTGTCAAATTCATAATAGCAGCCGCATCATTGAGGTAAAAATAGCATTACGAGCGATGTCCTCAAATGTCAAGAGTTATTTTATGTTTGTGTTAATAGGTTGCTCTATTGATGCACTAGATTAATGAATTTAATTCAGTGGAGTAATACAACAGTCATTTATTGAGATTTGAGATATAGACTTCGGATGCGACTACTCGATAATAATTGCTAGTACAGTGCTAGGATGTTATACATATCAATAATCCGAGAGAGTCATTACGTAGTTTAAAATAGTGCAAGTATAATCTTTAGAGTTACGTTTCTGATTCGAAAAAATTCAGGAGTAGCCTAGTTATTCATCTTGCGATGAAAGTACATGGATTAGTAATATGGTAACTTTGCTGTAACTGATGCACTAACTTATTTTATCATGCACTGTAAACTTACAGTAAGTACTACTTTGCTTAAAATGTTTTACTTTCAAGCACCGAATGACCCATAACGTGCCTGATATATCACAACTGATAAACACTTTTCCTATACTTTAATCCTATACAAAATTTTAATACCAGCATTAATATTGGACATTACATTAAAAAAAATTACATCATTTACCACGATAAATGTCTAGAAAGCAATGGACCTTTAAAAATAAATTTCATAGGTGACGAGGAAGAATCTACTACATTTATGACAGGAAAAATAAATGTCTTTGCAATATCATATCTTCCAATATTTCCATAATGTAGCTTTAAAATAAAACCTGTACATTTACTCATTATATTAAGATAGCTATACATGGCTATTGTTGTTATCGATTATTTTTAATTATAATCAGTTAATTTACATTAACGATACTTTAGTTGAAGTAGCTGAATATTTTAAATTAATACTAAGAATCGTAAGATATAACTTGTTTACCTAATGCAGTCGAAACTATGGCGGGAGAAAATAATTACAGATTTAAGTAATAGCAAATTTAGACCTTCAAATAATATAAGTAAAGATAATTCGTAATCAATTTTACTGCTAGGATTAAAAATTTAGATATCTGTTACTTAATTAGTTTATACGAGTGCTAAATGCTATATGACTGTTTAACGGAGCCAAACTTAAAATGGGTATTTTTAAGACTGGATAAATTCAGCTTGCTTTGTAGATAGAAATCATTTAACGTTAGCAAAATGATTAGTGGGAATATAAATATCACCGAACGACCAATTTGTTGACGATTCACCTGACCTTGTACAACTAAATTCTCTGTTATAACCATTATACATACCAAAGTTATACTCATAAGGGGATCCGGCGGCATTAGGGAATTTGACATGTCCGCAATAGTTTTGTGTCAATGAAGAAATAACACTGGGATGATTAGTAGTAGCAAACCACATAGGTATTTGACATCTACGACATGCAGTACCGCGAATATTTATGTAGTCCATCTGAACGCATGGTCTACCGGAATAATAAGTCAACATATTTATAATGGTCACTGTGATCTCATGTAATCCGTGTGATTGAAGACAAATGAAAGTTCTTTGGCAAATTGATCGAAATTACAAGTAGCTCGCCAATACTTGGTTGTCCTAGCATTCCAGATAGACATCATATACCTCTTAGACAAACGATAATGTTGCCATTGATCTGGACGACATTGACTATAAGGCATATTATAGTAGAAAGGTCTTTGAAAATTAACATGCCCAGGCAAAGTTGATCTGTATGTACTCATATCACGAGAAAACGATTCAATTAATGTCCATACAAATGGCGGTTCGGAATTAAAATCGCAATAAACAGTAAATGCTTCGTTTTTTGTCGGTATGGATAACATAGTGGCCATTTTTGTTAATATTATGATTTAGTAGTTTAATATCCAAGCACGTTCTAGCAAAGTAGCCATCGGCGGTTACACTCGAAGATTGTAAGAGAGCGATAGCCGCCACAAAATACAGGAAAGATGAAACCATATCTGTAGATAAATTTAAGCACGAAAGAATCTTTCTTCCTCTTTTGGATAATTATAGTATACGGTATATAGACATATAGAAAGCTGTAATAAAAAAATGCGTATGGGTAATAGAGATCCTGCGTTATCAATATGAGACAGTATACTATGCTACAGAAGTATTCTATAGAACCTTAAAACTTTACTACGCGTATAAAATTTCTTTGATTAGAACTTAAATAACTTGAGAGATTGAGCAGTTCAATGACGCTGATGCTAGTTACAATTGACCATGATTATTTGTATTGAAAGTTATTTTATGCTGGCTTATATTTATGTAACACTTCTTTTTATATCGTAAACATTGAAAACTAACATATATTTAATTGGGTAATTAAAATTATAATATAGGACTAGAGAGAATACGCCATTTTAATAATAGATCTGTTCTAGTTACGATATCACAGATCAAAAGTAACTTTTTTTGAACATGTTCTAGGAATTAGTTGCTATACATATGTCAAAATACGAGTCAAATAGCCACATTCTCTATGATCATTAGTTATTATTATAATCCACCTTTATGACTAAATATTTTACTATAGAGGTACATGTAGAAATTTTGGAACTAAGAAACTTCCCTGATGAGTAAATTTATTAGCGTTAGTAGGATTGTGAACTTTTATGTATTATTAACTTAGGCTTACGATAACGTAAATTAAAGGATCAAAATATAAAAAGACTTAGATCTAGGCTGTGCTATTGCATGCATATAAATTTATCTAAAGTTAAACCTGGCACATCCGCGTAAGTTTAAATATATATGTAGTGAACACCTTTACCCTTTTTAAAATCTAGCAGCAGAAACTGATGAATTTTGCAAGAAACGAGAGCAATGTAATCACGTTCCATTTATTATTAAACTGTTGATTACTAGTGCTAAGATGATTCTATTTCGACATTAGTAAGAAATTTTTCTCTTTAACAAAAGGGTTATTTTTCCTTGTTTGCTTGAGTAAAAGTTAATAAAATTAATGGACAATACTATTGATGAACTTAATAGCTTCTATCTTAGCATAATTCTTTTGCTTGTTGCCTGTGATTGTTCTTATGAGCTAAATATACCATAAATCCATTAGGTGATAAAGAACTTATAGCATTGAAGAATAGTTTCTATTTGTCTAAAGTTAGCAATTCTCAAGAGGTAACCAGCTAGACACTATTCACTAGCTCTAGGGCCATAAAAGAATAATTTATTGCAGTTTTTAATGCAACTCCCATTAATGCTAATACGAACTTCCTGTTTAATTGCTTTATGTGAAACGTGACTAAAATTTATACCACTAGTACAAAGTCGATAATTAATTTATTGTTAAAAACTCTTGACGCTATGACTCATGGTGTTCAGATGTCGTGTGGATAACGTTGGCACAAATGACCAGATGGGTTGAACCATTTTACGCCAAGAATGTCAAATTTGGATAATTAAAAAAGGTCATTCTTTGCCATTGAAGATAATGTTTGTTTCATGTTAGCAAGCTGAAATTAGATTCATAATGGCGTAAGATGCATTAAGCAACTTTTTGACTTTTTCATGGTTATTCATAATGAATATAGTTGAAAAAAGATTATTTGCCATTTTAGATTAATTCATAATAATATTAACATCACTTTAGATTAGACTGATTTTAGCCCTAAACATCAACTTTCGATAATGCTTTAATATCGAAAACTTAGATATGACTGAGATATGCTATAGTAAAAGGAATTATTAAATAGGAATAAACTAAATTGATATAAGAAATGTTTGCCGGTCCCATTTAAGAATACTACAGTATAATATATTCATTATAATTCTATATTTTGTTAAATTCTGTATAAGCTTAAGGCTTTTAATAGATTAACAAAGATAAATAATAGATTAAATAATAGGTTTATGAATTAGTTCCTTTGCAATTTATTTTATAATTGCTAATGTTATCTACCATTATGAGTTTTCGACCTTGAAGCGATTTTATAATATAATATAAGACGGTATATCTGCTGCTACAGTACCACGGAAGTATAGCTTAATAACGAAAATGATATAGTTGATACAAGTGGCACTTCTTTTTTGCCTCTGGATCCTATGGTCAAGTGGCAAATTATTAGATAATTTTTTAACATACTACACTAGAAGAAAATTATATTCAATTGGTGTAGTAGCACTATAATAACTTTACCATGACAGTTAGAGTACTTAAATCATTTTCACAGATCTAACTGAACTACAGTACACCGTACTTGTATCTGATCTAGTCCAGTTATGGTTTGAATAATACTAAGTCCATCTACAGAATTACAGTATTTTACTAATTTGATAACGAGGTATTAGGAAAGATGGTAATTATGAGAAAGTTTAATTATGTAAAACAAGTTATCTTTCAGCGATAAATGATAACTAAAAGTATGGCAACTTAGCAACAGCTAGATATCCTACTGATTGATACAGATAATAGTGCACGCTTGAAATATATTAAAAGCGTTTGATTACAGATGACGCATTAAAGAAAATTAAAGAATTTACTTGGCTGGTTAAAGGGATTAATTCTTATTTTGAAAATGACTCCATCTCTACAATATAAAGCTCGATAATAACGCTTGTCCAATTCAATAAAATAAGCAATCTGACCAAAAAGGCAATTACTGGAATATATAGTAAAGTCAGAGTTGAATAATGAAGTTTTATTAGATTTCAATGTATCTATACGTTAAACTTCTTATTAAATGATATTAAAAGAAAATTAAATTATTACCCAGCATTATTATATCGATTTATTCAATCATTTAAATTGCTTAATTTAACATTTATTACAGCCTCACGTTTTAAAAAATATACATTTTGTAAAGAAATGATACGGTAAAAATGAGATAATTTCTTTAATTTTACTTGTAATATACTATCTTAGATTCGAAGATAAATGTTCGAACCGCCATGGTTTTATTCATAAATACAATATAATCTTATCAGGTAATTAGTACGGTTTATTATACTGTAGATACTGTGTTAATAATCTCGATTTGATAATTATAACATAGTATTAGTTAGAGACTGATAAAGACCTCCTAACCACCAATTAGCAGTCGATGATCCAAATGAAGAACATGCGTGCTTGGTGCTATAACCTTTATAATGACCAAAGTCTGATTCTTGATGTGATGGACTGGAATCTGGAAATTTATAGCGCCCACAGTAATTAACCGAATGAGATGCTAAAAATGTTGGATGATAATTAGTACTTGCCCAAAATGGGAGATAGCATTTGACACAAGCATAGCCTCGAACGATCACATAATTGAAATTTCGGCAATAGTATTGACGAATAAGGACTATATTGGCATTGACCATATTGTTACGCATATAATCATTACGTTCGATATCTTTCGTTATATTCTGAGCGTAGTCATTAAAATTGCACGTTGTTCTCCAGTGACTTGTAGTGTTAAGTTTGCTAATAGTTAGCATATTTGGCGCTGTCATTCTATAAACTGACCAATGTGGAGGTTCAGTATCATCATAGGGAGCATTGATATAATACGGACGTTGGGAACGCCAAGCGTTCGACACCTTGGAGCCCCAAACTCCAATATTGCGATCAAATGATTCAATGAGTGTCCATACAAATAGAGCATCACTTTTAAAATCGCAATAAACATGATAAGGGGAATTTCTTTCGTTAAATATAGTATAAACGCCATTTTCTTTGATTGATGGTCTGATATATTTGATCTCTAAGCAACTTTTGGGTTTTAATCCGTTATAAAGCTGCAGGATAAACCAGCATCGAGAAAGAAGAGTGAGGAAGAAATATTTATAGCAAAAATAATTTGGAATTATAATAAATAGAAAAATTAGCTATTCTGTAGTCTAATGTTATCTTTTGTGATTTATGATGTTAATGTACAGAACAATATATTTTGTAGCTGGGGTAGAAAATTTCAATCCAATTTCTTCGTATACGCAGCTACAAAACTGTGTCGTTTATGTTCTAGTATTTGCTCTACAATTACTAACTACCATTTATAGTAACTACAGTATCTCTAGCAATATATTAATCACCTTATGAAATCAGTAATAATGGAATTAGGGGAAGGAAACAATGAAGTTTACCTTGATCATTCTATTTTAACGACTCATTGCAATTATTATATTAAGTATATAATATTTACGGGATGCACAGTATATTATACAATAATTATTATATTAGATTGCAAACATAAAATGGTAACTTAAATCTCATGTTAATTATTAGTATTCAGTAATTGCATCAATAAACGAATATACTGTAGTCCGTATAAGACTAATTAAAAAGTTTAAATGACCTACTTTATATCAATGTCTACAGCTTGAAAATAAAAGTTATTAACCATTCTATTCAAGAAGTCACTCTTTCCAGGAACCGCAGGGATAATGACAAAGATTAGTGCTAGGGCTACTAAACTTTTCATGTTTCTTGATCGTTAGTGAAAGATATCGATATGCAGCACAAATATATAAGATTAGATGATAACCCGCTATCTAGCAAATATCAATAAGCAAAAACATTAAATGAAGGTGAAGAATTACGGAAGGAACAATTTATTCGCATATTTCATAGGAGTTCGGTAACAAGTTGGACTGAATCATATATGCCTTCGTATGGGTGTATTAATATTTTTCATAAATAGAACATTCCATTATTATATAGACTAAGGGACATGGTAATACAGAACCAACTAATTTTAACGTATTATTTTACTTCGCGATGCATTAGAGGTGACAGTAAACAAGAATAATTTACTCCGTATGCTCAGAACGGCCACTGGTGATGATTAAAAGTTCTTTTATATCTATTTAAATCGACGGGAGTGAATTCCCTTGTCGCCGTCATCGGCATCGGTGTCAGAGCTCATTATCGGCGTATAAATTAATTTATTGTAGTTACTGCACAATATTAAATAGTGCGAGTTGTTTACTTTGTTATTTCATGAACTTAGCAGTACATTTGTATTGGAGGACTGCAAAAAAATTAATTTTCGTTCATTTTTTGAAGTCATTGTTATGTCAGCGATAGTCTGATAAAAGAACTCACTTATAATTTTAAGTGCCTACAGCTATATAGCAAAAATATATCATATATGGAGGAATAAGTTCCTTAATTACACATAAAATTATAAGCCTAACGCCTCCCTCAACAACAGAGACGTATCATTAAAGATCAGGCACGACTATCAGATAGTAGTTTACTCTTGGATGTCTATTTCGAACTAAAAAATTTCTTTATTTCATAAATGCACATGTATGTATACATAGTAAGATACGCAGGTTTACATTAGCAAATTTTAGCTATAGCATATTATCTAAGGTATCTATTAGGTATCTAAACAGTTCAATAATAGATAAGCATTATATACCCACATATTTAATCGTAAAGCAAAGTTTTGAAAGCAAGTTATAGGTTCTATTCAATTTAATTGCAAAATCTTAAGGTAAGAAAGACTATCAATTCACTAATAGTTTACGATGGTGCATACGATTATCATAATTAAATTAGAATGACCAAAATGAGTAAACTACTAGTAAGCTTCATTTATCTAACCAACATGATGAAGGTGTAACTGGATATCGATAGTCATTGCGTACGATATTGGTTGATAATAGGTACATCTAAGTACATTCACTAATACTTTAAGGTTTATTAGTTACAACATGGTGTGGGTTTGAGGTTCATAAAGACCTCCCAACCACCAGTTTGCTGTCGATGATCCATAAGAAGAGCATGTATGCTTAGTACTGTAACCATTATAGTGACCAAAGTCTGATTCTTGATGCGATGGAACAGCACCAGGAAATTTATAACGTCCACAATACTTAGTCGTATGGGACGCTAAAAATGTCGGATGATAACTAGTGGATGCCCAGAACGGGAAATAACACCTGACACAAGCATTGCCTCGGACAATCACATAGTCAAATTGATGGCAACCAAATGAATACAAGTAGACTATATTGAGGTCACAGATATTATTTCGCATATAGTCATTACGTTCGATATCTTTAGTTAGATTCTGAGCATATTCGTTAAAGTTACAGGTTGCTCTCCAATGAGTTGTAGTGTTAATTGAATTAATAGTTCGCATGTTTGCTAATGACATTCTAAAAGCTGACCAATGTGCAGGATTGTTTTCATTGTATGGAGCATTGACAGTATAGCTACGTTGGAAACGCCAGGCGTTCGGAAGCTTGGAGCCATAAACACCAATATTACGATCAAATGATTCGATTAGAGTCCATACAAATGGAGCATCACTTTTGAAATCGCAATAAGCATGATAGGCAGCATTTTTACTATCGTATATAATGTAAATGCCGTTTGTATTGATTTCCGGGTTGATATATTTGATCTCTAAGCAACTTTTGGGCTTCAATCCTTTATAGGGCTATAGATTATGATAAACCAGAGATTAAGAAAAGAGAAGAATGAGAATATATGTTTATAAAGGTAATAGATTTTAAAATTTTCATAAACTCAAAATAAAGTAGGCAGTGGAGATGCTTATTCTGCTGTCTATATTAAGTACTATCTGCTTTATTTTATCAACTCATATAGTGTAGAAGCAGTGTAGAGATTTAATACAATTTGTAGAAGTAAGATAAAATCATTCCTTATCGTACTTTTTAGAATTACTGATCGGCTGTTAGCTCTAATTATCCCTTACCATACCGGTATTAATTATAGAGTTGAGTAGTATTGAAAATAGCGAGAATATATTAAGAACGTATTATAGCACATTACCATACAATAATTATCGATAACTTTTACTTAAATAATTCACTTATAGTTGCATTTCAATATTAAACATATGTATGCTCTAGTAGATACAAAATCGTACGGATATGGTATCCTTATTTGATGTCTTATTTAAATAAGTTTAGTCATATCTTAAATAAGTTTAGAATTGTAGCTTTAATTATTTTGTAATTTTATTAAGGTTAGGTAAATTTCGTTAGTAGACGAAAGTGACTAAAGAAAGGTTAATTTCAAGCTAGCGTCATGCCTCTTTAGTAATATAGTAGATTACAGTTTAGAAATTAAACTAACCAACTTTTCGTCGAGTACTTCACCAAATGCTGCATGAATGACGATGGAGAGTAAGGCCAGGATCAACAAATTCTTCATTTTTCGTAATAGTTAGCAAAAATTACCAATACTTAAATGAATAGGATTGGCTTTATTTGACGAGAGGTAACGAACAACAAGATGAATTATAGACAACTAAACATAAAATTATGCTATCAGAAATAGCCTATTTCTTTATTTAATAGCAAGATCAAGTTTGTCTGTGTTATAAATACTACTATATGAGTGCTATAATTTTCATGAGATAGAAGATTATAGTATAGGCTGGCGCAGTGTAACAATACAATGGCACTATTTCTTACACATTAAGCTCTTCATGACGGACAGTAAAATAAATAAATAAAATTCTATGGGATGGATGCGAAAATAGCCATCGATTATGAATGACTACACTTCTTTTGTTACATTTTGGATCAACGGGTGTCTATTCCCTCGTCGCTCGTGTCATGGCCATCAGCAGAATAATTAACTAGAACTGGCCTTATTATTATTGTACTTGCGATGGGAACTTGTTTATTAAACTAATTCACGCTGATTATCATAGAAAACTCATACATTAAAGGAGTCTTAGTGCATATTTTCTATACCAGTTACATCACATAAAATTTTTGACGAACCGTTCCGGATGCTGATAACTCTAACCCATTAAGTGTTCAATGTGTTCATGCAACATCTACTAAATTAAGGGTTGTAATACGGAATAGCATTTGATTCATGTATTTAAGTAAATATGATCAACAACATAAACGAATTATTTATGTCGATAATCATGTACATACAGCGCTAGACTTGGATATATAATTGTGAGGATAACAAACATGCCCGATAATATTTCATAGATCCATTACTATATTGGCAAATTTTATTCTCTTCAATTTATATTGTTAAATTACGTGTGGCAATTCTATTAACGAATTTTAGTGGAAGTATACAGATTCACAACTGTAATTTTTTGTAATTATAAGTCTAACGTTAGAGCTAACGGTGTTCTGCCATATGAAATATAAAATATAATAATTACTGTGGGTGCAAATATGTCCTCAAATGATGAGGTAGTGCAATTTCCGAACGCAAATTTTTGCACGCATTGTATCAGTATTTTGACCTAGAAAATTATCTCCGTTATCGATTCCTAGTTTTGTTGCTGGCATAATTGTTAAAATTGTATGTTACTCTTCAACCCCTAGGTCATGTAAATTTATTCATGGTTTTATACATTAGTTGGTAAAAATGAATAAGCTTCCCGGTATGAGTTTGACGTTGATTTGAAGGAGCATTGATGATATAAAGATGTATCATCTCTTAAGTGGAATTTGATCAATGAGAGCCCCAGACTCTGTAATTACGATGAAGGATACGAATAAATGTTCAAATGCATATCACATCATTCTTGAAATTGTAATAAACTAAGCAAACGATTTTGGCAGGTGTAAATTCTATATGCATTATTTTATTGATCTTAGGACTGAGATATTTGATCCTTGATCAAGTTTTAAGCTTTGGCTTCTCTAAAACTCTGCTTGAAAAGTAAAATACGTATATTAATTAAAGTGCGTGAAGTATCCTTTACATCTAGTCTATTAGAATAGAAAGCGATTTCATGGTTGTTCGTGTGTACTTGCTGTATTCAGAATTTATATGCTACACTATGTTACTGCGATAGAAAGAATTCATGAATTAATTAAAGGTGAAAGTAAGGTCTTAGTTTAATCTTCCTTAATAGAGTAATCGATGATAGGAGACTGACCAATGATTGCTCTAGCTACTTATCAATTTATGGTTTATATGATACTATTACATATTTTCTATGGGAGTTACATACTGACTATACTATTAGCAAAAGATGTATTCTGTGAGTAGAAGATTTATCATTTAGGAGTCTAAATTTTAAAATCTGAAAACAAACGATTAGTATAGAAGTTTCTTTAAATGCAGATATACCAAGTAAATCCACGTTCTACATATTCTAAATATAGTTAGTCGTGAATGTCTGTTTTTAAAGTTTACACTTTTTATTTCAAAGTGCCTGCAAGTAAATAGGTCAATAAAGATAAATGAAGTTATATCAAACAATTCAGTCAACGGTACCCAATTTACCTAAGTTATTTTATCGGGTTATTATGCAATCTAACAGTAAATAACAACCATATATTTATCATGGTATTTTGTATATTGAATGCGATTATAATTATTGGTTTTACTGAATTTAATTCTAAAATCTTATAACAGGAAAGGCTACAGTTTTACTAAAGATCATGGTGCTACATGTGTTGATCAAATTCAAATCATTCTACTAACAGCATCTAGCATCTAGCTAACTTAATGATGTGACAGGATAGTACCCGCACACGATATAGTTTAGCATACAGTACATATACCTATTTTTGCTAATACTATACTTTAAAACTGATTAATTACAACATAGTATGAGTTTGAGGTTCATAAAGGCCTCCTAACCACCAGTTTGCAGTCGATGATCCGTAAGAAGAACATGCATGCTTGGTGCTATAACCATTATAATGGCCAAAGTCTGATTCTTGATGAGATGGATTAGATTCAGGGAATTTATATCGTCCACAATAGTTAACCGTATGGGAAGCCAAAAACGTCGGATGATAATTACTGGCTGCCCAGAAAGGGAAATAACATCGGACACAAGAATACCCTCGAACACTTACATAATCAAACTGATGACAAGCAAACGAATATGTATACACTATATTGAGATCGCATATATTATTGCGAAGATAGTCATCACGATTGATATCTTTAGTAAGATTCTGAGCATAGTCGTTAAAGTTGCAGGTTACTCTCCAATGGGTTGTTGTATTGACTGAATTAATTGATCGCATCCTTACCAAAGGCATTCTGAAAGCTGACCAATTTTCAGGTTGATCATCGTTATGCGGAGCATTGGTGGTATATGGACGTTGGAAATGCCAAGCATTCGGAATCTTGGAGCCCCAAACACCAATATTGCGGTCAAATGATTCAATTAGTGTCCATACAAACGGAGCATCACTTTTAAAGTCACAATAAGCCTTATAGGCCACATTAGTGCTGCCATATATAGTATAAATGCCGTTTTCATTAATTGATGGGTTGATATATTTGATCTCTAAACAGCTTTTGGGTTTTTTTCCTCCGTAAGGCTATAGATTAAGCGATATTTGAAGAAGAGTCAGTAAGCATGAATATTCGTAAGAGATAATTGACTAAAATTTTAGTAAGCTAAAGAAAGTACGTGATAAAAGATTATACCTAGCTACTCTACTATCAGCATTATCTGTTGTTGCAATTATTAAATCAACACATATAAAGTAAGAAGATCCAATAGAATTGATAGGAGTGTATAGGTACTTTTATATTGTTTCTTAAAATAATTTAATAACTGTCCATAAAGGTAATCCTTCGTTATATACAAATAATAATTCTAAAGTAGAGAAGGGTAATGCTAAAGGACGACTGAATTAAGATTGTACGGTAATTAAAGACAGTAAAACATGGCACTTCTCGCTGATCTTTACTAAAAACTCAGCTAGTGTTTATCCTATTGAAAAATATACGATATACGAAAGCATATCTATATTCTATGCTGTGCTTTTTTACCATCATTGTTAAATAGTTTGCTATTACTTCAGAGAATTTAGAAACTTAGCTTTAAAAATTTTACAGCAAAGATCAACTTCAAAAGTAACTCATAACATTGACAATTCAGCGACTTAAGTTTAATCTTAAAATAAAATGATATTTTAAGCTAACAATTACAATATACGAAAAAAACTGACCAATTCGTTCGATAGTGTACCAATAGCGGCATGAATGATGACAGAAAGCAAAGCTAGTGTTAACAGATTCTTCATTTTCTTAATTATTTTTTGCAAAAATATCGGCACGTAAATGGGAACGATCGGACGTTGGCACTATTTAGACCAGGACTACCAATTAAGAAGACTATCCAAAAACGATGTTATCGGAAACTGTCTACTGTAAGTACTTTTGTACTGAGCTGAGCTTTGCTAGTTTTCATAAAATAGAGAATTAGACCGTAGGCTAATGCAATATAATGCGACAATGTCTGCTGTTTTTACGCAATGCGTAAACTCGCCATGATGCATATTAAAATAAATAAATGTTATTCTATACTATACATGCGAAAATAGCCATTATAACTATAATCCTTTTTGATGTAATGTAGGTCAACGGGTGTCTATTCCCTTAGCGTCGCCTTCACCGCTGGTAGAATTAGTCAATTATCCCTATTTTAATCTTCATTATTATAGCATCTACAGTAGGGACTTGTTTGTTAAACTGACTCATGCCGATTATTATCTTAAAAAGGAAGGGCCGTACATTAAGGCTGTACTTACCAAAATGTATATTTTATTCTAATGAATGCAATGACACTATATTAAAATTTCTAACGGGGCATTTTGATTAATAATAATTCTAAACAGCTAAGTATCAACCCAGCAACAGCTATGGTAATGTACTGTAATTTACTTTACTTCTCTAGCTTTCTTATTGATGCATCTAAACTCTATAGCATTTTACTACTATACCAGTACCGTACGTGTAATTTCGTTAAATGAATACGGGCTTACTTTTTATAGTGTTATGCAGAACGAAAGGCTTTTGGCGTACAATTATTTTTTGCCTTACATTATATAGATTGTAATACTCTTAACTTGTGTACGAATAATACTAATATTAAAAGTAGCTTCTTATTGTATTTCGTGATGGTTTAATAAAAAATTGCAAAAAATAAGGATTTTAACAAACTATTACTGAATTTAAGCTTAAGGATACATATGTATTTAGTATTTACATTGATACTCGCATATATATGTACTGAAAAGTACATATACACACACGCAAGAAAAAATTATTTTAATATATATAGATTAATAACTTCATCTATTAAAGATCCATAATTGATCGGCACAAGTATTTTAATCTATTTTCACTTATGAATTACTATCGTAGTCATTTTATATTTCCTGAACTATAATTTTAAATACTAACATTTTAAATATGATACTATACTTGCATTGTAGAAATTCTAGTACCGGACGCTATATAACAGACACGCACAATGTCTTTTATACACGTATTACCGTAGTATACGTCAGAAGATAGATGATATAGAAAATTTAAATAAACTTATTATCGAATATGTACGTTTTAATGCAAAAAACTTTTTTAAGCGATAAAATATGGATATAGATAATTTGATAAAAATATAAGTTGATTTCTGGCTGCGATATACTATTTGTTATTGTAACGTGCAGTACACAACACAGTAAAGTTAAAACTGCATTTACTATAGATATTTTATTTATGATTGCAGTATCAATAAAAACTATATGTTTTGAAGCATTCTTATTACTTTGTTTAAATTTAACTCAAAAATCATGTATGAAGAATAAGCAATTGCAGTGTTCATCTTAGGTAATGCTCGCAGTAACTAAAATTAAAACGTTACTACGGCTTGGTAAAGGTGCTACCATTGTACGCTAATTTTTTCTGCATTTATTATAAGTATACATGTAAACAAACGCAATTTCAGGGTTCTAATACCGATATATAACATACGGATGGTCGATCACTGTTATGTACACCTTGATGTTTACTAGCAGCACGTATTTGATTTGATATCAATACGAGACTTTGTGATTGAGCAAACATAAATAAAGGGTAGCATGAAATTTCGACTGTTAATGTATTACTGGAGAGTGTAGACTCTTGTTAGGTACCGGTACTATTATTGTAACTGCTGTTATGTAACATTAAGATTTGCGAGTGCTAGACAGGAGTAAATTTACAATAGTGAGGTTAATTTCTGTTTAAGAAGCTTCGTAGTTAATCGTGGTTTGGTGCAATGAAGAACAAAAATTTCTTCATAGCTCTTAGCGGAGATATGAGTAGTTTACTCCTAATACATTTTATTAGATACACCCATGGTTCTAGATAGTTAGCTAGTAATCACCTATTTGCTGAGATAAGGCGATTAGTAGATGTATACAGTATACTGTAAGTAAGTTTATTTATTAACAGCCTAACCACCGAGGTAAGGGGTTTGATAAGTTAAGATTTGAAAAATTTATTCTGTAACGTTAGCAAACGTCCTATCCTCTGAGATAGGACGATTAATAGCGTTATGTATTTTAATTTACAATAATCATAGCAATACCCTATCACTGAGATAAGGGGTTTGGTAGATTAAGACACGGAAAAATTTACACTGTAACACTAGTAAACGCCTATACTTTAAGATAGGGTGTTGATAGCTTTTATCGATGAAGACACTTTTCCCACGTAACTATAAGTACAGTAAATCATAGTAGTTATGTATAGTTTGCCTTAATCCTAACCGTAATCTTAACCCATAATATAGTTGGCCTTAACTCTAACCGTAATTTTAACCTATAGTATAGTTAGTCTTAACTCTAACGTACTCTTAACCTATAGTATAGTTGGCATTATCTCTAGCCGTAATCGTAACCTTAATCGCTGAAATTATTATTTTAATGCTGTAGTGCAATATTATTGGTATACGAGGGCCGATGATTCTCTATACTGTAGTTTAACGCATTAGTTATTAATGAATTGTGCTGCTAATTAAGGGTCGCTGCACAGACAGCGCTATGTCAACACTACAGTACACTGACGAATGGTTCTGTACTTCTGCACTCGACGATAATCATAATCCGTTACCTGTATAAATAAAATATACGCATGCTCCTGCGTAACCAAGGTAACCTGGTTAAACTTGATTACAAAATGATACATATTACGATTTTATATTAGGACAGTCAAACTTTAGCTTTACCGATGGTATTACTAATCTATTTGTAATGTATAAGCTATGGTATAGTAGCAAATGATAGACAATCAACATATCAGTATACATAGACCATTACAGCAAGTAGCCGTTAGGATATAGCTGAAGACATTAAAATTTTCGTTAACAAGTTTATGGCAAAATTTCTTATTATTTCCTTACGTAATCAGTAATCTTCGCAAAATAATTAATTGCTGAAGATTTAGTGTCGTTCTGTGATAGATAAAACACGCCGTTAGTTTTATAACGTATGATGAACGGAATAGAAGATCACAGTTCTAATGGTATCAACCATGATACAGTTAGGCGACGCAACCACAAGCCTAAAAATCCTAAAGTCGTACGAACACGACGAGCCGAAAGGGTAAATATAAATTTTATTCAAGTATAGTATACATTTTCATTATAAAGATTTATTTCATTTACCTAGATATCATAGCTTTCATTGCAATTGGTGCCAATTTTAAATGTATTGATGATCAGCTTGCAATCTAGCTTTAACGCAGTATCATGTATTCGTGCATAATTTTCGATTCTATAGTAATTATTAATAATAATATTATTCTTGGATCTACATTACTGTTGTAAGTCAATCGTGCATTAAGAAATGATATCCTATGATTGAGCAGACAGTAGTGTAATATTAATACAGAATCTTACGATTCTATTTATGATTTGCTTGAAAACGTAGTGTTAATGGACATTGCTTTATATCCTACAATATTTGTTAGTATACCCCATCTTCCTTTATGGCAGCGATGGAAATGACAACTGCTGAACGCCTAGAAAAAACAGATGAAGTTCATATACCTCCAGTTATAGAGTTGCTTGATATGAGCGAGAATACTTACCAAAAGGTTTTTGATCAATATTATTGCTATACTATAAATCGACTAGTGAGCACCTTTTAATATTAAACATATTTATATTTATGCTATAGGTAACTAATGTGGATATCGACGAACCATTATTTCAACCATTTCCATCGGAGGTCTACTTCCAAAAGTATCAAGCCTTTGAAACTTATCGTGTTCCATTTATATTACGCAACAGAGATAAAGTAATATAAGCCAATGAAAATAATCTTAGTAAGAATAACACCAAGCAGCTAAGCTGTATGTTCCATTTTTAGGTTGCACGATTGGTAAAAGTTCTTCCAATTGATTCACCATACTTTAAAATAATAAGTCCCAAAAACGTCGGTCATAAGACTGCTCCTGGGATGGAAGCAAAATTTGTGGTAGAATTTACGCCGCATGAAGCTAAGGTTAGATAGTTGATTATATATTCTTAGATGTTGAATACGTATTTTTCTAGGTACTCTTTATTTTATTGGGAAATTAATATTTTTCCATTGCCTGAAAAATTATTATTGTAGGATTATGCTTATGATATTATTTGCGTCACGGAAAGAGAACGTTTTATTGTACCAATTGTGTGCATTGGTGATCGAGCAATCTTCGACTTTCCAGATGAAGTAAACTTATCGTGCTGCCCAGTAAAGGTGATTCTTCGTTGAAAAACTTCCATTTCTATTTGCTATATATCAATTTATGAAACGTGATTGACTTATTTTTATGAAATAAATAATATGCATGTGTTTTTTTTATCTTTTTATAGCATAACCTTACGAAAACATTACTTGTAAGAAATGTAGGAAACTGTACTGGAAAATATACGACAAATTGCAATAAGTACGCATATTAGATGATCTCGATTACAATTAAAGAGATTTCCAGCTAATTTCTGCTTGTTATAAAATAATTTAAATTAGGCCCTTTTCGGTTACTCCTGATCATGGTGAAATTGGTGTTAATGGAAGTCTACAAATTCATATCAACTTTGAACCCCTAAGAGTTGGAGATTATTCTGATGATATCATATTGCATTATGATTCCGGTAATAGTTCATAATTATTGTTAATTGTTGAACATTTTATAACACCTGGTGTAGTGATAGTGTTTAACGAGGTATCTTTTATATCTAACATGTACGAGTATCTTATTCTTAATAGGTGAAGACATCTACATTCATGTCTACGGTGCTGCGACTGATGCAAATGTTCGCTTAGAAAAGTCGTCACTAAAGATGGAAACTACATACATCTCTATGTCATCACAGAGGTCCATTTCTATCGTTAATAGAAGTGATGTTGTTGTCCATTATCAATGGAAGGCATTTGCAACTACTGAAGAGGAAGAAAGTCAAAAATTGCGATTTTTAACTGATTTATCTGTCGATGAAGAAAAACAACAAAATGATTTCTTGGAAGAATGCATCAGTGATCCGATTCTGAAAGACAGTATGTCCATTCTGACCAGAACATTCAAAAATAAACGCACGGTAGGCTCGAATTTTATGGCCTCATAATATTTTAATACCTAAGTAGTTTTAGTAGCGATGTCACTGAAATTGTAATTAAAAATTTCAAATTACCAATATAGGCTATAGAATCGAATAAATTTCTATATTCCGGTGAGCAATTTTCTATCGATCCGGTAGAGGGAGATATTTGGCCTAATTCAACAGCTGAAATGATGGTACACTTTAAACCAGTTGAAGCCAAACCTTATACAGAAACAATTTTTTGCGATGTTGTTGGTCGAGAAAGTAGATTGCCATTGAAAATATCCGGACTTGGAATGGGGCCGAATTTACAATTTTCTTACCAATCTTTAGATATTGGCGATGTATTTGTTAAATCTAAACACAGCTATGAAGTTATATTACAAAATAAGGGTTATATTGATGCTAACTTTTCTATTGTACCAGCAACGACAGAGTTTGGTAAAATGTTCAGTTTCATGCCATCACGTGGTATTGTAAGAGAAGCAGGATTTCAAGCAGTTCAAATTAAATTTTCGTCCAATGTTATTGGAACATTTGATGAAACATTCATGTGGAATATAGAGGGCTCGCAAGATCCATTGCCATTAAATTTCAAGTGCCATGTTGTTGGACCAACATTTACATTTAAACCTAATCGTTTACAATATAGCGATGTTTCATATGGATTTACTTACACGAGGCAAACAGTACTAGAAAATACTTCAGAAATTCCAATGACATTTCGTTTACGCGTCGATAGTGATGAGGATGATTTCGTTATTACTCCAAGTGAATACGTGTTGCAACCTATGGAGCAGGTTAATATCCAAATTGACTTAACACCAACTAGTATTAAAAATTACGATATCAAGCTATGCATTGATGTTAATGATGTTGGCCTAAATGTATTTAATATACCCATTACTGCTGAATGTATTGTACCAAATATAATGGTAGTATCACCAGTAATCGATTTTGGTCGATGCTTCCTCAATCACACATATCAGCAGTCGGTGCAGTTATATAATAGCTCCGATTTACCTGCAACTTATCAGTTAGTTGATCAAGATGTAGATCAGTCAAGTGCTTGCCAGTATGGTAGTCCAAATCCGAAAGGAATTATTGAGGCACAATCAACTCTTGAGATGCCGTTGCAATTGAGTGTGTCAGAACTAGATGAAATCCGAGTTACTGTAACGATTCTTATTAAAGGAGCTGAAAGCCATCCGTTAACAGTTCAGATCCTCTCACTTGGTGAAGGTCCAGTACTACATGTGACACCGAAGGAATTGGATTATGGCGAAACAAGAGTATTATCGAATGCTAATAGAAAGATTAAAGTAACTAATGAATCGCTTATACCAGCTCAATTTAAGGCTACTATGTTACGACCACATTCAGTATTCTCAATTCAACCGACAACAGGATTGATACAACCGGAAGAGACTCTGTATCTCGATTTATTTGCTAATTTAAATGACTCCATACGATTTGCCGACAAGTTAGCCTTTGAGATTGAAAATAGCCAAACTCAAACTGTTGAAATTAAAGCTCGTGGTTTCGGTACGACAGTACAATGTCAGCCTTCTATGGTGCCTTCTGTCAATCTTGGTCCACATTTTAGCCGTTCACCCGTTAGCAAAACGTTCAAAATTTGTAATCGTGGTCGTCGTTTACAACAAATATTTTGGACTACTGAAGGTTTTCAGCCGATACGCACTAGGAAACCTCCTAAATATAACACAGAAGATATGAAGTTTAAATTGATGCCACCACCTAAAGAGCCACCGCGACCAATATTCAATATTAAACCAGATAAATTAGTGCTGCATCCTGGACAATCGACTGAAATTATACTTTCCGGTTACTCAGATAACCCACAGCCAGTGAAGGAAACACTAATATGCCACGCTATTATTGGTCAAACAACCGGAAAAGAGAAAATTATGCAGGTTGATGTTATTGCTGATTTTATTGCTCCTGTATTGGAGTTTTCACAGCGCACAATATCGTTTTCATTAATTAAGACACCTAGTACGATATTAAAACCCATGTATGAGCAAATATCTATGAAAAATATATCATCTTTGCCTGTGACTGCTCAGTTATCAGTGGATTATCCTTTCCATATGCTATTGGACAGCAAAAAAGAAGTATCTATAGTTACTGTTGTTCTTGAACCTAATGAAGAGAAAGATTTAACCATTAAATTCGATCCAGCTTATAGGCAAGATTCATTTACACGTCGACTTGATAGTCGTATTGAAATATCGTATCAGGAGCATCCACAGCAAGATTATGTTAACTTGAAATCTCAAGTTTATTTCCCCAATTTAGAATTTGAATCGACAAATATCGATTTTGGATGCATCTTGAATGATACAGAAGTGGTGCGTTATATTACAATCACCAATGATAGCCCAACACAGGTGAAATATCGTTGGTCATTTATACAACATTCTACCGATGAAATGAATGGTAAAATATCGACCAATATGCTGGAAAATGAGCATTTAGATATTATGGATGAGGATAAAGATATCGATGATAGTGAAATTGAATTAGATAAAATGAATAAGATCAAATTGAAATACGATAGTATCGATGATAGTCAAATGAGGATACAAGAAGTATTTGATATACTTCCACTTTACAGTGTCTTGCAACCAGGTGAAAGCCAACGTATCCAATTAACTTTTTACGGTCATACCTACGTGAATAGTAAAGCAATTGCCGTCTGCCATGTTGAAGGTGGTCCTGACTATCATATTACATTAACTGGCAGTGCATCCATAGTATCGTATCAATTTGATAAAAAGATTGTAGATTATGGTAAACAACTGTATGATCAAATCGCTGTCGGTACAATCTCACTACGAAATACTGGCGATGTAGCTTTTGATTTTAATACATCGAATGGCAGTGATCAAAGTCGTCCATTGCCAGGCATACCAATTGTTATGCCATCGGTAGGTAGAATTGAAGCAAAAGAAGAACAAGTATTAACCGTTCGCTTTATACCGGGTATACCAGACGAGTTTGAGAAACATTTTGAAATTCGTATTGCCTATTTTGAACCTGAAATTATTACAATACGCGGTGAAGGTATATTTCCAAGGATGGCTTTTGATTTGCCACGTTCAAGTGACGATAGTTTTGATGCACTTCTAAAAAGAGCACGAGAGAAACTCTCCAATGAAAAGAAAATTCTTCAAGATGTATCTCTCAATGGTGCAGTTACTGCTAAAACAAATCATGATCCGGAGTTTTCAACGAATGCTAAAGGAGTCGATAAAGTTGATCGGTCATTGTCTGTTGCCACCCACGTTGGTTCAGAATTATCTAATCCTGAACAGTTATCGGAATTTGAAATCCAACGAGAAGCTGAACGTTTATTAGTCACCGAATATGCTGAAGCCAACAATATGAAACGATTCGATGCAAGCTATGAGCAACAATCACAACAGTTACAACCACAGACACAACTAACTCAATGCCAGTTACCAAATTATGTCCTTGATTTTGGTTATGTTGTTTATGGTGCCGTCAAAACTCATATCGTTCGAATTGCCAACGTTGGCCACAGTCCAGTATCTTTCAGTATTAATAAAGATCATTTACCAAGTACTGGCTTTAAAGTTGAACTTGATCGAGTTAAATCGTTACCTGGTGCACCAGCGTATGAACCTTTGGATTTTGCTGTTTCATTCAAGCCACAAAGCGCTGAATTACCTGAAGGTGAAATAAATGTTTTCGTTCCATTTCAAGTTGCCCATGGCCCAATGACTGGATTACAATTAAAGGCATTTGTCACAATACCTAATATTGCTATTTCAACCGAGACATTAGATTTTGGTACTGTCCAATGCGGTGAATGTCGTATAATTACCATTCAGTTATATAATCCAAAGCAAGTACGCTGTGAATGGAATTCAATGATACCTGAAAAGAAGAAAAAGAAAAACATCGATAAATTTAAACCATCCTATCTACGCCATAAGGTGAAAGTGGACAAACCTAAAGCACCCTATTTCGAGTTGATGCCAAGTAAAGGCAATCTATCACCAGGGCAAAGGTTTAATGTTCAAGTTAAATTTCTACCCACTGAAGAAGCACCCTATATGCAACGTATACCAATTTATGTCCAACAATGTCATTCGAAGCATGAAATCACTTGTTATGGCCAAGGTATTGAACCAACTATTCAATTTAATCCAACCATGTTGGAATTTGGTCCAGTATTACCCCATTCTCTTGGTGCTGAACTGGAAGTGAAAGTTAGTAATTTAGGCCATTTCCCTGTTGAAATGTATTCACTTGAATTTGATCCGCATTATTTACAAGATGAGAAAATGTTACGTTCTATGAAAGGTTATGATGAGTATAACACATTATTATTGCCACCACGACAACCTGGTGATAAATTACCAGATGAATTAATTGATGCCTATCATGATGCTCAAAAGAAGAAAGAGGAAGAAAAAGCTCGTCAATCAAGTAAATTAGGTTCAGCGTCACACTTAATGAAAGAACATGATGATGATGGTAGTGGTGTTCTCGATGGTCTAGGGCCTGCTGAATCATCAGAACAGCTCAATACTTCATCGATCATTTCAAATCTTGATGAACGCAGTGAACATGGCGAGAAGCCATATTTTGTAAGTGTACCTGGGGTTGAGTCGGCTTTAGGTGGATCAGAAAGTGCAATGTCGGAAGGTGTTGCTACTGGCATAGATGAGAAGCATAATCATCCCTCCAATGGCCATAATCCAGCTAATGGTATTATTGCTGGCGATGGTGGAGTCGGTGAACTTGAAGTAACACCTGTTTATGCAGCTATTGCAAGACATTTAGGTATTGATTTATCGCCTGAAGGAACAGCAGCTCGTAATCGTCGTGGAATTGCTCTTATCGTTAATGGTGCTCCTAATTCGGGTAAAACACAAACTGCTATTACTATTGCCAAAGCTTATGGTGCTGCACTCTTAACCATTGATAGTATCATCATTGAGGCAATTAGCAGTGGTGGTTCGCAAGCTGGCCTACAAGCACGACAATTATGCGCTCAAGCAGCTAAAAATGCTGGTGATGATGTTGCCAATGCTAATACCAATGCTGCTAATACTGGCGGTTTAAGTATTGAAAATGTCACTGCATTAGGTTCCAACACGCAATCTGCAGCACCAACATTAATTGCATCGAGTGCAATTGGTGGCGGTGGCACTGGTGGTGTATCGAAATTATCCGATCGTAAGCATTCAGTTATTATATCTCAGAAGGGCTATCATGGCCATAGTACAATGAGTCAAGCTGGACAAACAACAACGATGACAACGACTGTTTCCAATTCTCCACCACCACTCTTTATTGGTCGTAAATTAAGTGTTAGTGCTAGTGTCGCCGGTGAAGATGGGCTTATGACATGCTTATTACCTGAAGAATTAATTATTGAAATTATTGCCGAACGATTCCAGCTAAATGATTGCCATCGTGGTCTTATCATCGATGGTCTTGAATCGATGTTTATGAATAATATGAATACTGCAGCTAAATGTCTCTTGAAAGCAATCAATAATCGTAAATATATCTATTTTATAACATTAACCGTTGATCCAGTTAAAAAGTTACAATCATTTGAAGAACGCCAAAAACAAGATTTTGATAATAAAAATAGTAGAAATGGTCAAGCAATTCAGGACGATCAATTCGATATTGAGAATATATCAGAAAGTGAATATGATGCTATGACAAGTGAGCAAAAAGCAGAGATTGATAAGAAACATTTAATAGCCAAAAAGATACGATTACAGCGGCAAAAAGAAGAACGATTAGAGCGTGAACGTCGTGAAAGGGAGCAACAAGCTCAATTAGAAGAGAAACGTCTAGAAGAAGATCGCCCTGGTAGAAAACGTAAACAGACACAAGGAAGTAAAATGACCACCAAAGCACCAGCTGGTGCAGGTAGTAAAAATCAACCCAGTGTTGATAATAAATCGACTGCTAAGCAAGATAAACATACACCTGGTATGACAAATGCTCGACCAGCATCAGGTTTTCAAGGTTCATCAAGGCCTGATTCAAGTGGTACATTAGGCAGTGAATTAGCACAACAACAACAAGGACAACAACAACAGCCTCAAGGTGGGCAACAAGGTCAACAAGGACAAATGCAACAAGGAATGCAACAACAACAGCAAGGAACGCAACAATCGGGCTCACAACCGGGACAAGGCCAACAACAAGGACAAATGGAAGGTGATAAATCGGGCGATGGCCGTAAACGTCGTAAAGATGAGAAAGGTAGTAAGCAGAAAGGTAATGCCATGGGAGCTGGAACTCATTCACCACAAGAGGCATTACATGCCAATATCCAACCTATGAGTGAAGCTGAAAGAAAGAGAAAATTAGAAGAGCATAAATTATCACAACGATTTACTATGTTTGAGCAGTCATTAAGTGAGATTAATACATTATTAGATTTTTGGGATCGTAGTAGTGGTACCAGTTTAAAACCGCCATCTCCAGAAGAACGTGAAACAGTTTTATTGCCACCACCAACTGCAGGCACAACGCGTAAACGGCGTGAGACCCATGCTCACGTTAATCGAGAGCGTGAAAAAGAGAAAGAACGCGAAAAAGAGCGAGAACGTGAACGTGAAATTTTAAAAGAAAAAGAAGCTAAAATTCAAATGGAAAGTTCAATGGGAGCTTCGACAATGAATACATTGAACATAAATCAAGCTGCAATGTCGGGTGGTAATACTGGAACTATAAGTAAAGATAATACTACAACCATAACTGTCGGTAATAACCAAGTAACAGGAGGATCATCGAATCAACAAGGTGGCGATAATGATACAAATGATGGTAAAATGGCTATTGGTGTACCACATATTTTGTTTGAAGTATCAACACAAAATAATCATGAAATCATGACTTATGTGACAAATCGTTTACCAGGTGCTGATGAAGTCCTCGATGGTTTAGGTTTAGGCCCTAATGGACCACCAATACCCCCACCAGCATCATTTTCGGTTATACCTTATCCGGTTAAACGTAAAGCATTAGAACCACCAGTTCATTATAGCTTTGTTAATTTAGTCGATCAAGATACAGCAACAGGTGCAGTGAATAATAATCAAGATGAGAAAATATCTGAAGCTGAAATTGACTCTGGTTCTGAATTGCAAGCGAGTGGTACAGCTGCAACACTATCCTTCAATAATCGCACAATCGCTACCGATAATAACAATAAAACTGAAAAAGGTACACCAACAACAAGTCGCGCCCAGCTAAGATCAGATAAAGACAAGCAATCACGACGTACTGGTAATAAATCACGAATACGTGGATCAGCGCCATCACCACCATTAGCTAAAACTGATGATGATGAACAAGTAGTGACAGCACCATCGTTATTACCACCCAAAACACCTAATCAATATCGTTGGGTGATTCCAGCATCATCAACTATTACCATTCGTATAAGGTTTGTATCCACGGAATTAGGACAATTTGATGAAACATTAAATTTTGAAATTGTTGGTACACGTCGACGCTATCAATTATTTTGTCGTGGGATATGTGCATTCCCATCGATTGCACAAGAACCACGCGTTGTATTTCATCATCGTAAGAAAGTAATAGACCTTGGTGAAATTATTCATAAAAAATATATCTTAAGTCGTGATTGTTATGAATTTGGACCGTTACTATGTAGTAAAAGTCGTGAACGTTACAAAGAAGCTAAATATCCTGAAAATATGGAACGTTTAACAATACAAAATACATCACCACTTGATGTCGATGTTCAATTTTGTTTTCAGCATGATAATCAAGCTGTTACCTTTTTAATTGATCCATCACGATTATATTTGAAACCATATGAGAGTAAAGAATTAACTATTTGGGCTTATCCAAAGTCGCCAGGACGTTTTGAAGACACATTAGTGTGTTGTATACGAGAAAATCCTGAACCTGTTATGTTTCGTATTTCCTGTACTGGTGTTAAGCCAATGATTGAAATTGACAAGAAAAATTTACACTTTGAACGTGTCTTATTGCATCGTAAAATCACTAAAACGTTATACTTACGTAATCCGACATTATTACCGGTAGCTTGGAAAGTCAGTGGTATGGAAAATTTAGGCGAAGATTTTAGTTTAACCACAGAACAAGGTGTTATTGAGCCTCATACTGAATTTGCGTTAAATGCTCATTTTAAAGCCGTTAAAGCAACCAATTTGAAGAAAACTATTCGAATTGAAGTCTATGATGCGGAAGGTGTTATGGGACTTATCCATGTAGAAAATATCTTGATACAAGCTGAAGCGTATGATGTTGCGTTAGATATGAGCTTTCCCAAAGGTGCTGATGGTGGCTTAGATTTTGGTGTTGTGCGTGTCTTTGAAGAGACAAGATTAACATGCACCTTAAAAAATAAAGGCAAATATGAAATTGGTTACCATTTAATGCTTGAAGATAAACTGCAACAACATCATGATCAAGCAATTTACGATTACATCTCTATATTACCTAACAAAGGATCATTGCAATCTGGTGATCGTCCACAGCAAGTACAAATTGTATTCAAATCGCAAAAAGAGATTGAAATTAAAGATTTACCACTTTTAAAATGTCAAGTTATTGAGCCAACATTAAATGAAGGTGGTGAAATTATTGCCAATATACCCATTAAAGTGAGTGTTAAATCTGTTTTTAGTCGCTATCAAATATATCCAGTTAGTGACGTTAATTTTGGCTCTTTGTTGGTCAATACACGTAAACAGTTAACCTTTCGAATAGAAAATTGCGGCGATTTTGAATTTCGATATAGTATTAATAAATTGATTCAAGATATCGTCATTAAACAAACGCAACCGACTAAAAATCACGGCGTAACAACAAAACGTAGTCGTTCACGAGATGGTTCTGGCTCAGCTAAAGTGACTAACCTTAAGCAAAAACGACATGAATTAACTCGTCCTGAAGGTGGCCTTAGTCAACGGTTAATATTAGGCACTTATATTTTATATCCAGCATATGGATTAATTCAGCCTGGGGTAGCTGCGACTATTACCGTTGAATTTTTTAGTGAGATACCTGGTCGTTTTGAAGAAGCAATATGTATCGATATTACTGATCGCAATCCAAAAGACCGACCAAGTGGTATTAATTATCGTTTAGTTGGTGAAGCAAGCGTGCCAAGTATCAATGTTAACGATACTAATTTAATCTTTGAAGAACATCGTCTCGTTAAAACAATGAGTGCACTTATGATGGAACAATTAGATCAGAGTACAAATTCTGGCGTATACTGCACCGAAGAGAACAAGTTCTATTTTTATCATGTTCAAGTGGGTCAAAAAGCCAAAGTTCGTTTTAAAATCGCTAATTTTAATAAGGTAAAGTACCCAGTCGTAATGATAATTTGCTCTCAATTGTCTTTTGCTAACTGTTATATTAAACGGTAGTATTTAAGTTAAAAGTAGTTGAATGTTTACTAATTCTAATTCTGTTTGTTTTTCATTGAACTAGATTCCTTGTGATGTTGCCTTTTCGGTCAAGCCTCTATCAAGCCGAGCCTCAGCAAAATGGCACGATGTGTTCGATGTTGAACCGAGTAAAGTTTCTATCATTAGTCATAGCCATATTTATGTAACTGTTACATTTTGTCCAGCTACCATGCAGGTTAGGAGAATGTTAAGTTCTACAAGATAGTCATCATAATTCGCATTAATAGAAAGTTTTTAATTAATTAATGATATTATCGTTTCCTGGAAAATAAATGTTATTTACCACTTCTGTTTTAATTAATTATGTAGTCTTATACTGCGCAATTTGAAGCTGCGATTGAAGGTGCTCAAGGATTAATAACTAAAGCTAAAAATTTAACTTTCGACATGTATGGTGAAGGTAATTTACCTCGTGTATCCATCATTCGACCCAATGTCAGAAATAAAGTTGGCCATTTATTGCTGCTATTCAAGCGTTTACTGATTGGTCGTAATCAAACTCACCAATTAATCTTAAAAAATGATTGTCTACTACCAGCTAAAATTAACCTAGAATTAACATCACTGGATGAGGTAAAGAATGAGCATTAAAATAATCTGTACAATTTGTCATAGTGACCAATAACTTATATAGATACCAAATCGGATTTAAAAAAATTAGCATGTTGATATTATTTCTGTCTTGATCCATGGCTTTTACACGTTTCCTATATACTGTATTATTTAATTGATGAATCTAGATAAATGTAATTTCTTTATTTTACTGCTATACAGATTTTTGAATTGGCTTATGATGATGAAAGTAAGAATTCATTAACACCAAATATCAAAGCTGTTGAAGAAGAAATTTCAAATAAGGCGGTTATTGATGGTATCAAGATGACCTCTATCTTAATGCCGGTTGGGTCAGAAGCTCGATTTCATGTATCATTTAGTCCAAAATTATGTCAGAAGTATGAAGGAAGAATTAAGTTATCAGTCGATAGTAATGAATTTGAAGATGAAGTTATTGAACTAATTGGTGAAGGCTATGAAGATGTACTGACAATTGATGAAATTCATGGTCAAGTTAATGATATTCCTGAGCCCACTGATGAATTAAGTGAAGGAGATATTGGTATGTTATCCTATATAGTTTAGAATTGATTATCCAGTTTTACTTTGGTGTAAATTCTATTTATAGTACATAATCTTCATATAGGTTTAGAGTATCTATGATATTTTATTAATAGTTAAAGAATGTATGAGTACATTGATTCAGAATATTTTCAACGCAAATTTTAGCAAGCACTGCAAATTTTATTGATTTTGGTGATTGCCCGGTGGCTGAAGCAAGACAGTTATCTTTTACCATGTCAAATCATTCTGATCAAGTAGTTCGCTATCAATGGCCAATTAATCAAGAATTGTATTTTTCACCAACGATTGGTCATCTACATCCTCATAGCACAAAAGATATGACATTAACTTTCTTAAGTCATGAACCTAAACGCCTTCAATTTAGTGATATTGTCTGCCAATTTTATACTATCGCTTACACAGATAGTTCAACACCGGTAAACAATATACGTAGATAGACTGCATTTGCTTTATTTATAGGAATTGTTTGTTGTTTAGTAGATGTTTTCTATTTCGAATTTTCGATGAGTTTAATTAATTAATTCTTATTCTATACCTTAAATAATTTAGCTACCAGAATGGGATGATCGTATGCGAATTGTGAAATGGGTTGATGCTGCCTCAGCTTCGACCGCTGCTGGCGGAGATGATGAATCAGCTACGAAGCAATCTAATCAATCTGCAGTTGGGCAAAGGCGATCAGCATCACAAACCACTCGCCCGTTAAAGAGGAAAGTTATCGAAACAGAACCTGAGCCATTACACACCGTTATCGATGATACCTCTTCCGAATTACACATTCGCGTTAGCGCTACCGCTGATTATGCAACTTGCAAGTGTAAAATTGATGATATTAAATTTCGTGATACTTTCGTATTACAAAGTCGAATCTTCAAGTTTTTTATCTATAATAAGGGATCAGTTCAACTTGATTACGACTGGTCGATGATTACTAACGATAATCAATTATCCGCTCTTTCTAATGACTACGATCATCAATATCATTATCATGGGGATAATGCACTATTTCGCTTATTGCCTGGTCAATATCGAGGACCATTTATTATTGAACCTAATAGCGGGTGTATTGAAGTTGGTTCAAAACAACAATTTTCAGTACGATTTACTCCAATGGCAGTGTATGAATATCAGGCAAAATTAATATGTAAAATACCTAATTTACTACCTGATTTGCAACCACCTGTACTTACTGCTAGTGGACATGGTATTATGCCTTATTGTCATTTTGAATTAGATGATTCTGATTACTTAACAGCCAATCGGCGTAACCCAGAATTGAAAGGACCTGGAGATAGCCCACCTGGTACAACGCTTGATGTTAATACTAAAGTGGTAGAATTTCAATCATGTGGCATCAATACAGTTATTACAAAACGATTTTATATCATCAATCCAACTGATAATGGCTACCACTTCGAATGGACTAACGATGATGGCAGTAGTGAATTTAGTAAGCGTGCTACTTTCTCATGCTTAACACCAGATGGTTATTTAGCAAGTGGCAAACGTATTGAAATAGTATTTGAATATTTGGCTGAATCGATCGATATGGTTGAGTCATTTTGGAATTTCACAATTGTAGAGCATAAAATTATGATCCCATTTGTATTAGTTGGTCGTGCATATGAACCTGATATCTTACTGGATAAATCATTTATTAACCTCAATTCATTATTATTAGGTTATACTGGCCAAGAATTTGTCAATCTTGTCAATAATGAAAGTCAACCATTAGATTTTGTCTTTGATGATTCATCATGTCATACGGAAGGTTATGCTGCAATGTTGACAATTTCACCAACATCAGGTCGAATTGATGGTAAATCACGCTTACCTATTACAATCTCTTATACACCTAAAATGGAAAAAGAAGTCAATTTCAACGTCATATGTCGTATTAAAAAGAAATTAGCACCATTAACCATTAACATTAAGGCTGAAGGCTTTACAATGCAAGCTCAATTACTATGTGAAAATGCTGATGGTGACAGTATAGAATTTTTACCGCAAAAATTAAATCAAATTAATTTTGATGAGGTTGATGTCAACGAGAAAACTATGAGACAATTAAATGTTGTTAATAATGGCAAATTTAACTTCAATTTTAATTGGGAGTTTATAATCAATAGAAATCGTCTACAACAACATAATGCAGCATTAGAAGCCCTGACAATTAATCCCGATGCTGGCCAATTACAACATAACCAACGTAAAAAATGTGTATTAACATTTTGCCCCCGAAATAAAATTATTTTAAATGATATCATGCTACAACTAGCGATATCTAATGGACCTACATTTAATATACAAGTTAGCGGTCAAGGTAATCAACCATCACTACATTTTTCATTCACGAAACATAATTTTGGCCCGCAATTTGTATTTAAAAATGTAGCCAACATGGTTAAGAAAGTGTTAACTATCACTAATCATGGCCAAAAAGATATTAGCCTGGAATGTCTGTTTGAGTCGACGTCCTATTTAGAAGTACGATGCCCTTCCACTGTGCTTGCTTATGGACAGACATGTGAGGCTGAAATTACATTTTGCCCTCGTGAAATTACCCAGTATAATCAATTAGTAATATTTGAAATGAACGGATTATCCAAGATACCGATTGAAATTATGGGTGAAGGTATAGAGTTGAAAGTCGATGTTGTCAATTCATTCCATAAACTAATTAATTTTGGTGCCTTACGTGTCAATCAAGAAATGATTAAAAAAGTCAAATTAATTAACAAAAGTAAAGCCAATGTTTCATTTAATTTATCATTATCCACACAGTCATTGGCGTTACAAAATACCAATATTTTTAATATCCAACCAGCTAATAACATCACATTAAAACAAAAAGGTGGTATTGGTGAAATTGAATTGTTATTTCACCCAATAGCACGTATAACACGCTTTACGGAACAAATTATGTTGGATTGCCAAGGAATTAGTCAGCCATTATTTGCAATAACAGGTTGTTGTCAAGGTATTGAAGTCGGCTTAGATTGCGACACAATATCGTTTGGTGCCGTATCACAAAATAGTTTTAGTATCCGACGTATGACATTATATAATACAGGTGATATTGGTGCTGGTTTCTGTTGGAATAGTCAACAATTTCAACCTGATTTCTCCATAACACCAGTAGAAGGTTATGTCTCACCTGGTATGGAAGTTGTTTTTGAAGTAACATTTCATCCAAAAGAATTAAATCGTGATATTCGTTATGAGAAGTTAATGTGTTCGATTGAAGGTGGTGAACCATTACAATTGTCATTAACTGGTATGTGTGTCCATCAAACACCCCATAAAGAAGTTGTCCAATTTAGTACACATGTTCGATCGAAAGAAGTTAAATCATTAATGATTACCAATAAAACTAGTCAATCATGGTATTTACGACCAGCGATTGACGGCGAATATTTTAATGGTCCTGATCGTATTGTTGTTGAGCCAGGTCAAACTAAAGCATATGAATTAACCTATCGTCCTTTAACTATGACACTTGAAGGCCGTAAACATGTTGGCTCAGTATTTTTTCCATTACCTGATGGATCTGGTTTAGTTTTTAATGTTACCGGCACTGCTGAAGCACCACGACCAATCGGTAATATTGGACATGAAATGCCATGTAAAACTCATTATACACAATTATTAAGTGTATCCAATTGGCTGAATAAACCACAACGTTTTAAAGTTATTATTGAAATGCTTAAACCAGAAAAATCCGATTTATCAACAACAATGAAAGGTCTAGATTATATTGATGTTCCAAGTTTAAGTAAACGAGATTATAAGCTGAATTTTTATGCTCATAAAGAAGGAACATTTACGGCTAAAGTTGTCTTTAAAAACGAGCAAACACTAGAATATCAATTCTATTTTGTATCCTTTAAAGCAACACCACCAGCTCTTATTTCAACATTAAAATTAACAACACCGGTTCGTCGAAGTGTATCACAGTCAATTACATTAAAAAATCCATTAGCCATACCGGTGACATTTCAAACGGCAGCTACTGTCAACGATATTAGTTTACCACCACAATTTACGGTTCCTGCTCATTCTGATGTAAGTCTGATTTTGTTGAATATCCATTACATATTATAAATTTCATGGTAGTTCTGATTTCAATTATTATGTAGTTATTATTTATTTTTGACTATTATACACGTATACCGATATTAAGGCTACCTACAGCTATTGTATAATTCTGTAGAGCGGTAGCTGCGATATGTTGATTTGGGTATTACAGTACTTAGCATGCAGCTTTTTTATCTATTAACAATCGGTGATCAGCAATTTGATAACTAAATATTGATTTAATGATTGTAGGGATCGTGTACTTTTGAGTTCCTACCTCTAAAGGCTGGTGACAGCACTGGGCGTTTAACATTTAATAGCTCCGAATTAGGTATTTATCAATATGATTTATATCTAACCGCTACACCTGCCGGCCTAGAGAAACCCGTCTATTTCAAGACTTGGTTGGGTAGTAATCAAATTCAAATTTGTCGACTCATTAACTTTACAAGGTCTAAAGCAGAATATATATGCAAGGTAATTTCCTGATTTTGTTTGATTCATTATAACGACATCGGACGTTTTGTAGGCATGGACTGTTAAAGTCTATTCCTTGCGGTCTAGACACAATTTTGTTACCTTATATGGAATAATATCTGTATCGCATGCTAGGCTACTTCGGATTAATCCAATGCTTAATTGCAACTAATGTTTTCCTACTCATGTTACAGGTTGATAACTCTGACTTTCATGTTGAAAGAACAGTTACAGCAGCATCAGCATCCAATGCCGGAACTGAAGTTTCAATCGAAGTAACATATGAACCAACGAAAGTAGGCGAAGTTAAAGCTATGTTAAACGTTTCTTCAGCCCAAGGAGGCGAATATGCTTTTCCACTGCATGGACAATGTTTACCATCGAAACCCCTTGGACCCTTTAATGTTAAAGCTGGTACAACAACTAATATACCGTTTAAAAATATCTTTGGCCATACAACATATTCTATGTCAATTGATAATCCTGCATTCACTGTTAAATCTTCTGAGAATATTAGAAGTAAAAAAACGCACAACATAATCGTTGGCTTTGATTCTGCTAATATTGGGTCATCAAAAACTCAAGTAGGAAAATTAATTATATGTTGTCCTCATCCTAGCGGTAGTGGGACTGTGTCATGGACATTTTACCTTAAAGGCATTGTGCCATAGCAATTTTAACTTTAACGGTGCATTTCTTACATCATATTTTTATTGATTCTAATTAATAAGTGATATAAATAAATTTTAAACACCAACAATATAAAATAACTGTAAAGACACTATTTTAATTAAATCGTCGACAATTCCAACTTCGTTAGATCATTGATGATCTACAAAAGGAAAAATAAAAAAATTAGTCATTAAAATTTTTAATGTTGCTTTTGAAATCCCATATCGCTCATGAGATATTCATACTGTATAACCTGCTCAGGCGTAGACATTATTTGTTTAGCTAAATCCCTCCTTTCAACGAAGCCAAGATGGAAGTAACGTTTTAAGAGATCACCATCTAATATATTTCTCATCGAATTTTGTAACTTTTTTTGATGAGATCGAAAAGTTCTAAAAAATAATATGTATGATAATAGATCACTTCATAATAATTTGTTTATTATGTTAGCATCTATATTTTTTATTAAAGATACCTAAAAGCTTTTTGGTTTAATCCAGCATTTTGCTCAAGATATATAGATAATTTCGCCTGTAAACTAAACAAACGTCGATATTCTTTTTCATCTACCGGTAAAAGTAATCCAATACTACCATCAAGTGTACCTTGAATGAGAAATAGCATTTTATTAGGATTCAATTTTACACAACTAGCTTACGTATGTAAATAAAAAGTAATATGCATACCAAACCAAGTTATGTGCTTATTCTCGTTCTGTCTTTGATTTAATGCCCGTACTTTGGTCCTGAAAAATGCATGTGCGTTACTTCCTGTTTGAATTTCAGCACGTCTAACTAAAAATTGACCGCCATGACTTTCAGGAGCTAAATCAATGAGAAAAACCCAATATAAAAGTTGAAATAGTATACATCATAGCAATAACTTTTACAAGCTGAATGTAAAGAACATGTTTTTTACCTAAAGCTGAATGATGGAATAAAGATATATTTTGTTCTGTATCGGATACTGTTACACGAGTTTATTACAACGTTAGATAAGAAACGTCACGATGATAACAAATTTTTTGGAAAATTCAAATGAATTACCTACAAATCCTAACTGATTTTTATTTACATAAAAATTGGTATTAAATATTTCTAATTGATGGCGATCCTAGAATGAAATATAAGAAAAATTTGTAAAAACTACCAATGTGTTTGCTGCAATACATATAAAATTGATAAATATAATTGTCACTTACACGGCTTACTAGCGATAGCGTCCTATATTTAACCTTGCATCGAGTTGTGATAGCACAATGAATATTTTACGTAATGGTTATAATTAGCACAATTAAACATTGCATAATAATAAACGAACGAAATATGAAAGCAATAAAACTTACTTGAAATCGAAATAAAGAAATACTCTTTTGAATATCGGCCGCCAAAATAAAATTTCTAATGCTTACCAAGGAGTGTATATAAATTAGAGTATCGATAAACGCCATACCGATAAGATCTTTATTATCCCGAAACTCCCATATATAAATCTTATGGGTTAAGAAAGATGAGATTCAATCGCTAAAATCATTAGACATTAATTTCGAATACTGTAGCTGTGTTACCTTCTGACCAATACTCGTCACTAAGAAGCCCTCAACACATGTAATAGCGGTAACAGGACCTTTCTGTTCTTTGTCGTAATAGGTCTACAGTTTCGATAAATTTTGACAAGAACATTACCAAAGTAGATTTCAAACACTTGAAAAATTACTTGATAGCACCTTGATTTTGTTCTTTGTTAACGGTTTTCCAGGTTCAGGAACAACTTCAATAACGTCAAAAATTACAATCTATGATAGAATTGAATAAATAACTAAGTTGACAAACTGCAACTTCCATCGCATTTATATATCAAAAGCTCTATTACCCGGCCACGGCAGGCAACCTCTTCGCCACAAACATTTGTTGTTCCAACAGCAATAAACTCTTTCAAACCGCTGACTGTTTCTTCACTCTTTAGTTTAACACTTTTAAGGCAAGTTACGTGTTCCCATTCTGCCATCTGAATTCTAATGCAATTTATGTGTATATTGCAGTATTAATTGATCTGGAAATTTTTCAAAGTATTACTGTATTACTATTAACTAACTCTGCATCTGGAATAATCTCCCATGTTTCTGAGGTTATTAACTGTAAGCAAAATTTTTCGACTGGAGCGTGAATAAATCTGTCGCCTAAGGAAAACTGAACATTAGACTTTTATAGATGATATTGCAACTAAATTAGAAATTATAACAGTGCTAAGTATAAAAAATGGTGTTGAACATAGTAACTGTAAGACTTGCGATACCTTTTTCTACTGGAATAAACTCCTTATCTTCAGTTGTGATATGAGGCATTTTCTCGCATACAGTCATCGTACTTGAAATAATCACGTAAGTTTTAGTGACAAAATGATGTGTAATAAAATGTAGGGTATTTCTTAATGGAACTTTATGAACCGGCCATGGACAATCATATGTAAAGCGTTGGTCTAACACACAGATTCTAAGATCTTCCTAAGTACGGTATAGTAATAGATTATTAGGATAATGTGAAGTCGAATTATATATTATAGGAAATCACGTACCTCACTGTTGAAATATAGAAAGCCGTTAGGGCAGTTTGCAATGTTAAATGGTGCAAAGCACTTAACATATCCATCAACTACCATAGAGTGGATACAAAGTTCTCCACGCGATGTCATTAAAAGCCAATGCGGAAAATTTCCACAAATAAATACCTACATATTGACATTCTTTTAGTTTCATAACAACCATTTCTCTTCGCTAATCTATAACATTAATGAAACTATATTTCCTAAAATATACTCCATAAGTTAATCCATACCCCAGAATAGTTAGCAATATTTTCAAAGTATCTCAGTAAGGATCCAGTTCCTGGAAAGTTACAATCTCCATTACACAGGTACTCATATTTTATATTATTGCATAAGCTTCGTACGAACATAGCCGAATGAAATGTTTAAGCCTTATATAAGAGTATGAACCTAAAGTTGACAGTCCCATGCTGCCTCCAGCTGGAGCTCTAGTTTCTGTTAGCTGAATTTCATGAGGTACCTAATATCACGTAGATAAATTATTTATAGTTTATTATATGACACTTGTACTGATAGCTTAATTAGCAACATTATAGGTTAACCTTTCTAAATTTTAATCGCAACGTATTATTTATTTCTGTTGTTGACGGAAATGCTTCATAAATTATGATGTCTTGATCGATATGTGTCTATTGATAATACGTGGTGGAGTCCAAAGTATTAATTGATTTTTAACAATTTAAAAATATTTTCAAAAAGTCACATAAAATACTTACTACAATCAAGATCTTTCTCTGTTCGTAGCCCATCCCAACCACCAAAATCTCATTAACGTGAGGCATATTACCAGTAGATCGAACGCCATCAGTATTACTAGTTGATTACAAGTAGAGAAGTTAATAGCTTCTAGAATGCATACTGATCTAGCCTTTCTATACAGCTATTATTTTTATTTTTACCTGTAGCTATCTTCATCATCACTAGTAGCAGCTAATATCAAAGGAGCAAGAGCAAAGCCATTTACAGTATAAACTTTATCATAAGATGGAATTGAGTAGACCTAAATGTTATTATTAGAGAAGGCCGTATTATAATTTTTCTATGTTTCAAATATGAAGTAATACTAATCCACGAGTAGGTTCAATACCTCTAGTTTTCCATTATCTAAACATAAGAATAACCAGTAGCTAACTTTTCGCTCCAAATTATCTGTGTAAGATCTGTAGAAAGTAGGTAAAAAATGTCAAGAGCCGGAAAGAATTATTATCGTTGAATAAATAGGCTCACGTCGATGCGACTGGTACATCATTTGTTTGAAGGTTAGTATCATTGACATCAAGATACAATAATTCATCATCGTCAATGGTAAATTTTCTAATTTGCATCAAATAAATGAGGAGGGAGATTTAGTTAGATTTAAGATGACGATAAAACTGTAAGGGTATTTACTATATAGCTACTAACTCATCTTCCATCAATTCTGCAGGTTCATTCGTTGGGCTTGGAGTACGTATTGATATACCATCAGAAACTGACATCCTACCATTGTTGTCTTGAAATAGGCAGCAAGCCGCTATTCTAGAATGCTGCAGAAATAGACACACCAAGCAGTTCCTTTTAAAATAATTAAATAATGGAAGATGCAAAAATTTACACGGAACTTACATTTAGCGGAGTCGTGTTGACCAACTTTACTTGTTTTTCTCCGTTATCGCTTAATTCAAAAGCTAACATCATGATACTACCACCCTCTAACAACAGAGAAATGTAAGGATCTTGCAAGGAACAAAATACTATCGGGCTCTCATTTTCTAATTCTAATTGTTGTATCTTTTCTCCTACATTGTAATAATAGAATACGTAAGACCGCTAACAATGCACTTCAAAACGAAAATATTTTTAAGCCCTAACCTTTAGAGACGAGAATCACTTCGTAGGGTGTTACCTAATTCGTGCAAAACACATATTAAGTATCGTTATGACTTAGCGAATAACTTAATAGTAATCTAGTATAGTTATTTGTATCATTTGTTGTACTTGAATAATGCAGTTGCCGTTGTCTAAATTGCCAGCAAATACAGTTTTCGTCTGAGTCAAAAATCCAAGCTGTTCTACTTCGGTTATTTCTTTGCCCGTACGTAAAATCTATATACATATAATGTGAAAATTACAAAAGTGCCAATTATAATAAGAGTGATTATTAAATTTTTTACCATGGTCAAATTGTCCCGGCTAATAATCAAAAATTTGTGAGTATTTTCAGTTTCAAAATCACCATCATTTTCATCGTTTAACTGGTAATGTAAAAATAGACAAAATATTGCAAATAAAAGAAATGATAAATGAATGTTGCATGCACCTGTAAACTGATACCTTAGTGTATATATTCGTTCTACTTACTCGAATATCTTTTACAGTCCACATATCAACACATCCTGGTAAGTCGTAAGACGCAACAACTTGCGGCTTAATGCCTTTATTCAGTACCGACAAAGCACCATTCTTATCATGACCAGAGCATATTACAACTTCTACATCGGACTCTTCTTGTACAAACTACATAAATAGTTGATTTCACATTTTTCAATCAAAATTCAATAAAGGCTTTATCTTCATAATTAGTGTTTAAATCTTTCTTACTTCATCCTGTTGATACGATTTTCGAAGAATTGCATCCATTGATAATGATAATACGTCGGAATGGGAAGCAAAAGTACATTTCAAATGAGCAGTTACATACGTAAAAATATATCGTTTAAGTTACAGTAAAGGTATTTTATGCTTACAGTTGATATTTGACCAATTGCTATACTTGCACACGGACCAACGTGGAGAATTCTGTCGCAAACCTGGAAATAATATGCTTAAGAAATGATTATCCCAGTACATTACAACGTTACTGAACACTTTACAGATCATTAAATAACCTCAAAAGTATATGACCGCAAATAGGATTCTTTAGCAGTGCAACTGGTATGAGCACTATACAATTTCTCCAATTCTTCATCTTCCTTTTCGTCGTCTACATATTACCAACAGAATATAATCAGTTCACCAAAAAAAATATTTTATAAATGCAAATTAAAGTTTCATTACCCGTTCGTAATTTCTTCGATGTTGGTTCATCAGTATCTTGCGTCTATCCAGTAGCATCGTGTAAAATGTGTAAAATGTTATGAAATGTTTGTATTTGAAGATCTAAAAATACTAGCAATTTCTAAGAAAAATAATTTTGTTCCTACTTCTGGAGTATTTGGCGCTAGATCAGCATCATCTATGAGATAAAATAATAAAAGCAGTTGTCATTATCCCAATAACAAGATTATAATGTAATTGTAAATTGCATATGTTACATCTTTCGACTAATTCCTCCGATGTTTTTTCGTGTTTTAATAATAGCGAATTAGCAAGCCGGGATCCTAGAAAAATAAATTTGGGACCAATACTACAAATCTACAAAATTGAATTAAGACATTGAATAGTTTAACATTTCTTTGGTCAAGTAAACCGTAGTATATTAATTCATGAATTAATTAATTATTACGTACACAAGATGTGATTACACAGTTCACCGCCTTGCGAAAGTTGAATGATTTTACATTATACATAGCATCAGTGATTAAACTCAGGACAACTCTAAAAGTGGTTAAGAAATCAAGTAAATTGGTGATAAGAAAGAGTAATATTTTCGTTACGAGTCAATATTTGGAAATAAGCGTTACGCACAAATCACCATTCTTTAGACCGACAACGAGTTGATTATTATTTATGAAGGTAGCATGAGAACAGTCTAATGATAAAGTCATATCTTGGATACCTAGTTAGAATATATGTAATGGCATAGCATGAGTGTCATTCTATTTTGATTACTAACATCTTAAGTTGTAAAGCATTAGATACATCAGAATTTTCAATTAATGATGCATACGCATAGGAAAGGTGGTCGATTCATCGGTGATGCTATTAAGAGATTCTGCATATGGAGGTTTGCTTTGATTTAAGTGCAGCAAGCAATTAGCAGCAAATATCAGTACACCACCTGAAAAAATTTTTAGAATTTACCATTTTTCAAAAAGAAATTTTTAAACATACTCTATATAGATATTACCTATAGGTCTTGGAACAGTAATTGCACCCAAACAGTCAAAGGGTAAGTTATTCAATGACCAAATAACAGGATGGACTTTATCAATAGTATTTAGTGATACAGCCAATATTGAACATGTATCTTGTCTAACGGCAACACGTCTGCAAGATAGTAAAGAAAATTTGCTATAATATGACCAATACATTAGGTTATTAACTATTTGTTGCTTATAATACAAACTAGTAGTATATATTTTTACTTCACTATGTAATAATCATACTCTAAAAAAATTGAGCTTACCCAGACCATGTACGAAGTATTTCACACAAGATTAATATTGTAGGTTCGTAATAACCTTCGAGAAAGCGAATATCGATAAGCCGACTAACTTTTTCGTTACCCAAATCGCGTACATCAACAACATACGACGGCATCAAAGGATACTTGCCACTATATTTTCAAATCAATCCATTATATTAGAGTAAATTGAAAGGTACGACAAAACAGCTGATGTTGTGTGTTGAATTCATGCTCAAGACAAAAGTAGTACGCATACCTTGTATTTTTAGGATCAATTTGTACTTGCTGTTCTGCTGGTCCTCGATGTCGAAAAGGTAATATTGCAAGATGTACGTTACTGACAACCATGGCAGCACATCGATTATCAGGATCAACTCGAATGATAGGTATAGAAAGATTGCGAGAAAATCCGTTCTGAAATAGAGATAAGATTTTTAGAGTATATACTGTTGTCCATTAAATCATCCTTGAATAGTCCAATAGGAACTATACAATTGGACGTACCTTTAATTCGTCATCTTCGAATGTATGCAGTGATAACGTTGTTAAATTGCTATTATCAGCGTCATATTCTACAAGTGATAGCTATATGTGATAAAGTTGAGAAGATGTTTAGGATTTGTCATGGAATACTGTGTATGACAGTATCTTGTTACTGTACGAGCAACGAAGTAATCAAGTCATGACGATCATTGTCGTGGTATAAAAACGTTCATTAATAATTACCTTAGCATCGGCAAAACAAATAAATAGCGAATCACGATGATGATGTCGAAATCGTACAGATTCTATGCCATAAATTTTGCCATAAAAGGAATAGCTGGCTAGGAATTCTAATTCAGGATGGAGTTTATTGTCTGTGGAGTGAAAATACGGCATTACATTTTATGCTGTAGATCTCTTTTTAGCATATACCGCCGTGGCAATGCTTTCAGTTAAATTACTTAGCAGCAGCACCTTTGTTAAGGTGATTGTCAGCATTATCACTTCTATTATCTAAATCGATGTCTTCTTGGTCCTAGAATAGGATAGAAACAAATATACTGTCTGTATCAGATTGATGTTACCAGGATAATATCATTAGTAGTACAATCTTGCAAGAGGTTATAGATCGTAAACATGTTGATAGAGTTGATTTGAGCAAATTAGAAGAGTTGTGGCCTAAATTGACTAGACAATCGACATTGGCTATCTCTCAAGCTGATGTTGCGATACAGTATAATGATCGTAAATAGTGTTTAATGAGAATAAAAATAGAAACTAATTTATTTATTGCCCTGAAATAGACCAGCATGCAATTACTACCTTAGTACAACTAGATTAGTCAACATGCTAGTAGAATCGATCGAGCATCATCCACCGTGCAATCTAGTCATCTAGCTCTTGTCATTGTTGAAGCCTTGACAAGTCGAGTTGTAGGATTGTATTTATTCTATCGTCATACCTTAATGATATCATATACACGGATGCATGTTGGACCTGCTGTTAAAAGATTTAATCGATCCGAGGAATAAAAATGGCAAGCTAAGCAATGATTAACAGCAGTTGGAGGATAACTTTCTTTATAGCAAGCGTACATGATGATGCCGACATTAAAACGCTTCAAGACGGAGACTCTCGATTGCGCAGGAATGAGCTATCGAGTTACCATGCACCGAGGATGCAGTCGGATAGCAGGTCTGGTGACGATTGTACTGTACACTGTAGGGTATGTACTGTACTGTACAGTACTGTACAGTACAGTAGAGTACTGTATCTTGACTATCGTGAACTACACGTACAGTACACTGTACAGTACTTCTACTGTACAGTAGTCATCTTTTGTTAGTTTCTACGGTAGTTTTCCAATACAGAGCCAAAAGCGCTGTCTCCTTCGATACTGTACTAGTTGTACAGTACAGTACAGCACAGCATAGTACACTGTACTGTAGTCTACGATACTTAGCATTATAACCAGGACTGTACACTGTAACAACCGTGTCGCAGGTTCGTACAACTCAGCTAGCATGTTACCAGTAGAGGTGTCGCCAGCATACAGTAGTCCAGGTACAGTACAGTACTGTACTGTATACTGTACACAGTAATACAGAGCCAAAAGCGTTGTCTCTACTTCGATACTGTACCAGTTGTACAATGTACAGTACAGTACAGTACAGTACAGTAGGCCACAATACTTAACACTGTGAAACATGACTGTACTGTACTGTACACTGTACAATCGTGTTACCGGTTCGTACTGTGCTGTACAGTACAACTCAGCTCTCCTTCGATACAGTACTGTACTGTACAGTACTGTACTATAGACCACAATACTTAACACTGTAAACAGGACTGTACACTGTAACAACCGTGTTGCAGGTTCGTTACCGTTCGTACAACTCAGCTAGCATACTGTACAGTAGTACCGGTAGAGGTGTCGCCAGCATAGTCCAGGTACAGTACAGTACTGTACACTGTACTGTACTCTGGCCAAATTCCCAACAGCATCTCCCTGACTGTCACCAATATCGCGCAAGCGTACGGTTGATCTGGCATAACTGTAGAGGTATAGTATAGTACAGGAAAATGCCTCCAATGGGGCCCTACATTTAGTTTTTCTCTTCGCTCTATTAGATCAAAATATGAAAAAGTAAAATACAAATGCTTCTCAGCTACAGGGCTCCAGTTACCGGCTACAAACCCTCCCAATAGCATTGTCTTGTCACCTACCAAGTTATAGTTTGAACCTCCTCGCAATTTTAGCTAGCTTGCTTCTAACTTTTTTTCCACTTATGAATGAAATTGATCGCTAGTACGTACTGTAAAGGTAAAGACAGGGACAGGGGCAAACGCTGAAATTCTGCTGTTATGCAGTAGATTATACAGTCGAGGGATCCAGATTATAAGAAATGTATCATAATGTTAGCTAGACACTCCGCATAGACACTTCCATAGGAGTGTCTAGCAAGTGTCTAGCTTAGGAAAACATTTTTATATTCTGAATCCCTCCACTCTACAGTATACTGTATATATAGATATAGATGTACTCGTACATACTGCTAAAATGAGTCAGTGATGAATGAGCAAAAATCAAAATGAATGCTAGGAGAAATCTTCATACAGTATCGCCAGATGCAATTACTGTATAGTACAGTAGCGTATAGTTGTTCGTATACTATACTATATCCTAAGTAGGTGATGCTGTCCTGGTACAGTATGCTGTACAATGATTCCCGTATCGTAATCATCCTTATACTTACTGTATATTATCATCAACTAAACGTAAAATCAATTTTTGGGGGATAGAGTTGAGAAAAAGTGGAAAAAAAACATTTCTTGACACTTTTATAGTATTGCAGTGGATCGATCCAGATCATTCAGTATCAGTACTGTACTCTAATCTTATTCATTGGCTCAAAATTGATCATCTTGCTTGGCCTATCCAGCGTAAATTAATTTATTCATTGTGATTGGATTTTATTTTCATTGATTGTAAAGGGACAGCAACACTTATATTGCAATCATGACAACGGGAAAATATCGATTTGCAATTGATCGAGGCGGAACGTTTACTGATATCTATGCCGAATGCCCCGCAGGTAAAATTACTACTATGAAATTACTCTCAGTTGATTCTGCATACAAAGATGCTCCTACCGAAGGTATCAGGAGAATATTGCAACAGGTGCATAGAAAGTAAAGGATGAAATATTGATCACATTTATTTTGATGCCATGTAGCCTAGCATTCATGATACCAATGGACTTTTGTGATACTGTATCTATATTATTTGTATATAGCATGAAGGCTATGATATCGATCCAGGTCAACCAATCAATACACAGAAGATTGAGTGGATTCGAATGGGAACAACGGTGGCTACCAATGCCTTGTTGGAAAGGAAGGGCAAAAGAATGGCTTTAGTTATTAATCGTGGATTTCGTCATCTGTTACACATTGGTAGTCAAGCTAGACCTCAAATTTTTGACTTGGTAATAGACTTAGGCGGATAATGTGCAATCAATTTTTATTTCATTGTAGCCCTATTAGCCACTGTATCAATTTCTGTCATAAATAGATTACACTGCAAGTAGACAAATAAAAAGGATTAGATGTCATTGGAACGCCATAACATTTATAGATTGTATCATTGATTACTACGTTCATAACATATTAGATGGGTAAAAAAAAATAATGGTTGCTATTAGTCCTACTACTATCATATTGCCAATCCAATGAGGTCGTAGCATTCCTTAAACTTCAGAGTTGTACTAGTCTCGACTCTATAATTAAGTTACTTCTTAATGAACGAGCACAGTCTTGTAGGTAGTTTGAAGCCCAATTATCTTACTTCACAGAAAGCAATTTTCAGGCGTTTTCTCGTTTAGTAAATTGACTGTTTTCTAACATTCTTTTACTTTGACAATATCAGAAAATTGAATGCCCTACTAACCTTTATGAAGATATCGTTGAAGTGGATGAAAGAGTTGTACTAGATAGGCAGGATTGCTGTCTGGAGTGGTTGAAAAATAAACCTACTGTTGTAGGTAAAACCAATGAAAAGGTTCGTTATACAGGCAGTCTATTCATGTACAATTGAATTGTAAAACTAGATACTTGTTACCATCATAGTATCACAGTTGATATCGAAATCTGTAGGATTTTTATCGCTAGCCTTTACTGTATTTTCCTTTTTAGTAGTGCTCAATGCTAGGGTATTATTTGGTAGCTTCATATTTCGCCTAAAGTACAGTAGTACACACCTTCTTTTTATAATAATATGTATATCCTTGGCAAGAGAATGAATGCTGGATACACTAAATTAATCACCTATTCCTCTTTGATATCTATAGCTTAAAATAGTCAAAGCCATTAATGAAGAAGAGCTTAAAAGTGATTTACAGGTATAACCATGTAACTTAACTTTACCGGATGGATTCTTCATATCTCATATCTATAAAGATTTCAGTTATATGGTATCCTAACATTAACAATGCCATTCTATAGGTGTTTAACAGATATTTACAGTCAGACTGAATATTTTGCTTTATGCATATTCCTTTATAGAAAGTACTAGATAAAGGAATTTCTAGCCTAGCTGTTGTCCTCTTACATTCTTACACGTAATGAGCATCTTATCTGTGACTTATAAATCAACTTGCAGGTAGTGCAGACTGATTATATGTTGTTTACAAATTTAGCTTCGATGAACATGAGCGAAGAATTGGTAAAATTGCTCAACAAATGGGATTTGAACATGTTTCGCTTTCGTCTGAAGTTATGCCAATGTTACGAGCTGTACCAAGAGGATACACTGGTACGTACTATATTGGTTTTTATTGTCTACATTGTAGTTAATCTTAAAGCTGATTTGTATTATTAATTCTTACCATAAATTTAAAAACACGATTATTTCTATATTGAATTTAGCTTGTGTGGATGCTTATTTGACACCCTGCATCGACGAATATATTCGAAATTTCACTTCTGGATTTGATGAAGGGTTAAAAGTAAAATGCGATATTACATGTGTATTTGTTAGATTTTTGTAGGACAGAATAACTGTACAAACGTGTAGTGCACTTATTCTATAATTTAACTATTACTCTTATGTTACTTAATAGAACGTAAGAGTACTCTTTATGCAATCTGATGGTGGTCTAACACCGGTCGACAAGTAAGTTTGCAACTATTTCTTTAATTATCGTAGTAGTAATTGTTATATGTATCCAACAAAAACAAAAGTCTACTTATGGATTTAATACATTTACTTTTATTATGGTAAAATGTTGTCGAATTTAATAGTGATGATACTATATTTAGGTTTATTGGCTCGAGAGCTATTGTATCTGGACCTGCTGGAGGAGTGGTAGGTGGCTAGGTGTTGATAGAGAAAATTATTTATGCAAATTTAATATGCCGTAAGGATGTATGAGCACAGTATAAGATGTAAGTTGGGATATTAAATTTCTGCTAAGGTTGGGTATGCGGTGACATCATATGATAGTGAAACAGAAGTACCAGTAATTGGCTTCGATATGGGAGGTTAGTTGTCATTCTACTTTTGCGTCGCGAAGTGCGTGTGTTATCAAGAAGGCCTATACGCTTGTGATTTAAAATGCAGGTACATCCACTGACGTATCAAGATATGCTGGAATAACTGAGCATGTTTTTGAAACGACCATTGCAGGAGTTACTATACAAGCACCGCAAGTATTTTTTATTTTTATTATCGAATTCAATAAATTATGGCGTAAAAAGCATCTCTTCGGAATTATAGCTAGATATAAACACTGTTGCTGCTGGAGGAGGATCGAAACTATTTCTGATTTCTGGGGTTCTTACTGTTGGTCCAGAATCTGCCGGAGCTAATCCTGGTCCGGCTTGTTACGGTAGAGGTAAGAATATATTATTTTTGATCCGATAACTTTCTAGCATATTTTTCGCAATAAATTTACCAAGTTTACTATATTACTTTTATAGAGCTAAAGCTCTGTTTTGGAATTTGTATGTTTCTTTGTAGGTGGACCAGCAGCTATTACAGACGCTAATTTATGCTTAGGAAGACTATTGCCAGAGTGAGTGGTTATAGCTAAAATATAAACATGTTTATCTAGCATTTCACCCTAACTGGAGATTGTATTGTAACTTTTCTTCTCATACGCACATTTAAATGCGAAGATATTTTCCTAAAATTTTTGGTAAAAATAATGATGCCCCATTAGATAAAGGCGCCGCCAGACAGGCATTACAATTACTTACCGATAGTGTAAGTTACTTTACTCTAATTAATGTTGTGGCCTTTCGGGTCATATTTTTAAATTTAATTTTTATTTTTGTAGGTAAACGAATTCCTTGCTGGAGAAGGTGATCGTGTGAATAAAAGTAACCTATCTTTGGAAGAAGTTGCAATGGGATTTATACGAGTCGCAAATGAAACAATGTGCAGACCTATTCGATCAATAACACAGGTAGGAATAACGAATTCATTATAATAAATCAATGTGTATCAACATATTGCTATAACAATTATTCGAAAACTAACCTAATAACGCACTATTATTACATTATCGTACAAGGGAAAGGGTTATGATACATCTCAACATATATTAGCATGTTTTGGAGGAGCAGGGGGCCAACACGCATGTGCTATTGCTCGTTCATTGGGAATGTCCAAAGTTGTTATACATAGGTTAGCTTATAGATAAATCTCCCATTAACATTAGGCATAATGCTTATGTATCATTTATACCGTTACAGACTTACTTTTAATTAAAAATTAAACAAAGTGTTTATTTATTTTAATTATCAGCAATTATATTAATTTCCTTTATTTTGAAGTTGAACTTTTTAATGGGCGATCCCTCTATTTTCGATATAGATATTCTGGAATACTTTCGGCGTATGGCATGGCTCTTGCCGATGTTGTGCACGAACAACAAGAACCATGTGCCGCTACATATAAGCAAAGTACGATTCAGACTCAATTCTGAATTCTGATTGCGGTTTTAATAAATCATTTATTTAATCTCAACTAGTCCACATTATAATAAATAACAGCGGATTAAATTCTCATAACTTTAGGTGACTTTCAACAATTAGATGAACGAATCGATTATTTACGTGGTAAATGTATTAAAGAGTTAATGGTGCAGGGATTTCATAAGTACGAAGATTTACTGATTATACGTGTATATTCACTGAAAAGATTAATTTCATCACTTAACCTTTCCTAACACTCTTCTTAAGATCTCAGATTAAGACCGAGGCATTTCTTAATATGCTTTATGAGGGTACTGATTGCGCCCTTATGTGTCAGTCCTCACCTGATGATACGGTAATTTATCAAGTTTTGATGTTATATTTCCCTATTCTTTTCGTTAGTTACTGATAATTAGTACTTTGATTAGAAAATAGCCACGGATGAATGTTGCAGGAATGGAGATTTTCGTAAAATTTTTACTACTAGGTATGGGTAATTGACTGCATCTTTAGCTTATACAGTACCACGCATAGATTTTTTAAAGCATGTTTTGTATCGTGTAAAAATATATACGCGTATGTACTGCATATATAGGTATAAAAGAGAGTTTGGTTTTATGATACCCGATCGTACTATCCAAGTGTGTGATATTAGAGTTCGAGGAGTTGGGATGTCCGGTATTACTCAATCGTATGATTTACCGATGGCTCATGGAGCCCCACCGCTTGAACGGGTAAGGGTACACGTAATAATGATAAGTACCGGTTGATATACGAGTATACGTAATATGATAACAGTTTTACAATAATAAGAACACCATTTTCTGCTGTTGTCACACAGACTACGAAATGCTATTTTGAAGACGGTTATCATGAGACGAAAGTCTACCTACTAGAATCTTTAAAAATTAACGATACAGTTGTTGGTCCAGCAATCATAATTGATAAAAACAGGTATTTCCATAAGTATTTCATTTCTTACTAAAATCTATTTGCAATAGCAATCAAATTTATATTTATTATAATGCTTTTCGATAGTACGATCCTTGTAGAGCCTGCATGCAAAGCTGTAATAAATAAACTTGGAGATATCATTATTCATGTAAGATTTGTTCTCGATAAGAATTGAAATAAATATATCTGGTAAAATTCGTAAATATTTATAATTGTACATGCACAGATTGCAAAGCGTTCAATAGCAACTATCGGAAATAATCTTGATGTCGTTCAGGTATATTTGCATTTGGAGTGTTAGTATAAAACTAAAGATGTGATCTAAAACGGATCATTGAAGTCGACTTTTATTTCTACGACAGCTTTCTATTTTCTCTCATCGATTTATGAGTATCGCAGAGCAGATGGGAAGGTAACGTAAACTGTTATTTCAATTTAGCTACTAGCTATTCACACTATACGTGCTTAGCATTGCTATTATTTATACTTCGGATCTTTCAGAATTTTACAAAGAACTTCTATTTCAACTAACATAAAGGTATTTTTTAAAAATCGCTGACTTGATATAAATATTGAGTTTTCCGATAATATATAATCAATCACTGATGTGCACTTATGTATTTTGTTCTGTCTTAATAATTGCTAAGGAACGTTTGGATTTCTCATGTGCTCTTTTTGGACCAGATGGTGGTCTTGTTGCTAACGCTCCCCATATTCCTGTGCATTTGGGGGCAATGCAAGAGGCAGTCAAGTGTCAGGTGCAGTATGGATTTTAAAATCAAATGAGCTTATGTTAGTTGAAATAAGACATCTACGTGAGATTGGTTAACTCCTTCTTGTGTTTGCTGGCATTCATAGATTGAAAAATTAAATATAGAATTAAATGATGGAGACGTAATTCTTGCTAATCATCCCCAGGCTGGTGGCAGCCATTTGCCAGATCTAACAGTTATAACACCTGTAAGTATACTATTATACAGCATTTTGTTACGTGGTATTTTAATGAAAAAGTAAAAATTTTTTCATTGCGGGCACATATTGTGATTATCATAAAGGTATTTTATACTGGTAATTCTAAGCCAGTATTTTTCGTGGCCAATCGTGGCCACCATTCAGACATCGGGGGCATCACTCCAGGTACCATGGAAAACATTCGAAATTTTTCCTTGTTCTACTTGGTTTAAATTGCTAATATGGAAATTGTTACTAAAATTCCAATACAGGATCGATGCCGGCAAGGTCTACGACTTTAGAACAGGAGGGTGCAATCTTTAAGTCTTTTAAGCTTGTAAAGAATGGAATATTTCAAGAAAAAGGTAACTATTGAAATCCATGAAGTAGTTGTTGTGTTGTTAAATTTAATACCAATGTTTCGAATATCTTATTGTAGAAGTTACAGAGATGCTTATGCGCCCTGGACAAATTCCTGGAAACAGCGGAACTCGTAATCTTCACGATAATTTGGCTGATTTACGTGCACAGGTCGCTGCAAATCAAAAGGTAAAGATATCTAAGTTGTTCATTAGCGACGATTTTGCTTCTTTACATTTGGCAGATAACAAAGTTTATTGCATATTGATAGGGCATTACGCTTGTAACAGGCTTGATTAAAGAATATAGTCTGGAGGTTGTTCAAGCCTATATGACTCATATTCAGGTTAGTACTAGCAGATTATTTGTCAGTTTAGAAATCAAAGCTAATCAATTTGCAAAATATAAGCTCTGTCCTATTAATGTTTCTTATGGAATAGGAAAATGCAGAAGTTGCTGTGCGAGATATGTTACGAGAAGTTGCGAAACGTAATAAGGTAAATTCTATAGCAATATAAGTAGAAAATTTTGTAATAAGTTAATTTGACTTCTCTTCTTGCTTCATCAGACAAAAGAAGGAATAGCAACGCTATCTGCGGTAGACTATATGGATGACGGTACACAGATTCAGTTAGAAGTCACAATAAACGAGGAAGAGGTTCATATAGTTTCTGTCTAATTTTCAAATTTATAAATTTTATTTTTAGACGGCTAAGTCTATGCTATCATCCTTGTAGGCTAGTGCTGTTTTTGATTTTACTGGTACGGGGCTTGAAGTTGCAGGAAATTGTAACACTCCACCAGCAGTAACGTTGTCAGCTCTCATTTATTGTTTACGATGCATGATAAATCACGATATACCCCTTAATCAGGTTTGTTTAATTTCTAATTTAAATCTTGTACTAACTACTTTCAATTGGTATAGCGAAGTCTAAGGCATTGTTTCGTAATTTGATTATATTTACAATTCCAAATTATGGTCATTAGGGCTGTCTAAATCCCATCAAGACGATTATTCCCAAAGGCACAATACTATATCCAACTGAAAATGCTGCTGTAGTTGGCGGCAACGTCCTTACCTCACAACGTATTGTTGACGTTGTATTCAAAGCATTTTCTGCGTGCGCTGCTTCACAGGTACCTTATAATTAATACTTTATTATACGCAGTGCCTCTCCATCTGTGTAATTTTGTTAATTCCTAGGGATGTATGAATAATATCACTTTCGGCGACAGAAGTATTGCTTACTATGAAACTGTTGCTGGAGGAGCTGGAGCGGTAAGACTTGTAATTGTAAATATTTCCAACGAATTATTGTATGCAGACTGTAAATTTTACTTTTGAAAAATTCTATATCTACACTTGTATTACCTCTATTTCAAACTTATATATCAGGGGCCAACTTGGAATGGGCGCAGCGGTATTCATACACATATGACGAATACTAGGATCACCGATGCAGAAATCTTAGAAAAAAGGTACAAGTGCTACCGTCTTGAATTTGAAGTTAACGAGTTTATACCGCTTTAATAATATCAGAATAAGCCTTCTGATGTCTTAGTAACACAGTTATCCGGTATTTTGATAAGGGATTCTTCAAAATTTGTATTACTTTTCATTAGATATCCTATCATTTTAAAAAGTTTTACAATTATGCCTAATACTGGTGGAAGAGGACAATGGTGTGGTGGTGACGGAGTGATAAGAGAATTGATGTTTAGAAAGTCATTAACACTTTCTGTTTTAACTGAGCGCCGGGTCTTTGAGCCGTATGGATTGTTGGGTAGGCAATAAAGAGAATAATGTTATAGTTGGCTTTGATTATTTAAATTCATTTTCTAATATTTATACAAACATAACATAGGAGGAGAACCTGGCAAAAAGGGACAGAATATTTTAATATATAAAAACGGACGACAAGCCAATTTAGGTTCCAAAATTTCAATCGATGTTGAGGATGGTGTAAGTATGAAAGACAATTAGATATTGCATTTACTTTTGACCTGAGATGATTACTTTAAGGCTTGACGGATTTTAAAATTTAAGATATAACAGAAGCTTTATAATACGATTAAATGAATTTTGGTTAACGTTATAACTTTTAGCTATTTTAGATAGTAATATAAAAGCCCTGATTTTCAGAAGTGATAATGTTAACGTATATATATGTATTTATTAATTCACGCGATACATAGGATATTTTTCGACTAATATCGCCTGGTGGCGGTGGCTATGGGGCATATAATCCGGTATCAGATTAATATATTTATTAATGCAATGGCTACAATTGCGTTAAAGTGGGCAAACAAAAATTAACCTAGCTGCATCATCGGAATTATTGATTTTATTTCTCGTCACTTTTGTAAAATTTAATTACACTAAAGCGTACTTTAGCGTGTAAGAGTAGAGTACAAAGAAATCATAAAGACGTCTATATTACATTGAAATGATAATTCCTTTATTATGCTATAATTAATATACACTCATACATAGAAATGATTAAGAAAATGTATTTGAATAATTTGGGAATAAAACTACAAATGAAATCATATTTGTAATAACACATAATGAATTTTTGAGCTACAGCAGTATGCCGATAATATACGCTTAGCGAGAGACTTAAATGCAACATGCTTAGAGAAGATTCAGTAAGATAGAATATCTGCGAAAGAATATTAAATTATTAAACGGGCTGCAGTTGACCGATATATGCATTGCCTACCAAAGACAGTTGTTTAGGTATGACATGCATGCCACTGTACAATATCGTGCGATGTAGAAGTGCATCAATACCTACATCATATAAGTAAGTACCTTTTACTGCTGCTATGTCCTACTAACTTACTGATTAGCATACCCTTTCAATTTTATAAATTTTGTTAAAGCTAAGTATGCAACATTTTGACGTGCTAGTTTTTTGTTTTTATACGAATTTAGACCCTTAATTGTAATCGTTTTCGAATCGTCCGATTCTAAATAAACTACACCAAAAAATGAGAGAGTTCCGTCATCCTGTCGCTGCTCTTCGTAACTGTATTTAGCCAATGGTATCCGTAATTTCTGACATATCATCATTAGCTGGCTAACATAATTAGTTGCAATGGTTTTACCCACTGAAGATTCTGCCAAATAAACATTAGTGATAACATCACAAGATAAGACACGCAAAGATATTCCATTGATAAATGTAGCGTAGGAAAGGAGTTAATACATTCATATACAGTATGTATGTACTGTATACTATAAATAGCAAAAGTTGTAATTATTTGCCTCTTAATTTAAAAATCGTTATACCTTCAAATTCTGATAGATTTAACAGCATTTCCTTAACGTCTTCTTCAAATTTTTTATTTTTTGTTGGTTTCACATCTTTTGCATAACTAACCAATATAGAATCATCTAGTATTGCGGGATTTACGCGATTACAGTGAAAATAAAAAGTGTAAATTAGTTATATAGTAATATCTATGAGGATAATCATCGCGAAGGTAAAGAAGTTAAGGGATTTTAAATTACCTCGGGGTAAAGGCTTCCGTAGAAATTCCGGTGATGATGCCATAACAACTCGATTAACACCTTTATTCTAATTTATATGATAGGAGGTATTTAACAATGTACATGTAGCAGTTATTATAACGTTCTTTATAATAGAATCTTGGATACATAGCTATTACTACAAAGTCGAAATAGCAAGAACGCAAAATTCTCCAATAAAGTCCTAAACAGAGAGAAGACTCTACTCTGAACACAGCAATGTTCATGTGCAATAATAAGGTATCATTTCTAAATTAAGTCTTGCCTTAGTGAAATTCATAATCACTGATGATAATTTCTTGGCATCTTTATTACTAGCAGGAGTCGGTAATATTTTATTAGTCTTTCTTCCTTTCGAAGAATATAACTTGTGTTCATACACTACTTTAGGATCATAAATATGTAACGACTCTTGCTTTGGCATTCGCTTTGATGATTTCTATTTGAAAAATTACATCATAACAAGCTTAGTAATGTATATATATACAGTGGATTAGAATAGAGTTATTATTCCCTAAGCTGTAATTTCTCTACAATATACTCTACTACAGCATACCTACTAGATGGGATAATATTTAATAGGGTACTCTTAGTAAGTTTATATGCATATACCTCTTTATATCTGTTCGGTAATTTTATAGTTGCAGTAGAAGTAGGTATGATTTGATCCGAGTCTTGCTCTAATGGCTTGTTGTCATCTTGTGATGGCTGATTATCAGTTACCGATTGGCTAGTCCTTAATATTTTAGCCCTAGTTTTATATTCCTATTTGTAATGATGATGAGCATTTTTCAAAAATAACATACGAGGACATAATTTCTTGTAAGACTAATAAATAACTATTCGAACTACCATTAAATAAAATGTTACCATCATCTGTAAGTGCTGATTATTACTATCTATCACGGTAAAAGGAATAATTTAACGGTCTGTATTTTTCTTATACTATTCTTGCCACTTCAACGTTTATTCTGGTCTATTACCTCTTTTTCTCCATTTGGTAGTTGTGCCCAAGCGATTCTGACTGAAGATTTCACTTTAGTAAATTATAGTGGAATAATATCAATTCATTTTACTATTAAGTTCATTGTATCCGTTAAAGTTTAACGTAAATTTTCTATTCTATATATAGTTCATTGACATTGAAAAACTTGTAATTTCAAGTATTAAAGTGTATTACCAGAAAACAGTCATGTTTCAACAATATTACTAGCATCAAAACATGATCTTATTATATGACCTAACATAGTAAAGGTTGATGGTGCCAGACTTACAAAACTACAAAATTTGTATAATATATTATACCTGCATTTTGTTGGTCTCCACTCGCTTTAAGCTTTGAAAATTTCTCGTTATATTCTTTGATAAAGAGTGTATATGAAGTTCTAATAACAGTAAATACATTTACCTAAATTAAACAGATATGTTTTTGCTATTGACCTTCGCGGTAGAGCATTGGTGCACTTCTAATAGCTATTCCGTTTAGGCAAAATACATAGTATATAATTTCATAATGACTTACACTCTCTTCTGTCGCATGAATTGCTTCGTTAAAATGATTAACGCAGAGCTTATAGAGGAGCCGCTAGGTGAGAATAGACACAATCTAAAGAAAGAAAAATTAGAAATGTTGATCAGCTACATGAATCACGCCATTTATATACGTATTACGCCAAATATCAAGCTAGATAGCTATGATATACTACTTGCATACCCTGTTCCTCCAAGTTTTAATCTAAATTTCATGTTTAATTTAAATGCAGCTATATACTTGATAGTCTATGCCATTAACAAGGTGCTCGATGCTGGACGCGTCGTTGAAATCAGTTTTACCTTCTTTGCGTAACTACAGCAGCATTTCATATATCATCAGCAATCTTAGCCTTACTACTGTTACTATCAATATTGCTTATGTTTCTACAAAAAACAAAGAATATCGAGGAATAAGTCCTCCTCACTAGTTAGAAATCGACGATTAAGCGTAGAATTATTTGGAATTAAGCTTCACGATGGGAAGATTTCAGTAAGATTTGATTAACTTGCAGCTGCTCTTCTCCTAAGCTAAAGCGTGCAGCACTTAATAAGGCACACCGTATAACGTCCGTCAGTACCATCTGGCCTGTTGCAATTGACAGTATTGACTATGCGCAATGGTGTTAATGGTAAGTGCTAATCTTCATTACGAGCTGTTAGTATGAACTCTAGTTAATAGCATGCACGTACTGTTCACTAACCGAAGCAATAGTAGATAGTAGCCAGGTCTCCACAGCATTCATTAATGGAAGGTAGAAAGTTACCAAGCGTCTTTTTAATGAATGCTATCTCTATCTACAGTATATTAGGACCATAGAGATGGAAGAAATTCTTTTCTTAGATATCTCTGATCAGAATATACTACAGAACGGACGGCAAAAACTGTCTTATGTTTACGAATACTTTCTGTAGCTGCGGTGCAGTATATGTTTATGATCATAATACGGCAAAAACTGTCTTATGTTCACGAAATGCTTTCCGTAGCTACGGTACAGTATATGTTTATGATCATAATACGAGTATACTGTACTACGAAACAGACGGCAGAAACTTATCTTCTTTTGTGAATGGTGCCTGTCTACAGTTTATCGGAACTATAAAGATAGAAGAAATCCTTATCTTATATCTCTGAACATAATATACTACAAAAGTTGATAGAAACTGTTTTCTTCTTATGGAGTATCTGTCTATAGTTTATCAGAAGCGTAGAGGTAGAAGAAAACCTTTACTTATATATCTGATCAGAATATGCTACAGAACGGATGCTGTCTATCTACGGTTCCGATATACGAGATTGTTAGAAGATCTTTTGTTGTGTCCCCATGATCAGGCATACTGCAGAACGCATGGCAGATGGTTGCTGCAAATTGTCTTCTTTTTAAGAATGTTTATCTACAGTATATCAGAACTATAAAGATATAATAAATCCTTTTCCTATGACCATTATTAGATTTATAGCCATTAATTCGTTCCAGACATATCTATTCTCGTTTTTATTATAATCAATTTCGGCCCCACTTTTACAGTCTTCAGTATAAAGCGTACTCTAATACTGTATAACGTTCAATAACTACTTTATTTTTACCGTGAATATAGGTAATAAATAGGGCAGTTATTGATTAAGAGCGTATAAGTATCCAAATACTCTAGTACTTACTTGACATAATGCCATAGTCTGAGTTAAATTAAAATTTACTAATTGATGATTCTTCAGCCAGTAAATACTAATATCATTAACGCCTTAATAGATGATCAGAGAAATTTTATCGTTGTTCATTTAACTTACATATTAATAAATAGCATAAGTATTATGAATAAAATAAACAACAAAAAAATGGTAACACATCTCCAATTCAAATATGAGCAAAGAAATATACTGTAAGCGACATGCATAAGCGATTAAAATATAGACCATGGCTGTACCGTAGCATGGTTTAGCACTAAGGATTGTTAAATTACTCGACAAGAACAGTATGTAAAAATAGAATAGGTGCTGAATTAAGGGGACGATGGACTTATTTCGAGTTCGGGCTTTTTGTTGGAGAGAATAAAACTTTACCAACATTCTTTCGCTCGTGTATACGACGGAAGGCATCGGTAAACTACAGTTTTATGAAATGAAAGAAAATATTATTTGCAGCGGTGTGATTTAACCAGCCTTATAGTACAACTTGATTATAAATACTTCACTACTATAGATTGTAAAGTACATTTAGTTATCACTTACATCTTCGAAAGCATGAACAGAATCAATTTTCGGTTTAACAATTCCGTCATTATACCATCGAACAATATCAGAAAAAGCTGGAGGTAAAATTTTTTTGTAGTAGCCAGTAAACAAATGGCCAAGGTGAACTCCACCAACCATCTTGTTATCAGCCATCAGGTCTAATGGACTCCTTCCGCTCGTGTTCCACCACTAAGGAAATAGTAGAAGAAAAAATTTTAACAATGTAAATGTTACAATTACATTTTTGTGTTAGTTGCTTGCTGCTACGGTTCAATTTCTATCACTTGAACACAAAATAGTACACGTGATAATTTGATAAAAGTTGAGGCTATAAATTAAAACGTATGCGTAACTTAAAACTAACTTACTAACATACCGTTTTGGCTATACTCATCAAACTACGACTCCCACCAGTTACTATATTAGCACTCCCTGCAAATGGGAACACATGTCCGTATGTTATTGTAGTATCGCTTTACAACAAAAAAATACTGCCAAGAAAATATTAAAGATTGTGCCGCGGTAAACCAATAATCAGATATATTTACTATTTAGTATAGCCTTACCATAGACGATTTGTCTGCCAAAGGTTTTTGTTAAGTCATAATTTCTTTTATTCTCCGTGCCACCTAATGGGTCTAAAACCAGATCAATTCCCTCTGGTTCTAATCTAAAAATGATAGAGTCATTTTAAGACTGTATTAGTCTACTAGTAAATTGTATATTTAGAATGAGATATTACTAATATCTTTAACTAAAGGAATATACGAAATATATTGATTCATTATGTCAATTAAAATTAAGAAATATAAAAGCGTAATACTTTCTTATCTCATTGACATAGTCTTGGGTTCTGTAATCGATTAAATGGGTATATCCATTTTCTTTTGCGCCTTCATGCTAGTAATAAAAAGTTATTGCATATTACAAATTAATTTTCATAGATAGGCAATTTACATTTTATCATTTATTTTATCCATGGGAAAGACTGCGTATTTGTCTGATTTAACAGTAAACTAGCAATACCTTTCCTGCGGAACATGTACCATAAAGCGTAACCTTAGGGACAGTCCTGCAGAGCTGACCAACAGCATAGCCCTGCATAAGATAATTTTTTATATTAAAGACAATATAATGGTAACTTCAATTTCAAGTAATCTAAGCTAGCAAATTATATATTGGTAAAATTGGGTGATATAAAATTTTTGACTTACGACACCGCCTGCAGCCATATGGCATAGAACGCTTTGGCCTTCTTGTAAATTACCAAAATTAAAGAGCATGACGTAGGTCGTTAGGTAGTTTACAGGGATAGCAGCCCCTTCTTCGAATGACATACTATCAGGCATTACCACCACTAGATCGGCAGCAGTAATGGCATATTCACTCCATCCGCCGGATCGACATACACCTATTACTCGAGTTCCAACCTGACAAGTAAAGGCAAGAGATTTCTCCAAATAAATACACTTTCTAGCCTAATAGAAATTTATCTGCTACTTCATATCAAGAAAATAAAATTTTAAGTATTCTACTACAGATGTAATATCAAGATATCATGATGAATTTAAGTAACTGTAAATAAATAATGTTTTTCATTTAGTGCATTAAAGTATTCATAAAAGCATATATGACATTACTCTTGATAGATGTCCTACCATTCGCGTAACGCTCTAATATCAAATTTGTGATACTTACAGCAGGTTCAGTCACGCCTTCACCTAATTTATCAACCACACCAGCAACTTCATACCCTAATACACAAGGCGGCGTAGGATTAACATCATAAACCCCTTGACATGCCATCAAGTCAGCAAAGTTAATTCCGCTACAATAAAGCGATAATTATATGATAATATAATGAGTTCAGAGGATATCCGCATGATAACATATCATATAATTATTACAAGGTAATCTAGGCAAGATCTCAAAAGAATTCTGTTAATTAAATAGCAATGTACCAGCACTATTAGAATGCAAAGCAGGAATTTTTAGCTATCTGAGGGCTTCATCATATTTAGGCATCCACTAAATCTGATAATGGAATGACAGTAGCTCGGTTGCACTATAAAATTTTAGTATCATGCTAAAAAATGGAGCCTATCCACCTGGTGAACTTATGTTTTTAGTGTACAAGATTCAATAGTATAAAATGCAGTAAATCAATTTATGTTATCAATAGGCTAACTAATTAAAATAAATACGCGTATATGCACGCGCTTATAATATAATTAATTATATATTATTAATGGCATTTGAACAAGATAAATTTTGAATAGAGTGCAGAATTAAACAAAGACCAAACTTTCCAAATACTACCAATTTATAAGTTATTTGCAGGTTATCATTTAATATTAATGATAGTGGATCGTGTACGCCATCGCTGATTCTAATTATGTACGTGATGATAATGTTGTAAAATGCTCTAATTAGCCAAGATATAGAATTACATATCGTGTACATTACGAAAAATGCTGGTAAAATCAAGTCCATTTTTACAGTTTAAGTGTCCACCTACCATGCTTCAACTTTAATTCGAATTTCGTCTTTGGCCGGTGCAGCAAGGGATTTCTTTTGTACCTGGAGTTTGTTAACACTGCCATAGCCACGTAGCACTAACTGCTTATTTGTTTTCTCTTCAGCCATGATTGAATACGTATAGATTTCACGTTAACAGTACGCTATAACGTGCTGTAATATAGAGTTGTATGCAATGAGATTAATAGCAATATTTTACTCCCTCATAGCGTAGCTGGTAAGTACAGTTAGTAGGGTTACAAGTAGGCTTTAAGTAATGGCTAATGTAACAATTTCGAAAAGTTTAATTACATTAAACGTATCAATATTAATTATCGATGAAGAATCAAATGTATTATCCAGATTCTACCTATGCAGATAAACAGTTTAGTGCATGTAAATGTGAATGTTTCTTTTCAGGAGTTACTCCATACATGACTATAGTTGTACGTACTGTAACTCACCTACAGGATACTACAGTATTGCTATACTGTACGAGTACAGCGCACACACTGGCTACATAGTTAAAAGCTAAAACTATGTTACTGTACCTGTAACTCATAATGCGAAAAGTTAATTGTAAATGCGTATACAAATGCTGGACCAAACTTCATTTTATTGTTAACGCGAGCAACTAGCTGAACTATTGAAACTTGCAGCTTAAATATCATTGAAATGTTAAGTACAAAGATGATTTGCTCCAGTACCAACTTCTAAGAGGGTGATATCTGATTTCCTAACTACTGTACTGTATATCCGTCGAGCGGTTTTCATAAACATTGGAATCAGCTGAGTCATAGCCAGGGAGGGCGTATGTCCTTTAGCAAATCGATGACATGTCTAATGATTGCAAATGTACTCACTTGCACGCATCTTGTACTTCATACTATGTTACTCCTAATGTAGCTAATATCTATCTATTGACATCAAAATTTCAGATTCAATTTGAATTGACACTGTTATTTTACGTCTGTGGCGACGAAATCAACTCCATCTTTAGACAGTCAAACGATTATCAAGAACAGCTTATGCACATTGGCATTTGACATTTATCCTCATTTTTGCCTAGAATCAATGGTTGCTAGCTTACCTAGGGAAATTTAAAATGGCAACGTTAAGTCCAAGATCGGCAAAAAGGAGAAAATGGAAGACTTCCACCAGCAAACTTCGCTTTTAAACGCTGCACGATACTTGAGATATTGTACTGTACTGAGTACAGTGTGCAGCTTCAAAAATCACAGTACTGTACAGTACAGTACCTACTTTTTTATACTGTACTGTACAGTACTGTACTGTACTGTACTCTCCGAACTCATTTCCGCTCCCGCCCAGATCAGCTGATGAACGGCATGACGTTATTCAGAGACGGGAAATCACAGTAGTTTGTTCAGATTTATGGACATTAGAAGAGGAATTTGCATAATTGTAGAGAAAAAAATGGACTCCCAAAAGTCAAAGTTTATCGGGCAAATAGTCGCCGAGTTGAAGAATTAGTCCTTGCTATGCCTTCAAACAGCGAGAAATGTTGAACTTTTGTACTCGGTTCGATCCAAGTAAAGATACCGTAGTACACTAATTCATAGTAGATTGTTTATATCCGACCCATGATCATTTCAGTGACTAGAACTGCAATTATGAATGTGCGACCTACTCCAAACTACAGTAGCGACTGTAAATCAACTTGAATTTGGGTAAAATTGACGTTGATAGGTCCCTGAGTCTTTTGACTATAGACTATATAGAATTTATCCAGACGCAAAAGCGCCAATGCCGTACACCACTACAAAAAAGATTGATAAGGCTATAATCCTAGCTGGCCAACAATTTTATGGACATTCATTTGAATGGGTAGTTTACCAGTAGTAATTGATTGTTAAGATGAATTAATATTGTATATTCAATACTCGTATACTTGTACAATAAGCTATAATCCTAGCTGACCAACAGTTTTATGGACATTCATTTAAGTGGGTAGTTTACTAGTAGTAATTAATTGTGAAGATGCATTAATACAGTATTGCATGATAAATACTCATATACTTGTTCAATAATACAGTGTATATTCTTTAGCGAAGTACGATAAACTTTACCATTTGAACACCGTATTACTAACACATTTATTGAATATTTTAAACGTAGTCATTCAAATACACAAAAGAAATGGAAGATATTGTCAAGACGCCAGCACAGCCACTGTGATATAGTCATCATATATACCCGTATAATATACCAAAGTTTTTATTATTAGCCCACGCAATAGTTATTAGTTAATTATATTAGACTCAACAAAATAAATGTAATAAACAACACTTTTATGGAATTTATGTCACTAGTGTAAATCCGTACACTCTTAAATTAATTTTGCCATATTTTTAGCTCATTAGGCTATGCTAAAGCTCTAATTGAGTACCGAGATTCTCATACGTAATTATTCTTGCTATACGTGTACGGCAAAATAGTCTGACAAATTGTATAAAGATGATTAACAAAGACAAAATAGTAATTAGTCTATAACAATATTATTTAGTTCCGTGGTGAGATATTTATGTACTATTTTTATTATTGTAATAATTGATTTTTTAATCCTACTTCGCTGATGGAGATTACTGCCAAACGCATCATCAGGAATAACTTCGTTTTAGGATTCAGATTTCACGGAGATGACTATATCAGAATATATATATACATGCGAATAATACCAGGTTAACATTAAAATGGAAGTTATTACGTAAAAAAATCACAATTTTTAACGACATTATACATAATTATACTACTATATACTGTACAATGTTAGGTCTATCAATCTAACCGATGCAGTCACGGACAGACAATCATCACTGATTCTCATCATTCTCAGTTTCCTTTGGTGTCTGTATGTTCGCATTTTCATCTTTTTTATCTGAGTCCTCTTCTAATATCTCCTCTGGTTCATCGATTACTGATGCAGCTGCAGATGAAATGTTAACGGCGGGTGCTTTACTAGGTGACAATAAAACTTTGCCAATATTTTTACGCTGCATTAGTTGCTGGAAAGCATCTGCATACTAATTTAATGATTGAATGAATATGTCAATATTCTAGCGATATAATAGTTCCTCCACTTTGACAGTGATAGATATAATTACACTTTTATTTACTGAATTATGTTAAATGATATAAAATAAGTACGGTTAGAAGCTAGAAGCCAAAATTGAATGCTCTTTACACTATTTAACTTACGTCTTCTAAAGCATAGACGGAATCAATATTGGGCTTAACAACGCCCTCATCGTACCACAGCAAAATATCTTGCATTGCTTTAGTTAGAAATTTTCCATGGTACTTTTGCATGACAGTACTAAAATTAATTCCGCCAATCGATTTATTTTCCGTTGCTAATTGTATTGGGATTTTATTAGAATTATTCCACCACTAAATAAAACAGGATAAAAGCAATATAAATATTTCGTTGAAAAATTAAGTACAGTATATTTTATGAGATTGAAGCGAAATTGAAATATAGTAATAAGCTGTAGAGGTATACTTAAGCTTAGAAAAAGCGAGATACAGTACAATATTTTTAAGATATTCTTGAGATTTCGAGTGTTCTTATCATTATTTGTATTGACGCAAATATACAGTACTTAACAAGTATTACCATTTTGGCCATTTTCATAATACTACGATTTTCACCCGAGATAGATGTTGAAGCACCTAAAAATAAAGAAAGATCTTACAGATTTAGTCTTACTGGTCATTATGTATCGATAGGTGCACTATGATCTACGTATTTCTCAACAGCGGTTATTTTTTGCTGATATAAGCTACCACAACTATCTACTCTTTTTTAGATTTCTAGAAGCCCAACCCAATGGACATCCCAAGAATCGTACGGTGTTTGCTTATTTTGATTCATTATATGACTAATTCTATTACTGTACTGTAAATTCACTGTATCATAGAAATTCAAATGAGGAAAGAAAAAGCTATTATACTATTTCCACATGTACACTGGTATTGAAAATTATCAAGGTAAAAATTGTCAAGTAATACTGCCTACAGATAGAATAGAGTTATTGTAAAAATTTACTTAGTTCGCTCATCTAAGTATACAATCTTTCATTTCAACAGTTATAAAGTAAACGGTTCTTCTTACCAAATATGATATGTCTACCAAGAACTGCTGTGAGATCATAATTTCGTTTACTTTCGATGCCACCCAGTGAATCTAAAACCAAATCGATACCATCTGGAGCTAACCTAAAAGATTGCATAGCATTTTACTACCGTACCAATGTAATAATGATAGTACAGTGTGATACTAATCAATTATCAGTTACAACTTACAATCGAAAACAGTGGGTAATATATGATGAGAGTATCAGATAATTATCATAATATGGATATAACTGCAATAGGAAATGATGTAACATACTTGCGAATCTCCTGTACGTAATCTTGTGTTCTGTAATCGATAACATGAGAATACCCGTTCGCTTTAACTGCTTCATGCTATAGAATCATAGAATTATAACGTTATGTGTTACCAATCCTGATATTTTGTACTTGTTCGTATACGAATAATGTTCACATAGAGGCTACTAAAAGATAAGTTTTCAGGTACTGTACCTTAGATGCAGAACTAGTCCCAAAAAGTGTGATATTTGGTATTTTTTGGCATAATTGTCCAACAGCAAAGCCCTATTTATATATAAGAACAATATCAACGATATAAATTTTGCATCTTTTATCCGAAGTCTAAGGTAAGTGACATATTAAAAATGTTTTATGATACCAGTTATAGTACGGATAACCAAATTTTTACTTCGACTAGTTTCTGGTATAAGGTTAATAAGTTATATTTTATGAACTAGACTAATTTAATTAAAAATCACATTTTTAAAATTCTATAAAGAATTATATAATAAGAACTGGACAAGTTCAAAACAAGCAATTTTAACACTACTTTTATTGATACATACCACACCACCGCCTGCAGAATGGCATAAAACGGTTTGCCCTTCTTGTATTCCGCCAAGTCTAAATAGCAATAAATAAGCGATAACGTAATTCATTGGTATCGCAGCTCCTTCTTCAAATGTCATCTGTTCAGGCATGGCAAAAGCTAGATCCGCATCCAAATTAACCCAAGAACTCCAACCTTGATGGTTTATACAAATGCCAATGACCCGCATTCCGACCTAACAGAATTATACAATAGATTTACTATTGCAAGTATCGACCGTAATACGTCCTAAATTATGTATTTAGGAATACAAAATATTGATCTGCTGTACAGTAGTTCTTTCACAAAATGAGTTTATGCAATTATTAATACAAACGTTTTCATTATTAGCCAAAAAGAATTGAAATACCGTTACATATCTATATCTACCGTAAAATTATTAACTTCTTCGCCGACTGCATCAATAATACCAGCTACTTCACAGCCAAGTACGCAAGGTAACTTTGGATGGATGTTACAATAGCCTTGTCGAATCATGATGTCGGAAAAATTAAGACCACTAAAAGACCGTAACATTAGAAAATGGATGTTAACTCATGAATAACAAGGAATTATCGCTTTTGCTGATTAATTTCTTGTATAGTATAGCAACATTGCTAAATCAAAGTCCACATGCCAAGTATTTACAATATTGGTATTATAACTCTAACGAGCTATGGAAGTATGAGAAAGGTTTAATTGAATAATTTCATGTCACTAGTTTCTAATTAAGTATTACCTATAACGGTAGATTATTACCATAATATATCGCATTTACTCGCATGGGTGCGTAGTTATTGACAATTAGCTTCGTAGTACCCGTTGGAATAAGGAAGGATACAGTCAAATTACAGTCATTCCGATAACTTACGAAAGGATACTATTTCCTTCTACTATATATGCGTGGTAATTTTGCATAAAATACTGTAATCTCATCTAAGAATCTTCATTATCACCGATTTTTAGAGTGCTTCAGTGATGTCACTTATGATAGTTTTTTTATTATTGCACGGTACAGTAAATTTTTTACATTTTGCTCACCAGATTATATCATATTTTGATAAGTAATACCGAGTAGAATATGTGGGACTTATTTTAAAATGGCTGTATTAGTTATACGGACGAAATAATATCTACGTATAATATTGTAACATTCGATAAAGATTATATAATAGAAATATGAAGACTACAGTGTATATATATATTTATGTGGTAAGTTCCAGGTATGTCACCATGTGATATGGTACGTCGGATTAAATTAAAAGAATTACTATGTACCAGCTGTAATGATATTTATGTTATATTACTATTGCTACATATAGACAAAGGGGTTATAGGATCAAAGCAGTATTTTGAAAGGTACACAATTCGTGGTAAATAATTAATATCTGTGTCAATAGTAATGGTAGAATACGCCGCAAATACAAGTATAGGTACAATATACTGCAGACCACTATTTAAAAATGCGGTAAATTTTTTTGATTTATTTTCATAATTAATGTATTAATGATATATATAAATATAAGTGCATTGTATGTGTTAGAATGATGATTATCATTGAAAATCAGCATTGAGGTGCTACATTAGCAATGAATAATCACAGGAGGTTTTGTAACAAAGTGCCGTTGTTATCAAAAATAAAAGAGTTGTAGTACTTGTATCGGGTTTTCACCAGTAGCATGCAAATTTTCATGAAAATGCAAAGCACCAGTAATGCAATAGTTTTCGTTAAGTTACCTGTGCTCTGCATTTAATTTTTTCATGATAAGAAAAATTCAAATTCAAGTTGTTACAATTTAAAGATAAAATGTGAATAAATAACTTTAAGGAAGTAAAGTCAATACTTTCGTACAGATCTCGATTTCTCTTTTCTTAATGACTTACTGGATTACTTATTTCACACAGTTAAGCAAAATAAGTCAGATGTTAAATATCCAAGATGTAGTACAACAGCTGTGCGTAATTTTCCATTTATCATATAATGACATCAAAAGCTATTTTGATGTTGTAGTGCAGAGGAAAATTTAACAAGAATGATTTAAATTTCTTTAATGATATGATATTACAATGGGCAGTTCAATGTATGATATCCAAATATCAAAAATTAGTAAGAATGTCCAAGAGCTATTAGGCTACCCGATTTATAATGGCTTATCTAAATATTATGTCCTACTATAAAATTACAATTTGAAATAATAATACCGGTAATAGTATAATATGATGATAATAACGCAGTCGGTCATAATTTTGTGCTTATCATTTTCAACTGTAGACGGTAATAGGCATGTTTATTACCATTGAAATGATCACACATTTTAGAATCTGGTTTACATACGTACTGATTATAGCAGCACTTCAACCTTTAAGAATTAATTACAAGAGCATCTTAAATTTTACCCAAGTGGACCACTAAGGAAGTAGTCTATAAATTATAGAAACTACTATAGTAGTCGGATCAATGGTCTAATCTTCTTGATTGATCAGAATGGATTACTCATGTTTTTGCATCATATTTTCATACAGTATAGCGGATTAAAAGGGGTGTGCGATGAAATTTATGATGAGGAGTAACAGAACTTGCAGAGTAATTAGAAAAAATAACGACGCATCTCACATCTAATTTTACCCCCTCTGTTTCATTTATAATTGCTTAGCTATAGGAGCAGCCTAATCTAGTAAAAGCTTATAAAAAATTAAATTCATAGTGCGATGTTTATCGTCAGGTAAAGACTATATTATACAGTACATACATGTACAGTATACACCTTTAGTTACACGCGTATAATCATCTGATGGATAAGAGTGATATCATACGAATTAGATTCCAAGGAAGCACAGAAGAGCAAATCTTGGATTTTGATAATCATAAATGATTGTACGTACAAATAATACATGTGAAATAGCAAATTAAGTAGCACGGCAAATCGGATGTTAGTAAACCGACTTCATGTCGGTAGCTTTCAAAAAGTGAAGAAGAAGGTAGTAATAAAATACTGTAGTAAAGGCTAATTATTAATATACAATTTCTGATAATTGCTTTAAAGTACAGTTATTTTATTCGCCCAAAAATAATATTATGGAAGGTTTTGATTAATGACGCAAGGGTAACTTTACATAACAATTTCAGTCCACTTCATTAGTGTTTTGTCAATTTTAAGTCAACATATTTAATATTATTCGTAAAGCTATACTTCACGAATTGAAAAGTTATATGACCAGGAATACTTAATACAATATGGATCAATTATACACTGATCGCTATTTTTCACCGGGTGTTTAATTTTATCTTTAAATGACATTATAGTATGATACGAGCGAGCATATGGAGAAAATAACCAAAACGATAAAAGTCTATCTCAATAAAGTGAAACTGTTACAGTGGGTCCACTAAGTAATTTTTCAACATCATTCTATGATCGATCTATGTAAAATAATGAGCAGAACAAAGGTCGCGAACTACGAAAAATAAGCTAGTCGATCACAAAAACTACCGTATTATGTCAACGGAATAGTTGCAGTGTCCTAAATATTTTAAAATATAGCTAAATCAGCGATCGTCGTATTATTATCAGGCCTAAAAAATGCTTTAATAAATTCTATGACCTCTTTGTTTCCTATCATTAATCCAAAGACTATTGCACTACTTGAAAATTATAGTTTACAAACAAGCAGCATGAAATTACTTAGTATTTTACTCCAGTTAGTACATATGCGTATTTACCATGTTTCGACTTTAATCCTAATTTGACCTTTCCCAGGATTTTCAATAGGCCTATTGAGTATCTGTAATTTATCTAAGCTACCATAACCGGTTAAAACTAAGCACTTATTCATTTCTTTGGATACACTCTCCTCTTCAGTAGCCATTCTAAGTACAAATAAATTCGAAAAGTGGCTTTTTGTTTATCGTTCAATTCAATCTAAGGAGAAAAAGTAGAGTGTTGATATTTTCTTACCGTTCTATCGATGGGAAGTAATTCACTCAAAGGAGAAAAAATGAAATAATAGATTTATCAGCGATAGTTGCAGAGAAAGGAAAAAAAAATATCCGGTGGTACAATGGGAGTTTGTCCGACGTTAGAGACTTTTAGAGTTGGTATCGACACATTTATACCGTGCGAGTATTGCTCTTTTAGCAGTAGCTTAGTGAAAATACTTTGGATAGTGAGCTATAGTCTATACTCTACCATCAACGGTATATTATCCTTAATATTAGAAACAAAGTTTTGCACAGGACTGTAGATGTTTACTGATCAATTTACTTTCCAGTACAATATACTCAAGACTTATTAGTGTTTGTCTTGAAAGCCTTGCCACGTGTCTTCACAATTTGAATCATGAATCACAAGTATGCCGATAACTTCACGGGTTTTCACCAAAAGCATGGAGTTAACTGGCTAGTCCATACATTTTGTGCTATGTCCACGTGATTTTGCCAATAATAAATTAATTTCATGTGGTTGATAATAATGTGATTCTTAACCATAAATCTTCTGCTAGTGTCAATTTGCCGATAATTAAAACGATTTTGTATTCACTGGATTTGAAATTCATATTTCATGTATCAAGTTGGCATAAAGAAAGCTACAGTTTATCTTAATTAACATGCAGTACAGTTCATTAAAATTTTATTGATGCTAGACAATGTAGATTTAGAAATTCGCTAGCAATAGCTCGCGTGACCTTTCTACACCATACATTACGAAATTAGAGTCGCTCTCACTTGTACTTAAGCACTTTTGTAAAACTACGATTTATAATTTTCACAATATTCAGTCTCGATATAGTGTGCTTCACATGGTGGTACAGCCAGCCATACAACTGCTTACCCTGGTGATTGTTATTAAGAGCTATGTTTAAATTCCGCTATGCTACTTTAAAATTAATATTCTATATAGATCACAGCATAACTGTTACTATCAATTCAAAGATGAGCGCGACAAAACCATATCGAAATTTGGTACCTTAATTTCTTGGTTCTGTTGTACTCTGTCGAACACGAGGACTGTATTTGAACTAGTTAGTTATTTTTCCTTACGCTAATATTTATATTTTAGATTTAATGGTATAATCAAATCGAAATTTCATCAGTAAGCGTCCCTAAAGAATATTTTATTCCATTTACCTTCTATTTCGTAAAAAAACTGTTCTATAGTCTATCCGACTTCATTTAAAACTACGTGCGAGTAATTTGGTTTTATATTTCATTTAATACTTCACTGCAGATGTGATTTGAAAATTTTATTGATTATTGGCTACCATTAGCTTGCCAATGAAAAGTTGTTTTTGATTTTACTCTCTATGAGATTCTTACGGACACATTTAATTTTTTATTGGTAACGCTATCGTATCATCTAAAATCGTACGAGTGCCTCTATTCGTCGTTAAATTGTATATCTTTTGATTCCAGTAGTATTTTATTATTCTTCTCATTATTTTAAAGAATCCTCATATAATAATACTGTATACTCGTATATGGACACCTAAAGCTAACTTTTTTCGAGTTATAAAACGATACCGTTTTGAGCATCTATTGTCTTTAATTGTACATTTGTAAATGTCTATTTACCGGTAAATTGAAATTCATTAATCCTCTCATTCTGCCGAACAAATTAAAACATACTTATTCTTAGAAATCTAAGAATATTAATTATCGACAACAATGAAACTATGTAGGAATTGGGCTTTCAGTTACTTATATGAAGGCGTATATATTACTAGCCACACTTTATCTCTACAGTGTTGTAGCAAGGTGATTTCAGTATTACTGAATAATGTATCCTCACTCTATGTAAAGCAAAGAGAAACATTACAGCACAACATCTCTGCGGGAAAAATCCACTTCCCTTTTAATATAATGATAGACATTGTACGTCAATTTGCACCGAATTGACAATGTTAAACAGTTATACCATATACCAATCGTGGCGTAAACATCGGCGGTGTTCAAGTAGTGTAATGCCTCGACTTTTATTAATATCGATCATTTATTATAAATTGCTTCTTAATTAGTAAATTTTTGCAGCACATTATGCATTTGAAATAAAATAAAAGTATTTCATAATAAATATGTGAGCAAATTAAACGTACAGTACATGTTGGGATATATGGGTGAAATTATGTAGTATCTTGGTTGTAATTGATTGCTTGCATATTACATCAAAATGAAGAAATTTTGCTAAAAAGGACGCTAAAATTATTAAATATTGAAATTTTGTATTATGACCGCTAAGTAGTTTTGAAAAGATAGTGTCCACAATATTGTACAGTACAGTATGTTATTTAAAATTTTACCATACAGGAGTTAATCCAAGCTGCTGTGGCGTTCCGCTTTCTACTATCTACCGACTTTACCCTCAAGTAGTGGCATGAAAGCAGCGAATGGCGATGCAGATAGTTAACTGCCGATGCAAATGTCCCATTTAGTAACTGAAAATTATATTGGTCAGAAGACCTTGAATTTTAGGGGCTAGTTGATAATTTGCGAAGTCATTAGAGTAAAAGAATGTAAAATCCTTTTAAATTAAAGAACTTTCATGGATGTAAGCTGATGACTGATAGGAATCATGTAGTGTGTATTAGTTCTAAAACGAGCAAATAGCTAAGTTAGGTAAGCTTAATTAATTAACATTTCGGTATCTGAAAATGGATAATAATTTCTTGTTTTGTTTAATCCTCATCATCCTCATCGTCGTCATCCTCAATTCGACCTTGAGTCTCTGTTGCATTTAACGACGTAGTGGAGTGTGCCTTCGTGATATCCAGTCTTGGACTGAGACTGTTGGCCTGTATCATATTTCGGAATTCCTATCGAGCGACATAGCAAAGGATTAGATATATATAAACAAGGCCGGTACGGTAATTCATTTCGTAAACAGGGCTTCAATGATAGAATCGCTTAGAAAACGGGTTTTATATTTATACCTCCAAATCTTCTTCCTCATTAATATTGGCAATGTATTGATCTGCTAACGTAAGAACTTCGAGCGCTTTCGCATGATAATGCATAGCACCGTGTATATAGTTGCCAAAGACAATCTTTAAAAACGTATGAGAAATGAAGTCATCATAGATAAATAGGCATTAATTGTCATTTTAAATGGATAGTTTCTAACCTTAATATCCCGAATCTTCTCCTTCTCAAAATTATCCATTTCTTCTTCGAGAGATTTAGTCTGCTTTTCAGCATCGTCTCTAATTTTGCTAGTATCACTTTCCAGCTATGATGTAAAGATAAAAATGAATTATGTACTTCTATTTCTCTAGCTTACTACGACGTATGATTAGGGATGAGGTAGATAAAATTTCTGTTATTATCGATTTTTATTTTTAATTACCTGCATCTGATTTTATGTTATAATAAATTAAAGCAATGAGTTAAGGATAAAGCTTTTAGCCTATTGCATTATGAAATTTTATGTCATCGAGCCCTCGTGCCATTGTTTCCATACTAAATATATGCTAAATCAGACAGCTATGTCTCATATACGTATTAGCAATAATTCTGTACTCGTATTACATAGTTATCAAGATACGAACACAGAGTTAATTAGCTCTCTATGCGTGCATAGTTTGATTATGCAAGTATCAATAAATAACAAAGTTGTAAAAAATTAATCTCTTATTGGAACACAGATATACTAATTATGAAAGATACAATTTTGCTTTTATTAGCTGGCTCTTTTCCTTTAATTCTTTCCAATTGTTTTTCTTTAGCAAGGAGTTTATCGCGAGCTGTGAAACCATTTTTCAAATCCTCCTATTTTTATCAAAGTTCAATTAAGCAAAATGGCTTTTTATCTGGTATGTTAGAATATAAATAAATAACTTTATTATGAAACACTGTATCGTCGTTGCGTGATGCCAATGTTTCGCAACAAAAACCTATTTATTACAGCGATCATTCCAGCAGCTGTCGTACCTTCATATGTCTGCATGTGTGACTATATCGAGAAAATGGCTCTATAACTTTATTTTCAATGTGATCAGCCTAAGAAATAATTGTTAACACCGAGTTAATAGCACAAATAACTTTAAATTCTTAAGTAGTTACTATTTACTAATGTATAGCAATAGATAAAAGGGAGGTAATTTTGCAAGGTGTAGATATATGTTGGATTTCGTCGCTTGATACTAAGATTCAGGATCTTACATGAGCTTGCATATGGCTTTGCAAGGCAAGAAAGCAATCTACAAATCCTCGTAAGCCGTTCTTAATAGAAATGGATTCTTCATCAGCATAGTCATTAACAGCTTTTGCAACAAGTTCTGATCGCAATTTCAGTCTGCCCGTCTTGGTGGCTAACACTTGGAATCTCTGGTTAATTATGGCCAGATGTTTTTCCACTCTGGTAATTCGTTGGCTCAAAAATTTAAATTGGGCATCTCTATTTGCTCTAAAAAACGATATCCCATTTAATGAAGATTCCTTGCATATGCTACAGACCTCGACAGTTGGCCTTTAAAATGCTATCTCAAATTTATAGCTGAATGAGAATTTGAAACGGTTTAATATTACTATAAAGCAAATCATCCGTAATGGAAATGATACGATAAAAATATTTGAATTTCTAATACCGCACAGAATTTATGCTATTTAGTAATAAAGAAACTACAAATCGCTCACTTGTAGGCGAGCATCAACGATTCCACACTTTTTCACTGGAATGTAACGCCTACAATAAAATGCTGTGCACCTATACTGTATTTTATCTACCAATCTCTGCTAGACAACGATATTTTAATAGAGCGTAAGGATTAAATACACATTGTTATCTATGGGAAAATGTTCATTTCTTGTCAATTTTAAATAATATGAGAGTGATGGTGAGTGGGATTTATTAATCGACCGTAAGGCACAGCAGTATGTTTACTGTGCATACTGTGTTCGTACAGTACATGTATATCTAAAGTGGCGTTTAATCGTGCAATATGAAATGTTTATACATGCATTTAAATTTTATTTTGACTTTTTAGTACCTATCCAGGGTAAATTAACAAATTTAGCCGCAGAAATAATAATTGCTTCTCAGTACATTATCGCTTCGATTACATTTTTAACAATATTAGCCTAGCATAAAAATATATGTATAGTATATGGCCTATCTCCACTTATGACATGATTATCATTACTAGAGTTATGCTGCAATATTACTTACCTTTCCCTCTTGTTAGTAGGGCTACCAGGCGTATCCAAAAAAGAGCTCATTATATAGGCTATTTATTTATCCAAATTTAATAGCAGGTCCACAAAAATTGAGCTATCTTTATTAACGTAATATATTTATATTTGCAGACGGGCTAGTTGGTTTGCTAGTTACCGGCTTATCATGGACTGCGTATATACAGTATGATTTACCTTCTGTCTATATTGTAGTATTTTCCTCAGTGAAAGTCCACTAACAATCTTTTTAGGAATACAGTAAGCTAAATCTTTCGTTTATTCAGTTATACTATTATTTAGAATACATGCTATTTGTTAATTAATTAAATGATGATCGATCGCCAATAATTTCACTTACTAAAGTCTAAATTAATATTAACATACATTCGAAATATCGTTGCCTAGTTTTGAAAGTGTTTATCGCAAGATGCGCATGCGTCAAGCTTTACTTTGGCCAAGGTAGTTTCTAAGATAATGGAGGTTATCCTGGTTGGAATTATTGTCAGGGACTTTTAAGACATAAGCATTTATCTTAATAGTCCCTGAATTTATACTATCCTGTACGTTATACTGTAGTCTATGATAGTTGCTAGCCGTCAATTTACTGTACAGCAGAGGTCTGCATTCAGTAGTTCAAAAGTTATCCATCCAATGACAGAAGAAACTACACATGGACAAAACTAATGTCACTCGCTTCCTAGTGTAGGAACTACTCTAGGCACGTAATATAGTGACATATTTTGGCTTACCACTTTACACCCAAATTCAATATCACCAGGACATCCATGCTGACCCTATACTGTACAATTTGTATATAGCGGGCAGACGGTGATACGCTGTATCTGTACAGTCTGTTCTGCGCACAACCCTTAGTAGTGCAGTCACTTCATCCAAGACTTTTTCCCTAACCCTAACCCGAGCCCTAACCCGTACAGCATGGTACTACGGCACTACTGCAAGTATCGGTCACGGTCAGCACTAGTAGTCCATACGTACTCCAGTACTACAAACAAATTTAGTGGAGTGTGGAATCCCTCGACACAACAGGTGTAGTGCTACTGCTAAGGAAGATCTCGACGTTCGCATGGGTAAATCAAATCTCGGTCAAAAGCGTGGAAAAAAATCGAAGAAAAGCAACGCAGCGCCTGCTGTTGGGACCACATTTAATAGTGTGGATATTCCTATCCTGGGAAAGGTAATGAAAGAATAAGAGATTGTAAAGTTGGAATACTAGATATTTCGTTGTATACGATTCATTCTGCCTTGAGCTCAATGCTAGCATCAGTAATTTCTGTCATAATATTCCACAATAGACCTGTATGATGGAGTATACGGCACCAGTAGACAACCTGCTGTATAATGTATATGGGCACAATAAATTCATTTTACTACGGATGAAATAAATGATTATTCTTCATAATGGCATGCAACCACATGCCTTGTGTACTGTACTTGTAAAGGAAAGATAGATGTTGGCTGATTGCAAGGCATGGACTACTAAATTTACGAGCGAATGTAGTAGCCCATGACTTCGGTATAGACTGTAGCTGTAGACGTACAATTACCTTTTAGATCAGGAATGGGCAATACACCGACCATCCAAGCAGACAGTGTCAATAAGCATAACTCAAGGTATACCTTACAATTTTCAATCTACCGCAGTATTGCCCATCCTTGCTTTAGAGATCAGCCTTGCCTGCTTGGTAAAGCTGAAAGATGAACTACATAAATGCTGTACGTGTATAGCTCGCCATTTTGCTTGCAAGATGAGGAGACTACGAATGATATCTTAATAACAATTCATATTACTATGCTCTACTGAGCAGATCTGCAATCGTGAAGCAGGAATAGATAGCATAGATGGTTTTATGGAAATGCATTTATTTAAATGAAATTACATTAGTAATAAATGCACAATTACACATTTTGCATGGTAAATACGTAAATACGACATACGCATGCATTGCCTGAAGCACATTAACACTAGACATATACGCGTACTTTTCCATTAACAATAGTACTTTGAGTATTTAAGCACATAAAGCAGTGTACGTATATCGCATACTTTATAGAATCTAATTATTCACCGCCAGTCCGTAATGATATCATTATTAATGTTCACAAAAGTAGAGTGCAATTTGATATTTTGTCATAGGCGTAAAATGAATAAGATGAGATTATTGATATCAGTATACTTACATATATAAACAGCTTTCGTCAAAGGATGATTCGGAAAGACAGTGTGCTTGTACCAGCTTAGCCAGTATCGTACTGGACGAGAACAACTTACCTCATTTATTAAAGAATAACGTAATCGGAAAATTAGGTGTTCTACTATGTGACGACAATATAAACGTTATCCAAGCTGCTGCAGGAACATTAAGGAATATAGCTATTAATGCCGGTCCTGATGTATGTCAGCGCATGGTATCCAAAGACCAAATCTTGGAATCTTTATCTTCATCGCTAAATATGGTAGGGGTATTTCGTAAAAACAGTAACTTAAATCATTAGCAAATACTGTAGGATGCCTAGCTTCGTGCGCTAATTACGAATTACTGTAGGATTTGTAAATCTTTATAAAAATGTAACAAATAGGATAGTAAATAATGAACTTTACTTAGTCGCGAAGTCACTGATTTTTAGCTATTTGCAGACATAATGTAATATGCTGTATATCTATACAATCGAACAATGTTGTAGTGCCTCTTCTAGTCAATTTGTAATTTTTAATGGTGACGTTAAAATTATTAACCATTATTGGTATTACAGATTTATTACCTGAGCAATGATCTTTAATATTATAATCGCTTTTTATGTCGTAACAGATACTTGGAATGCTAAATCAGCCGGGTCGTAATGATGAAAACACTGAAAGGGAAAGCATTGCTGTAGATAGTCTTGATCATATCCTCAATGTTTTATGGAATATTTGGTAATTTTTTTTATAAGTTGGTTAACGTTCTTTCGGTTTGATTCCTTATCAATACTAACTAAATTATGTCTGTAATAAAATTACTTAAAACAGTGAAAATTCCAGCGATGCAATCCATTACGTTAATCTGGAGAAGCTTCCTCTTTTGGTAATTCAATGTATAAGCCTACCGTCGGCAAGTAAATGTTTACAAATTTCTGCAGGTATCTCTTATGTTACTATTATGTTTATGTTTTAAAATGCTAATCCAATTGAATATTGTTACGAAAGGGAATCATGAGTTTAACATGCTTTTAATCATTTGACTTTACCCACGTCTTATAGCTCAGTGTTTATATACCATCACTGAGGATAATCCTGCAAGTGGCCAGCATTTATGCAAGTCGCAGGATCATCTGAAAGTTATTGATACTATCTTGTCATCGGATGGGAATGATTCTCATTATTTTTTACTCAAAGTATTAATTGCAGGTTTGTTTACGATGGTATTTCGGCATTACCAAGTTTTTTGCATTTTTTGCTACAAATTTTTTTACGATGTATTGGCTGTAGGTACAATGATGAATGTTAAATCAACAATAGAAGCCGAAGCCTGGGAGAAAGCTCTCGGTACCGTTGCTAACGTTCTAAGACAAGTTCTTACATTTAATGCTGTCACTGAAATGACTTCGATGGTCAAGATACTGCAGGCTGATACCGAAACGAATGATAGCCTTATGAAAAGATCATTTGATGATCAGCTGGAGAATATTGCTAATTTCCTTAATGCTCAACAAATCGCTTTGGAGATAATAGCGAACGCATTCTTAAGCGAGGAAGGTAAATATGCGTTTTTAGAGGTGAAATTTATTTTGAAATTAATGTCATTCAACAGTTTTACCGGTTAGTTTTATCTCGGACTTTATGCTATGAATTTAAACAGATGACAATGATGATAACGATGAATGGCAGGATTTATCTGATGGTCTTGAAAATGAAGACGAAATGGAGGAAGATAGCGACTTCAATGCAATCGTATGTGAATGAAGATTTAAAGTAGTATGTATTAATGGGTTCTTATGCTCTAGTAATTTTCGTTCATTTTTTTGAATTTTTCCTATCTTTAGCCTAATTTCGCCAACAATTCTGAAGTTTATACTGCATTTAACAATTATCAGCTTCCAATGACGGTACTATACTTTAAGTTGTTTCTAATGGCTACATGTTTTGTATAGACGTATAAAATTTGAAGTAGCAACCGCTGGTCAAGAGCTTAACTGATTGATAAATCTGCCGTTATGTTTTTAGATTTTAAAAAAAATAGAGTTTGCAGATCAGAATCTGTATGCAACTTACCAAGCACACGTACGGGGTAGACCATTACTAAGAAAGTATGTTAAGAGTTGCTTGATTGTAGCCAATTAATGAATATTCCTTTAAAATTTACTTATGTAACGTGTGATATTTTACCACAATTCAGATAACTATCTACGGTTTTTTGATGTCGATAGGTTGGATGCAATACAAGTAAGAGCCTTGTCATGTCTAGATAACATGTTTTCTCTAGCGGATGTTGACTTGCAGTGCGATCAAGATGCCTTAGAAGCAATATGGAATGCATTATTTCAACTGGGATTCGGCCATACTGGTTTGTTCTTATTTAGTATTCTTGAACACCTTTCCTGACCTAGTATAACTGCTTTACTACTTTTAAATGTTACTAGAGAGTATTCATTGCCGTAGAACTGACCATCATTTTATGGAATCGGTGATTTGTACTATGAGATCTCTCCTACAAAGACTATATCGTTGCAATTCTAAGGTCTACTACTACTATAGAGAAAAACATTTTTCGTAACTATGTAGAGCTTTATTGTGTGCTATTAATAATCATAATACTGTTATCATAAATTTGGTGCAAGTAGTGTCTAAATGAAGAACAACTGACTGCCCTAGCTGAATATCTCAATAATAGCTCCATAAGCGACCACACAAAAGCTGGGCTAGTAGGGTTACTAGGTATCGCTGGACAGATGGCAAAAACTTGGGAGAATGATTCAGGATTACAAGTATTGAGAGTATGTACATTTTAACTAAAGAATAAGTGACGCATAGACTTAGTTTAATTGTATACTGATCCATACTGGCGACTAAGACTTAACTGATTATACCAATGACTAGTTAACTGGAACAGTTCTATGTGTACTTAGCCAAAAAGAAGATAACTTATGGCTTGCTGCTGAAGCAGTGGATTCACTGATAGATATATTCGCAGATGGTAACGTTGCGGATACAGTTGCAAAGCAGCTTCGTGTCGTCGAACATTTACAGCAGTTATTACCAAGAATGAAATCGAAGGTATTCATACTATATACTGTACTATTATAGGATACTAACAGACTATCCTCATATATTTATTTTTGAAAATTTTAAAACCATTGCAGATGAAGTCGGAGAGAGCAAACTTAGGGAAGAAGTTCCACTTTGTAGATAATGTTCGATTAAATTTAGTCCGTTTTATAAAGTACAAGAATGAGCAGACACCCTGATTTAAAAGTTAGCAGTAAAAGCAACTTATTAAATTCTTCATTCTCTTCATTAATCTATAAATGATATGTTACAGTAAGAATTATTATTATTCACGATCTTGATAAAGAGTTTTTCAATGAAATAAAATGTGCTAATCTACGAGTATACTTCTTATCGGTCAGCAATATTTGAGAGTTAAATCTCTTTTTACAACAAATACCAATTATGATAGACAATTTAGCATATACAGTACTATTTAAGGATATGTACGATGTATGGATATAACCGATTTATGTCACTGTACCATGATCATCACTAGTGTTATACAAAGTCACAAGTTACAGATACGATTATACTGTATTATTGCAATATTACATTATATAGCACTTTACTTGAGTTAGCAGGTATACGTATTACGTATACTGTATTGTAAGCGTCTGCATCACGTAATATCAAACGTCTTGCATGGTGCTAGGAGAACTATCAGTAGTAACTAGATTATCACTCCGATCATATAGTATTCGCTTAAATTACTGTAGAATTCATATATCTAGTCGTACTGGTAGACCATTTTTTTGGTGTTTGACAGCAATTTGTTACCACCTTTCTCTATGATCTCCAAGATCTTAAAGTGTTTAATTTTACTTATTTGAGGACTTTCACCAACTCTGACTAGATCGCCGATTCGACACTTTGATTTCTCATCATGGGCAAAAATTTTATTCTTTCGTAGGTAAAACTATATAAGAAATAAGTGCAATGTCAGTAGTATCGTTACAAGCGAAGAGTGCGCATCATTCGAGGTGTGATATTGTACAAATTATATTATCAGTACTAGTATACCGGAGTGCACTGAGTTAATTTATAGTAATTTACAGGCACTGATACTTTGGAATCGAGTAAGATAATATCCGCTGGCATGCTTGCACTGTTCCTTGCACAATATGTACACGTGTAGTGCAATAAAGCAGGTTTGAACGCTATAGTTTTCAATGTTTGAACTCCAAATTATATAAGTCATAGTTTATACTACATATACAACCCTATTTTGGCATTGCCATAGAATCGAAACCTGATGACTACAACTTCTCTACAAGTCTAGAACAGAAACAGTCATAACTTGGTTTTTGCAGATACACTTGCAATCTACTGCACATCATCTTCCATTAACTGTCCATATAGTACTGTAAATTACTAGGAAATAACTCCACCGCGTTACTGGTGGTCGTCTTAACAAACACTTGCACGGTAGACTTTATCGTCTACCGAAATGTCGACTAACTACTGTAATATTACGTACGATCAATGCACAAGAAAGGATAAGAAGAAAAGCGGCATACAGCTGTAACATGGCGTCGTATAGTATGCTTACTGCATCACGTACCTTGCACACCCTAGGATTTAAAACCGATCTGACGATTTCTACTTTGACAGTCTTGGCCATGCTCGTGGAAATAACACGACCTATACTAGACGCAGGCATAGTGTTGAATTACTTCCCCTTTGATATGACTTTTTCCTTATACCTAATTAAACGATTAAAAAAGAGCAACAAGACTCGAAAAGAGGTAGAGTAGATCCAATCTGGTATCAACGCTAATTTTGCTCGATCTGTCTAATAAAAGTCTGCGCAGTTCGGTGAAAATTACTTGGTACATTTCTAGTAGAAGAAAAAAGACCCAGAATACACTAGGCATGACTCGGACGGTCGGACGCTTTGGCCTCATATTCGTCAAATACTGTTTGAAAGATTTCGTTATAATGTCATTAAGCCAATGTTCGATTCTGTAATAATTCATTTATTTTTCTAAATTAAGGCATATTACATAAAATTCTATTTTATTTACTAAGTTCTGCTTGAAAGTAGTGATATCACGCCATAACTGTTCTTGAATTAGTAGAAATGATTCGAGAAAAATCGGTGCAGGAGATCCATACAGTCAGGTCTATCCATACTACAGTCAGTAATAATTAATCAGTATCTGATCTAAAAAGTCTGTCCATCCGAAGAGGTCCAAATTTACGGAACAAGACTACTGTACTGTACTGTACGTTCACTAGTGTACTGTATAGTACAGTACATTGTAACGTAGTGCGCGTATTCATTGACGTATAGTACGTTGGTTCTGTACGGTATATATGTGACATGTATAAAGCGTCTGATTTAGTCGATATGATTGCAATATTAACATTATCACATTATCGAATTATTGAAATATCAAATTATACTATTTATGTATAATTATGAAATTTGATAGGTATTGCATGAATTGCCCATCAATTTTAATTCAACAAATCCGTATGTTGCAGGCGCTTAAACCCTTTAATCTGTATATCAATTTCATAGTATAGCTCATATTGATGCTTATTATTATAACGTTATTCTACTGGTACAATGTGATGTGATCCTACATTCTCATGTGAATGTTGTATGAATGTGAATACTGTTATTGCATTACATTTTAAATAAGGGATTGGAGGTGTAGTTGCTACATATCAGAATTGCGTACCGAAAATTCAGCTTTGGGGTCCTACTAATGTTGCGCCTATCGTAAATCACCTTTCAAATTTTGCAGCCAACGCGGCTAAACAAGGAACAGCCGCGGTAAATATATTACAACTTTATGCCAATCGATACATTGCAAATAATTTAATGCTATTGGCAATTTTATACAATATCTCTAGTATATCTTCTATATGTACATTTATTGACGAATACAGTACACTGTACATCACTTCACTTTTACTACTCCTGAGATATTATAAATCTGTCATCATTTTATTTTATTTTATATTATAATGACATGTACCATTTTTTTAAGACATTTTCTTATGATTCAAATATTTTTAGAATTATTTTGTACTACTGATACTAACTGATGGCGTAATAACGGATATTGAGAAGATAAAACTAGTTCTCGTAAACGCTTCGAAATTACCAATGTCGGTAATCATTATGGCAGTTGGAAACGCTGATTTTAGTGCTATGAATGAATTAGACGGCGACCGAATGTTAGTAAAGTATAATAATTTAAGTGGTACATTATTAGATAAATATTAATACTTAAAGTTTATTTTATATCAGATTAAAGTCGCCATCTGGAGAAGCTACTGTGCGTGATATCGTTCAGTTTGTTCCCTTTTAATCAATTTGTTCATGTTGTATGAAAAATAATATTGTAAATGCCTGAAGAATCTCAATTTCAGAAATTTGTCTGGTTGATTAACTGTGACATATGTGGAATTCTTCATTTATAGGCTCCTTCGCATATTTTAGCGCAACATGTGCTCGCTGAAATTTCAAAGTAATTACCGCAACATTACTTTCAGACAAATTTATATCCTGTACGATGTTGAAATATAGCGACGCAATGAAATTTGCCATAATGTAGCTGTTTTGATTTGAAATATAATTTTATTTACGTGGTTATACGCGTATATTAGATAATTATGAAGCTTATAATTACTACTTTAGGGCTATAATTTAATCTTCCGAGGTTTCACCTACTCATATTAATGACAAACTAGGGTATTTTAATACGTTTCCCTAAATACTACCAGTATTAATCTCTTATACTAGATATTTCCTATACAATACTCTATTAACTCTTGATTTTGGACTATAATGGTCATTAAGCCATTTATTGAAAGATTAAAACGATTGGAAATTAACTTCGAATTCAAGGAAATGGGTTCATCTTTATCTAGTATAAACTTTAGGACTAGTTGCAACTAGACCTGTTAAGCTTATCTTATTATTCTGCTATTTTATCTCCTTGGTGACATATTTGTACTGTGCCATAGCTGTGCTTTGCGTAGAATCCTTAGATACCATCATTTTACGTTGAACGCTTGAGGGTATATTGATAAACAAGAATAGCCAAATAAATAATTATAACAGATAGCTAAGATTAGGCAGGAGGTAGTATGAACTGAGTGATTTAAAAAATGGAAATAAAGAATAGGTTATAGCGATAATAAACAACGACTACTGCAAAAGTTACGTTTGCATTATTATTCTTTGAGATATTGCGATGTCTATGTAAAAACAGGGACTACTGTGAATTAAGATTTTACTAACCTTATGATCTCATCCATCACCCAAAATTGCACCTACATGAATTCGCGATAGTGGCAAATGCTAGAAGAATCATTTACATACGTGCTGTATAGCCAGTCAATGTCCTTTTTTTGATAATACATAAATTATGTATATATTATATTAGTATCCATTCTTATACACTTAGAATTAATTATAAAGCAGTCAGCCGAACCTGCAGCTGTAGTACGGGTTTCTCTTGCTATGCAGCACAACTCTTCTTTAAATGCTTACTATGATTAAGTAAATGCATTAAAGCTTTAGGCCCCTTGACTTTCAGATCGAAGAGCAGTATATTCCCTCATTGATTTTTTGATTTTTCTTTTTATATTGACATCGACTGAGCAGCTTCAGTCAATTATACGAAAATTATATACTAAGCTGGTTGAATCAACTGCTCATACACGAGTATGTTGCAGTTAGCAGCTCAACGTAGACTTTAACTTGGTAAGTAATTGATCAAGAAAATTTTTATGCTGCGTATTGTCTAAGTTGTGTCAAATTCTTGTTCTATTCTATGTACTGATATCTAAATTGTGTCATAAAATTGAAAATAATCCTTACCGTAAAACTTGATAATAATGCACTGAGGAAGAATAAATTAATTATTTAATTGCATATATAACGCCTCAATACAGTATGCATCTTTTTATTTTTTAAATTTTCGATGAGGGTATAACCTAATTTGTACGGTACTATACAGCTGGCAAATAGGCTAATTTATAACAAGCGAATGAAACCAGTTCGCCTGCCCACTTTCATGATATGCAACTTATATACCGGAGACGAATATTAGTGCTATATTATAAGTATTTATTGGCTTTGATCGGTTTAATTAAAGGTGTAAAAATTCATACTAAATTTCATTAACTCTTATCGCATACTGTAGCGCATACCATTTAAAGTAGTAATGTAGGTTTTGACGTTACTATACTTACATCTGGTCTAGTCTACCCTATAGTATCAACAGGCACTACTTCAGAAAGGAATCGACCAATACCTACATTATCACAACAATTGACATGGCGATAATACCTGCGCAGCAAGTCTGTGTTACAAAGGTCGCTCTTCATAGCTTATGTAAAGGTCTACTCAGATAGATGTGATCTTAGACTCATTTTAGTGAAGTAACTGTATTCGATGAAATGTGTCTATACAGTTAGAATCATTTCATTGTTAAAGATCAGTTCTTATACGTATGTTCTCAGTAGCAGTCTGAATGAAGTGGCATGATTTCGTTGAGATGCGATGACAATTCGACATTGTGCACCATGAGAATAGACATTATGAGACATATATATGCTATATGGATAATTATATAGTATTTATTCGCGACCAACTTCTGTATCAACGTCTTAATGGCAGTTGATTACTGTAGTTTGCAAAATATCTTGCCTAAAAATTCAATCAGTATCACAACAAATGATTCATTCTACAGATATTGTACACATAGTAGTCAATTAGCCGTTTAAAATATGATTAATTTATGCTATCAATACTAACTGACGAAGTAAAAGTAGATATTAAGAAACAAAACAAGCTATCGCAAATGCTTCGAAATTGCCAAATGTCAGTAATCATTGTGGGGGTTGGATACACCGATTTTAGTGCTATGAATAATTGGATGGCTATAACGGAGTTTTAGTAAGGTATGGTGATTTAAATTGTACTTGAAAAATATTAATACTTTAGTTTATTCTATATTAGATATTAAGTCGTCATCTGGAGAAGCTGATATGCATGATATTCTTCAATTTATTTAGGTTTGAATAGTCTGTATTACAATTACCCGTACCAGAGAGATTCTTAGCCTAGAGAATTAGTCGAATAGACTAACTATGATGCAGACATGTGAAATTTTTCATTTATACGCTCCATATATTTTAGCGCAACATGTGCTCGCTGAAATTCTGAAGTAGTTATCGTAACATTACTTTCAGATAAATTCAGATCCTATACGATGTTGAAAATTAGAATACTACGAAATTTACTACAATGCAGCTGTTTCATTTGAAAAATAACTTTACTTATGAGGATATGGTATATGATACGGATTGATAAATAGTTATTATTTTAGAGCTATAATTTAATCTTCTGAGGTTTCACTTATTCGTATCAATGATGAAATAGGAAAAAAATTTGAATAGAATTTGACATTGGGTTATTCACCATGCTTTATGTAAAGATTTTCGCTAAGTTACACATGCAAGCAGTGCTAATCTCCGTTGATATTAAATGTTATATTATACCGTACTTTATATAAAGTTCTTGATATTCGATATTAATAGGTTAAGCTGTCTATCGGAAGAACAAAATAACTGAAAAGTTCAATTTCTGCTTAAAAATTAAAGAAATTGGACTCGGCATTCTTTACTTGGTATAGGGATGGCTACAGGATTAGTTGCATCTGGTATTTTTGTACTTATTTCTTTTTGTCTTCAGCTACCTTATTTTCCTCAGAAGACATACATATATACCCGTATGCCTACTACGATTATTATAGTTGTGCATTGCATCGATAGCACCATTTTATGTTGAACATTTAAGAGTAAATGTTGACAAACGTAAATAAACTACTGATAGCCTACCAAAAGTGATTTAATTTAAAGTGAAGAAAGAAGTAATATGTAGTTAGCAATCATGGACGTATTTTACTCATTGTTTAATAGGTACATACAGAAGCTGGTGACCAGATTGCCATGGCTCTAAATTATCTCGATAGTTTCTCGTATTGAATCTCATATAATAACTGCCAATATAGTGCGAAAGTTAAGCTTATACTAGCCCACGTTGACACATTCTAATGCAGAGGTAAAATTGTATTTTGTGATCTCTTCGCTCGTTCATCCGTATGATAATGCAAATTTATAGCAGTGAAAAGTGCTAGATGGATTATGGATAGCTAACAGGTTGGTTAGCCTCTCCCTTCTTTATAATCTAATACTATAGTAATACTGGTGGTAAACTATAATCTTTGCAGTTAGTTTGATATTCATCCTTCTAAATGAATCATGAAGTTCTTAGTCATGCCTTTTAATCTGTGGTACAGTTACAGAGCATCTATTCTCTATTGCAGTGCAAGTACAGCTTACTTTCCTGTACATTACTTATGGTAATTATGCGTAGTTCAACGTAATCAATTTTTAGGACTTGTGAGCTTGAAGACAGAAATATTATGGAACTTCATTATTGATTTTTCTGTATTTAGGAAAGCAGTTGCATAGGACAGTAATAATTGCTCGAGGAAAGTATTATAGAGGCATAAAGAGGTGTTTTTACCCCTATGGGAAATTCTCAATCAGGCTTTCTAATCTACGGTACGGTTACAGAACAATTTTCTCCCATTACATTATTATGTAATTCTTCTTCTTATTATTATGTGCTGGTATTGTACAAAATTTATATTCCTTTTCAGTGCATTGCTTATCTCAATTAGTTCAATATAATAAAATTTTAGGACTAGTAAACTTTAAGATAGAAATTTCATCACTAATTTTTTCCCTTCTTTCTAGGAAAGTTGCTTAGGATAGCATCAATAGCTCATAGAAATTACAAATTACAAATATAAACATCATAGCGGTAAAAAGCCTTTTTTACTGCTAGGAAAAATAATCCGTTGTCCAGGTTGCTGTTGTCCAGACGCACTAAGGCTGTTTCCTAGTTTACTGTATATTGTACACCATACTGTCTATGGATTAGAGTAGATTAGACTGCTTTGTAATTGTATACTGAAGGAGCAGCATCTACGTGATACATTAAGGAACAAAAAGAATCAACAACTTCATTCCGTGCATAGTATCTATTAAACGTTGATCAGGAGTTAAATCATTGCCATCGAGATCTTGCTTTCTAGCTATCAGTGTTAAATAAGCATGGCATCAGCTGATCCTGCAACTTGTGTTACAAAAGTCGAGTTGTATATCTCGTGTCAAGGTCTAAAAAATAAAGATGTCATGTCCAAGTCAGATCCATTGGCTGTCTTCTATCACCATGATGGCAAAAAATGGTGGGAGGTAAATAAAAAGTTGAATTCGATTTCTATTCTACTATAAATTCGTGCCTAAACGAGTATAAATTAGTTAATCCAAGTTGTCTTTTGTAATTCCCCTGTATAGTAATAGCGTATAAGGCAATTGCAACTTTCAGAGTAATGCTTTACTGCAATAGACACCTTAAAGCAGACGTGCTTTTGCCTAAATCTACCTGTACTTCTTGGCTATTTATTGGATGACGATAATTAATTCAAAATTTTGAACGTAGTCATCAGCAGAATCAGTCAAATCCTTTCTACTACTACTACAATTACTGCTGTAGTTTATATTTAGCTTGAATAGATGATGATGGTAATTTTCCGATGGAAATTTGAAGGGATTATTCTTCCCGATCAGTGAAACTTGGTGCAATGGCAATACGATTTACAAGTATCCTGTAAAGTACTGCTAGTAATTAGCATGACTTCAATTAAATATAATTAGGATTGACAAAAACATTTTACTTTTCTTTTAGATTGGACAGACAAATGAACTACTGTACTGTATATCCTCTTGTTTAGAGCTACCTTTAATAGTTAAATATCTAGTTTAAGGGATTTACCACATTTCATTAAAATTGTTGCTGAGCATTAGTTATGGCGAAAGAGTGCTATTTACTTTTTGATGTAACTTCGAATATGACTGCTCTATGTTTGCGTTCATCATTAGCACATTCGATCAAGTCGAGAATGGAATGAATACAGTATGACAGAAATCTCCTTTTACCTTCACAATCCTTGTCATTACATTAGAATCGTAGTTTCTAGTTTGTCTGTCTAATTTTCTTCAACACTTTGCATTGGATACTTCAATAGGAAAAGTATCCATTATTTATTTATTTATTAATAAATTGCAATTACAATCTTTATTTTTTACTTACCGGACTCTATATCTCGTATGAATACCGACTATGTATGCATCAGTATCAACGGACAGAAAGGATAAAGAATAGTCTATGCCCTGAATTTACCACTCCAATCGTGATGGACTATTACTTCGAATTAGTTCAAAAAGTAAAAATTGCCGTCTACGATATTGACAACTCCACTTCCACACTCGATGACGACGATTTCTTGGGTGAAATGGAAACTACGCTCGGACAAGTAATTCCATCATATAAAATTATACATTAAATGAATAATAAAGTCAAGTAATGATATACATTGAAAGTTATCATATCCACACGATAAATTACTTACTTTACATATTTGTATATTAATTAATTACACGGTTCACACAGTATACTAAGTCCAGTCGTAATATTACATAGCCTATCGGATAAGTTTCTTAGATTTGACGTCTATTATATTGTTATCAATGAGTGTTCTTATGACTGCATTTAGTAATAAGAGATTGCTTGTGTAATTTAATCATAACTAGATCGTGTCTAGTGGTACCTATAAGACTACTCTCAAATTGCGCTCTAAAAAGTCACATGGAACGATCACGGTTAGTTATTTCCGTTATTGATCAATATCTTTGCTAACGCTAAATCTTCAACAGTGGATTATTATTTAAGATACTATATTGCAATGTAATAAAAATAATAATAATTAACGTAACTGTAAGATATTCCACCACAGGCGTTCAGTAGTAATATTGGATAAATTTTGATCTGTGTTATTAATTAGATTAGAGCCGAAGAAATTTCAGATTCAAACAACGATTTAGTTTCTTTGCAATTTAAAGGAGAAAAACTAGACAAAAAGGTAATATGATCTTATCACATAAATCTTCAAGTAGATTTATTTAATTACCTTAGATTATATAAATGCTTTCGAAATTATGACAATACAGTATTTGAGCATAGCAAGCAGATCATTACACTACTGAGATGCTATGGTATGAGAGTATACGTATGTATATTACATAAAATAGAACGAGGTAATTATCAATTGTACCACTTCTGTCGATATTCATTTAATATTCCAACTGTGTATTTAATACAGCTGATTATAACCAACTTATAGGATGTATTTGGCAAATCAGATCCTTATCTTGAAATACATAAGATGTCGTCAGATGGATCTTTCATGAAAATTCATAAAACAGAGGTTGTTTAAACTTGGATAGATAAAGAAATAGTTAGTAAATTTACAGGCTATTTCTTAGTATATGCTCCTAGATATCTGAATTTTGGTCTCGTTTTTACTATCATCCTGTGGCAATATAATAGATCATAAAAAATACTTTGAATCCAGTATGGAAAACTTTTCGTATTCCGGTGAGAGCCTTGTGTAATGGCGATTACGATAAAAGTATAAAGGTAAGCATAATTATAAGTTCTTGAGGCTTACAGAAGCGTTATTACTATGTTATTAGATTGTAAGATACTCTATCAAAATAGTGTTTTAGCTTTAAAACGAAATTATACTGTCAAAAAATGTAACATGATATAGGAATTTATTGATCATGAATAAAGAGCAGTCAAAGTATGAGAGCCTATAATTGTTTGATTATACAAACTGCACTATTTCAATGACAGATCTACTGTTATGACTACGATAGTGATGGTAGTCATGACCTTATTGGGACATTTACAACTACCCTCAAAGAAATGGTCCGCGCTGATCGAAATCCTGTTAGTAGAATACTTGTTTAAGCAAAGTTATACGTGTATGATAACGTACTACTAGATTACTCGGTTAAATACTGTTAATTAAAACTTTATTATTTGCAAGTATAGTTTACACTAATTTTGATACATACATTTAATTAATTATAGTGATGAATTTGGATATATTAGCAATTTTATTTAATATGATACTGTGTCTTATTCTAGGTTAGCTATGAATGCATTAATCCTAAGAAACAAGCGAAAAAAAAATCTTATAAAAACTCTGGACATATTATTTTACAAAAATCTATAGTAGTAAAGCAGTATTCATTCCTGGATTATATCATGGGAGGATGCCAAATTAATTTTACGGTATTATAACTATTAATATCAACTTTAAGTAATATGAATCATGTTTCACAAATGTGATGCAACATAATTGAAATTATTCATAAATAAAAATTGGCTATAAATGAAATGTCTGATGATTAATTGCTGGCTTGTTTACTGAAATAGATCGGTGTTGATTTTACTGCGTCTAATGGTTCTCCAAAAAACCTTAATTCCCTGCATTATCTTGGACCTAATGGAAGAAATCAGTATTTAGATGCTTTAATAGCAGTTGGCAACGTGTGTCAAGATTATGATACGTAAGTTATAATGCACTAATAAATCTTAATTAGACTTTGCAAATGTAACTTTTTGGCATTATTCTTCTAATCATTTAACGAACGAAATAATCCAGTAATCTATATATATACGTATACACCTATAAAGATATTCATTGATACAGTAAACATCTTTGGTTGTTAACAGAGATAAGCTATTTCCTGCGTTTGGATTTGGCGCAAAGATTCCCCCAAACTATCAGGTAGGGCAATATTATAAAACCCACATAACGACGGTCAGTTAATATTATAAGTTCATGTACTGTATGATTAGTTTATTTATCCTCTGATCTTATATCTTGTCTAGTGTTCACATATATTCCCGCTAAATTTTAACCCATCTAACCCTTACGCTGCAGGTGTGATAATTATATAATTTTTGAATATTTCAATTTTCAACTATTTACTGATACTTTCAATTTTATAATTATATTATATGATTTTATTTTTTAATAATTATAACTTGGATTATGTACATTTACCATTCTTATAGGAATCACTGGTGTTGTTGAAGCATATCAAGCCTGCCTGCCAAATATTCAATTTTATGGTCCAACAAATATTGCACCAATAATACAACATGTTGCAAGCTTTGCTAGTAACGCGATGAATGATGGTACAGCTTCGGTAAGCTCTATGAATATTGTAACTTAATGCTGTTATTAATTAACAATTTACTCCTAGTGACGATGTTTGAACAATGTTGTAGAATTATTTTGTATTACTGCTGTTGACCGATGGAGTCATAACTGATATGGAAGAGACTAAAAAGGCGATTGTTCAAGCTTCCAAGCTGCCTCTCTCGATAATTATAGTAGGAGTAGGTGGTGCTGACTTTTCTGCTATGGAAGAATTAGACGGCGATGATGGAGTGTCAGTATTGAGAAAGTCATACAGAATAGATTGTATATTTTCAAACTTTAAGGTAAAAATATATAAATTGAAATTTATGTGGTAATCTGTCAACTTATAGACTACGATGTAGTATCGGCCCCGCCGTAAGAGATATTGTCCAATTTGTTCCATTTAGACAGTTTATTCAGGTACTTTGATATCTACATGATTTCACAAAAAAATGCTTAAAAGTTGCTGAGAGAAATTTGTTTATTCTATGTGTGTAGGCCTCTCCGCAAATCTTAGCTCAACATGTACTAGCTGAAGTCCCAAAACAGCTAACTCAGCATTACTCACGACATGATATTGAACCCCTACAACATCGTTAAAAGAAAAGTGCATTAACAACATTTACTTTTTATTTTCAGTATAACATAGACAGTAGTTTAATTCTATCAAGATTTTGAATAAATAATAATCCTAGCAATGATTCCTTTCTGAGCGAGCAAAGTCTGCATCTTGATTGTCTATGTAATTGTTTATTTCTCATAATACCTAAATACACTTTCAATGCGACTGACAGGATTATAATTACCGTTCCTATAAAAAATCTTGTCGTATAATATTATGTACTTAGCTGATACTGTTGAAAGTATATAATCTTTGTCTTAAAATTATGTCATAGATTGTTGTTAGCTTCGACTTTTCATTACTAATCTTGTGCAAACGTTGGTAAATGGTTGAGAATGCAGAAAGTGGTTATTTGAAAAATAATATTGAAGAGTAGCATGATGATTAGTGACGTGACCCACACGTGTGTGGCAACTGTAGGCTATTTTGCTCATTAGCGGTGATTGATAATTGTAACACTTCAATGTAATTAACATAAGTATTGGTAATTTCTTAATTATACTTTGCTTCTAAATTAAATTATCATATCAGTTTCAGCTAACATAGTTTTCGCTACAAAATTTAAATATTTTTTACATAGCAAATCGAGACTGCAACTACAATAGGTCTAAAATTAAAAAAGTTGGGGAGTTTAACTACTCAAAATTGGTACACGTTTACAACAAATGTCAATAGGTAGTCAATTATAGATTTTACGTCCTTTTATTTGGTACAACTAGCAACAAGGAAGTTATCATAATACCATTTTTAATTAGCGGTACATATTATTTGCTAGTGAAACTAAAAGAGGTATAATACAAAAACAGGGATGAATAAAGTGGTATTTATGATGCAGGTGTGATACAGTTGTTTACATATAGACAAATTTGAACCTAAAAGAGATAAACCATTGAAATAAGTTAGGGCTAGTAATCACATAAATTTCCTTAATTTGAGAATAGTGTACTGACCGACTGATCAAAATTGGTAAACTGGCAATAACAGGACCGTAACCTGAGGCATTATCGTATAATTCAAAGACGGGTGCAGCAACTAATTTGTAATTTTTAGGTACAGCGAATAGTGCTATCATATTTTACATAAAATTATAAAAGAATCGTGTTGTGTTAGAAATTGAGAAAATCAGTTGCAATAATAATAGTAGTAGTAGGTATTAGCATGACATTTTACAAACCTTTTTCAGCTAACTGGACCAAAAATAATCGTCTCTGTTCTTTGGGTTTCGTAATATGAGCAGGAACGTATGGGTACTAGTAGCAAAATTGGAAACAAGAACATTACTACAGTGATATTTCCAATATATATTTATCTTTGATTGAGCTATCTTCATATCATGCTAAATAGCATGAAATTAAAGTTAGCTTTTTGCATAAAATGAGGTCAATCTATTACCAAGGCGCCAACAGTAGTTAGCTGACATAGAGTATTCCTTACAATTAATAATTCTGCAGTACTCTTAAGGTACGAATTATTCTATAATTATTTGAAATTGAAATTACCTGAGCTGCTTCGAAGTTAGGCCTCCAATAATTGCACAATAAATCCTCAATTAACCATTCTTGCTCTACGCCATCGTTCCGTCCAAGGATCTATCAAGAAACAAGTCATTATTAAGGAGATTGATTTACTTTGTCATGCGAATAATAACTAATGAAAAACTAGAACGATTAACATAAATGGACCAGAGCAGTCGAATATGATGCTAAAAAATTGCAACAGAATTTGATATGGTCCATAGGAAATTTATATAGATTTTCTTATCTTACCTCATTTAGACCACGCTTAAGACCTTCTACTTCACTTTCACCTGGAGCCAGTTCTGTACTGGGTCTAAATTTGGCAGATATGATATGTGTTGGAAATAAGAAAAATTGATTGCAATTTAATCGATTGCATATCATAACCAATAAAAAAATTGGAAAAAACTATTCTTTAATAACCATTGTACGAGCTACTTACAGTTTAAAAAAAGTAGTACCAAGTTGCAATAATAAGATGTGAGGTAAACGATGTTCATGGACAATCAAGACCCCTTCCACGGTTCTTCGCATCCCTTTGGTTTGATATTCTTCCCTATATAGATGGTTGTTAATAGGATCAGCTGTAGCATTTGCATGATCAATTGGTTAGTTGATCCTCATTTTTCATCTAGATCATCATCAATAGTAAAGCTAGAGAATTGATTTCAATAGCTAATCTAACAGAGCTATATCGAATTTGACGCTAAAGTATTTACCACCAAAGAGAAAAAAAAAACAGAAAAAAAGAGAAGCCATTGTCAGTTTTGCATGCTAAGTACTTACTTCATTCTCTGGAAACGTGCAGCAACGGAACTATCAAAAGAAAGCATAAAACAATTCAATTGCAACATCATTGATTACCCTGTCTTAGCCATGCTAGGACAGAAAAGAATTTAAAACGAGAATGAATTCTTTTTCTCTGCAGTTGTTCGTAAACCGTCAGTAAAGCGACGGGAGTTTGCACTAGTTATCTTNTAAACGACGACCTTAGAAACTCCTAAAATTTTAAATTTAATTCAATAAGAGCGACTAACAGTAAGGCATATTGTCGTGGGAAAATTGAAAGATAACTGCTTCTTCACGACTACAAAACGTTACATGTGGGCACTCATATATGGGCATACATATATGCAGTAGGTTACGGCCAATGTCCGAAGTTGGCCGATACGCGTTTGGCCGGCCAATATTAAGGCGGTGATAGAATTATAGGTACAATATATTTTTATTGATTCGTCAACGATGTAATCCACAATTATATGCAATACTACAAATTTAGATCGATTCTGGATATTAATACTAGTATACTTCAATTGCTAACTCCGTCAAGATATAGACGATCAGTTGAAGATGTACAAGGGTCAAATTTGATAATATCGATGTACGAGTATTTTAATAATCTTAAAAAATTATGCTTCCCTATTTCAACGCGCCATAGTTGACTTGGAATTGCCATCAACTTTATCAAACATCATATGATAAATGGGTAAAGCATTTCGTATAATTTATAAATGGAAGTACTCTCTCACCAGACACGGTATTCATTCATATTAATAAAATTTTTACTTTACGCATACCTAAATATGAATCCGTATTATAGATGTAGTACACCTTTATATCTGGCATGCACATTAATTAACGAACAGATAAAGTCTGTCTAGCAATATTCATGCAGATATATTTAAGTACAAAGTCATAAATCTAATTCTGTAATATCAGTAACAGCCTTTGGGCTCCTCGAAGATCTGATAAGTAAATATTAGCGGAAATATACAGAAGCTACCAATACAAGATCCTATCACCATAACAACACCGCTCCAGACTAATGCTACCTTGCCTTTCTCTCGTAGTAGTAAGCAGGCAGTTACCTTAGTATAGGTAACTAAAATAGTATTTATAACCCAGATAGAGACCTATAGGTAAGACAAGAATATATATACAACGGAAAATGATTAACTAATTTCCACCTTATGTAAGGAAAAAATTTTTATTTCTATTGCTTTATTTTACAAACTTATCCCGAACTTGACGTACAATCAGAATTGAGCCTTGCACGGTGTTGTGTAACGGAGGATATGGACTCATCACCGCAGATGTTATAATAAAAATGCCGGTTGCTCTTGATAGCGTCGAAGTGTAAAAAACTGCAGTCATAGATCGATACTTAAACAGCAAAACTGCGAAAACAGATGATAAGGGATAGGTAACAGCAACTGATGCCACAGTTCTATGGTATGTCTTCAAACCGTATGGTAAGCACGAAAAAGGTTGGATTGAGGGCAAGACACCGTTGCTGATGCAGAATGCCCAGCCTTCTGTTAAAAGTAGAATAATATAACGCTGTTTATCTGCATGACTTACCCATTCCACAGCTTTGTTCGATTCATTATCAGTTTGATATCTGTCTTGATTTGTTGATAATCTTTCACTTTCACTTGTTTCCATGTTAGCATTGCTTGCCTCTTCGCAAAAGGGTAGGCAAAATTTAGCCATTTTAGGTGTAATGTAATGACTATCGTTTATGTGAGACGTGAACAGTCGATTTTTCATTCTTCTACAACGTCCATCTTGTTCAGATTCGCTATCACTAGTTTCATTACTAGTTGATACCCCATTTCTTGCCTGAAGTTGAATTTCTGCCTCATTTAATATATCACGTTGCATACGAAATATATTCTTTTTTATTTTTCTATCATAAATTCTGACAGATGAAGGTAGATGATCAAGTACGGTGAAACTTACGAGTGATATTAACAGAAAAGTAAATACAATAAAAAATAACGTATCTGGACCAAATATTGGATTTTCACTGACAGTAGTGCCATTAGCTTTACTGATATTGAGATGATGATGACATTTTGGTCCATCGGTTACATCCTGTATCAGAATAGCTATGCCAGGTATTAGTGAACTTAGACCGTCTCCGATAAATATACCAGTGATATAAATTTCTGGATAATCAGCCATGTAAGGTAAAAACGTTACAATAGACATGCAACCAACAAATGAAAAGATAAATGCTATGAAATATAGAGCTACTGAATGCTCAAATGTGCTCATAGCAACGAATGTTTTATTCCAAAATATCGCTAGAGCTAACGAGTTGATAACGGCTACTATCAGTAAGATATAAATAAAGGGAGCCTCATTGAATCTTCTTGGATGATAATAGTAAGCGAGGCCATAACATGCTGGTCCAATCGCTCCTAAATGACTAATTATAGTTAAAACTGCAGGTAGTTGTAGGCCGCCAGGTGTACGCGCCACTAATAATGGTGTTTCTACCCAAATACCATTCGTACCAATCCATGAGCTCATGCTAAAAATACATACTAAAGTAAACGTTAACCAGGAAATTTTGCTTCCTTGTCTTATTACTTCTCCATCTCCAGGATTATCGTTCATGATACCAATTTTGTTGCACGCGAGTACATTGCATTGGTACGAATATAATATAGATATTGTGTAATAGTATGCGCATAATCCATTACTAAATCAACCATATGCCAACGTAATTTATGCAATCTGTTATTATGCGACCCAGATGCAATATTGAATTATGTTATATGTATTTAACTGCAAGCCTGATTTATGCTTTAATAAAAACTGCTGCTTAAAATATTATTTTGCGTATGCTTAGAATACCATCATTCCTTAAAGATTGACTGTGAGCCGCAGTTTTTATTTCTTACTGATCATAACTATATTCCATTCAGTTATACACATTAAATTCTATAAATCATGTGTATATGGGTTTACATCAGAGCTATACACTGAGCTCTTCAGGCATAAATACTAAAGTACATAAGATACTACTACGATGCTGGTAATATCACAGAAAGATAATATTACTCTTAAGATTGTGAAAAACTAATATTATCCTTTAAATATTCATTCTATTTATGCTCTAATTAGTAATTTACAATAACCTACTAATTAGACGTAATGCGATACATATTTTAGATTTTCTTTGGTATTTCTAAGTGCAGTTAGCAAGAAAAGCTGGAAACTGTCAATGCTCTTGTAATGATTGTACAAACGGGTTCTAGAGTTTATTTACTTACAATGTAACCGGTAATGCACGCAATTTATTTGTATGTTACTAACTTTGATTACTCGTCTGACTGATTTGTACTATTTTCAATAGTTATAGCTCGTGTGATAATAGCATTATTCCCAGCTTCATAGGGGGGTATTAATTAAACTCTTTCAGTTAGCTAAAATAATATAATATGGTTTTCCTTATGTTCGTATCTCATCTATATATGATTCAATGTATACAGTTATACTTTATTTATAAATGATAATGAATTATTATTGTTGTTTATGCTGTATGTAAAAGCTGGTCGATGGTATAAGACATGTATTATAACATCACCGTTCAATAAAAAAGTACCTAAATTATCATTAAAAATTATGTCTTTAGAATAAAATTGTTGCACTGCGACCAATGAAGCGTTAGAGGATAACGACGGTTGATAATTCAATTAGTTATGTATGGGATTACCTCACAGGAATAAGATCTGACGGAGATCTTGCATGAAGTTGTTATTGTCATTTATAATTTTCGTAACCGGTAAAAATTACCGGTACATTGCATATAAAAGCATATTAATTTAAATGACGAAACGGGTTTAATCTCTCAACTCATTCGTTCAGTTGATTACGGACGGTTTCGTATCTACTTGCATACTTCGGATATAACTATTATCTACTATAAATAGTATAAAATTTAACTTATTACAATATAAAAATGTAAATGTACACCAATCATCATCAATCAATTCAATCACATTAATTTGGTTGTACGTGTGCCCCGTTGTTTATATGAAATCCTGTGTACAGCATGTTGAGATTAAACAATGCATCTGTATCTACTGAACTTTGTACGTGATTAATTGTACGTGTATACAGTATTTCCTACTTATCAATATCATACCTTTACTTCAGATTATTCAGTCTTCTTAATGTAGATTTTGTCAGCTACTCGTATGAACACGTTGTTCATACAATAAAACTATAAAAGCGTATGAGAAACCTAATTGTGAACACTATTAACAGTAAGAAATCGCTAACAGAGAGATACGTACATGAGATATCTAACGGCCACAATAAAAATACAGAAATATGATTATGGTAGATGCGATAAAACTATAGTTATATTTGATATGTAATTATGGGGCTTACTCGTAGTCTGTCGCCAAAGTAACAGCCGTATGTATTTCTATACGATCTCGGCCTGAGACTAACCGTTAGTGATCTATTCGGTAACCGCTACTCAATGGCTGCTGAAGTATTTGTATATTAAATTTGTAGTTTATTACTGTAGAAGTCTAAATCATTACGATTATTCACGTGTTTGAACTAATCGTGTTTTATAACTGTCGAAAGATACTATATTACTAATGAAACCGATTTATTGATGGTTTTGATAGCTATGATAAACAACACCTATACTTTACTAACGCCTTTTCAACTTTCACAAGTATCAATTTACATATAGTAGCTACGTAATTTTAACATAACTTCAATAGATATCAGCAATAATAAAATTTAAAGAACAGTGCTGTATTTTAACTATGTCAATATGGTCTAAATAAATACCATCAATTTATCGTATCTCTAGAGTATGCATTAGGGATAAGAAAGGTAAAAAATTATTGCTCTGGGTACCTGTTGCGATTACCTCACAATTTGTTTTAAAGCTAATTTTCATTTGAATGTGGTGAAGTCATAAATATATGGCATAAATATGATATGAAGAAGTTGATACCATATATCTGTTCAAGAATAGACTTATATTTAAAGCAATTTTGCTAAAAATTAATGATACCAATACTGTTGTGAACGAAAATACTATCGCTGAAGTATGCGGTAAAACAAGCTGTAAATTAGTGCATCATGTAGATTTATTAATACAGAAACAGCGTTATTTTATCAGAAAGCGTCGACATCAGAGTTTGATAGCATGCGTTTAACAGCTTGAAAATGCTTTAACATATATGTCTTGTCCGCATAGAATTGTTTTGATATTTTTTCGCACAGCTCATCAGGAATTACATTTAATTTTTTTCCGGTTGCAGAAGCAAGGACCTGTCGTGAGTTACATAATTTATTTTTATCAGTATTTGCCCATTAATTACAGGAGTTTTTTGTAGTTGCTGTTCAGATTAGATAAATGATTGATTGATTATGATTACTGTTATACTTACTTGATACATGCAGGCCCTTTCAACATAGTAAATTGTATCGAAAGCTTCGTGAATAGTCGATGCAGCAACAAGAACACCATGATTGCCCATGAATAATATAGTTTTATCACCTAGCACACGAGCAAGTCTATCACCTTCCTCATCTGCTGTTGCCAAACCAGTATATCCCAGATCAAAAGCAAATCTATTGTAAAATCGAGCAGAGTTTTGATGTATCATTTCAAGTACTGGCTTTTCTAAACAAGCGACGGAGGTTGCATAAGGCATGTGGCAGTGCATAACACATTTAACGTCAGATCTGGCACGATATATGCCAAAATGAATCTTCATTGCGGTAATATCAGCCTCGCCATCACCTAAATCAATCCAATAAATCAACCAAAAAAGCTATTATAAAGTAGTCTTTAATTCATTTTTAAGGTATTCTTTCCTAAATAGCTAGCAAGTCGTTAAAATAAACAATAAAATCTAAAATACAGTATTAATCCAACTTTGTGCAGCATAGGCCTACTTATAATAGGATCAGCGAACCCTAATTGTCATTATTACAATAAGTATGAAGAGTACATGATGAATACAATGGCAGAAGTAAATAGACAAAGCACAGTAAGGCAAAAATAGGATAGGCTCTATATTGACTATCTAAATCCACCATATTAAGACTAACAGGATAAATTTAAAAATTAGCCAAGGTCCAAAAAATGATGGTCATTGAATCGCTTCGAAATAGTTTAAATTGCAGATTTCTATTTTTACACTTGAATTAATTACAATACTGTACAGTATATCCGTGCTAGTGGATTGTCTACTGTGGATTCATGATTTAAAAAAGCAGCTAGTGAAGAAATTGAGCACGAACACTGATCCTAAATTGAATTGTAAACTTTCACTTTGTTATTATTTGGTTCATACCTTCCACGAGTTTCTCATTTGAGTTTAGGCCCACTAACTTTTCAGGTGTAACTTCGCACCAATGTAATCCATACGGAATTACTAATGCAACGTAATCTTTGCCTTTACGAGCTGGTGCAATCGCTGTAAGATGGTTACAAATTCCTTCTGACAGACCGTATTCGAATATACCACGGTAAGCCGTAGCAAGATCTTCACGTACGTTGTTATTATTCCATTTCGGACTTTTTGTGCTGTCATGGCGAACATTTGTTAAATTATATACTGCACCTAAGTTGGCACTTCGTTTAAGAGCTTGTCTCAGCGAGACACGCATCAAATGGGCGGCCATGTTACCTGTTAACCTTTACCGTAACCAAACTGCTGCTTGAATACTCCACGCTAAACCGAACCTCTTATAACCCCCTATGGTACTGTACGATGCGTTTTACCGTACAGTATTATACTGTACGGTATTGTTACTGATCAGTAGGGTCTCTACTATACAGTACAGCACACTGTACAGTACAGTACATTATCATGGATCGGATAGACAGACTTTTCATACAGGATGCCCTCCTGTATCAGTTTTCTAAATCACTCTTATTAATTTGAATAGTAGTACAGACTACAGAGTACACGGTAAAAAGTTACTGAACCTCGGATAGGTCTATCAAATGGTAATACTATCTGTTAAATGAGCACATTATCGTAAACCGTCAGCAAAGCGACGGGAGTTTGCACTAGTATTACTTAATTTAGAAAAATTAGTCTATTCAGAATCGACTATCTGCATACTAAAGTACTGTACTGTCATAATAAAGTGTTTGATACAATTTGTTGACCAAAGTTAGCCTGGAATGTCTGTCCATCTAAAAGAGTGTCTTGTACTTCCAGTTGTCCATGACTATACTCAGTGGATTATGCACTAGTACAATACTGTATTAGTAATGTTTAACATAGACGATGCAATAAGGCCCATTTGCTGCTTACTGCTGTTCTCTCATCTTGCAATTAAATACTACTAAAGCAAAAGCAATAACGCATTAGTCAGCATACGATCTAGCAATTGTTGACTATGGCCAAAGTAATGGAATGTATTTTGGTGCCTGATGACGAAACTTTGCCAAAAATTCATCTAGATGATGGAAAATTAGTGACTTTAGGAAGAAGTCCAGCTACACAAGTACGCTGCAAAACGTGTGCTCGACAACAAGGTAAATGAGCTACAGGTTAACAGTCAACATACCACTAATAACCATGCTAGCTTTAGTAGCCAGCTTGCATAGCTGTACTCTCCAGGCCATATCATTAAATTAGTTTGATTAAGATATGCACTATCTAATATACTCTTGCTTAAAGATAGCTAGCAGCTCGAATCGGTAATAATAAAAATAATAATAACAATTCTGTAGCAGTAATGGACAAATTTATAGGTATTTCTGCGCGTAGGTCTGTCAATTCTTTGAATCGTTGCTTGCTAATAATAATATGTATGTAATGATATAATGTATAAGTACACCACTATTATTATGAATACTGTTAGTAAAACTTATTTTTACGCTATAAGGATGGCCTTTTTGTGCTTTTTCTATAGTTCAAGTTATAGCAAACTATGAAAAAAAGCAACTGCAGCTTACACAGGTTTGGAATGCAAGTTAGGTCTTGTTCGAGACTATAGTTGCGCCTGTCTCGTCTTCAACATCATTAAAACAGTGCTTTATTCGTGGGTTATTTTTAAAAATCTTTAGATAGGAAAAAATCCTAGCAGAGTAAGCGGTCGATTACTGGAACCGCAAAAAACATGCATTCTTAATCCAAAAGAGAAATTTTCGCTATTGCGCAACAGTTTTGGATATGAAGTGCAATTTTTGAGTCAATCATCGCAAGATCAAATCACCTCGAAAAGACGATATGAAGACATTGACAGGTCCGAATAGGATACAGGAATTATTTTGCAATTTATTAGTAATATTTACGCTTATTACCATTAATAAATAGTATTTTTATGGTACAATACACAAGGATAAATATACTGATGACATAATTGCTCAGATATAGCATAACAAGTAATTCGATCGTTTTTGCATTAATCTGGTCCTGTACTGAGTAGTTGCACCGAAGCGGAAGAAAGAAAAAGAATGAAACCCACATTGCATATAACAATGCAAAGTGTATTGCTTAAAACACCATATCGGGTCATTAAATCACTGGAAGAACCAAATTATAATGGCTGGACTGATTTCAGAGGCTTGTTAATTTATACGTCTGATAATGCAAATCCATCGACTAAGGTACTCGTATGTAACGTACTATTGCTTTACCTAGGTAGCGCATTTTCGAAAATTATTAAACTTTTTTACTAATTTGGATGTAATTCTGTTTCAAGATTGCTTCCTTCGACCTCGATGGAACGCTTATTGACAGCGGTACATCTAGAAAGTTCTCAGATCAATGGAGGTTACTAGCATATTGATGATTCATAGATTTATTTAGCTTTTTTATCTCAAAATCTGCAGTGTTAACCTGTTGTCAAATCATTAGATTCGCTTTTTCAACTGTAAGAAGTAAGCTGCAACAATTGAATAAAGAAGGATTTAAAGTAAGCTTTCCAGTCAACTTACAGTTAATTTAGATCGTCAGTCATATCTTAGAACATTTGTAAGTATATTTTGAAAACCGTGTGGTATGCGTACACTATACTTAAATTTCTTTTATCTATTTGCAGGTTGTAATATTCTCGAATCAGGTGCATTATCACGTATTCGTCGTTCACTATTAATTACAGCATTATTAGTATAGTTAAATCTCTATTCTATCGCATCACACGACAGCTAGGAATTGGCAATAAAATGGTAAACAAAGAAAGCTTTAAGAAGAAGATAACAAATATTATCAACTCATTGGGGGTACCAGTGCAGGTTCGAATAGATCGATTATAAAATAAGTACACTTTGATATTATCTCGGTGTGGAAAATTGTTCGTTAAGGTGTACTATACAGTACAGTAGAGTCAATTGTTGTTCATGGATCAACGAATACACTTAATTTTTTCATTATTATGATATGCATATTTTATTCTTAGGCATATATTGCTACAAATCGAGATATATATCGGAAACCTTTTATAGGAATGTGGCAGTATTTAATATGGAAGGTAAAATACAGTATTAGTAAGTAATACTCAATGCTGTTAATTTACAGACGGTATCTGAACATCTGAACTTATAAGATGCAATATTTTCTGAAAAGCCTAACTGTATGCTTGAAAATAGATAAAAATGGACCATATGATAATTGATTACGTAACACTTATTTAATCATATAGGCAAACAACGCTATGACTATCGATTTGGAAACCAGCTTCTTCGTTGGAGGTCTAACTTTACAATTTTAGTTTACGTTGTAATAGAACGTATTGAAGTGTGTTTAAATGAATACTTTTAAATTGTAGTAGTGATTGTCGATACTGGTTTGTAATTTACATCATGTTTCTATTACGAAATTAATTTTGATATTTATATATGAAATATTCCCCTAACACAAAAGATGCTGCTGGAAGACCTGTAAATTGGCAACCGGGCAAACGAAAAGATTTTTCTTGCTCGGATAGGACTGTATGAACTTATCAGTTACTAAATTTTATTTCTAAAATATTCCAATATTTATGACTAAAAGTGTATTTCAAGATCTTCACTGTAATTGTCTCTCTCTATAGTTTGCAGCAAATATTGGGTTAAATTTTTGTACACCTGAAGAATTTTTCATCAACGGTAGAAAGGCAATCTTCAGCTGGCCTAGTTTTGATCCTGTATGTGCAGCTGCTAAATGTTATTAAATCCAGATTTACTTAAGAAATATGCGTCTTATTGTGTTACAGCGTAACTTTACGATAGAAGGAACGTTGTGTTATCCCTCTAACGTTGACCTTACGAACAGCCAACAGGAGGTAGGTACTAATACAGCTAAAAACATGAAGTTTATTTGCGAATGTCGTCTCAAAAAAATTTCGAAAACTGTAATGCTGCAGTATTCTATGGTAGTTAAGAAGATACTCAGTTATACCACGATTTCTTTGTTGTAGATGGTGATTCTTATTGGGATGCCCGGAGGTTGATTGTTATTCTTACCCAAAATTTTACATAATAAAACTGTATAAAAGAATGAATCATTACACATGTGATAATAACTTCAGAAAGTTATTATTATTTGTGACTTACTAATTTAATAGGAGCATGTACTATTCATTTATTACTTTTTACTTAATAGCCGGTAAAAGTACATTCGTAAGAAATTACTTGAGCCCACGCGGATATGTAGATGTTAACCGGGTAAGGTTAATTCTAGTATCCTTCGATATAATTATATCATTATCTTTTAATCAATATCACTTTAAATTACCATCAGGATAAATTGAAATCTTGGCAAAAATGTGTATCTGTTTGCACTGTATTACTGGATAGAGGTTCCAGTGTTGTTATAGATAATACAAATCCAGATAAGTTTTCAAGGAAAAGGTATTCAAATCGCTTACTGCTACTGTCTTTGCATTGTACGGTATATATGTAACATATGGATTTTAACTGTACTTATGCTGATTGGCAAATTTTTAGAATAAAAGATTGAATGCGTAATCTCTATACTACCTAAATATTATAGGTATATTGACTGCGCACGGTCTAAGAAGATACCTATTAGATGTTTTATATTCACAACATTGGAAGAGATCGCTAAGCATAACAATAAGGTAATGCATTGCTCTAGAAAAATATAGTAACTTGTAGTATTCTGTAGGATTGTAACATGGCGAGACAGTTATCTCACCTTGAAAACGGAGAGCATACAAATAAACGGACTAACTCCTTTTAGATTCGCGAAGCTACTGCTGAGGAAGGATACCAATCAGTTACCGAGATTGCTTTCAACACCTTCAAGTTCGATTATCTTCTAAGTTATAATATTGTTATCTTTAGTATCCATTTATCATTGCTATGCTTAGTTTTCTAACATTTCTTGTGCAAGGGAATTTTTATTGGGTACTTATAACTTATAGATTTAAATATTTCTTTACTTGAAAATTAGGTCTAGATATGAAGAGCCCTGCTTGAGTGAAGGTTTTTCTGATATTATTAAAATCAATTTTCTGTGTAAGTTTTCAAACGAGTATGAGGAACTGTTCTACAAGCAACTTACATAGGCTAGTAACTAGACTGGTAGGATACTGGTATAGAACCTAATGGCTATCATAATCAGAGATTTTACGTTTATTTATGTTATAAAACGTGATCACATAAGATTATAATAATTTGGTTTTTAATAGCATGTGTTGTAATTAGTTCCCGTTTATGTCTTGTTATACGATTATTTGACAAATTATTTTAAGTTAGTCTGTTTTATACATCGATGGTTACTGTATAATTAATGAATTGATGTACAGTATATTGTAATGTCTAAACTATAATACTCTTGTGATGAAATCTGGACACTGCTGGTACTGTAAGTGCTATAAGCTATAACTGTGAATTGTAATATACATGAAATCTAATGTAAGTCCTTGTGGTGAAAACTCAAGAGATTAAATTAATTAATTATTGATTAACTGTTGCAGTCTAATTCCAAGTTCACAATCTACAAATAGTAGAGCAAGGTATTTGATGAAATTCAGGATTTCTTAGCATTTACGTATTGTTGCCTGACTCTAAGTAGAACTTGGGCTACCTTGTAATTATTTAAACCATTTATTGGATTACATGATTTTACGCTCCATACCGCTTTTCTCGTATGTTGCAGTAGGATATTGGCCTACCAATACCATGAGGTGAAAATATGCACCTCGTTGATCAATCGAATCGCGTGATCTTGTATAGAGTATAGCAATTTTTTATCTAAATGCTTTGCTAATGTGGTACTGTACAGTTAAAGTGTAAACGTATTGTATGGATGCGCAGACATTATTTGCAATGGTACAGCCTTGGAAAACGTATCTATCGATGAACTAATTACCTAGCGAATTTGAAAGTAATGTCGACTTTACAATTACGCGTATAGAAAAATCAATCAAGTAGGTGCTATGAGATGCTCTGACTTTCATGTTAAATATAATTAGAGATGTAGGCAAAAAAGGTAGAGTTGCTAAGCTAACAATGTGAATAAACATGAACGATGTAATGATCGATTTGGTAATCATCTTATCTTAGTCAACTCGTTCCGCAAAAGTATTTATTTAAACATTTTCTGCAGGTGCACTATACAGTATAACAAAGGCCAAATGATGTACCGTACTCTAGAGTAGAGTATCGAGAGCAATACATTTAGGCGAAGTATTATCAGCGGGACATTCCACTAGTAACAATTATTTCAAAGCGTACTTGCTGTAACTTGCAATCTTTTAGCCTAATTTACGGTTACAGCCTGCAGCGAAGTAAAGCTAGTACCGCATACCTCGTTGTAAGCACAATAGTTCAAGTTCCAAAGTCCTGTCTGTCTCTCAGCCTGTGGTAGCACCCAGCACTTTTTAATGCGCACGCAACACCCGTACACTGTTATCTTTATCTTTTACATACTGTACAATTTATAGGGTAGCTGGTAGCATGAACATCCAGAGTACAGTACAGAATTGGATACTGTATTCTATCAGGGACTATTTTAAAGTCTCATCCTCTTCCAGTATTTTGATAGAAACTCATCCTCTCCTCGTATTTTAGATTTGGATGGAGCGGGTGTGTTTAGTTTAAACTAGAACAACATGAGTGATAAGTGCATTTAGCTCTACAGTCATAAAATGATATGTGATATCCAGTGTGGTGTAAAGTAGTGTGCATATTAGGTGTCATGTCACGACTGGGATCCGTGGTTCAAGACGAGCAATTGATAAGTGATATTATAATGACAGTGTTACGGGAACGAGATAAAGGGGTGACAATCGATTTTGCGTATTTAAGCCAATAGTACAGCGTATACTGTACTCTCGTGGACTACAGTACTGTACATTGTACAAGTGTGAGCCAGTTCTCTTTAATGTGCGATTAGGCAAAATAAATTGTAGTAAAGCTGCAAAATTTGCCTCAAATTTTATATTAGCTTACAGCACTCTTACTCTAATTCCAACTGGTTCACACTGATGTGAGCCAGTTGTATTTAGAGCGCTATTAGGCAAAATTAATTGTAGTAAAGCTGCAAAATTTGCCTAAAATTCTATACATATACTGTAGATGAAGGAACGATCTATCCGCTCTGTAGATGCTCCTGTCCTGCCAAGATACTGTACTGTACGTACAGTGCACAGTACTGTACCGTACTGTACAATACACTATTAATAACTATTGACCATTGCATTAATTGGTTATTGCTTGTTAAGTTGTTAGTTAGTTTTAACTACGTAATACAGTACACTGACGATATTATATCTAGGGCGTTGAAGACATTTAGCAGTTATAAGGATCCATCGAAAAGTAAAAATTACTCAGTATTGTCAACAGCGGTTTTATTGCTGTACAGTGTTATTAGCGGTGATTGCAAAATACTGGAGGGGCGCGCAATGAGTCGTAAGTTTCTAACAAATTAGTATTAATATTTTCATCGACGTACTTATTACAGTACTTGGCCATTTCACTCCTAGTTAAGGCGTTACACTAAATTAATTGGCATCCGTGTTAAAAAAAATTTGAACTGTGATCCAATCTAGTGATTCTTCCGTGTGGATAGATAGCAATACGCCGTCATGGTGGACTGGCCTACGGCAACTGTTGTAACTTGTTAATGCACTTTTTTCTTAATTTTTGACACTCACGGATTTTGGAAAGAAACATGTAAATGATTATAATTATTGTTGCTGGTCTCAGGCTTGAGCTTTCACTAATTAATTATCGAAGTGATATTTTGCTACAGAAACGTCAATTATGATACACTATTTTTTACTCGATTGTGATGCGTACACATGGACAGAAACATGCTCATGGGTCGTTTCCCTATATAATAGCTTGTAATAACTGGAATAGCCGTAATAATATAATGAACATGCAACATCTTAGAAGAGACCAAATAAACCGTGTTCCCCCATGTCTATGCACAAATTGGATACAACTGTAAAACAGTGGAAAGAAAGTCATCCTTTCTTGTTTTATGATACTGTTCCAGTCAATGAGATCGCATTGCACTAAGCAATGTAGCACATTCAAGAATTCGAACTTTTATCAATACTGTACAGTACTGTACTGTAAAGGAGAATTAGTACGTATATTGATGGGGCAGTAAATTGATACACTGTAAATCACTTAGTTGGCAGAATTTGTCGTTATGGATAAATTGTCTTACACTTTTTTTCCTTTCGTACTATACTACAGTATACTGTGTAACATCACGATTGATACAGAATTTGCCTAAATAAGTGTACTTATGCCAAAGCTATGTTTGTCCGACATGAATTATATGTTGTGGCGTATCTCAGCCCATACGTTGTTGAGAGTTGCTCCTTTTTATCATGTTTACAGTCCAGTATTAAACAACGGCGTCGGACAATACGGTACATGATCTTGTGACCTGTCTTACAAGTTAAAAGTAATTACTGATATGAATCCAAACTGGACAAACGCTATCGTCCCGTTTTTAAAACTTTTTTTCAGTAACTCTTGTCAATTTTCGATTATAATTGTTTATAAATATTAAATTATGTTACTTGATTGGGTTGGGAGCTTTAACTTTTGTCAGACTGTACTGTACGTAGGATATGATGTACAGTAGTACTGTCCATATACAATACTGTACAGTATGTGCACTGTAGAGTACTAGATAGAAAAGAAAAATTCTGGGATACTTCTAGACAGTAGTGCTGATGTAATGTAATTCAGTGTCGAAAAGTAGTACATTAGTAGTAAATTGGACTCGCGATGAAGAAGTAAAATGTGGGAGGGACAAAAAGTTACGAATTACTGCAAATTGATATGGCGATTAAATGTTCATCTTGACTTATTCCCCTTGATTACTTAATTATTTAGGAGGCGGTGATAGGCATCGCGACACAGAAATGGTGACAACCTGTGCCATTTGCGGCGATCGAGCAACCGGTAAACACTATGGCGCGCCAAGTTGTGATGGTTGTAAGGGATTTTTTAGACGTAGTGTACGTCAAAACCATGTTTATACTTGCCGTTTTGGTCGAAGTTGTGTCATCGATAAAGACAAGCGCAATCAATGTCGCTATTGTCGTTTAAAAAAGTGCTTTCGAGCCGGGATGAAGAAAGAAGGTAGGTACTTCATATATTTACAGTATATATACGCTGTACCCACGCATGTCAAACCAAAGAAATACGATTACTCTACATAATGTATTAACATGGAGTCAGCTTATTTTTCTTCCCCATGAATTATGGTTGATAGTAAAATAATATCTAGCCTTGAGCTAATGTATGTAAGCCATCGTTGTGAAACAGCATCCAACTAATAATTATAATTAAGGAATGAAGTGTTGGGAAGTTTTAAATGTAGACAAATACATACTCTATCCTGGATTCGAATTACAGTAATGAATCGACTTCTGACAGTATGATATTGACGATAATGGCATTATAAAAAATCATTTCGCTTTTGTGTACTGTAGTTGTAGTTCAATATAGTATCCACCGTATTTGCTATTAAAATTGACTGTTTTTATGTACGAATTGTTGTCACCATCTCCTGCTATAGTGTGTACTGTAATGCGGTGTGCAACACATAAAGTTTACACCTATGAAATTATTATCCATTCCATTCTCAGCAACTAGAATACATACAAATACTTTTTTTACACCACTGTTGTTGGCATGTTGTATATATCTATAATTATTACGATATTTACATTTTGAGAATCAGCAAACTTTTAGATACTATTAACAAAATTTATGAAGCTATTAAAATTAAACTAATGCTAATTATCGATATATTTTAATTTACATACAAACTTTTTATTACCGTGTTATTTTTGTTTATTCTAGTCCAGTACAATCGTTCGCAATCGTCTTTTTGTAGCATATTACTATACAACTTTTACAATACTGGTTACCGCATTAAAACACATTAATAATAACAACTATTAAAATGGCATTGTGCTTCACTCTGAGAAAGAAATGAAAATTTTTATTGGAGTTGAGGTGGACAGTATAACACAAAGAAGTATGTATAATATATAAAACCTATACTGTATAGTGTATACTACAGATTACTGAGCGCACGAAAGTGGGAGACACGGCTAGCTTAGATGAAATAATTTTATCCCTGAAGAACGCAATCTATGTAGTACGGTAATTTACTCGTATTTTGGAGGTAGTTCATTATAGTACGTCTAGGTAATGTACAAATAGATAATTAATACACACGAATATGCTTAACAAAAATCTTTCGGAGATTTGTTGCTAAGTTCCTTTTTTTGTCATAGAAAGTTTAAAATACGATTGCTTTGACAATCCAATATCTTTTGTTTAAATGACTAATTCAAAACTCAATACTCAATGGTTTAAAGTAATACAATATTGTAACTATTTCGGCCTGGTTGTCAAGTTGAATCTTTGCTTGCAAATGTAGCTTTTTATTGGTAGATAAATATTAAACTTTAAATGAATCCTTTTTTACGGTATGCGGATTCATCTTTGACCTTTGGATTTAATGTCAGTTTGAAGTTCATCGCGGTATTTCTGCTACATTAAATAAGAAAATATTAGCAAAAATAGTCGAAAGTCCAAATTTAAAAATTATACTCTAGTGACTTAATGATTGGTAATCAGTTCAAAATCTTCGGATAACATAAATATATTCTTGTTATTGTTTCTTTTAGCGACAGTAATGCTGTCTTTATATTCATAATTTCGTTTCTCAGCAACAAAATAAATGACGTGAAGTATTATACAGTAGTTACACAGTTATAGCTATGACAACGATTCAGTCATTTCAGGGTTGTTCAGATTCAAAACATCGGTTCTGTACTGATTTATTATAGACGACTATTGTGATCGATAATATACCTTTTATTATTATTATTATTCGTAGAATATACGTAATATTAATGATTTGTCGACTGATGATCGATTTTGTACGTCAAGAATGCGCGCATCTTTATGTTACAATTTAATGAAACATTTTCTTATGCGCTTTTGCGGTTGTCAAATTCTTAATGTAACAACATTCTAATATTACTTTCATACAAGTACAATGGATAATACAGCACAGTGTTACCATGATTGATCTAATTTAATTTCATTATGCTCTCTATAGCGATTATTATAACTATCTTTTTTTCATTTTTATGTAATCTCTTTTCATTAGTTAAGGCAGACTTATTACAGAGTGAGTTAATAGCTAAAGCTGGATGATAGCATTAGTTTTCTTGAAGTGGAAAAGATATAGTTTAGTATAGTAATATAGTTGCATTACGTTGTGTAGGATTGTTAGTGCACAATATTGATTCGATTCTGTAATCAGGATAAGAAAAGAGATGCTAACTTTATTTCAATAAGAATTCAGCTACTTTTTCACATAGCTTTCTTTATCGTATCCACTGATCGTAGCCTATTTATTTATCAATGATTTGTGATTGGAATTTTAAAGGGCTTTGATAGATACACCCTTACGGAAAATTGCAAATCCGCCATGAACTAGAATTGACTTATACGCTTACAATATGTAACATACTTACTTTTATACAGTGTAATACTTTGCATTTCCGTCATCAACTAAGTCTGCATATCCCCGTATCATATTGCAAATAGTAAAATTCGTCTACTTCCTACTTTCAAGCAATATTTTATTATCTATTACTACCTTTTGCCCACACTGACTGTAATATAGTAATATGCGAGTGTTTGCTATATAACGATGTACTGTATAATATGAATATATCAATTTTAGATCTCATGTATCTTCTTACATAATACAGTAAATCTTTAACATGACGTACTGCAGTATGTTAGATACTATCTGCGATGTCTATAGACATTACAATTATTTATAATGATTTATTCTCCTGAAACTATTTAGCCGTTCAGAGCGAAAGAGATCGGATATCGAGAAGACCGTCAGAAGATCAATCCGGTGGTAGTGAGCTTACGTGCAGCACGTTATTAGCAGCCGAATTATTGTCACAACCTCAATCGTCTCCGCCACGTGAATGCTCACTGGATGTAATACGTATGGCCTCAGTTAATGATATTTGCGAATCGATGAGGCAACAGTTACTGCTTCTGGTCGAATGGGCCAAATATATTCCGAGTTTTTGTGAATTACTACTAGATGATCAGGTCACTTTATTACGAGCACATGCATGCGAGCATTTAATGTTGGGTGTTGCTAGACGATCAATGAGATTAAAAAATATTCTCTTACTTGGGAATGATTTGATTTTACCTCGACATCTTCCGGAGGAGCCAGAAATTGCTCGTATCGCTTGTCGTATAATGGACGAATTGTGTTTGCCCATGTTAACGCATAATATTGATGATACTGAGTACGCATGTCTGAAAGCTATTGTATTTTTTAATCCTGATGCCAAAGGATTGAATGAGCCTATGAAGATAAAGCGATTGCGCTTTCAAATTCAATTAGCACTAGAAGATTACATCAATGATCGCCAATATGATTCTCGTGGACGATTTGGTGAGATGCTTTTACTCCTACCAAATTTACATTCAATTGCAATGCAGTCTGTCGAACATCTACAATTTGCGCGCTTATTTGGTACTGCTAAAGTTGATAGTCTACTGCAAGAAATGTTGCTTGGAGGTGCAGATAATTCGTCAGCAAGTGGTATGATACAGGAAGATCCACTACGAAATTCTGCTAGCTCAACGGTATTGCCTATTCTTAAATCGGAATCTGTCAATGTCAGTAATGGTCACGGGCATGTATGTTCGACGGTTCCACTATCTACAGGTGTAGATCATAGATAATGTTACTGTAGCACAGGAAAAACAAGCCCCATAATGTAACCATTCTGTCTCGTATTTACAATTCTTGGCTCCTAGATCGTACAGATGTCGTACAAGTAGGCACAAAATGAAATATTAAATCAATTTTGACTAGATATTGGATTGAAATAATTGATAATTGCGATATCCATTTTATTTATAATATTGTCATTAATCTTGCTTACTGGTATTTTTAAGACTACAAACAGATCTAAATCCCGCAATTGTATCCCTTTATCGTAGCCCAGTACATTGTTAAGATAGCCAAATATTGTACTTTGCAGATAGATTTTGTTTTAATTTTCTTTATTACTTAAAAGATTATAAATCCATAGATAAATGCATCGATATTAATACCTTCATTCGCAAGCACATAAATTTCATTTATTATAAAATCATTATAGCTACTTCACAATTTTACTCCTCCAAATGTTACGGCCGAGTATATTAATATTGATTATGCACTATGCTGCAACTATATCGAAGAAAACCTTTCAGCTCTGCAACAGTCTATATCAGCATATATGCTGCAGGTTTCTATTTTAAAGCAAAGTATATTTTTTTCCTTAATTTTCTGTTAAAGATAATTCAAATTAACTTCGGGGTTGCATCTCTTGTAGCCTTTTTAATAAGGTTCTGCTCTTACAGCTGGATGGCTTATATGTTCTAAATATATGATTACTGTAATAATAATCTGTTTTAACTACCAATATCTTAGATTGTTACAGCTTCGAAAGCATTGTAAAATGTTATTTTGAAGTTCGTATTCACCTAGGAATTATGTATCATAATTACTTGATGAACAGGCATGGAAAATGAATTTCATCGGGATGAGACATTGTATTTATTTTGTTCATGATGGCCTCTTAATCTAAATCTCTTTCCCTTTGTTTTACATGAATTGCTTTGTATTTGATGCCATTCTAAAATTCGGAATCGTTGGGCTTTTAAGATCAATTCTTTCTTTTTAATCGTTGTAAATCTGAACTAGCTCTCTAATTGAATCCACACTTGTAATATAATATCCTATAGTAATTAATTATATAATTCTACGCATATGATCCTTGGTTACTATCGCACATCCCTAATGTACTACAGTTAATTCAAAAAGAAAATTCCTAAATTGGCGGTAATTACTACAGTATTATTAAATTGTTTCTCAGTAATTGCGGCATTATGTTACGTTGCTAATCTGCTTTATAATACCTCCACGTTATAATGTAGTCGTGCCATGAATAAAACTGATACGAGTAACTTCACCTGAGACATAGAGCACTCGTATATGTAACATGGCAACCCGTCTTAGTATCAGTAATTTTCATAATAAAGATTATAAGAAAATTATTATTATAACCTATTTATTGACTCCGCATCTATCTCTTATGCATGTGATTATATGTTAGGATATAAAAATAATCTGACCCATCGGACTTTCGTAAGCTTCGCATCATACATCGTGGTTAGTGGTCAGCTAACGTGTTGCTACTTGGGAATGATGTGCACGTTTGCCTATCACACGCGCATATAGCAAGTAGAGTATAGTACTAAATTGTTTTGCATGAGCCACCGTACGTGTTTCGCTTAAGACGGTAATACTATTGTTTCGCTTTTTGCTTTAGCGTACAGTATGTTAGTATGGACCGATGGATTATCACTCTTGAAATTAGTACCATAAGAAGTCATTTTGGGATATTTATGGTCTAATTTGTTAAGAGAAGTCCGTCTGTCTGATGCGACGACCAAGCCTTCTTCATGTCGTCCATCCACATTAGGCCCTCCGTAAAAATGGACCACTACTTCATGGGCGTACACTACAGTGCTACATACTGGTTGAAAACTGTTCAGCCATAGTGTAGTCTTTAAACTTTTAAGGTATTTACTTTGAATTTGGCTAAAGTTTCACAAATACAGATCAGTACAACCTTGAGCAAGTGGCACTTGATGTTTTTTTAATTTTTTTTTACTGCATTATTGAGTTATTTTATTTCTTTGAAATTTCTAATATAAACCGTCAGTCATTGGTACGTGTTAACCGAACCTTTCTCAGGTCTACCCCTTGTCCACATTACTTTACAGTAGTACTAGTACTGTAGTATGAGACACTTTCGATGAGATGCGCTGAGAAAAGGAGACAGTAGTAGTACATGTACAGTACAGTGGTGTATTCAATTTTTAATGCTAAAGTACTGTACACTGGTGTACAGTACTGTACGTCCAGTAGAATCATATTTCGCTTTTAACATGGTTTGGAACTACTCAATAAACGATTAATTAATTAATTTATTTTATTATTATTTTATTTTATTTACTTAGGCTATAACATGCATACTGTATACTACAGTATACAGTAGATAACAGTGCATAGAGGTAAAAGTTACCTCTATGAAGTTGACCAGTACTTCATAGGTAGAGCGAGCTTTCAACAGCTCTAGTTGGAATTTCAACATTGAGTGATGAGGATTTTTTCCAACCATGAAAGAATAGGCGGGGCTTGTTTAAGAGTTCTCCAGTAGGAGGAGCCATCGTTACAGTCAGCAAATCTGTAAAAATTATTATTTTATTTTTATTTTTTTTCAATGTCTGTACTGAGTCTGTGTATTCGTTAAAGACTAGAAAACTCGGCACAGTACAGTACTGTGCTGTAGCGAACTAGACTGAACGGTGGTAAAAGAGTGGTAAAACCAGTGAAAGGGCTTTGGCCATTGCCTACAGCATACAGGCCCTGCATGCAGATTGTACAGTATCAGCAACAGTATGTTGACAGGGCAGTAGTATACACCGACGGGATAACAGTAATTCTACGTACAGTACAGTAATTTAACCCTTTCAGTGTACATTAACACTGTATTGGGTTAGAAGTGAGTTATGGACTGACTACTCGATGCACACCATGGTAAAATTACTACCTTAGTCAGAAACAGCACTGTACTCTACTAGTTTAATTTCATTGGTACAGCATGGCGTGTGCTAGTTTGAATAATACTACAGCGAGTACAGTGAATACAGTCCATACAGTAGCATATCAAGTGAGTGCCTGACCGGCTGACTCTCTGTTGGAGCTTAGTAAAATGAAGCAAGAATTTCTTTTTAGCCATACGGAGTATGTCTAAGATATTTTAGCCGATAAATTTTAGCAAGAAAAATCAATGATTCCCTTTATCTTACAGTAAGAGTCATGATAATAAACTAGGCGTACACTACAGTACAGTACAGCACCAGCAGACCGAAGTAAGAAAAACCAGTGGTATACTGTACACTGTACAGTACAGTAGTACTGTACCAGTCCTGAGAACCGAACCTTTCTCAGGCCTACAGTATACAGTACTGTACTGTACAGTACTTATCTTTGCAAAGTTTACTGTACAGTACAGTATTGTAGTGTACAGTGTACAGTACAGTTCTTTGTACTGTACTCCAGAAAAAGTCATCATAACGAACTACTGTAGGCGTTTACTGCACCAGCAGGCTGACTCTAGCATCCACCGGCTCGGCTCGGCTACACTCGCGTATTTTGATCAAGCAATCCTCCCACCCATTTCGATTCTTGCTTTGCCAGGTGGATAAGATAAAATCAATTTTTCATTGGTAATAGTATAAATTTGTCAAGCCTATGCATTTCTATTGACCATTATTTTATCTTTATTGCATATTTTTGTATAGCTTTACAAACTGGAGAGACTGTGCAAGGGTAGCCTATTACACAGATTGTAAACATACTATACGCATTTGCAATATCTCGCATATATACAGTATATAAACAACGGCAGCCATCTCTCTTTAAATGGGTAACCAGCAATCGGATAGTGGTGATGGTGGTGACGAATTGCAAAGTGAAGATTATAGTCGCTTGATTTTGAGTCTAATTCGAAGGTTTGATGATCATAGAGCTAGCACTAATCAGGAAATAGTTTACTCCGCTACTTCATATTTAAATATTGATCAGTCCATAACTTTGAATACTGATCGCAACTTCTTCTTCCATAAAATGCTCATCTGTTCCTATTTCCATTTTTATTCTTGGATAAAAAGCGGACAAGTTCAACTCGTACGTTCAGGCGATGGTATTAATTTCGATTATATAGATGAAGCGGAGAGTGACGAAGAAGAAGGAAAAGGTAAGAGAGTAATTTCATTTCATTCATGGTTGATGAAGATTACATCTCTGTTCTTTTTGCCACCGTGCTTACACCAATCTTAGTTCAGTGACACACTGTACTCGTGGACGTCGCATTATATCATTCGTTAATTAATGTGCTGATACTTAGATGCAATTATGCTAGCGCTGGTTATCCGATTAATATATATGGAGTATATTACTGTACCTTATAGTACTGTATGGTAGCATTTATGAGGTATCATACTAAAACAATATATTGTATACTGCCTGGACAAAAATACCCTCGCAGCAGTAACTTTACAAAACCAACGAGTTTAAATTAATCATAAGTAATAGTTGAAAACTTACGATGCTGTAAATATCGAGTTTACCCTGGTAGCAATACGTGTATACGCAACCATGATGAATATGATGATGAATTAATTAATGTAATTACTACGATTTACTACAGAGTTCAATGAAGTAAGCTCTTTTAAGATAAAGCAGGTGCTGCTGCATACGTATACAGTATTTTTACTATTCTGTACCCTAGAGATCTTGTATTGCCATCAGTTTGTGCTTGATAGAGTCATAAAATTACTCGGTTAAGTACGTTAACCTAAAATGAGGAAAGAGGTATTTGACATTGCCCACGCATTATAATACTACTGTGATTGTAATATTCTTAGGTCGATTCTGAATTCACAAAATTGAAAAAGTTATGCTTAGAAAATTCTAAGATTGACTTTTTATAACGTTGTGCATTCAGAGCCGGCTTACTGTAGCGCCATATTCTGTATTACGAGTACTGTTGTTATAATGCATTACATATTACTCATTGAAAAAATGAAGTTTATATTTAGTGCTCTAAGAAACAAATCTGATACATTAGTTGTATGCATCTATTCTATGCTTAAAGTATGAAATAAAGTTGTAATGGAAAGACTTTACTTGATTCGTGAATGTCTCCTAAAAAATATCCTGATTTCATGTTGATGTACGCAATATATTAGAGCAACACTATCTTGCTATATACTGTACAGTACATTAATTTCATGATAAACTCTGGTTGATTGACGCCTGGTAAAAGCATGCATTTAAGATCCATTATGAGCATTCTAATATTGATATTTTATTATGATACTTATAATAGAAGAAATGAATAATACCGAAGTAGGAAATAAAAAAATGGATGTATGCTCATTAAAATTACCTAATTCTAGAATATTGCATTATTGAACAAGTGGGATGGCCTGACTAATGTTTCTTATCGAATATCTGTATTTGTTAAAAATTAAATTCATTAGATTAATGATTTGGAACAACATGTCAAATTGGCTAGCGGACAAATTTTACCGCTGCCTAATAGCATATCACCGATTATACAACAGGTAAATTGGCTCGAGAATTTGGCTTTGGTTTCCTAACCTTATCAACAAATACTTTGAACACATTTCTAATACTTTTAGTCCTGAATGTACTACAGAATGTCAATTGTTTTTATAATTTTGTTTCTAACTTGAATAATACTTCACATAGAGACAACAAGGTCTTCGAACGACTCAGGGCTTTAAAGCCCGTGTATTATCTAGGTAATTAGGATACAGAGCTAATTCCAGCCTGAGAATTATCAAGGACTCGTAAATTGTTATTTAAGATAAATGTTATTTGTTTTTATTTGTACGTGTGTGATCGAATTTTCCTTATGATACAGAAATTCCCATTCTAAGTCTTGACAAATTTATTCATACATTTTATTTTATTTTACGTTATTAATGACTATGTACATTTTGTTGTGCTATATTATTAGGTATTTACCGAATAACCACTCCGTCCTTCAAAGATTTAGGGGTAAAGCCTTCTGTGGCCAATTCTCATCCACCGGAGAGATTTTTATGTCAGCTTGTCAAGGTAATTAAACATTACCGGTCCTGCTCAGTCAATCGTATCTAGGTAGCATCCAGAGGTTGCGTCGTACATGCTTGATAGTCACAATTATTTAATAGTAATGCAATCACTGTAACGACTTTCATAAGGACCAAATGCACTATGCTATTGCAACCCTATTGTGTATGTCCACAACTTTTAATTAAAGTGTATCGATGGTGTACTTTTAGATTGTATAATTCGTTTATATGATGTAACTGATGGCAAATTTAGTCTATTTAAATCCATTGGTGCTCGCGATGTTGGATGGAGTATCATTGATACAGACTTTAGGTAAGCGTGCACTGTAAATTTAAACTTAAAAATTTGAAAAACATTTTTTAAGATATGATTCCTTTATGCTTTGCTTTTCTGTAGCCCTGATCAACGTCATGTAATATATTCCAGTTGGTGTGATTGTCGTAAGCTAAATAAGATGTTTTTTTGTTTTATGATTCAATTGTGCAGTATTCTATTTGCGATATGACGTACTACTTTCAATATTGTAGTCCATCTTTGCAGCATTAGAAAAGAAAACGACTTGCATTTGGAGCTAGATATGAGGTTACAGCAATACCAATATATTACTTAACTCATAACTAGTCCTTTTTAAATTTAACCTTTTAACGCTGTTTGTAAATTATTAATAGACCAACCTTTGGACAGAGTTTCTGTGCCTTTTCGATCAAATTTTCTCATGATAGTACTGAAATATTAGCTGGGTACTTTGTGAATGGATATAAATTAGAAACTGCAGTTTATCTCTGCGCATCATCAGAAATACTTATGGCCTTTATATCTTTATTTTTTTCAAATCTAATATTAGCTCTAATTGTGGTTATCTTTATATTTTCGATATGAACGAACATCAACGAACACTAGAGGTTTATAATTCTTAATTTAATCGCATTAATGAAGTATCTTCTTTATAGTTAGTATATCCCTAATTTTTGTAGATTCAAAGTCATGAGGACGATGTAAATGCAGTAAAATTTGCAGATGCGTCCTCTCAAATATTCTTCTCTGGTGGAGATGATGCAATTGTCAAGGTACGGCTTACTTTGCGTTCGTACAGCAGTTTAGTTTTTCTAGCTAAATCACTGGCTCAATACAAGTAATTGCTATCGAACGGTATAATACGTTATTAGGTTTGGGATAGACGCACTTTAAGTGAATCCAATCCAGTTCCCGTTGGCGCTTTCGGGGGACATACCGATGGTATAACTTACATCGATTCGAAGGTAAATAATTATTCCACATTTCATAACTGATGATCTCATTACTGTATTGCGTTTAGAACTTTTATTTCGTGCTTAAACTAAAAAGTGTAACAAATACATTAAGTTCTAATTATTATTGGACAACCGAAATAATCTTATTCTAGAACGATGGAAGATATTTAATAAGTAATAGCAAGGATCAGTGCATAAAACTTTGGGATATGAGATATTTTTCTGGTCGTGAAGGTGTTGAGGTATGAATGCAAATGTGCTTGCTATTCATAAAATGCAATACACTCGAGGGTTATAGTGTTATAAATATTGCTTGGCACATAATTCAGGAATCGCGACGAGCCGCTGCGCGTCAAGGCTGGGACTATCGGTGGCAAAGCGCCCCACGCAGACGTAAAAATTCAATTTCAGTTTTAACAATTATCTTAATTTGATGGTTGAACAAAATGCTATTCATATATAGGACGAAAAAGAAAGCATAAACATGATGCCTCACTCATGACCTACCAAGGACATGGCGTAGCTAATACCTTAATCCGCAGCTTTTTTTCACCTATGCATTCGACAGGACAAGTTTGTACAGCTACAGTGATAACGATTTATTTTATAACGTAATCGATAATTCTTGTTTCCATTATCAGGCATATATATATACTGGTAGCTGCACAGGATCTGTTGTAGGTGGGTAGGAGACATATTTATTTTTCTGAAGTTTTTGCTATGGATAGTACTGGAATAAAATTTTAATAAGGGATTTCTTTAACCCCAGTTTATGATGTTCTTACTGGTGAAATTCTCGAAAATATTGACGGACATATATCCTTTCAAAAAATGCTTCGTTGATTTTCCTTCAATTTTACGGATAATTTTCAAATTTAATTTTTTAAAATTGACCTTTACTTATCGTACAGTGGTTGTGTGCGAGATGTTTCGTGGCATCCGTTTGATAATAAAATTATTACTTCATCTGTAAGTTATTTGTTTTACGTTCGCATAATAGCTAGAAATATTCTAACTTAGCTTGTTATTATTGATAGTGGGATTGTACGCTCGGATGTTGCGAATATCAGGGAGCGTGAAGAACTGCTATGTCTAAGGATCTTATTGGCTCGATATGAAAATAATAAAGCGAGATGCTTTAGGAATTAGCAAATCTTAGTTTATAGAATATTCTAATTTTCGTTATATCTAGTGCAATAAGAATATAAAGAATACAATTGCATAAGATAATTAAATTTTACTTGTACACGTAAATTTTCATATCATTTCAGAATTTATCGCTGGCTATAGATTTATCAACACCTTGTACTGTATAGGTATGTAGATGAAGATGGCACAATACAACTGCTCTACATGAACCATTAAGATCGTAACCTTTAAATATTAGCTGATTACATTATATTGTATTTGTACTACCAAAATAAGCAATTTGTCTACACTTCTATTTTCGTAAGATAGAATCTATACATTGACCTGTTTGTATTGTATAAATTCTTGCGGTACTGTTATCAATATAAATATTTGATTCTTGATGCACTGCAAATAATATGTCTTATTGTAACCGTTTTCAGCTGGTTGAGACTGTATCTATCATCAATTAGGTTTTTAGTTGTAACTGTGTTGTGTATTATTTATCAGATTCTTTACATCATATGATAGAAGCACAACATAATTACTGTATAAATGTATTCTTATATATATATTGATATAGTGCTACCGCCAGATACGTGGACTGCTTTATTTAGATTTAGCAGTATAGCAGAGATACTGTGATAGCAAATTACTCACAAACGCATAAGTCTAACTAGATATTAGTATTGTATCTTATCCGTATATTGTACTTAGTTTGAATAAATGGTATAATTTCCAACTTTGATTGATTAATTTGAATAAAAATTCAGACATATGTTTGCATTTGCTATAATATAAGAATTAGCATAAAATAAAGATAACAATCGGCGTCTTGCAAATTTCAAGAATCCTGCCTACATCTGATGTTAATTTTATTATAGTTGGGCTTGCAGTATTATAGTATGGTCTAGTTGCTTATAAATATCAAAATTATGGATCAAAAGGTTTATAAGAGAGCATATGATATGGCATTAATCCAAAATTGGTCAATTACAGGCAGTGAGATTCTAAGCCGTGTGTACTAAGAAACATTAAATAGTCCTAAGTACCGTACAGCTATATATTCGCTTTGGTAAATGTAAGATTTAGCCTGTCTATATGTGTATATGATATATATGTTATGTTATATATACACGTAGTGTTGTGTTTAATCTGTCTCTACATATATGCATATAGATTTATGTTTAGTCTGTCTATATATTTATATGAAATGTACATTTTATATTAAGTGATGTTCTAGATCTTAATTTGGTCTACCTAGTATCTGTTTACCGTAGTTATTATATACTGTAAGGGTTGGAACCAGCAATGCTTTTTGGGTAACTACAGAATGTATTTAAGGAGCATAACAAAGTTAATAAATTAGTCTGATTAACTAACTCTATCTATGAGTCTTATCACTGCGGTATACAACAGTAAAACTGAAATAGATCTCAGTTGTAGAAAACAAACCTGCGCTAAATTTTATATATATATATTCATAGGTATTTCGCTTGCATATGTTATAATTTTTAATCGAATTGCAATAGCAACTATAGATTTCAAGTTAAATATCTGAGAAACGGGCAGTTTAACAGATAATTACATCCATTACAGTTTGCAGGTATATCTAATTTTAGCGATTAGCGATTATCACCAAAACATCAGTGTCTATTGGAGTGCCTATTGCATATGACTAAAAGTGTTACACTGTGCAGACGATCGGATAGAAGGATCTTTGTCTATAAATACTGTTGTTATGACAACCGCATCTACAGCGCAGTAAATCAAGAACTAGTCTTGAATTATGTTGTGTTATACTCTACTGTATGATACAGAACTTTGTCAAGCATGGATTATACTAGCAGATGAAATAAATAACGTCTGGCACATTAGCCACGATCAAACTTGAGCTACAGAATATAGAACTTGATATATCATGTAGCAAATTATTATGCGACGGTGAACAAATTTCATACTTAAAGGTACTGAAAGCATCAGCTTATAACCTGGTTTCTACTAATACGGTATCTTTAGAAATTGGAGTATGTGGATGAAATTAGTTTAAACTAATAAAATATCTTACGCGAAGTGTACTTAAAACTGCTGGAAATATTTCAAGCGTAGCAACCTACTAAGAAAGTAAAGTACTGCATATAGAAAGCGATGCATTTTACTGTAAGAAAGTTTTTATTTTGAAATCCAATTGCAGAGAATCTACAGTACTGGAGTCTTTAAACTAATTAAGTAATAGCACGGTACATTAATTGTTTTATTATCGTACACTAAACACCAGTAGTCACTAATTGAATTTTTTACCACTTACAAGTGCCTTCAAAAGTTTTTAAAACTTAATTTTGAGTCATCTTGGATTCTATCCAAGTATAAGAAATATCACCATCATTAATATCATCGATTACAGTAAATAAGCAAGTATAAATCAGTAGGACGATGAGCAAACGATCGGATAAGCAATCTAAAACACCAACCGTAGCACAAAGTGCTGCACAACCAGCAAATGATATCATCCACGGCAGATTTACTGAAGTCGATTGGTAAGTAATCAGATAACTTTAAATAAGTTTGCTTGAATAAAATAATCTGTGTCTGAGCCTATGATGAAAATACAGTATAATTATAGTAAATGTACTATACTCGTGCATTATAATCAGTTCATAAGTATAACAACATTTCAAAATGGATAATATTGATCGCATTGCGCCGCATGGAGGCTAATCTTAAATTTATTTACCTTTTACAGGAATAATCTCATAGAACTAGAGTCAGGCACAGAATTCGCCTTAGATATTGTAGATGAAATAATTGATGGCGCTTTAAGTATAATTTATGAAAATTACTTACAAAAACAAGTAGTACCTTACGTTATGGACAATGTTAAAGCCGAAATTATGGATGTAGTCCAGGTAAGACAGTCTCTACAGATTTACGTTATTTTAAGGAAATTAACTTAAAGTGTAAGTTAACGAACTTTTTGGGCTATTGCTATATAGTGTCAGTTTTTAGCGCGAGATGATGGAGAAGACAGGCCTGAATTTGATCGGAGTTGGTTGGAAGATGAAGGTAACTTAAATAAGTCTAAATTTAACATACAAGTACAATAACAAGAAGAAAGTACAGTGAATGTGTACTTAAATTATCTGCATAAAAATATCAATACAAAATAAGATGGTACCTTCCTTAGCTAATTTTTCAATGTAAATTTCTTTTACGAATAGAACCTCTTGCTAGTACCGTAGATTCGTGGGCTCAGGGCTCAGTACCTTCGAAACAACCAATTATCGAAAGTCCTATACCAACGGAAGTTGGAACAAGTGCAACTGAAGTTACGGATACTGAGAGGTTTGCTGTGAGCCTGTAATAACTGAACTCGATCAGTCTCTCGTTAGCTCAGTACAAGTATATCTTTTACTGTATAGTATCGAAGTGTTGTCTACGGTTACACCACATGAAGAAGTGGAAAGTGTAGTTGTTAAGGAAGATATTGAAGTAAAAAAGATTAAAGTAAAACCTGAAAAAGTAAGAAATTACAATATTACGTTACAGAGTAAACTAATAAATCTTTCTATTAATTGATTAATTTTGACTTTGACAATTTGATTTTAAGCCAAAAGAGAAAAAAAAGTTAAAAGTTAGACGATATCGTGGCAAAGTGCCTACTTGGAAGACTATAGAACCAAAACCTGGCGTCGATCTTCTAGAAGGCGACGACGATAGTGACATTAACACTAAACGAAGCGGCACATTTGAGCCAAGACCAGCAATTTTAAAGGTTTGCCGTTTAAAGGCGCATTCGAAATACACGTAGAGTAGATAATTTGAACAACTGCTGCTATACATTGCTCTTAAATTTAGTATCAGTTCTGATTGATTTCTTAATTTTTCTAAAGTTATTGGTAATGTAATGTTATAGCATGTTGATTGCATTTACTCCAGAAAGAAAATATTAGCGACATTTCATATCCATTAATATCCAACATCTTCACGATTAATAGGTACAACAAGGCCGGCCGCCTGGTATGAAGGACGTGACTTACGATGAAAAAGGGAATGTAATCCATGTTGTTAAATTAACTGTTGATACTTTGCCTACTCATAGGTAAGTCATCGTCATATTAAATATTCTGGATAATTCTACTTTTCGGCATTAGCCAATTACCTCATCGTTATTCAAGTAATACTGACATTATCACACAATTCTACTTTCGGCATTAGTCAATTGCTTCATCGTTATTCAAGTAATGCTGGCATTATATCACTTTATAACCTTTATTTCGTGTTAATTATACTTCAGAATTGGACCAAAATATAAGATTATCGATCCAAGCCATGAAATTGAAGCAGCGGCTCGTATGAAAGCATTAAGAATGGGAAAAGTTGGTAATGTAAGAAAAGAGGCTCATCAAATCAAGCAGTTAGCACGCACTGGAGCTGTCACTTCTAAATTAGCTGTCGATAGCATCGTTCATGCGAGAGTCGCTAAAGAAAAAGCACTAGAACTTGAAAAAGACAGGGAACGTACTTCTTCACCGATAGATCCGGATAAATTAGCCTTACAGTCTTCGGAAAAAATGCAAAATATAACAGCTCTGCCATTATCACTGGTTAGTACTGTACTGCACTAACAGTTCTCGCACAATACTTTAAGAGCCAATTCTTAATTTGTATTTGCTATTGCCGCAGGTCGATACTATGGAACTATCACCAGGAGTAGTAATAAAAGATGGAGATCGTATTAAAAGAGGACTTCGGCAGGTAAAATTTCAGTATAGCATTAGTAAGATATTAAGTAAATGAGCAACGATCTATTGTAATAGGAACATAATATTTAAAAGTTGTTATGCAGCAGTAACAGTTTCTGATTGTTTCTTTCATATTAGACTCATCGTAAAACAAATATGTCAGCTACCTCGCAGCATTCTATCAAGAACAAGGTGGATTTTAAGAATGATTATATTATCAGAACAACACCAGTGATTAAGCCGTTAAGCTCAACGCCACCGTTAACCCCGATTAATGCTACATCAACTTATCAAGATAACTGATAAATATCGCACAAAGTTGTTAATGTTCTTAACTAAGATTATCTACTGTGAATCATTTGTATACAAAATACATTGACATTCTCGACGGTAATCTTTCCAACAAATCATGTATGAAATTAAATTAAAATCTTTTTGCTATAACTCAATTTCGACTGGCAATTGCAATGGAAAGAGAGATTTCAGTATGAAATTGAAACGTTACATGTTGCATTGTACCAACCAATTTAAATTATAAAATGTGAATGTACATTCAAATTAATAAGTCAATCTATAACCTCTATTTCTTACTTAGATTGATTAAATTAATGTCATAAAATGTTTAACTCATTATGTATAACCTGAGTAATTTGAAATAAATGATAACCATATTTATTCGGGCTACTATTATCCGTAGGCAAGTCTGAATAATGCAGCGTGAAAATTTCTTTTTTAATTTCTAAGTACGACAACTGCTGCAGCGATAAATACTATGCCAGATTGCAAGTATAATATCAATAATTTTCAATCTGTATCGAGTTTGAGTTAAAATTTAACAGCAAATTGTGAAAGATATTTCATTTCTGGATAGTCTACAGTATAAAAATATTTTGATTTACAAGATGTTCTCGTAAATATATGAAAAATAGGAAGAGCAATACCGGATTTGTTAGGGGTAACTGCCATATGGGTATTTATTCTAATCAAGCCTTATTTAACATGGCGTAACAGATTATATATATTATGAGCGTTAAAATACTTTATACTACAACTGATTATGAAGATAAATGACTACAAGATGCCAGATGATAATCTTAAAATTTTAAATCACTACAGTTATTCATATACAAGTAACAGATACAAGCTAAACTATAATCTCTGTAATAAATCAATCAAGATTTAAAATTTTAAGTTAAGGATTTATTGGCTAATTAAAAGAGATAGTCGTATTTCATTAATCAATAGATTTTGTAGCATTAGCATTTAAATAGCTTATTTGATCGTATAAAATCGAAGATCATTTTTACAAGATTTTTACAGTTTAAGCGACTCATCAAGAGAAGAATATCTTAATTTGTGTGTGAGCGCTAAATCGGCTAGATTATATACCATACTTAATATCTAGTTATTCTCTTCAAGCCATTAAAATATTCTGTAACATGATATCGGTAAATAAAATATCTCTTAAAATTTTATAGGAATATGAAGACAAACGAATAATCCCGTATCATGTATAGTTAACGAAAATAAACCATCTTTAGAGTAAACTATTGATACTTTAAAATATGAGCAATGATATCGAATACTAGCTTAAAAGAACATGGTATTGGTAACATAACTTTCGTTAAAAAGGAAATTAATATACTTATTGAATGATAGCTTTACGAATATACACAGTGAAATAGGGCCTTCTCGAAAATGTTAGACCACAAGATACAAATAGGAATTACATTTTGGTGAGAGATTGTAGAAAAAAAATGTATCTAAGAGTTGTTCTAAATTATTTTAAAATCAGAAAGGCCCTCCACAGCTTAGACGGCTATTTTACTTTTTTAACATCCAGGTCTGGATATAAATAGAAGTATTAAATTAATTATAGTTATGTTAATGACTTAATAACAATTTCTATTAATCTTCCTTGATATAAACTTTTGGTCTTGAAAAAATCTTGATAGCTTCATCAATTTCGGCTAGTTTACGTTCGACTTGAGTCTTTCGGTTCATAGCTGTATATGAATCGCACCGTAACGGCATCTTTGCTAATTTCATAGCTAACTCTCTTTGATCTAGTGCAGGGAATACATTTAATAGTTAAAATTCAAATTAGAATTGAAGTTTAATTTATTTTAGAAAACTGTATATACTTTCAAATAGGGCTGCGAGTGTTTCCCTTCTTTCTGCATCAGGCATTAATGTATGACCGGGTGGCATATTAGGGTCCGGTATTGAGGCCAACCGCCTTTCTTCGTCTCGCCTCCACTGCTCTTGACGCTTTGTTAGACTAAAATGAATGTAGAAATTAAAGAATTAGAAATTAATTTATACTATGAAAACGATTAATTTTAAATTTTCTGTAACAGCAAATAAACTAACTATTTCGGTATTTTTCCTTTAGGATGACTTTTTTCATCTTGATTTTTCTTATCTAAATGTTCTTTGACGGACTCTGTAGAGGGAGATTTTCGCACCTTGGTATTGATTGCTTCACGAACGTTACGATTTAAGTAGTTTATATCTTTTCGCACTTGTTGAAACTATAGCAAAATCAAATATCAAAGTATCAGCATTAGAAACGTCAAGATTTTCGATATGAACTGAATTCTACACAGAGGATAGTATACCTGTTTATTACATTCTTTAGCCTTTGGAACTGATAATTTAGTTGCATTAACTACTAATGGGCCTATTGTACTTTGTGAACGATTTTCTTTCAAATGTGAAGGGATTCCTTTGCCTGAGTGAGAGCGTAAAAATGTTGCCGAAGTAGACCTTGGAGCTGGTGGAGGATCCTACAATATTGTATTTTTATTGAGTGCAAATGTTCGCTGTTAAATGCTGCTTTTAAACTATAATCGTTAGGCATTTATCAATGTAATACTATTTCAGAACTATCATATCCATATGGTGTAGAATTAAGATTATCGATCTTCTGAATAAATAAAAGTCTTAAGCGTAAATCGGTGTAATAGTATTAATGATCGAGTATGGCTAGATCAATAATTTTAAATACTTCCATTATTCGTATATGTTTATAAAACCAACAACTAAATATTTAAGATTTTGAATTAAAATTGTACTGTATTCTACCTGAATAATTTTAGCAACTTTTGAAGTCGCAGTAGCAACAAATCGTTCCATTTTATACATGGGTTTAGTAGGTCGATTTTCTTCGTTTTGTTTTCTTTCCTGATTTGTCTTTTGTGTTTGTTTTATTCGACGCATGTTCTCCAACATAAAGTTTTTTGTCGTTTTACCTAGAATGCAATCGGATGAGAATTATGCTGATAGTTGTATCGTAATAGAAATCGACCAATTATCGAATATGAATATACGCAAACTTCTGAGTTTAAATTTTTACAGATTCTTTTTTCTTGAAAATATTTGCGTACATTTGTGATTGAAATTATCAAGATTCATTTGGATTTGAAATTATTGCAAGATTATTAACGTATGAATTTGTCATTGGTAACTGTATAATAATGTTGATAACTCAAGACTAATATTTACCTTCTGGATAATTTAACGTTACAAACTACTGGTACTAATTTTAGTTATTACCATCATGGTGATACTCAGTAGACTTTTTTCGTTACATACACGTATGTATTAGAATTTTATTTAATTTAATTGCTAATGAAAGTTTTAATGAAGTGCTTTTGATTTCCATCGTACAAAAACAATCTTGTTGAAAATTGAAAGTAGTGATATTCCCTTGATAACTCTACATATAATAATAAATAGACTATTTTTTTAAATTGCTACCACCTACGTGAGATTTTTAAATGAGTTATAATGCATGGACAGCCTTGTTAGAGTCTGATAGTATAAGATACTTTAGATGTGTGACAAAAATATCATGGACTTTTTAGTAAGTAGATTTTATAGGCTACCTGTCATAACTTGTAGTAATGTAATACTTGGTAATACTTTAAATTAATGCTATTACGGTACATGCTTAGTTTAATATCTGAACAGATAATCACATATATGGGCTACTGAAATTTTATCCTTCTAATTGGACGAGCAATTGCTACAACAGTAAATACTATAATATGGATTACGAAATTACAAGCAATTTAATTGTCCATGACTATCGTATTCTTTCTAACAGTCTAAAAATTTGAGGAATATCTTACCTTTACCAGGCACATATGGAGTATCAGAAAATAAAACTCCCACCGTGCCTGTGTGAGAATGAGCGATTCGTACAGCATCACCACGTAATCGTGGATTAGGACCTGCGGATAAAGGTCGTGATGTTGGGCGAGCACTATCCGGATCAGGAGGAATAGTCCAACGAGGTTCTCTCGATGTAGCCATCTTTATGCAATTGCGATATGGTAATGCCCAACTTTATTATGCTCCGCAATGATAGAATGATTCCAAAATAATTTATCAGTTAATTACGATGCTCAAGCGTAAGTTAAACTCTGAATCCAATAATTCTATTGCACGTTTATTACATTTTACTTTGAATGATAATAAAAGGAATACTTTTCTGGCGATTATTACTTGAATAGTTTCCAGTTAATACGAGTTGATGATAACTCGTAGCTGATGATTTGCTTCTGAGTAATGTAGTAGAATAACTGTACAGGCACAGAAAATAGACTTTAATCGACTACTAATAAACTCGTTAAAGTATAATGTCTAATACAGACTGACTAGTGATATCGCGATCACTGCTATCGCACTCTTATTTTACTATAACAGTATCGTATAATGTATACTACGATCGCCTAACTTATAGTTAATTTGTATACCTTACTTTGATTGTCCGAGTATCTATACTGAAATAATATTTTCTAACAGCTGCTATTGCTACGAGCATAACGGTAATATTATGATACATTATTATCCCATAATAATAGCTATAATATTAACCTCGATTAATTAAGAAGAAAAAATTTAATGGAATAGAAATAAGAATTTAAATTTTTGCGTCTGCGTAAACCAAAACATTCTTTTGTTGGAAACCTGAATAAATTTATGTCCAGTAATATTATGCACCTACAACGAACCATGCGCGGGATACTGTCATTTACTATTTTTGGAAAGCCGTATCAATTACTAGTAGAGTAACATTTCCCAGTGCGTGTATGTTCATTTACTATAGAATATGCATCCTCGATTAAAGTATGCAACACCTCCCGGAATGTAGTATTTCTTGCCTCTAGGAGAATACACAGTACAGGAGATATGGTTCCATATGAATTAGCATAAAAGTTGATTATTATAGTGTAATAGGTTACAGGAGTCAGCGAGTTATAGCTTCTATACTTGAAAGGCTGACATCAAAAATATTCGGTAACCATGGTGACATTACTGACATGCCCCCCCCCCCATTTATATCAACTATGAGCGCATATTAGGTTAGCTAGCATTCTACGATGCAGCATACTAAAAAATTCATTTAAAAATACTTATAGATGCAATTCTAAATTTAAATAATTATCCATTTATTTGCCTACCTTTCGTATATTATTAAGGTATCCTCTTCAAATTCTAATCCAACTTTAGTAAGACTCCTATACTGTATTTGTAGCATATAGTTATAGTATGTCAACTTTCTTAGACAGTTCGTCATAGATGTTACCCATAAAATTGAGCGATAAGTAGTTTCTATTAATATTGATTATATGACTAAGTAGCTACCATAACACCTAATATGCGGTGAAGTAATTATGTACAGAGGAATTAGGATATACCGCACTCGAAGACTAAGTTTTATACGCTGTTTGATCAAATAGTTAATAATTACATTATCACTTCATTACAGATCATAAAATTGGAATCTTTCTATTACTTTAATCTCGCTGATCTTCAAACTGTTTTACTATGCGAATCCTTACAGTTGATTGACAGGAATGATATCATGTTCTCCTATCGGCTTATATTAATACTTACAGTAACTAACATCAAATCATAAAACTGTAATTTACTCCTTCTAATGCTTTAATCTCGCAGATTTTGAACTTATTTTACTTTCAGTCCTATGTTTTCCTTTAAAAGCCCTTAACGTATCCTTTTACAATATATTTTACATTGCAGTCGATTGATAGGAATGATATGATGCTCACCTATCGGCTTGCAATAATTAGGATTGTTTAGACCAAGATGATCACTTAAATATAAAGCCTGATTTATTTCTATTTCATGCAAAGTTGATCACGTTAGGGGAACTAACCACACAGTCTGCATCGGTTTCATTCGAAAGTATTACAACATGACAATTATTACATCTTTATATAATCACTGCTCATTTTAGTAATCCATCTTCATTTTCTATTTGGTAGCAACTGGCATTATCATTTTAGTAAATACTGTATTAAAGAGCTATATCTGAAAGGATATTATTAATATAGACATCACGCAATAATTCTCTATGATTTAACAAATAATTACCCGTATTAAGAGAATTGATAAAAGTATATTAATTTTAAATTAAGGTATTAAGCTATCGTGATATCATATTTTTAATAGCAACTTACGGCCTACGGAAATAAATTATATAACAACAAGGAAGCATAAATTATAAGATTTCTCTTTAAATCCTTTATTTTACTGCTTTAGAGATTTAACATATCGTAGATGGTATAATATTCAATAACTGTATGAGTTAAGATTCTTTCCATTCCTATAGTGAAGTTATACAGTAATATAGCATTTTATGAATTATAATTCATGCAGTTGAAGATCTGTCACAAAACAGCTTTGCAACAAGATAACGTAATCTACGATCAATAAGTCAATTCCTTGAACTACGTATCAAGGAACGATATCTGCACTATCACGAGCACTTTTGCTCTACTAGCAGACTACACAAAGACTTAAACGCCTCGTATTTTACGTTAAACACTAAGTTGGACAATTCTTCTTTATTTCACGATATACAGCATTTATATACTATTCCTCAATAGTTCATGAGTCATAGTTAATACAATTAACATTAGAATCATTTACTGAATTAGATATTAATTTTAGCTACTGCTCTCTTAATGCAGACAACAGTATTTACGAACATAGACATGTAATAACTAATACAGAATAGTCAGATTACGATATGTCCTATCACGGAACATTTCCATGATAATTTACAGTCTATCATAAGTAAATTACAATCACAATGATTCGAACTGTAAGCAGATGATTTGCATTCCCTATTATAACTATTATAATTTCAGTATGTGTATAAGTGTCACTGTCATAAAAAGTCAGTGCTATATTAAAATACAGTATATCCAAATTAGAAGTTAACTAAATAAGGATAGTCTAACAGAATTATCCTAACATAGTTATTTCTACTGTAATACAGTATTTAACACTGTAACAAGATCTTATAAATGACTATCAATGAGACGATACTTATTGTAATATATATATATATATATATGCATATTGTTAGATAAGATTAATTTTAGCCAATTAATTCAATAAGAAAGAGTGAGATAGGAGAAGAAAATGTGAAGAAACGAAACTGATTAGTATTTAGGATTTATATTTGCTTTCATGCATTCAAAATGGTTAATGCTAAACTAGCTCTTGAAGTGATTGATTTGAAACTTTTTAAGATTATCGCCAACATGATTTAAGTGGATTAATGCTAGCATCATTTCTAAATTAAGACTGTACCCATGGTATCTAATAATCTATAAACTGCTTAAACTATAATTGATACCTTAGATCCATTACATTTTGGGCTATGGAAGCTCTACTTTTTGAGTACAGTGTAGACTTTTATAAGTAAAAGATTTTCCAACATCATATCAGAAAGTGCCATATGAAAGCAGTATAATTTGCAGTGCCACTAAGATTAAGACTTGCCATTTTTTGTAATGGTATAGTTATTCGATTGGCTTATAGAATGTAAATCGGTATAGCTTGATGATCGTGAAGTTATATTTTCAGGGTGTTGAACTCCTAGATAGTCATCAAAAATTTTAAAATATTAATTGATCTTTCTATCTACTAATGAAAATAATTTTTAAATTTTAGTTTTCATATGTATAACCTCTGGATCTGCCAAGTGAAGGGGAATTGATATTCTTTTTCGCTGAATTACTGCTGGTATATCGTTTCTGATTAAATTAGAAATAGAATATAGATGGAAGAGTGAGATATGAAAATAAATGGAATTATTATGCTAATGATAATCTAAATTCTAGAGTACCTATTAAGAATTGATTAATGTATCATATGAGCCTTACCGAAGAACCACAGAATCTGAAGTTGCGGTTTCGAAGCGCTTCCATAATCTATCCGAAAGCAATGATGATGAATAATACTCTTGATTCAATTTGATGTACTGTAGAAATACCTACGAATTAAAGTACTTTACCTGTTGGTCAAATATGCAGTGAAATACGAAAACAAAGACACCTTGGAAGCTTAGTAAGATTGTAAACAAATAACGTGGAATAGGATGTCTGAGTTGAACAAAGAAGATAAAAATCCAACAAATTCCAAGTAAAGGTAATAGCGCAAATGCTCGACGAAGATCATTCCTGGTTTTGTAAATCAAATGCAATTTCAATATTAAGATGATGTTGATTCGTATGTACAGTATTATAGAAGAGATATTACATAATTTATATTGTAAATGCGATAGGATTGTTATATAAGAAAATTGACTTACTTTAGAACTTGTCTTTTATTAAGCTCTTGATTAGAAACTTTATTAGTAAAGTTAGATTTTTTATGGATAATATAAATGAGTATGCAAAAGATGACGACGTTGATCTAGTAATAATGAGATTATCATTAGAAAATGCAACTTTTAATTTGCAACAATATAATCATTCTAGATTTTTAATCTATTAAACAGATACTAAGGATAATACGTTATTGAACAAAAATATTAGACCCATGCATGCTTATATTACTCTAGCTTCCATATTCTAATTATAATCGTTTGTATTAGGACTAGGTATGCGTATAAAGTCAGAATCATATTGAATGTGTGTAAAGATTAAGTTGAATCACTTAGATAGCGTGTCAGTTATAATATTTTACAACTTGAAAGCAATTAAATTTCATGATTAATTAAACTTAGTAATCGCTATGACTTACTGTAACAACAAATGCCATTGGACCCAAGAAGAACCAGATAAAATTACTTGTTAGGAAGCAACTAAAAAAATTGAAGATATCAGTACCAACCATTCCATATTAGCCAGAATGATAAATACAGAATAAAAGTGTCCGTAAATGCTAATTCTATTCTACTTGTTACTTACGCATCGACACCACCATAAGCATGTGGTGCAACACCAGCAGTTATGCCAACAATAACAGCAGGAACAACTATAAAATAGAAAACAATAATCATATTTTGCTCCAGCATATGACTATTGGTAAATTATTATAATCTCCAATAGAGAGTAACTATTACTTTAAACGTCTCCGTTAAAACTATCATTAGTTCTAGTATACATACTCCATCCAATAACGGTGTAAATAACTATCCACAAACGCCCACTCTTGATAAATATAGTTACCAATAAACGATATAAATGAACACCTTCCGCTAGCTGCCAAGTGAAAACTGCAGTGAATAGGTAATGTAGAATTACAGCAATAGCTGTGCAAGCAACCTAAAAAAAAATCGTTTTATTATTAGTAAACGGAGGCGGTTAGTAACAATAATAAGCGATTATCATTTATATATATGGCAGTTAAACAATTATAGAGATTATATCTTACATATAGATTAAAGCTATCACATTACTTTGTCAATTAGATATTTTAATAGCAACTTACATTATTAGCAACGTATCTCCTATCGGCGCCAAATAGGAAAATTACATTGGAGGAGATGACTGCAGCAATGAGATTGCCATGGATATACCATTTCCTTGTTCTAGGCAATCTAAATGATTAATTTAAAGTTTTAAAAATGTCAATGTAATTCCTAAAAGTCTGCCCTTGGTCTTACTCTACTGAATATTAATCGATTAAACATTAAAGCTATTGTTCGATTAGAAGTGTACACAATTACGGATAAAATTTGAATTACGCAGAATGATCGTATGGATGCATTGCAAATTCATTTTTACAATTTAATTTTCTATGTACCTTAAGAAGATCAGACATGCCACCAACAACACCAAGCATACAGTGGAAAAGGATAATCCTACGATAGTGATGATGGACAAAATTGGAGCGTGAACATCAATTGGTTGACTAGGAGGAAAGCTGGTATTGGTAATATTGGTATTATTGCCGATATATGTGATATTTTCGGTTGGTGCTACAGTCTGTTAGATTATATTAAGAAATAGTAAATAAAAGACAGGATTCATATGCTTGATATGGTTATCTGATTTTAATCCGTAAATATTCGTACCAGATTTTTAAAAGTCTGGCTTATATAGTATATTAATAATAATGATTATTTTACAGCTATCATGATGGTATATATGGACACTTACATTTGAGCCAATACCGATAACATCAATACCTAAAACATTATATAAAATCGTATCATTGAGGAAGGCTGGTGGAACAACTGCGCCGACTACAACGCAGTTATAATTTATATTTTGGATTATTTCGTTATAGACAGAGGATGTATCATAGTTGACGTTGGTGAATTCTTCTTGACTGCCTAATCTTTGGTTAACAAAGCTTGGGCTTTTCAAATTGCTTGCTAACTGGTAGAATAAAATGCGCAAATGGCGCCTTTGCACTTCCTTTGCATTCAAGCAATAGAATAAACGAAATAGATTCAAATTTGAGATTCGAGCGTAGTTATGATATATACGTATAGAGGGAACAAACTGTTGAAATTGTATCTATAACAAATCTAATTGTTGGCAGGAAAGATTACAACTAGTATTTTTTGATATTTATAATGTAAATCAATGCTAATTTTTATTAGTTTTTAATTTTTTATGAAAATAAATATCCCGAGATGGTTGAAAGACAAGCAGTATCGTTCATTCTTAAAATGAATGCTATAAAATAATTTACTTACATCGATTCGGCATTCAGAATTTCCATTCAAGGTATTTATGATTAAAGCATTAGCAGTATTTAGTAGACACTAAATGCAAAATAAAAGTATTATAAGACGTTAATACGGAAATTCGATCTAGTTATAATGTTACAGTAATATTTTTCAGTCCGCTAACGTAAAAAGTAAAGTAATTACAAACTATCTTTCAATTGGCTATGACTTCATATTGGTAATGTTTTTATTTACAAGTTTTCTTAGTACTACGTCAACTCTTTCATTCTGTACTTGCATCAACTTTTATGAGACTGCTATTGCCATGTCATGATTTCTTACCGCAGTTACATTCATATAGGCTGCATAGGTTGCATCTGAAAGTTGCCTTCGCTTCTGTATATTGAATATTTGGCCTAGAACTGAAATTGGGCGCGGTCTGTTAGGTACTACATCCCATTTCTCGTACAAAAATGAGGCCAATTGATTTAGATAAGCCAACGTATAATTTTTGGCAAATTTTCGGCTCAACTGGAGTAAAAAGATATTTATGGAAATCAATGGAATTGTACATGAATAAATGTGCTGTACAGAAGGCACCGAATGATACTCGTCGCTAAAGAACAGAATACTAATAACTTTAGCATACCCTTTCTTGAATTGAGTTAATATGAATAGATTGGCAAGCACATCGATCGACATTTTCCCAATTTGAAAATATCCCATCGCTATCTTTCTTACATGTCCTTGTTAAATTGCCTACCACTGGATGAGGTGAAAAGGTGGTCTTACATTTGGATAATTTAGCGACTCCACCGCTTGGTGTACTTGGCCAGATAACGCTGTCTTCTTGAATTGATTTACATGGCGAAGCTTCTATTAACGGTTTGAAAAGCATTACAGAAGTAAGAAACAAGTCGAAATATTTATATCTACACAAATATTGGCATAGTGAATCGGCTTTTGGTAAGTAAACGTATAAATTTCTACTAGTTAGTATGAATTTTAAATTGACAAAAGCAGTGATAGAGCTTATGAATTTACCAGGAAGCAATTAAATGCGCAAACAGACTTTCTTATAGTTCGGATAAAGGCGTTAATTATTCTTCTAATACTAAAAAGATTTGTTATACAAACTTACCGTAGCCGGGTGGGCAGCTGTTGGTATTACTACTTCCATCTTGACAACAAACAGCTTTTCTACCTCCGAGTTTACTAGTAGCATCATTAACCATCATGGCTACAGTCGCCGCATCCTGAAGAATAACAATTAGTTACGGTACAGTTTAATTTAGTTTGCACCTTAGCGGAGTCTATTCCAGTAAATCTGGGGAAAATTTCGAGTAAAGAATTTATTAATCGATATTCTTACCGAAGAATTACAGGTATTCGTTGCTGGAATCACATTTCCTATCTCAATGATGCACTAGTTGAAAAGTAAAAGTAAATTGGTAAGTGAATTAAAGAAGTCACCCTATTTCAGTAAAACTGCAGCGATTTAAATATGAATAAGTTGATAAGTATAATGATGGAGACAAGGAGTGTTTTAAATTTGATAGCATAGCTATCAACTATGCTTAAATATCGCAATTGATATCCTGCAGATATAATTTAAGCATAGTTATAACTCCTCTTTGAGAAGGCTATCCTTGGTTACTTCTGTAATTAGTAGAACTTGATACAGGTTAGCGGCTAAGTAACGGATTAAAATCTAAGATAGTAACAGCTCAGAATTTCTGTAATCGTATGGAATTCCAAATCTCTAAAGTGTAGTTTCTTCAAGTCAGTTATGTGTAATCTTACTTTTCGTACTTATCTTTAATTTTACCAGTGTTTATATCTAGTTTTATTTTAAGTATGATTATGTTGCATCTGTAATAGAACTTAATCTAAGTCTGTTCAGTATATTAATGCGACTGATACTCTTAGAATACATGTAGAAATATAAGTAGTCGGCAAGTGGTTTAGACTACTTTAATCTATCGATCGTAAAGGCATATACCTTGGTAATTTATGATTCTGGTTTTGTATCGAAATCAAATTAATATTAATTTAGACATACTACTGATACTGAAAAGGAAAGTCAAAATAAATTTTTCTTTGCCAGTTATCATGATCTGGCGCCTTAATATTATTTTGAATATCAATTATATGCTTACGCTAGCTATATTATCGGATGACTTTTGATTGACTGCCCCGCTTGCAGCTAGGCTTTGTAGTCCATATTTCAATGCTTGAATAGCATCATCGTAAGACAATTTTGGACCATTTATTTTTGGTTTTAAAAGACCGAAAAGCCTGACTTTGGAGTTTAATGTTCTTAAATGGTTGAGTAGGTCAGCAATTTGAGTGGCATTAGTCGCTCCACTTCTTAATTTCTAGTGCAAATTTAGTAATCAAACTAGAGTTAACATATCGTATATCAATATATAAATCTTATTTTATAATAAATCGCATTTTATTTATTTTCGCTGTAATACCAAATAACTTAGGATATAGAGGAAAAAATTAGGCGCTTTAAAAACTCGAGGCATTAATATGGCTTACCTCCAAATCAGTTTTGACTGCGGTAATCGGTATAGACTGGCATTTGCACAAATCAAGTTCGCTGTGGACGAAAACGCAGCCTGGTTTGCATCGAATTGATACAGATCCGGTGTATTCTAATAGATCAAGAATGATAAGGATAAGATATTATACTTCAATAACAGTGTGTATGTATGCACCGTGAACATAGCTAAGTAATATTAATATCGATTTACTTTATGTATACATTTAATTGCGTATATAGCCTACTATCTGTCACTGTGTAATACATACCAGCTGAATTTGAAGAAAAATTTTGCAGAGATCTACAAGATTTCGTAAGGGTTTTGGGGGTAGTTAATGGCCTAATAGCTACATATCTAAAGCTTACTCCAGCTATTACTTCTTGGCAAATGGTTGGTGCTGTTTGAAGAGAAATCATAGCATTGTAACTATCCAAACAATTTTTAATCTATAGATTATATCTATAAGAACTTATGTATTATAGTGTAGACTAGATTGTATACTAATTTGCAATATGAACAGAAATGAAATAGTAATTAGTTGTTTTATTTCTGGGATAAGAAAAGCGAAGTATAATATAAAAAGCGTAAAGTGGTTTACACATCCTATTACATAGAGTGGTATATTTTTTATAAAATGGTTGCTCTTAGGGATCAGCAGGTAATTTAATACTTTTAAATGACTAAAGTTGATTATATCAGCACTAGGTTAGCAAGATAATTTAGAAACAGATCTAAATGAATCGTGAGTAACTCTTCATATTACATTATTCAATGTAATGCAAGTGCACGTACAGTATTTACCGTGCAGTTATAGATCAACTTTAAAGCTACTTAATTCTACTTATATTATCATATTATTGATTTGACATCAGTAATATCTCTACAGTGTAGTGGTGCAACAAAGGTATGCTCAATTCTCCACATCTAATATCGGTATTGAATAGATTATGACATCACAAAGTGGGCAATTCACTATGGCAAGATTATAATATTATTAATAAATTATTGTCGGTATTTTTGTAAACGTTAAAAATAATAACTGGTGGATTTAATGTATCTTATTAAATTTTTTAGTAAGGGATAGTATCTTTATAATTTCTGCGGTATAGAACATAACATGCTTGCTACGGTGTTACCTTACCCATAGGCTAGTTTAATAGTGCAGTAATAGCTAATATGGAAAATATTCATATTTGTAATGCTACGCTAGGTAAGATAAGTAATGCCTTAACGTGGATATTATTTGTGGCAGTTTATTACATATTTGATATTGATTATTATTATGTATAGATAGTAGTAAGATGATTCAGGTTCTAACTAATGATTGTTGAACTAAACAATATGCATGCTTAGATTAAGACTAAGTATCAGTAAGAGATTAAAAATATTTACTGATAGAAAAGCTATGTGAGGGATATCTTAGTTCGAGATGTCTGTTTAGATAAGGTATAATAATAATAATGTTGTTGTTTACAAATTAGACGGTTCCTACATAAACGGGTATATTTAAGTTGAATTCTGTAGTGAAAAGTTGTAGATGCATCTATGCTAACGAAAGTTCTATCTTTACTGTACTTTGCTGTTTGTGTTTAAGGTTTAGTAAAAGGTAGTTACTTATAGACTATTGCTGTACGTTTCCTTGTCGTAGAATTTAAATTGTGACTATGCTGCATACCTAAGCATGTGTGTACTTATTCGCTTAAGTCTAAAGTGTATTTCTACAACAGCCCTATGAATAGATAGTTGCGTTGAATATTCAGGATAAATAAGATGATGTTAATTATTATTGGTCAATTTAATAAAGTTATTAAATAACTGCTGATCGATTTAAGGACATCTTATTATAAATAGTTATGATATTCGTAACTTCCTAAACAAGTAGATAATTAAGATTCTAGGATTTGATATAGAACAGTGATTGTTATGTTAATGAACTATGCACAACATTATTATTAAACGTACTTCATGTTTACTGCAATTATGAATGATGGCTAAACAATTCGTGATGACGTGATATAGTCGCGATATTTATTGATATGGGCTATTGTTGAATATAATATATCAATTAAGCCTACTCTATTCAGCTATTATATCCGAAAGAACTGTTTAGGTCAACATCATAATATGTTATTATCATACTTTATCGACAAGACGATTATAACTAATCTACGCGTATTTCATCCTGATGCACAGGATAAATACGTAGAGGTTAGGCTAATTTTTAAAAAGAATACTGATAATACTAGGACTATTCATTGATCGTAAAATTTCCCATGGATTGTGTATATTAATTAATTCAATTGAATACAGCGACGAATAATGGAATTAGCGATATTGATCTTAGGTAAACGAATATTATTATCTTTGTAGTGTCCCTCCTATCTAAAAAATTCATCATTAGCGGACTCTACTAGGAGATATTATATCATGATCCATAAATTACCGAAGTAAGCCAAGTCATTATCCTATCCTTTGCACTAAGAATGAATTTACAATCTAAACTATCAGCTCACAAAGTTATGACCGTTGACTTTCATTTAATCAAGTATTAGTCGAACATTTAGTAGATTAGAACATGTTTAGACTTCAAGAGTTGAGAATTTCTTTCTCCGTACTTTGATCAAAGCAGCTGATATTAATTTAGGCTTTGTGTAACGGATGGGTAAAGAAACGATGCTGCTTATTTTAAATAATTCACAACCACCTAAGATTTTTGCATTCCAGTAAGGTTTCATAATTAGAATATAACGTCATAGTCAATTCGTATTATAGCCACCCAACATCAAATCGACTGTAATCGATGGTGTAGCTTTCATTATTAATCAGAATGAAAATTAAATCTTTATGTTTGCAAGAAAAATATAATCAAAGAGCGCAGATTAACTTTCCTTCTTAGATTAATGTGGGTTAATTAGGTTAACCAAGGCTGAAATTTCTTTGCTACCAATAACAAATTTCAACACTATATCTAGATTAATCCTCATTAAACATTTAAATTGACTGTAAAATATTGAAAAATAGAATAATCCTACATCATCATACAGTAGTAATGCCTGTAACTATTGTCGATGTGGAACGAGATTAAATTGAATTTCTTTAGCATGAATATCTTCTACTTCTTCATTTAAATCCTTCATGGCTACCATTACAATCGGCATGTATAGATAGAACGTGAACAATGTCGATTTCTATTAACTAATTAGATAAAGTAGCTTGTTTATGGTATCAAAGCGGTTATAATTTCATAAATTATAAAATTGAATAGTTCTCTTGTAGTTAATTCAATAGGAACAAGAACGAGAATATTTTTAGGTCTGTCGGTTCTTTGTTGCTAATATTTAATTTTATTAATAGCCTTAACGTAAAATATCCACAACATTTTATGTCTGGGGTACCAGTAATAAATAAAAAGAAAATCAAGATCAAAGTAGGAGTTTCGTCATGATATTCAGTTTCCTGACGTGAATACTTTATTCTCACACGTCATTGCCTGAGGGTAAAAGCTGTTGTGACGATAGCCTGAGCATACTTTAGTAGGTAACAATCTTGTAAGATTAACTTTAAAGTTCATAAAGCTATTTTTGTTACTAGAGCATAAATGAAATGTAATTATAAAACAAAATTAATTGTCATCTGAATAAATTAAGATTTATTACACGATTAATCAGTCATTCATGATCGCAATTAATAAGCAGAGTCCTTCGATATAGTTTCTAAACTCTTATAATTTATAACGCCAATCTTTGCTATGATTGAAGTTATTAATTAGGAAATCTGATCTCTTTTTGATGACGAGATAAATTTATGAATCGTAATTATTATCACAATTTAGCATTTATATTATGAAATTTATCTATATTTCAAATAGTTTATATGAAGCTGAAATATTTTATTAATATGCTTAATTAATCTGTCGTTGTTACTAGTCTATTTACACCTCATCTATCGCAGTCTGTAATTTTAAAGTTAGTTAACCAGAAACAGCCTCATTTACTATTATTATTAGGCGCTACGGTAAGCGCTATTGATCATTTAGCCTATTCTCTCGTAATTGATAGAAGGCAAATATAATTTTTTATCATATGCAACCTATAGGGAATATTGCTCTTGCACACATGATAAAAATCTGGAGTCTAGTGAGATCATAAACATTATTATTAATGAATGTTAGTGTATAAAGTCATTATGTTTTATATTCTTGATAAACGATACAGAAGAATAACTGTTAAGGTTGAGCTACATAATTTCGAGAAACTATCATTCTAAGGCTGATATCGATTATGAATCTTTGCCAAACCTAAAGCTATATTAACTATAGATAGTGAAATACTTATGCAAAATGATAAATGTTGTCAGCACATCTGCGTCCAGTTAAAGTATCTATCTGTTAATCAACTCTGAAAGGGTTGATAAAAGTTATAATTTATACTTTGGGGATTCTTTACTGTAGATATAAAGACGGCGATCGTTTGATTAGCGACCGTTAGCGAAGGTAAAAAATGTAACTCGTACTGTTAGCAAATGAAACTCCGTTTCTCATCGAGATGATTTATTAATGTTATTTAGAAGTTCACGTAAGCTTGATATTAATTACAGAAGTTGATCTATGATTCTATAGACAATATGTCGACTCATAAATAGTAGGATTATACTCGATTTAATTCGAACTTACCAGCCGTAGACACGGATAAAAAGAAAAGGAAAACCAAGATCGTCAACTTGTATGATTTGGACGTCATTTTAATTTTGATGCTTCTTGAATACCTTCCAGAATGAACGAATTAAACGAAATTATGATATTCTAATGATGCTTGAAAATAGGATATTATTTGTTGTAGTTTCGTTGTCGTTACTTAATATAAGGTAACGATAACCAGGAAGAAATGACTATCGCATAAGATCCGTATAAGACTTGAATAATTTTCAAGAATAATTTTTATTGGCTTGCTGTATTAAAATTAAAGGCCTTGATGTATAGAACAATTTTTAACTTGTTCTTAATCCTGGAAAATTAGCACAGAATGATTAAAACTTCTATGAGTATTTAATAAAATCGCCGATATCTAGATGAGTTGTAAGTTCTCAAGTTTATTTTAATCTTCTCGAGCCTGATACCGATGGTCTTAGTCGATTACGGTACGCAATAATCAAAAAAGTGAGAGCTACCCCACCCCGTACATCAACCTCAAGGTATCTATAGAATCTATTTAAAGCACAAAGTCCAAGTGATTATAATATAGAAATGCGTTCGCGACCTTGACAAGGTGAAAGCATGAAATCATTCTGTCAATAGATTGAGGTAATGATCAATCACGTGAGCTATGCCTCTTTCGAGGACCATGATTAATTAATAGCTAAATTTGGATTAATTGAACCACTGAATATTAAATAGATTAGAATTGGTTAATTGGCGTCAATATTATCTATTCAGGCTACACCTTGGATTGACATTATCTTACATACATCGTGTTATTTAAATTTAACATTTAACAATGGCGTAACTCAAATTTAAGGAAGTTCTAAAGTGTCGAATTATTCGACGTCACTAATAGGAATGTTAATGTAATTCAATTCAATCCTATCTCGAAGAGTTGATTGACCTCTAGTTATTTGGCTCGCTAGGAAAAGATAATATTAAGTTAGCGCAAGCAAAGGCTACCATAGGTAATAATTAATTGCAATAATAATTATTTTTGATATTAATCTAGGTTCTTTTATTATTTATTAGTGTTAATGGTCCAAGATGTTGTCATGGTCACATTCCTGTATTTAGACTGACTTATAATATCTGTTGCAACTGTATCGAAAGTAGCGATTTATTATCAATAAATATTTTCTGTCCCACGACGCTAATTTCACTAGAGATTGTAATAAACATATAAAATTATAGAATACGATATGTGCTTACCTTATGTAAAGATTAGACTGGCTGCAAACCTACTAGCAGTATATTTAGGGTTATTTGGAAGATACATGCTTATACGTAGATATAGTTAAGATTCTGCGCTAAATTAACAATCTTATTTCTAGTTAAACTACGTCTACCTCTGTTAGTGACATACTTGAGCTTATAGACAAACAATATCGGTTTACAACGCCAAAATTTTAACAGCAATTTACTAACTTAATAAAGCGAAAAGAAACTTGTATGTGAACTACTGGCAATGAATAGAATTGATTGCACTTTTGTCAGTAGCAAATTTAGACACGCACTATTAGTATTACTTCTAAAGATCTTACAAAGATTAAAGACGTTATCGAATTATAGTAGAATTTCTATACAAAGTAGTAGAAATTAATATTACATTAGTTGCCTTTTGTCGATGGTATATGGAATTTAGACATGTTAAGAAGTATTTACTAGTACAGTAATATAGCCAAAGCTATCGAAGATACAGATGCTGGATATAACGAACTTGGGCGCAGCATAAACTAGTTATACTTTGTCAATAGCTTATTAGCAAAATATACAGAGGAAACTAATATTCCCTCGGTTAAGGCCATGATTAAGATTGAACGATATCGATCATAGAAATAAAAGACTGATGAGCTGTACGATAAACAGCAGTATAAGCCGAATGATTCTAATTTATCTAGGGCTTATTTACTACTTATCTATAGTAATGGGTTAGCATACTGATGTTGTCTGGCATATTATATTCCGTAAAGACTTCCCTAAAGATTTTAGCCAAACCAATAAACGGAAGCATAAGGCTTTATTCAATTATAAACGAGAATAAAGAATATAATGATTTATTTTCTGTCTCTATTATTATTCTCCAGACGGAACATATATTTTAATGGCTTACTATAATAGGATCACAACGTTATTGTATACTATATAATAGAGATCAACTATATCGTGCCCTATTCTTGAGTCATCTCGATTCTATTATTCATTCCTGTATATTATTGAAATTGCTTTAAAATCCTAAACACCGTATCTTCTATTACACAAATTTCTGGCACGCGATTAAGTGCGTTTGTATATTTGCTAATAATTTCGTTGCAGTGAGCAAGAATTGTCGACTTAACCAAGATTAGACAAAGTCTTACCGTCAACAAGTGGACTATCGGGTATCAGAACTAGATGATCTAAAACTATACTGTAGTAAACAGACACATGAAGAAGTAACGTTATACGTGATAGGCAATCTACTTGAAAGATGGATCCATCGGTTTTTTATAATACATCAATGTTTTTAATTTTAATTTTTCTATCTAACCCTATTCAAAGCGAGATCTTTACTGCAACGAATGATATCGAAAAGCTAATCGATTCCGAAATAAACCTATATAATGAAGTCGATAGTTATATTAAGAAACAACAAGATAGTTTAGCACAAATGAGAAATTTGTTAGATAACGTCAAGTCAAAAATGGAGAAAGTCGGTTTAAAAGGTTACGAACAAGGAAAACATCCGTTAGCTATATATTTTCTGGTAAAGCGATTTTTAACTAATTGGAAAGCAGTAGGCAACAGGATACAAAAAGAGGCTACATTTAAAGGTTATAACATAGATATAGCCTAGTACCTGTCGATAATACATCTAGAAGAACTTTAGTTTAATTAATCTAACCACGGACTACGAAAGTTATCTTCGAAATAATTCGCAAAATCTTTTAAATTAATGCACGTATGAAGTAGAGGCTGATTTAATATCTAGCATCTATTCTATAGTAACCATTTATTTGTTATCTTGAGTTACCTTTGTAAACAACGCAGCTATTTTCATTTCCGTAGAAAAGTAGACTTCTTTACCATAATTAAGCTGCTTAATGCAATGCAATATTGTATACGAGATAAGTCATTCAATCTAGATTACAGTAAATAATGTTCGCGTCGTAAAGATTACTGAATCTAGTAGTAACGATCCGTAATGAGACATAATCATAGAGAAATAAGTTCTGTCGCAGTCGTAGAAGTAGCATAAATTCAGATTGTCTAAATTTCGTTTTTTAGACTTGTCCGCATTAGAAAATCTTGTAACTTTTAGTACGCTAACGTATTCGATAAATTATAAACTGAGATATAATTAAATTACACTTAAACTAATATTCGAGCAATAGAAGTATTTATTCGCAAGAGATCTAGATTCGGCTTAGTCTGATCAGAAAAGTCCGTTACATTCTTATATGTTAGAAAACATCATCTCTATTACTGCTTCCTCTTTTTATACTTAATTGATGTGATATGCAACAGCTAACTTAATTTGTATCACTTTGGGTCTTCCTTACCGATTATATTTCTTAGACAAATTTTTGGAAACATTTGCTCACTACAATAGTACGTTTCCAAACCTTAAAGATCTAGAAGGATCAGCTAATGGACTCTCACGATTACAAGAAGTCTATCAACTAAACAGAAATGATCTACTCGACGGAAAAATAAATGGAGGCTCTCATCTTGGTATAAAATTCAATTGGTTTGACTGCTTTACTATTGGTTTAGCTTCTTACAAGGGGAGATACTTCCAGCAAAGCTATGAGTGGATGAAGATTGTGTATAATAGTAAAGACCCTACAATATCGAGTAATCAGCGTGTTAGAGCCCTAAATTATTTGGCTTCCTCTGCTTACCGAGTACGTTTATAAATAAAACACTTGCTTGACTAAGATAATTAATTAAAATATGTCGATAAATTAGTGTTCCTATTGTGATAATGGGAAATGAATCAAGGAACGGCACTAGATTTATTAGATATGCTATATATTTGAATATTTGGACAAGAAGATTTTGCACATGTTGAGTAAAGTACTAAAGCAGTTAAGAGTAGGTTAAGGAAAGCAAAAGTGGTAATAAGATTAAGCTGATTGTAATTTTAAATTATAATTGTTTAATTTAGTAAAATATATAGATATCAGTAAGCTTCAATAATAATGGGTAAATTAGTAGAAATTAGTTTTGCTTTTCGTTCATCTCATACGATGAATACTTCGTAACAAATTATTTCGAGAAGTGTTTTACTCGTGCATTTAGATCATGATAGCAGAGAACCAGTTACTAATACTTCATGCGAAAGAAGCAGCCAATGTCATTTCGTTTAGAATATTTTGTTGATAGATAAATTGATAACGGAAAAGCCAGACGATATGATATTAAAATCTGCATATTCTCTGTAATTCTAGATTGACAAGATTCAAGAAGCCATCAATTTAACGCAGACATTGTTAAAACTTAGTAAGTTGCACATTCAGCTGAAACTTCTTGAAATTGTTGATTACTTCTAGTAAGTAGATTAATCCTGAAATCTGACAGATATTATTAACATTAAATTTGTGCCATAGATTGGATTCAACTTATTCTTTATATTTAGATCCAGAGCATAAGACAGCAAAGAAATATCTGAATATCTATGAGAAGCGTTTGAATACATCTACAAAGGAGAAGTCGACAGAAGATTTAGACGATGACAATGATGACGAAAAGGATTTCAAGCAGATCTTCAATTCTTATAAAGAATTATGTCGAGGCAATGTTAATCAAAAGGTACACAATTTCTCATTTTCGTATAAATTGAACGCTGTAATAGTTTCTAAAATACATTTATATACCTTATTTATTACGGAAGTATTTCAAAAGTGCAATCATATTAAGTCGATGTTATATTATAAAATTAAAACATATTGATAGCAATACTAAACTTTAATAGTTTTTGCTAATATAGTAACGATTTTGTAATAGAAATAGATTTCTTTTCAGTTATTGTATGGAATAATTTGTGGGAAGTGGTATCTAGCGATACAATATAGTTCTCTACAACATGGTTATCAAATTTACTTGTATATAATTAATTAATCTTGTCTATAGCTGCGTATATTGACATATTTATTTATCATTGAAGATATACGAGTACCGTACTGCTTAATAGAATATTTATAAACGAAGATTAAAATTTTAATTTCTTTTAACGGCGCTAATTAACTCGAATTGTTGGATTTAGACTGGTGACGATGTTAAATTGAATAATCAACTGAATTGCTATCAAGATTATCGAAATCCTCGATTACTGTTTTCTCCTTTAAATGTAGAAGTCTTGAGTCTACAGCCGTATATCGTAATTTATCATAATTTGTTGACTAATTCAGAAGTGGTATTGTTAAAAACTCTAGCTAGCCCACTGGTAAGCACTATCATTAATAGTAAGAAATGCTCATACTATGGTACAAATACTGCAATTTTGTACTTGAAATAAATCAACTGCTATTGTACTATCTCGATAATTATAGCAGTTCTAGATCGTAATTAAATCTCAAGTTATTGTAAAATTACTTAAACTGAATAGTAATATTTCAACTTATCCATTTACACTGTGCTCGTGTAATATATCTCTAAAAGAAGTAAACAGGATAGACTGTGTTTTACTATCATATAATTACTCAACTCAAGGCGAACATTTTTTATGATCTACTTCATAGTTAAAACGGGCTGTTGTAGTTGGTAAACCTGATAAAGAATATGGTGAAGAAACAACTTATCGAATAAGCAAAACGTAAATACTGTTCGTAAAAGATCTGTTATATTCTAGCCTAACTATGATTAAAATTCCAGTATGACGATATAAATCTCTTAAATGTGCAATCATTCCTGGACAAATCAATTTTTTTTAATAACTATTATGTTTCCTTATTAGGGCTTGGCTAGATAAGGAAGACCATCCTGCAGTCAAGAGAATAACTACATTAATAGGGGATATCATTGGCCTTACTTCTGAAACAGCTGAGCCACTACAAGTATTGATTGATACTGATATGTTGATATTAGAATTACAGCTTTGTGATGAGACATTTACTTTAATTTGGCATTACCTGTAATTAAAAATGTAATAATCTCGATATTAATGTGGCTATAGATCGCAAACTACGGTATCGGAGGACACTATGAGCCGCACTTAGATTTCATAGAATCTGAAGTAGGTACACTATTTATCTCTATAGTACGGAATAAATTAGTTGCTTAACTACAGATAAAACAATATAAATCAAAAGTTAAATTCGAACAGCTTCTATTTTAAAATACGGTACGTACAGCTGTTCGAAAATGAAATTAGTTAAATGTGGGCTATATTGATAACTTTCCTTTTTTAGTTCGATTTTAGATGTTTGTCTGTCACATCAAATACACTATTCCATATTACTAGTTATACTATTAATGATGGATATGTCTACTTTTCGTATTACTTACCATTTTATGCCATTAATGAGCATAATACGGCCGAAGCTCGAAATTAGTCAATATTCATAATCGTTTTTGAATTTGCAAATCGAAACATTTTGTATTAGTAATTAAAGTATAAACATTGTTAAGTAAATGTCTCTTTTAAATTTAAAGTATATTTACTTATTTACAAACTTTAAAATTACTATTACGAAAGGTTTAGTATATTTTTAGTATATTGGAATGTGCCGGTCAGCTATCACTATTATATTATAGACTGCCTGTTCATTTCGAACGGGTATCTCAGCTAGTGTGATATAATTTAGTTAGGTCGTACTTACATAGAGGCACATCGCAGTATAAGGCATTTATAGGTGTAGAAATGTCATGTGTAACTAGTATAGTTAGATTGCTATTGCCATGCATGATAGGAATTCTCACTAGTTACAGTAACGTGTATTTAATGTGACAAACCTTTATATACTCAATAACCTAAGCTTGAGCGGTTGATTTATACAAAAAATAGATTAAGGGCCGTCCCTACATTTGGTAATACCGATTGCTATTGCAAAGTGTAATTGTAATAACTAATAATTGCTTGACTATCTAAGAATAGCAAATGGCCCTATATGAAATAATGTACAGTAATAGTAAAAATGCCCAAAGCTTCGATATGTTAAACGTTAGTTAAGAATAATCGTATTATTAGCTGTTAATTATACGATTCTGTAATTAGAATACTGCAAACAAAGGACCTTTAAATTTTATCTGGACTTACACTATTTATGAGAATTGGATAGAAGGTAGATAGTTTATTACTGTAGATAAATCGCATTTAAAATATATTATCGGCGAACTTTAAGCTATACGATTCGCTCTAGTTTTGATTAATGCATGCTTAAAAATCGAAGTTTATCGGTGCTTATAGTCATAGAAATTTGCCTTAGACACACCATAATACCATAATACTAACTTGACCTCTGACTTGTCATTAACAGATATTATTACATTCTATGGATAATAGTGTTTAATCATCTACTATCTTGCATACAATTACATTTATGAACTGATGCAAAATATTTTGTGTTTATAACTTTAAAATATTAAAATAATTGGATTCATGATATTGACAATGAAATCATTAGTAGAATTACTTCGCACTAAACTAAATTTATAGCTGCATTATACCCTTCAAATCATTCTAACTTTTTACGATTTCGCAATAATTATCGCCTACAGCCTTAGCAATGCAGATGATATGCTATATAATATTTAAATCGCACTACTAACTAAGACTACTGCCTAGTGCAGATTCGAATTTATCAAATTCAGATTTAATGCTATACTCTTGTATTATCACTAAAATGAATTATGAACTCTTTTACTCGTATTGATTATTAACTAGACACTAATACATTTATGTTATTTATTTCTTGATAGTTCAAAATCATTTAATGTATGTTATTGAATCGATTTGATTATAATAGGATAAAGAAGCTCTATCAGAATACACTAGTAGAATCGGGAATCGAATTGCTACTGTACTTATTTATGTAAGTTATATGTGGTGATTTATGTCGGTGTATCCAGAAATATTATCAAAGTATTAGTCTTGCAGTTTTTTATTAATTTGAATATTTATTTACATATGTAGCTAAGCAATGTAGAAGCAGGTGGAGCAACTGTTTTTCCAAAGGCTGGTGTAAGAGTTGAACCTCGTCAAGTAATCTGCAAATTATGATATAAATAACTAGATTGATTTATATTTTCGATATTAGATTTGCAACGCTGTATCGCTTATAGCAGTTCTTAGATAATATCAGAAATATTAAAGATGTCATAGATTAATACAATAATTACAATATAGGGTAGCGCTGCCTTCTGGTATAACATGCATCGCAACGGTGAAGGCAATAAATTATCAGTTCATGCAGCCTGTCCAGTGTTAATCGGATCTAAATGGGGTTAGTTAAAATAATAATCTTTATTTAAAAATTCGGATGTTATTTTTATTGCTTATGACTTATATCAGTAGCATGTTATTTTAGCTTCTATGCTTTTACCAATTTGACAATTCTGTATATATGTAGAATCGATAGAGGTATAGAAGGATAACAGATGATTGTTGATCTGACATTTACTTTAATATCACGGAAAATAATTGATATCATTATTTTAATACATGAATTCATAGCTGCTAATTTGTGGTTTCGTGAAGTTGGACAAGAACTAAGACATACGTGTACGTTAAATCCGGACGAATAACGAAAGACCAAAAAATTGATGAAATTAATCGCGGTTACTTAGTAGCCTAAGATCATATATTGTAATATCTTTTCTATATATTTTGATGATGTGTTTGCTACAATAATTGTAATACAGCATGTAATATAGTATGTACTGTACTATTATCACAAACCTGTATTGCTTAGATAATATAGCTTGGTTAATTTCAGTACTGCGTATCCACTAGCGTTCGATGTTATGTATACGAATATTGGTAGTAGTCAACTATAACCTTAACATGGCTTAACGCATAGGTTACAGCCATTTCTAACGCAAGCAGAATTATTTCTATTTTCTACCTACAAACAATACAATACATGAGCTTATCTGTAATCCGAATGATAAAATATTTATATCAATACAATAAATTTATACTTCATGGCGACGTTTAATTAAACACTACGTCACTCTGTTAGTTATATTATAGGTAATGGCCGGATTACGGGCTTTGGCCGTAACATGTATAAGCACATAGATATACTTTGCAGATTTTACAATGACCAAAATTTCAAAATCAAATTAGTATGTGATTAGAGCAAAAAAAACTAGTTTTAAAGAATACAACTGCTTGCACTTTCGTCATTAGCTAAATTTATACAAATATTAGTAATATTGCGGCCAAAGTTATCAAAAAAATTGAGCATTTTGTTAAAGTGTAATCGAAATTTCTATATAAAGTAACAGAAATTAATATTGCTAGTGCTATATTGGATTTATTCAATGCCGAGACACATGCCACGTGTATTAATAATAATCTAGCTAAAGTTTTCGAAGAGATGTAAAAGTTTTTCTACTGTTATATAATGAAACTTGAATGTTGAATAAACAAGTTATCCTTTAATCAATAGCTTGTTTAGGGAGATATGCAGAGTTAATCAAGTAATCAGGTATTATATAAAATCTTAACAAAACAACAATACATTGACGACATTTGGTCATTTCATTTGTTAGAGAACTCATAGAATTAAGATTACGTTGTCTCATTCATTAAAATTTAGCCTCTGCTTCGATTTTTGACCAAAACTTTGTAACTTGCACTCTATGATTGCCAGTAAGTATCATTTTTCAACAGCAAAAGTTTAGCTAAAATAATGCCCTAAGGTTGAAATGCCTGTTTAGACTTTCTAATTAATTTTAAAATATACCTTTCGAATAAGAATATACATACATAATCTAATTTGTTTAATTATGATGCTATTTTAATAAAAGATATATAAGATGGTTTTTCGAGCTTTCAAGTATGTAAATCGGTTCCTGAAAAGCTGTTGAAAGTGGGAGGCTGTCAGCCATCTGCTGCCATGCATAAATTATAATAGATATTATAATATTAATTATCACAAATTTGCATCGTGGAAATTCTTCTATTATTGTTAACAATGGCATAAATAAACATTTTATGATCTACGTAAGATGTACTAGCTCGAGTATTGAATACTTAATTATAAATTAGCTACGGCGATTTACTAAGAAATCGTCGAATTTAGCCATTATGATGGAACATTAGTTTTGACGGTTATTCTTTAATTTATTTTGTTACCATCAATCTCAAAGATTTAAAAGTGAATAGTTATAATCCTTCAAAGAGGACTTCGTCTACTGCTTAAGCTATTTTTTATATTGAACACCGTGGAAAGTGATTTATATCAGTTTTATTTCTGCTATAGAAGAAAAAAAAATGCCTAGATTGACATCAAATTCGACCTTGATACTTTTTATTGTAACTTTTCTGTTTTCTCCTTTTATTCAAAGTGAAGTCTTTACGGCAACCGATGACATTGAAAAATTAATCTATTCAGAATATGAACTATATCATGAATTAGATAATTATATTAAGTTACAGCAAAATCGATTAGTCACATTGAGGAAACTGTTAGATGAAATTAAGTCTCAAATGCATGGAGTTCATTTAAAAGGTTATGAACAGGGTAAGCATCCACTGGCCGTTTTTTTATTGGTAAGACGATTTCTACGGAATTGGAAAGAATTAGAAGCAACCGCAGAAGAAGAACAGATTTTCAACGGTCAGTAAATTTATCTAGTTTCAGTCTATCAATATAATATTAAATCAGGCTTAGACTACCCTAATCTAAAGATCGAGTCTTTCGCAAAAACTAAAATATTATAGTAAAAAGCTTAGATTTTAGATCCTTTCTTGTAAGTTTATACTATACTGTTTGTTTGACGTCTGATTGTGATAGCTTCGAAGTTCTTTCTGCACGAGTTTTACAAATTTTACTATCCTTAAATGCGGAATTAGCTATGAAAAGAATTGATCTATGTATGGAACCGTCTTTTATAATTCTTATTTAACAATCAAAATTATTTCATACTATTTAAATTATTTTACTAAATTTTAAAAGTGAATTAAATGTTTATCTTTCCTTATTTTAATATAGATAAGCTGCTAGATACGTTTGCTTATTATAAACGGACATTTCCTAATCTTCAAGATCTGGAAGGATCTGCGGAAGCCATCTTGCGATTACAGGATGTGTACAATTTAAAGGAAATTGATTTAGCTAGTGGCATCATTGATGGAGGCCCCCGTCTTGGAGTTCAGCTAAGTTGGTTGGACTGCTTTACTATTGGTAAAAAAGCTTATGAGAATGAAGATTTCGAGCGAAGTTATAAATGGATGAAAATTGTTCAGCGTAGTCAAAATCCTTCGATATCGTCTGATCAGTGGGTAAAGATTCTTGACTACCTAGCTTTCTCAGCTTACAAGGTATGGACAATATAGTAGTTATTTCACTATTACTTTTATTATGTATTATTGAAATGATAATTTATGAGAATAGAGCTCATAAAGGCAGGAATAATACGCAAAATGAAGTTAGTGCAGTTTATTTCATTTTCAATGTGATATTTTACGATATTAGCATTAACCAAAAATTAAAAAAGATGGTAAAGCTAGTTGTGAGATTGAAAGGTTTTGCTTGATGTAGAGACTGATCATTCAGACTAAGCTAAGCCTTGCATGCGAAATACTGTACTTATGTTATTATAACATGACAGTGACTTTTTATCGATGCTGCTAAAATGATGCACCGGATTTTTAAAGTATTCTAGTAGTTGATGTCACTGTTAGCTTTTCAAGCAAAAATAATTTTATAATCAGTAGTTTACCGTTTAGTAAAGAAGTCTGATGTCTTATTAATATAGAAAACTGTGATTAGAATACGAGTATTTTCTGTTTAAAACAGTTATTTATATGCTCTTATCGTCTCTTAACGTAGATTTTGTAGCTTTCATCAATCATAAAGCAAGAATAGGCTATAGGAGAATTATTAGTGATACTAGGTTTATAAAAATTTTATAATTTCTCTCCTAGTTAGGAAATGTTAAAGAAGCCATGAATTTAACTCAGGCGCTATTAAAACTAGGTATTATAGACTAAGAAAATGTTTTTGTTTCTGCTCTTGATTAAAGGGAATAATCTACATTATCAGCTATAGGAAGAAATCCTCAGTAATTATGATAGAAGAATGGATTCAATTTTTAATTATTAAATTAAGAATTGTAACCATACTCTAGCTTTCTGTCTCTGAAAAGTTTTTAATTATATAAATTTCTCTTTCTTGACAGTATTTAGTTTATACCTATTTGCACGGTACATGTAAATATAAGTTCAGTAAGATGACAAACGCAACATATCATTTACTTATAGTTTAATAAATGCTACTAGTAGAAGATATATACTCACGATAAATGGCACACACTTCTCCATTGAGACATGGTACTGTGCATCGTTTTGTTAACTTTGCAAAGTCATAACTCTTAAATAATTAAAATCTTTAATATCTTTAAATTAAATTAACTGAAGAAATTTGTTTGCAAATCCTACTAGATCCGAAGCATGAAAGAGCAAAGCAAAATATTTATTACTACGAAAAAGTTTTGACTAAAAATAGCGATGGTAAGGAAGGCGAAGACTCGCTCTCTCAAGATGAAAATGACTGGTCTCATGAATTTGATTTTTACAAGAAGCTATGTCGAGGTGGCCCAAAAGTAAAGGTACAGAATCTATCCATTTATAGAATTTGGGTAGATATCTTCATGTCTGTAGTTATCTCTTTTAATATAAGAAGTGGGTCAGCATGACGACCTAGGAGCTAGTGGAGCTATGAAAATCTTTATTGTTATTGATGTAAATAAGTTTAAATTTGAAATTTAACAAGAAGGTTGGACTTCAATCTTTCATACCTCAATGAAGCTCCAATATCCAATCAAAATAAAGTCATGATTGATAGTCCACCGTATTAATAGTGGATAGTCATAGGGCTTGGCTTGTTCGTCAATATGACGTATACGCGTAGAATACGCATAATAATTGAAGCTTTCTAATAAGTAAATTAAAACTAAGCTATCTATAATTAGAGCTACAATATTATGTATTGAAAGTGAATATCAAAGACGTAAGAATTTTGTTTATCGAGCTAATCAACGCAATTTTATCGATTAAGGCTGGTGATAATAAAATGGTTAGCAATCATCTCACCTGTTACCAGCTTCGTCAACATGCCCGATTGCTCTTTTCTCCAATTAATGTTGAAGTTATCAGTTTACAACCGTATATCTTAATCTATCATAATTTATTGAATGATCTAGAAGTTGAAGCATTAAAAACCTTAGCTGCTCCTATGGTAGGTTATACTATTAGTATCGTAACCAATTATAATTGTAATTGATTTTGTTTGGGGTATGAATATCTTATATTAAATCTTGATTTGGACCCGCTTACAAAATGAATTGATTGTTTACTTACTAACCATCTTGATATTTGTGGCATATCAGCATTAGATATTTGCTTTGAAAAAAAGTGACTACTGTTAATCTGTTCTATAGTTACAACGAGCTACTGTACATAACAAGGATACCGGTAAATTGGAGTATGCAACTTATCGAATAAGTAAAAGGTAAAATATTATCCAGGCTATATACTCAATGTATTATAATCTCGTATAATTTTAAGGTAATGTTAACGCCTTGGAAGTAAGATAATTTGCTAATGGATTTCGCTTGGCTTTTGACGTATTTGTCGCTAGTGCTTGGTTAAATGATGACGATCATCCTTTGGTTCGGAGAATATCTACATTAATAGAAGATGTCACCGGACTCACCATGGAATCGGCAGAAGCATTACAGGTTTTGATTAGCGATCTTTTGATGTGGAAAAGTGTAGTTAGTGATATGTCATTGATTAACTACTAACCTTACCAGCACTAAAAATCATTTTTTGCCAATATTGCTACAGATTGCAAATTACGGAATTGGTGGTCATTATGAGCCGCATTTTGATCATGCTGACGTAAGAGTTTAAAAACTTCTGAACACAGTTCAAATTAATTCCTAATGCTTTAGATACATAAAGATATTATCTATAATTAATTCAAAGCCAAAGGCAGAATCTTATGAATTTTGACTTTTAAATCATTCTGATCTTTTGTAGTCTATAAATACAACACCCGGTATTTGAAGCATGTCATATAAATCTAATCAGTAATATAAGATATAAGTAGATCTGTAATTCTACTTCTACGATCGAATTATGCTCTAAAAGTTGATCTAACGGACTGCATATTAACCACTTGATAATATTGAAATCTTGATCAAATTGGTAGTAGATTTAGAAATAAAATAATTGTATGAGTAACTACAATAATAATTATAATTGGATTATCGAATTTCTTATAACTGTTTTTGCTTCGCTATTTTTGTATAAAAGCCACCGGCTTTTGCTTTGTAAGCACGAAAGTGATAATGAAATACACAATGATTTATTATTACCACCCTTTCCACCACTATACTGCCATCAGGGATATTATTATATTACATTTGATAAGTTCATCCCAATTAAGATCCTTATTGATAATGCTTTAATTGAAGATATATCAATAATTCATTAGATATTAACGTTAGCATTGTATTCTGACTATGATTTTTAATTAATGTCATTACATAAAATGGATTCAACTACAGAGCGGCACAGATGTATTTAAAACATGGAAAGGTGGCAATCGAATAGCTACTATGCTGATTTATGTAAGCTATTTGTATACCAATAATACATCATAATAGACAAACAATTACTCTTGTAATATTATTTTTAATCGGTTTATATAATTTGTATTATTGTAAGTACCTATACAGGTGCGTGGTTTTGCAGATATCGAGTTTAGATTTTGAAGAGGCGATTTATCAATAATTTTAAATATTTCATACATATTTAGTTGAGCAGTGTTGAATTAGGTGGAGCTACCGTCTTTTCATCAGCTGGCGTAAGAATAGAACCTCGTCAAGTAATAATATTATAATAATAATAAATAATCATTGCTAGTATCTATTTATATTTGTTGAAGTTAGTTAATTTTTAACAATTACTCACAATCATCGCTCAATAGTCTCTAAATTGCTAAAGCCTAACCAATCAAGCATTGGTATAATAATTGTAGGGTAGCGCCGCTTTCTGGTATAATTTGCATCGTAATGGCAATGGCAATAACTTAACCCGACATGCAGCATGCCCAGTACTTATTGGATCTAAATGGAGTTAGTTGACAATAATCATGTATAGCTGGCCTAGATTTAGAGTAATATCTAATTAAAATGAAAAGATTTTCATTAATTCTGCTGCTTTATCTGTAGTTGCTAATAAATGGATACATCAAGTTGGACAAGAGTTACGACATCAGTGCACATTAAATTCGAATGACTAATGATGGATAATAGCTGATTTAGTACAGTAACATACGATGGATGGATTTCCGCCAACACAATTGCTTTTGTCTGTAGAAACTAGCAAATGGAAATGTCACATCGAACGAGAATTATGCAACAAGCCCATATTAAATCTTTAACAATGATGAATTATGATGAGTAATGGCTAATTTAACTTATATAAGAATGATTTTTTTTTTAAATTTATAATCATTGCATTAGATATTAGGAAAGACAATGTAATATTAAATTAATTATTATTTTCAATATGGTATGTCCTGATTTTTAAGACCAGAGTAGACGAAAAATGTGTGAATGGATTTATTGAATTAGTACAACTGATGATAGTAAACTAAAAATCAGTACTGGACTATATGGTGTTAGAATACTAAATTCTATTTATCAATAGTCAAGAAAATGGTGCAACATGTGATGATACCACTTATTTATAGAAACAACCGATGAAATCCGGTTTAAGAATTAGACAAATAAATGCATTGTATAATTTTATGCTGTTTCACACCTGTAAATTACGACGAGATAATGTATTATTTACAGATGATCTTATGCAATTTTTGTAATGGAGGGTAACTTGATAATAATTGATAATTTCAAATCCTTTAGAAAAATGATACTATTGCTTCTGTAATAACACTGCTAATGTCTTCAATTTTCGATAGGAGACCTATTTTTACCAAAATCGATATACGTAAACGTATTAACTTGAATTGAATAAGATATACAATTTTTGATAGTATTTTACACTACTCCTGGTAGAGGATTTTGGAAGTTATCCCTAGAAGAAAGATTTATTGATTATTACGGATTTGATGAAAGGAACTTTAAATAGTTAAACGAAAATTTGATATTGTTGATAGTCTTAGACATAAATAATTTTTAACTTTCGCAAAGTTTAGGATTCAAGCTTTCTTTGAATTTTGTGCTTAAGATACTATCTCTAGGCATAATATATTAATTCTGAGTTAATAAATAACACATTAACTACATTTCTTCAATTCACTGGAGCTGCTTCTTAACACTTATCTGGTAATATTGTAGAATAAGGTTAGCCATCACTAAGATGACTCTCTATTGAATTCTTTTATCTGAATTTCTTATTTCTACTGGAGTTAATCAGTATCTAATAGATCAATTAATATTTTAAACTTATCTATTACTGAGTATAGTTTTCTAGGAAGCAGTTATTCCGGTATAAACTATATTTATAAATTTTAATCTGTTCTGATAGGACCCCTAAAGTTAGCTGACTACTTTTAAGAATTTTACTATAATGAGGGCTCTTAAGATGGCTGATGCCTCATTGATATATTGCATGGTCGGCAATGGTCTCTTTACTCAATTTAGATCATAGCCACAGTTGTTATATTCTATAATGCAGCTATTATCTTCGAATGTAGCAGACTGTTAATAAGGCTTATTGGGTTAATTGTGATCCAAAGAACGTGCAATATCGGAATGCAATGGCATGTTCTACTGCAAGTACCTATACCCTGATCGAAGAAGTATAAGAGCGAAAGTAGCCATTATTTTATGATAACAAGTTGATTTTTTATTGAACTGGACTGCAAAGAAGACAAACAAAATAGAACGCAATTGTATCGCTAATACATGATAAGAAATCTTAGCCTACGTTATTGCTTCTATTCAGTACCAGAATACAGTGATAATTGATTAAAATTTTGAAATAAAATGGCTTATTCAGGAGATTAATTTCAGCTGATAGAGCTAGCAGAGAAAGAAAACGCAAGTGCAACTACTAAAATGTAGTCTAGCGAGACGATGTTGGATATGTAGGTACTCAATAATTAGCACAACCAGATTTGGTAATCATTAAAGTTGTGAGTGAAAGGACAGCGAGACAAAACTTTGACATACGCGTAAGCATGAAATAAGCAACAGTTATTAAATAGTATCCATTTCTGTTAGTGTGTGCAAAGGATTTTAAAATTACGATAGTTTATAGGTGCAAAATAATTTGGCCAGCTGCGTCAGCAATTAAACAGTTATTCCTGGAACTACATATCGCACCACTAAATAGTCCCAGCCAAATATAACAATTTCGGCCAGTGCAACTTCTTCAGCCAATACCTTGAGACTATAGGACTTTTTAGCTGCTACTGCGTTATTGATTGCAAGTAAGTACAAGTAATGGCGTAGTTTGCGCCTAAAGACGTAAAGTTGAGATTCAAGTTTTCTAATTTCTGCTAGTTGGCGTGGATAGCCCCTTATTCTCTGTATTCTGTACCGTTCATCGTAAACTAAAGCAAAATTAATTCTTCGGAGAATATCAATCATAACGCCAGCCTCAACTTCTTTTTGATGGAGTTTTGCCATTTTACCTAAGATGAGGGCCTGTTCAATACCATTGAACAGCTCGGTAGCTTCTAAATTTCGTACTTCGTAGAATGCTTTCGCTCTTTCGTAAGCATTCTCATCTTCCAAACCTTCACGAGTCAGAAAATTGATTAAAGACAATTCAATTAATCTTTGTACTGCTAAACGACTCCTAAATTGTGCTACTGCTTCCTGATGCAAAATTCTAGCATCAACAGCTTGATTTCTACGCATGATGAAATGTAGTCGTCGAAGCAAAAATTGTAGTCTGCGTTGATGGGCCAATTTTATCCCTATAAAGCGACGTAGCATAAATATAAGTCGCCTAATCCTTGGAACTAGCTGTGCGTCAAGTCTATACAATCGGAGTTGATAGGCTCGATCAGCGGCTGCTGCCATTTTTGCCAATTGCGTTCTAAAGTATAAATGAGCAAATGTTGCTTCTTCTGCGAATGTGGTGAGTACATTCGAAAAGAGTTTAACTTCCTCTATAATTTCATTTATAATGGCAACGACGTAGATTAAGCCAGCTTCTTCCATACGATCTTTGAACTGGATTAAGGCAGAATTAAATAATGTTTCAATGGCCAATTTTTCTTGAAAACTTTCGGAAACGTCTTGTAGCATTGTGAGAAAGAGTCCCACTAGAAAACCCTTGGGAAAGTAAAACTTAACCATGACTCCATCTACACCTCTTGCCGATACCGTGACCAAATCGGCAGTTACTCCATCAACCTCTGCACTCACTTCATCAATTTGGCTAGGTTTTGCAGCGCCATTGATTCCATTCAGTGTCGCACAAATGGTAAGGATTGCTAACAATATATGCACTTGATTCTAAAAGAAATAATTGAACAAGATGGATTATCAAGCGCATTTAAGACTTCTCGGGATAATTTTAATAGACATTTTTTATTCATTCTATTCTAAAAATGAATTAGTAAGCTACGATCTAGTAGAAGTATGCTACTCTACTATGATCGAGTTCTTTAAAGTATGTTAAAATTTTTGATTCCTTACCGCCATCGCTTAGTAATTTGGAATCATTAAAAAAAAGAAGCAGTCGGGAAGGACCCCCAAATCGCGATATGATCCAATATTAACGTTTTTTCATTCATATATAGGCCACTTGCGAATTATTCCGTACAAATGAATTATAGCCCAACCACGATTAAGAAATGATTGGATGTTTCTGATGACTGCATTTTAGGGTAATGCAATTTATCAGAATTTTAATCGTTGATTGGTTCAATATAAATTAATTTCAATCGCTATTGTCGGGCTCCTAAATTGGCTGTAGTCATCCATCAAGGTTAGCATAAGGAATCTGATAATGAAATAATAAATATAACATAATACTTTTGTATGTTCAGTTTTGTAGCCGGTATGAGATATAGCTGCAATTTTACTTTACCCTATAAAATTCAAGGAATTTACCTCATTTATTGCAACATAATGGAAGTGGGAGAAACATCTGGAATTTCATAGAGTTGACAGTTTTCAATATTGATGAAGTGGATACCTAATATGATGATGTAAAGAATACAACTACAGACTAGATTATTTAAAATCATAGGAGATCGTAATATATAACATTGATGATAGAATTTATTTGTTAGTATTTAAGGTTATTGTGGTCTAATACAAATTTCATTTGCAATCTTCAAATTTTTTAATATGATCCTTTTCTTTATCAGGCCATCGATCATGTAAATTTTATTTCATCCATGTGGGATCCCTATCTCTTTACACAGTATGTAAAGCCTTTTACGGCTATCAATCAATTGATAATTGCGCTAATTAATCACATTACAGTCGCCTTTGGATATGATGCAAGCATTCTATTACGCAACTATAGTTGGCGTCGTTAACAGTAAGAAACGTGCAAACATCTGTTAACTAGATTTATGTCGAAAATAGATTACTTACAAGACATAGCTAGGTATGCGAGATTGATTAATATGTGCAAATTGTTTATGGAAGCAGGATCGGTCATCGCGACAATGTGTTATCTTAGACGCTATCATTGTGTTGGTAAATGTCATTTTTGACCTTGCCAATTTTCAACCGGTGATCAAGTTCTAAATAATTTCCTATCTTCAGCATAGGATTTAATGCAGAATTGCTTCAATCAATTTTAAAACCGTTCTATGGCAAGCATGCTGTTCTACTGTAAATATACAACAGAGGATTGTACTATAGTCGCTTCCTATTTTCGTACTTTTTTAATTATATGACTTTACGTGCTATTTTTAGAGTCCTATTTGCCTTCCTGCAGAGTTGAAACCTGGAAAGATTTAGATCTCGGCTGCGCACAAATGCCTGTTGTAGATCTAGTTAAAAGGACCGTGTAACTTGATATAGAGTAAAAGTCAGTAAAAACAGACATTAACATACTATTCTTCTGTAAATATATAGTAGAGGATTGTACCACAATCGCTTCCATTTTAAAGTTCTATCTTCCTTCGCGCAGTATTGAAACTTGAAAAGGTCAGATCTCGGCTGCTCACAATAGACTGTGTAACTTGATACAGAATAATTGTCAGCAAAGTCAGACATTTTAATATGCAATTTGCAATGATATCAGTAAAAATCACATAACTTGTGCAGGAAATGACAACTTCAGAGCATGTTTCGATATTAATTACTTTAATATTGATGCAATCAGTCCATTACTAAGTGCACGTCTCAAGGTGTCATTGACAGCTATGTCTCCCATCTATTATTGCTCTGCACAGCACGACTTCAATGAATGCTAGAATCTTCTCTAGTATGACTTGATAAAAGGCAAATATTCTCATTTATGTACGAGATTAGCTCCGGGCGTTTGTTAGGGCTAATTTAATATCATAGAAGCTGCTGTTCGCATTCTGCGATCTATATAGAGCACTTTCCGCAGCGCAATTAATCCCAAAATATCAGGTTATTTCAATATTTTTTATATTACGATGAGGTTTAGTAAGGATTGTAGAACTAGAATCTATATCATGGCTGTATGATTACAATATATCGAGAATTTGATCTTGGAAATTTCAGACAAGAACTACTAAAATTTTTGTAGCAGGTTCGTGCAGGGACTTCTAAAAAGACCCTTGCTTCCTGTCCACAGTACAATCACCGCACTGGCGTCCATGATGGGTTTGACTACACTCCGACTGACAGCCAGCTGGACTGCTATAGACAATCACTCAATGATCGACTTGTCCGCGTATTAGTACAGTATATGAGGTTATGGTCTGTCTGGATATCTGTACATCCGTTGCAAAACCGTATGACGCGCAAAAGTGAACAGGAGTGTGTGGTCACTGCGCAAGTGCAACGCCGCCGCTTAAGTGCTCACAGCAAGCAAGATGGCGACTATTGGGATAGGGCCGCTTGCAACTGGTGCTCACGTCCTGTATTCCTGCTCCTGCAAGGAATTGGGAGAATTGGAAAGAATGTATTTTTGTAGACATTGCTTGAAGTTAAGATGTATCGATTGTGTATCTAACGAGGTAAAGTAGCGATTACAAAGAAATGAAATCCAATTGAATAGTGTCTACAGCTTTAAGTTAGTCAGTCGTCTAGTTCGCTGCCGAATGATGGAAAATAATTCGAAACAATTATGGTCTTTTTTTATATCCGGTCATCGATTTTTCATCGTTGATTTTGGTTATATTGTTCAATTCTATGCAATGATAACAATCTTATATATCCAGTCGCAGATCTTTCATGATTGATTTTAGAAGCACACTTATACAGTTCAATACAATGCAATTATAGTAATCTACGGTAATAGTGCTTAGCGTACTCGTATATCAAGTCATAGATTTTTATCGTTGATTTTAGATATACTATTACACTTGTACTGTTCAGTTCTATGCAATGATAGCACAATTTTATATTAAATCTTGATAACAAGTCATGGATTTTCATCATTGATATTAGAAGTACGGTTTAATTCCATGTAACGATAGCCGTCGTATGTATTCACTTATCCATCTTTCATCGTTGATTTTAGACATACGCGTACACTTAAACAGCTCAATTCTATGCAATAATGGCCGTCTTTTTTATTCAGTCATAGATCTTTTATCGTTAATTTTAAATATACAGTCTAATACTACGCAATGATAGCCATCTTTCATCGTTGATTTTAGATTTACACCTGTCCTGTATAGTTCAATTTTATATAATGGTAGTGTGGTGAATGGGTTTTATAACCCCTTAGGTTCGCAATCCAAGAAATATGAGTTATTAAAATTGAGCAAATCTCTAACTTGACAAAATTATTATTATTATACCTCAAATTGCTATAATACTGCTGTGATGAGCTGATACCACCACAAATAGCCATCTTACATATTCAGCCATAGATCTTTCATCGTGATTGTAGATGTAAAGCATAATTCTATGCATTGATTTTATGTCCAGTCTTACAGTACATCTTTCATCGTTGATTTTAGATGTACACCTCAAAAATTGTTGATTAACTTTATGCAAAATTTGCTACAACTTTTTTAAGTGTTACAATACTTTGATGATTTGACAGGTGGCATTGTACGTCTAACAACTTTGGTTTTGATTTGCCTGTATCTGTAAATAGGTTGAATCGTTTTTTTGTCCAACTTGCTTAGAAAGTATGCCATCGGCTGAGGCTAGACAAAAAAGAAATAGGTAAGTGATAGGATTGTGTCCCTCTTGCCTGATATGATAACTATATTTGAACTAGACATTTGACCAGTGGAATTGATCTCACATTAAAGTTATTAAAGTCACCCCTGTACGTATAAGCAGGGACGATTAAGTAAAAATTCGTGAAGGAAACTTTTCTTCTCGTCCAACATGGTTCATTATTACTACTTTAAGGATAATGTAGAATGCAATGAATTACTGTAAAAAGTTTTTCGTTGTACTACACATATACGAACACTGTATCTATTGTATTAACGAGTCGTGCAGTAATTGATGTACTAAGGCATTTATGAATGTCTATATTGTAGATGCAGCAATTGTTTGGAATGTCCCTTATGCACCAACACTTTATCGGTCATTGCTACAGCCACTGATGAGCCAGCAACTTTGGATAATGATAAAGAACCTGAAATTGAGCAAAAGAATGATACTGACTGTAAGATATTCACAATTACAGTATTCCGGCCAATTCTATGACGTCTCAGTACATGCTACATTTTCATGATATTTTAACTACTTGATAATTATTCTACTCTTTTTAGTGAGTAAAATTTGATAATAGCTTATTATTATTCCAAAATATGCGTAGCTAAGGAAAACCATCCCGACAAAGAAGACTCTGAAGATAAATTATATTACTTGAGTTGCGGATTTTGTCGTTGGACATCAAGAGATATTGGCTTACCGGATCAACAACAGAGTAGTGGGAAATGGCCCGAAGTAGAATTTCAAAATGCCAATAAGGTAAATTCGTTTAGTTTGATTTATTTGTAATCGTTCTCTAAGAGCATGTAAATGCATATCAAATACCAGCTCTTAATTGACTGAAACGCGAATATATCTTCATCGGATGATTTTGACTAGGTTAACGAGCTGATAGAGTATTATCGCGGGGTTGAACAATTAGAAAGGGCTGAAAAAGATATAAAGATTCATAAAAGACGGAGGAGTACGTACATGTCAATTGGAACGGTAAGTTATCTGAATCTCAATAACAATGCTAGTTTTGCTTGATTGAGCGGCTAATGTTGTTTGCTGTATTCAATAGTGTCTAACAATTACTTTCCTAACTTGCCTCCAGGGTAAAATTTCTAGTTTTCAAAGGCGAAGCATGCATTCGCGAACTTCGAATGCATCTGCCATTTCGCTCGGGTCGTAAGTTGATAGCGAAGACTACGTGTACATTATAGAGTTTCTTAACGTTATGGATGGAAATAACTGTTATCAATGAGAGGAAATAATGTCATCTTATTCAACGTAGTTTCCAAATAGCCACTGGTCAAAAACCTAAGGATGCTGGCGTCAGTCAGTCAACCGAAGATCCGAAACGCACCTCAGAAGACATTCTGGAAGTTGGAAGTGAACAAAGTAATGGAATTAATTTAAACTGTAGATTAAACCGGTTATATTACTCATTATTAGACAACTTTATCCACTATTATATATCGATGATAAAATTTGCATATTTATATTGTATTTAGTTACAGGCCTAATGCAGAGACTCTGTTTTCCTAGTTGTCAGCCGAGCAAAGTAAAGTATGTTTATAATTTTTCGTCATGGTGATTGCAGCATATGTATTGCTTTGGTGATAATATTAACATTAGTGCGATTTCAGTACTTGTGCAGCATAAGTAATCGAATCACTTCTTTGTATGTGTAGAGATTTAATGCCTATTCGTAAGCATTTGCTAGCGAAAAAGTCCCAACGTTGTAAGGTTGGTTTGAATAGCCAAGCTACACTTTTGTGTAACTATTTTTAAATTCTTTAATGATTGTTGATAATAAGATTGTTGCAATTCCCATTGTCTGCAAATACAGGAATGCGAACATAATTTATGCAAGCCAGAATTTAATCCATCTTCAATCAAGTTCAAGATACAACTGGTAGCTTGGTCAGTCTAAAGCATTCTAAACATAAACTTTAATTATTAACGTTATACTGAATTTACAGATTTTAATTGGTATGTACTTTATCAATAGGCAATATACTCCACGCGTCATTATCACCCAGGTTCCAGACCTCTTGTTTAATCAGGTATGAACTCTTCTCCAGTGTATGTAATGCGATCCGGGTAGCAATATCGGTAGTCGTTTTTTCACGGAACCACTATCCGTTTACGATTCAAAATATTGATACAGGAGAATAAAGTCACTTTAACAATCATCAATCCTTTGGATGCGAGCGTAAAGTTCATCTTATCGCCATTGACCTTAAATGAAGATAAGCCAGTTCCGTTTCCTCAAACTGCTGAGGTAGGATTATAATGGCCAAGTTGTATTTTAATTGCTCGCTTTATTTTAGTATTTAAATTTCTTAAAAATGAATCGTTTCTTTAGATAATTCCACCGGAAAAAGAGTTAATACTTTCAGCGAAAGATGATTCAGCAGAATTTGACTATAGCGAAACTGCAGCATCTACTTTTAATGACGATCCTAGGTAAATTTATGTGCTAATGCGAAAATTTCCCGCTTAATAGTGTAATGTTATTGTTATCAATTTTGTCGTTGTTATAAATTTTGTATTTTTCGTGCACAAATAAAAGGATTGTGCTGGCAAGAAGAGCTAACAGACTTAGTATTTATTGTCGAATAATACCGAAGAAAGCTTTCGGCCACGTTAAGGTATTTAATTATATTTGTGAAAAGATTTACTTACTACTTTGCTTTAGTATTTCATGCAAGTAGTAAATTATTGACATTTTATGTAATTTATTATGCGCCTTTATAGTGCTCAGTGGTGCTAAAATATGACGGAAAAAGCATAAAGAAAGGTGATGCTGAGGCCTCGTGGATTGAACATCATGTACATTTAAATTTAGGAATAGTTTCTACAAAGCATAAGCAGACTTGATAGAATGACATATCATAGAGTCTACAGTTGAGTCGCAGCCTTTTTGTTTTAAGACAGATGTAATATAGATTGTTAGCCTGTTATATCAATAAATAATATTTTTAAAGTTTTTCGCAATTTGTCCCTGGAAATGTATTTGTATCATATGTTAATTTAAAATTTTTGTTAGAGTTAGGCTTCCCGTTGTCTAATTTTACACTCACTAAGTTATCAATGGTGTATTTTCTCGGCAATGATAATTTGAATCTATTTTTACTTTCGTGCTTAGCTAGAGATCTACTGAATGTTACTATAGTAACTCTTAAATTATAGCAAAAGAAAAGAACTTATTTTTCGCTGAAGATAATATTGTATTGATGGCGTCTTTTGAATACTGTTGATTATCGTACTTCAATGGGAATATGAAGTGTTGTAAATAATATCGTAACGACTGTTAAAAATAAAGCAACCGCAATTACAAACTATCGATTATTGTGTATTTACATTTGTACAATTGTTTTGATACTGCAGTAAGAGAAAGGTTAATGCAAATGGTTTCTTAGCTGTTTATCACACTTAATGATACATTTACGAACAAATTTTAATACTGAGTGACTGTTGATAATATTTAAGAGTTACATGTAGATCATTATTCAACGACATCAAACGAAACGCTTACTTTGACATGAGGGTTGAGGTAAATATGGCAATTTTGATATTTTATTTACGTCTAGACCTAACTATCATAACAATTCACAATGTCTAAATTAAGAGCATCATAACCAGATTATCATTACAAATATCAATTACTCTAGTAACCAAATTCATTATTTATCATTTCTTTTTAGTGGGTGTAAGCGTACAATAGACTTATACGTAATACTTCGTCAATTAACTTAATCGAAACTAGCTACAAGATTTCGTCTAGAATTCATTCTTCATGATCGCCTGTAGTGGAGCAGGCAATAATTTTATTCGTTAAAGCGTACTATTGGCCTGCAATTTTGTATTTACTAAGAAGGAAAGATAATTATTTAAGGCTCACATAAAGTTACTGTTAGTCTTTCTATTACTCTTTAATGAAAGATTACACTAGGTTCAATTTAAAAAGGATACCGGTGTATGATTGATCACGTATTTGTTATTAGAAAGCTTAGCAATAATTTTTTATTATCGATCATTCTACTTATTCGTATTTCATGCGTATAGAAAAATCTTTTCATCTAATATCGCTAAAATATTATTTATTACTATTCTAATACTCAACCATTATAATTCAGCGCATAAAAATGAGAATTAAGTCACATACTGTTATATCTAGTAGAAAAAGAAAATGAACATTGGCAAGATCGCTATGATTTGGCTTAGTTACTTGCTGTTCAACTTACATTTATCTCTCGACTTATTCCATTCAGGTAAGGTTTTATCAATTTATTCATTCACGTAAAAGTATAACATCGACTACAGTAAAGAATAAAGATTATAAATGACTGTAAATATTTAAACTATTTTGGAAGACCTCATCAGTTGCCAAGTAATTTCAAATACCTAGTCAATGTCTACTTGACACCAATTTGAGAGTAAATACTCAACGGCATGCTTAACTGCCACAGTATATAAGATCAATGGCAGAGTATAATATCTGCTAGCATCGCTTACTGATTTGATTGTAACACATTGCATTTATTATTAAAAATTTTGACAGTGTGTCGAGCATCGACACCGATAGGCAATATTTTAAACTTATAGTTTTACTAATGGGGATCAGATACGATTATTTGCTTAATTAATTTTTTCATACTTCTCCATTTTCAGTTTATGTAATCGTCCTATTTTAAACCCAATATCGTAGTAAATATTTAAAATGTCAAGAATAAAATCGTCAAAAATATTATGTTTGTAGTCATTATGAATTTTTAAACAAGATTCAATTCGATGATCTATTTTTACTATATAAAAGCATACCTCGATATCCCAAGTGACACTGGTCCGATCATAATTAAGCATAATTCAATTTGATGTGAAGAAGAATTTATTTTAACTAAAATCGATCACAATTTGAATTAATTATAATTAAGGTGCTGGTGCGAATCTATCCTTCGCAATTAGCGATGTTGAGAAATTGATAAAACTAGAAACGACCCTTTCTCGAAATCTACATCGCTACGTTATGTTAGAAAGAGATAAAATTCAAGGATTAGAGCACCTTTTGAATATAATTGCGAATGATATAGATGATCACGAAAGGAGTAATAAAGATGGCGAGCTACCATTGGCTAAGTTTCTGCTTATTAAGCGATTTGTACAGCATTGGCAGAAAGTTTATAAGATATCAATGGCTAAGAGCAATCAATGTAAGCAATTTAAAATAGAGAATTTGCACAGATTCCATTAGATTCCTATGTATAAGCTATTTATAACACGATGCAGTAAATAAATATTTAGACCGTACAGTGTGAACTAGTGTACAGCGAATGGGTACTTGATTTTCTGTAGTGTATTAAGTTTTTATAGGGTATTTATTAAGTATTACTTTCAAATATAAACTAAAATAATTAATAATAAAGTACGAATAATGTCATATTTCAGCTTTAGTACCGGATTATGATGTCATTAGTAGGACTAATTTACTATATTTTTTCCGTATTTATGCATACATGCTTAGTTATGTTGAAATTATTGGCCGCAGCGAAAAGATTATTTCCCTCAATAGATGATTTAAATTATACAATAAAATCAATATTGCGACTACAAGAGGTATACCATCTATCAGAAAGGGACTTATATCACGGAATTATTCAAGGTAGTAATCCTTTAGGAGTGAAATTAAATTGGCATGACTGTATTAAGATGGCAAATGGTGCAAAAGATAAAAAAAATTACTATCGAGCTTACAATTGGGCTATTGAAGCTGCTAAATATTGGAATAAAACAGGTTTAATTAAGCAACATGAACAAGTTAAGAGGAGAATTTTACAGCCTTTAGCTATCTCTGCCTTTCAGGTAATACTAGCTACTCTATAATTCTCAAGAAATGGCTACAAATTTTTAAAAGAAGTAACGACTTAACAACATAATTACATATATCTTAAAATGAAAAAAATACCACAGTATCCAATTAAGAAGCAAAAATGACGCGATATTTAAAATGGAAATACAAATTTTTATAATTTTAATGTTAAAAAATTTTTTATTTTTTTAATAAATTTCGATTCGATTCAAGATTGGTAAGATCCAAGATGCACTGCATTATGTCCAAGAATTACTAAAATTAGGTACTGCTTTAGATTAAATTTGATATATCTTTACTTACTAGATATATAAACTTGCAAAATTTTCGAAATATGGTACAGTATTATATTACTTATCGGAGAGAAATATATTTATTTATTTTAGAAATAGTTCAAAAATGGCTTCATAGGTATTTAGAAGGGATAACGTAGCATTAATTTATATTATGTAGTTAGCATTTGATAAATTTAGTCTAAATGTAATGCTAGTCGCTTATTCGTATAAAATAATAAACGAAGATTTTGAAATTAGGAGATTAAGACGATGAAACAGATCATCCTTAATTCGTTTAAAGACTCTTTTGAGTCGAAAGTATTAAATTAATTCCATATTTTATTAATTTTAAAAATCAATCCAATCTATATATTGATTTGTAACTGATAGACTATCAGCATTCTTCGAGATGTCACAAATATTTAGCTGGTACAATGTATTATAGGATTTTTGATAATCACATCGTTACTGATAGTATGTGCATTTATGCTTTTGTATCCGGTATCAAAGTATTAGATAATATTAGCAAATTATCACGTATTATGAGCCACTCTAAATCCTATAACTAGATCCGAATGATAAATTCGCAAACGAAGGTTATCAGAAGTGCAAGAAAGCAATTTCTCAGAGTAATGGAACCGAAGCTAATAAAATGGGAAACCATGTTAAACGTTACCTTCAAACTAAATTGGATTACTTACCAACCTATACTAAACTATGTCGTAGTCATAAGGTACAGATACTATACACTACGCATCGGTATGTCTTCTTTATAATTACATAATTATAGAACGTGGATCTAGTAGTAGTAATCGTAAACACCCCATATTTTTATTAGAAATGTAGTGCGTATACATGATGCAAAAGTGATTTAAGTATTTGTTTTATTGCATGCCCTAGAATTAGGTTTGTAGGTCATTCCTGATAATAAAATTATCTCGTAATCTTATATTATACCTATTAAAAAAAAATTTATTTCTCTAATATTTTAGAATTATCAAACAAGCCTAAATAACGGTTTAAAATGCTATTACTTTAATCAGTCTCCTCTATTACACTTTAATCCTGTCGCTGTTGAGGAGATTAGTTATAGCCCAGTCATTCGACTCTACCATGACATCATTAGTCATCAAGAAGCCGAAATATTAAAGAACATATCGTCGAAAAAGGTAAAAGTTAATACCTGAATAGCTTTGAAATGATTCAGGTAATTAATAAATACAGTATGAACATGTAGTGATGCACCTATATTTGATTATATGGATAGCTACGTTTGGTACAATTAGGTTACTTTGAATAGATATTATCGTGAAACTAATAACAGATGATTGCTAACTACTATATTAGAAATTGTTGATGACTAATATTAGCCAGTTGACTAATTATGGCATAAGATTTATGTAGCTAGAAACACTGTAGTTGTTAAGATGCCCTCCAGAGAAAGGGGCTAGATCTTAATAGAAGAGTAGTGACATCTTAAGTAGAATGATTTAGATAGTAAAAAATAATGATGTACTATTTGAAAAATCTATTTTGTTTGATGACTCATGTCTGATTGCAGATTAATCGAACTGTCATAAATGGATTTAACGAAATAAATATAAGAATTGCAGAGATGAGCTGACGAGAGAGAAAAAATTTCACTTCACTTTGAGCTCGAAATACTTTAGATTTTAGACTAGATTGTTGTAACAATGAATTATTGCTCTACTATTCCTAAAACCTCTATTAGAAGCCTTTTAGAAAATACTATTTGACTAAGATAGTTGTTGTGAGACACATTTATTACAGAACACTGTATTTACTCTATAAACACTTGTAGTTAACTGTGGCGAGGACATTTGTACAGATCATGCCAAATAATTCTGAAGCTGAGGGAGAATATAGATTTGCCAAACAGTAAGACAAGATATTATTTGTATTTAACCAATAAGCTCAATCGACAATTCTATCATATACACCCATTGGCATAGCATAGTTGTAATCATACGAAATTAATGACACACTATCTATTCAGTAATGCTAAACATATAAGTAAGTAAGTAAATATCGGCAAGTAGTCAGTTTAATTTATTAGCATTACTTCTATGTCACATTATGTAGTACTGTTTTAGTTGCTGGCACTTAAAACGGACAGAAGTGGAGCATGTTTTTCATATTACCTTTGAAATGTGCATAAAAATTTAAGATGTAATCAGCTAAGCCACTTCGGAAAAATATCCGAGAGATAAAACAAGTAACTAATGAATATGTTGCACAACCTATCGCTGTCTTCTTAAGTTCAAAAATAGTTTATTCTTGTAATAAAATTATTTCTAGCGGATCCTTCTTAGATTGCTAAAGCTCTGCTAGCATATTACAAATCATATTTGCATAGCATTAGCAAAATAAGAAATTTATGGATTATGACATTCGCTATTTATTTAGTGCTTGGTTAGGTGATATAGATAATCAAGTTGTTCGACGACTGTCTGTTTTATCAGAGGAGTTAACAGGCTTAGATTTATCTTATGCGGAGAAATTGCAGGTTTTTAATATTATATTTAAGTTAATAACAAATATTGTTTTTGTTTACATTGTAAACGGACTTTTGTTACTATACGATAACTCTACAATTATTTCGAATTTTAGTATCATTTTTAAATACAGAATAGCTTTCTTACTTCTATTCAGGTGGCTAACTATGGTGTTGGAGGGCATTATTCCCCTCATTATGATTCAGCATCAATCGATGTAAATATTTATGATTTATTTCATTTATAGTTGCAAAATTATTATTTTTCTTACTCTTAGTACCCAGCAAATATAAACGTTAGTATATAAGATACGAATATAGATTTGCATCGTTATTTATTCATGAAAAATGTAATCTAATGATCTATATATAAGGTATTTTTATGACTTATTACTCGAATTTGGCATTTCAGGATGATACAGGCAAGCCAAGATTAGCAACAATAATGTTTTATGTAAGTTTCCACCTTATTTTATATACAGCGCGCAAGATCAATTTATCGAAATGTAGCGAAATGTATCTGATGTAACTTGCAAGGCTTCCACTCAGTTTCAAGACAAATGGAATATAAATAATACCATGTATTTAAATACTTTTTTGTGTATCTATTCGAATACTTTGTGTTACATTATTTTCAGAAAAATTCTAACACTTGTATTATAATAAAGCTGTTTTAATATGTAACAGCTCAGTGACGTGGACATTGGAGGAGCTACCGTTTTTCCAGACATTGGCAAAGCCATTTTCCCTCGCAAGGTAGGTGTAAATAACTCTTTTGACGCGTTTATAACATTTTATCTAAGCTATAAACGTTGACTTAATTTTGGAAATTACGATTTGTAAAATAAATCAGGTACAGCACGTATTCGTGAAATTTTAGTTCTAAATTATCACTAAAAGATATTACTGAATGACTTGCTTAATAATTGAAAAAGCGCCTTATCAGTATACTGTTTTTAAAGATCGACATCTATGGAATAACATTATAAATATTGCATATGTCTCGATAGTTTTTTTAAATATGTAAATATCAAGGGAAGTGCATTGTACTGGATAAATTTAAAGCGCAATGGATCAATCCACACAGTGACTCTGCACGCAGGATGCCCGGTTGTCATTGGATCGAAGTGGAGTAAGATATGTTTATGTTAAAACTGATTTTCATATTACTATTTTTAGTACCCTTCCTTGAATACTAAAATTAAAAAAATGTAATGTACTGTAGTTGGTGTTATAAGGGATTTTGGTGAAATTCTATTTTTCAGTAGCCAACAAATGGATTAAAGCAGCTGGTCAAGAATTTCGTTATCCTTGTAGCCTCAATCCTTACGATTGAGATTTATTAGTAAAATAGCAATATTTTAAAATCCTGGTAATTGAAACTACTTTTTACCCAAATAGACCAGTGAAATCAAAGCAACTATGAGATCTTTATTAAAAATATTAGCTTATCTTATAGCAACTTCATTATAGAGTTTCAATATTATGCAAAGACTACGGGGCTATCTCGATACGATATTAAGAAATTTGCTGTAAAACAATATTTATTAAACCAATTCATTAATTGCTTTATAATTAAAACAATAAATTTTAGTTCTAAATACAAAGGAAGTGAGTCAAAAATTATGCACAATATGCAGAATTAGTTAAATGAGGCTGAGAGAAATGATGTTTATAATTAATTGAAGATATAGCAGCAATTTACCATTCCGCTTAGGACCTATATTATTCCATAAACTTGCTATAGCAAATGTTTATAATAGGAAGAATTTCAAGCTGGAATTTTGGCAATCCAAAGTTGATTCGATACTGTTTTAGGATAAAGACCTTAGAGAAAGAGATATATTATACGGTTATAAGTACATTTTATACTACCATTGGCTATATGATTTTTCGGTTATTATTTCCCGAGCACGTGTATAGCTATCTCTATCTAATAGTTCATTAGTCATGTTCTCTATTGCACGTGTTTCTTTCAGTACTAATGTTAAACGTTCTTGGAGATGTTAATTGACATACGTTATTATCATACTTAGAGAAAACTATGAAAGACATAAGTAATTAATTAAAGGAGAAAAATGACGAGGTATGATTATAGACTACTGCACTCTATTGTAGCTGGAAAAAAATAAAGAATATACTTATTAGTTGATAGATGCCAACTTGTACCTGATTTCCAATGGTTCAGTCTAGATATATGAGCAAGTATTATAAATAAATGAGTTTTGCTAGTGTAAGAGCATGGCATGTTAACAATTGACTAATAGTTTCTTTCATTCATGTATGGTCTAATGCAAATGTCCATATTTCATAATTTAGAGATTACAGCAGCTTGACTAGTATGATATTGAAGTCTATTATAAACGTTCGTTAGAACTAAGTAATATTTGTTTTTAAGATCTTACTCACGCTCTCAATAGAGTCTATTTGCACTATTTTTTAATGTAGAAGTAATTTATTGATAGTTTCTATAGAGAAATAAAATATAAAATGTATCTATACTGTAATAGTCAGCCAAAGGGAAATAGCGTTAGAATTTTAAAATACTTCGTACAAATTCACAGTGATTCGAATTTAATATCATCAAGTCGTTTCTATTTCAATTAAAAAACATTAGTAACATATAAATCTTAAAAATGATGAAAATTCAACTTTTTAATCGAGGAGATCTATTCAGACTAAATTTGTAAGTAAACTTAAGCAATATTCCATTTTAAATCATAACAAAAAATTCCCAAAGCTCGTTTCAATTCCAAGATATTGTTAAATTCGGTAATTAATATCTATTATAACCGCAGAATAAACAGAAGAACAGAATATTAAGTAAACAAAATGAGAGAGAGAATAGATTAACTTTCCGACAGTTTGCATGACTAATTTATTGTCGATTTTTACAAATTGAGACCTAAATTAGTAAGCTTAATTTATGCTTTCGCTGTAATGTTATCAAACTTGTTTGATAATCAGCAATATGCTAACTAGAAATAGCCTAAAGAATTATTGATATACAGATGGATAACATTTTTTATCAATAAATTATTAATTAAGTCCTAAGACAAATGATACTTCATTTTATTGAGAATATCGATAAGTAATCTCATGATAGACAAGAACAATGATAATTCCAAAGAGCATTGTTAGTATGTGATCTACCAAGTAATTAAGATACTACTTCAGGCGAGTAGAGCGCAATAAAATACGTATTGAATCTATTCTAGTTACAATATCACAGATACTAGATGGTTATGGCTAAATTACTTGACTTAGTGGTTATTGGCGTACTTTTTCTTATGTCCGGTACAATATGGACAGGTAAGCATGTACTTTATTAAAGAATTCGATATTAATAAAGTCTAAGAATACTAACTGTAAAGGTGTGCTGCTAGTACTTTTTAAATCGAATTTCCGTCATTTATTATGGTTTATCGATGTTTTAGTCGATTTCTAGCAAATTCTGTTCTCGTATTTTATCGTTATGCTTCCTTAATAGAGAACTATGTTGTTTGAGTTAATTTAACAACCTCTGACGACCCCGATTAGTAATAGTAGCCATAATATTTACTTTAATAGTCAAATGATCATTGTAGTCTTGATCTGATATTGGCTGAATTGGTGAACATTTTTAACAGATTCGTAATATTTTGATAATTTATCTTTATTAACTAGCAATTCCTTCTCAGATCTTGATTTATTTCATTTTTATTCTACGCGAACTAACGAAATTAACTAATATCAGTACATCCTTTGTTCTTGTTTTATGAATGAAATGGCAGTCTTTGATGAGCATCATCAAGCTTTCTTAGCAGAATATCAGAATGTTTTGACGCTCTAATCTTAATTTAAAGTTTCTATTAAATACTACTTTTGTTTCAAGTTAAGTCTAAGAAATAAAAATGAGCTATTAAGATAGCGTATAGTATACAATATTTTCGTAAACTAATCAGATAGACAGAAAATACCAATTAAGCCGTATTGTAGATGTGTCTTGCTGTTAAAAGTATAATTTTAATTACTATACTTCTATAGCATCTTATACATATCACTGTCTTGCTTGTATGGCAGATATAGACGAAATTCCATTTAAGAATTTCGAAAGATTAAATCAAATCGAGGCATTCTTAGTCTTTTAATTATGAGGATTAATTGAAGAAATTTATTACCGGTGTTGCACAGATTGATTATGGTGCAATCATGATTAGAACCGTTAATTTTGATACGACCGCAATTTAAGCTTTAAAAGCAATAATGATTGCTCCTATCATTAGCAGACAAATCATAATCTAAATTTATCAAATAGAGTCGTAGTTGAATGCTAGTCTCGCTCTGTCATTGGAATAATATATCATAAGGATTAATTAAGCTATTCTATATTGTTTACCGGCAGTATTTTATCTGAGATTAGCTATGATATCAACTATTTCTCAAATGCGATATAAGAGTTGAATGATTTAAACAGTATCTTTTAAAATTATGATAGCCAAGCATTGTTAGTTACCGATTACAATGAACAGCTTGCAGTTTCTTAATAAGCAAGGAGTAAATTGTTCTGATCCTATTTAACTTATGGACAATTTTCGTAATCGATGTTGCTACTCCAGCGATACTTTTATGTTCAATTCTTACATCTATGTCAGCACTGGTAATCTATCTGAATTCTCAATCCTTTAAATAGAAGACCATCACATCATTATATGAATGTCGTTTACATTACTACAATTCTTAAACCTTTCAGTCAAGAATTACATCTGAATTGCTATTTTAACTTGCATAGAAAGTGTATCTCATAGTCGTTCTGGCAGTTCCGAGAATTTTGCAGCATTCTCTATACAAGACATAGAAGTGTTTATCGGGCTAGAAAAAAAGATTTCTAGTCAATTGCACCAATACTTGATTAAGAAGGAAGAAAATTTACAGAAAATGGAAGCTATCTTAGCATCCGTTCGCTATCAACAAGAGCATCAGATCGTAAAATATGAAGATCAACCACGCTATCCTATCGCTGCTTACACTTTGCTTAAACGATTTATTCACGATTGGTCTAGTATTACAAAATTAATGACTCATCAACTTGGTCAAGGTATGTCTATTGTTGAAGTAGCCCCTTATTTTATTTTTGGTGGTATTTCTAAGATGTACGGTAGTAATCTTAATTAAAATATTTTTAACACAATGATACTATACGCATATGATTAATATTTTGCTAAGCAGCTTTAATATTTTGGATTACATCTTCTTTTGTTATCCTTAGTAAAATAGCTAAGCTATATTTTATCTAATCAAGAAATTTCTACGTTAGAATATTTTAAAATTAAAATCTTGAATAAGTGTAAATATATATTTCTATCTAACGGTTTACCATTCTGGTATTCCTAACATACAGTTAAGCGGCATATTCTTAAGTTAGGCATTTATTAGTACAATTATATTATGGATTGGAAACTTTTTGAGTATATTTAGTGCATTTGACTATTTATAGGTTGAGTATTCCTAGTACTTAAGAAGTGCGTTTTTTCAATCAATAAGTATTTTTTCTATACTACGGCAGTAACAGGTTAAAGTCTTACGATTCTGCTTTCACTGATTTTTAATATCAAATATTAAAGATTTTATTAGGAATTTAAGAAGAAGAGAAACGATTTTACCCACAGTAGTAGATTGGGATTATACCATTAAATCGATCTTACGCCTTCAAACTACGTATAATTTAACAGCGAAGGATTTAGCTGACGGTAAAATACAGGGAACAAAAGATTTAGGAATCCAATTAAATTGGTTCGATTGTACCATGATTGCTAATGCTGCTAATGAAGAGCGAGGCTTTGGCAATGCTTATGATTGGGCTAAGCTGGCACTGAAACTATCAGAGAATGCAACTGATATGACAAATGATGTTAGGAAAGAAATAATAAGATCTTTATCGACTAATGCTTTTCAGGTTAGATGTAGAGTAAAATTTCTTTTAATAGCTTTCAACAATATGTCTTGATCAATTGAATATACTCATATTATCAAAATTTAATCAACAAAAAATTGCAATTCCGATGGACTTACATCTATAAATGAGCATAGTTCTAGCTAGATTATAATTATAATCAGATATATGTGTATGGTTGAACTCCAGAAAGATATCAAATTAGAGCAAAATAAAACAAAGTTACGGGTATCTTGTTATAATACTATAGTAATAAAACATCAATTTCTGCATTGAGCCAGTAACAACGATGTTTTATGCTATGTTTCATAATTATTTGTTTTCTAGTATAGTTTTTTATTTAAAATAGGAAGGCAGAGTTAATTCAAATTGTAACAGAGTTATCGTATGATTACTTATCATTATAACACATAGATTGGTAGGACCAAGGAAGCGATAGGTTATATCCAGGAACTCTTAAAATTGGGTAATATAATCAATCTATTAAGACGAATAGAAGGATTAAAAATCAAGATTCTTTTACTGCTCCATTTTATAATGTTAATGATTCGATTTGTTGCTTAATACTAAAATGGATGTATATGGGTATTGATTCTCAGATCCTAATGATACCTCTGCAAAAGATGGTTACGAAAAACTAAAAAGTGCTTTAGCAGAAGAAGCTACCAATGTTCTAAAGAATGGACCTAATCACTTCCAAGATTATGTAAAGAGATTAGGAAGAGCTGATTCTACGCGACGTCTTGCAGAAAACACCGAATTCGGCAACCTATGTCGTGGAAATGTTAAAGAGGTCAACTATATACTTTGTTCAATTCTGTATCATTTTCTATTCTAAAACTCTATCTTCATCGAAGCATTTCTAGATGCTTTTAAGTTTCTTTTATCTACTACATGCAAACATTAACCTAAACGTAACTTGCGGTAAAAACAGTTGTTTAAGTGTCTACAACTATTCTACGTCATTCTATAACGTTAGTAAACAAATTATAAGATAGTCATCGATAGTTAGCTTACTGATATTAACTTTTATTCAGGTTTATGAACTAGATATAAATAAACTCTCGCTATGCAGCTAAATTTCTTATCTTTTAAAAATAGGAATTTCAAGTCAGGCTGGCTAATAAGACTTTAAAATGCTACTATTCCAATCAATCGCCTCTTTTGTATCTAGCTCCAATTCCAGTTGAAGAAATTTCTCTTGATCCCTTCATCGTTATTTATTATGACATTATTAACGACCATCAAATAGAAACGATAAAAAAAATCTCTCGTAAAAAGGTATGATAGAAGAACCGTGGTAAATTCGACACCCAAATCTACGATTAAAATTAAAAGATGAAAATTTCGTATATTATGTAATTAATTGAGGCAAAGTTACCGATATAATATGTGCTTAGATGAAAGCAGCTGGTTTGCATAAAGATGATCCTAATGATCGCATTAAAGTTAACGCAACCGTCCGTTTCGCAAAACAGTAGGTATTTTTATCAATTAATACTGATGTGCTGCATAGAATTATATGATGTAATTGTTACAATTCTCCTTTGTAACTAGAAAACAGGTCTTAAACACTACTTTCAGGGACATATCGTAGTTGAACTAACTCTCAACTATACAAATAAGCTACTAATAAGTAATAGGTTTAAATACTTTACTTTATTTACGTTAATCTTAGCCGTAAAATGTACTAAAGAAAAACGTAAGAATATTCTTAGCAATAGCAGTCAAGTGATCCTGCAAGTGACTAAATGGAACTGAGTAGCTAAGCTAGTGCTCAGCTTTTTATAGTCTCGGCATACGCCGATGGCGCACTTGTGAATATTCTTGACATAGCGACTTCCACTGTATAATATACACATATTCTAGTATAGGAGTTCAGTTAAAAGAAGTTAACAATTAACATTAAATTAATTAATAGGCCAATTAGAGCCTTAAGGCTCCGCAAAGTAATTGCACCTTACACTTAAGGTGTTATTAATTTATGTTTACCGACACGTCAACAGAATTGGACTTTCTGATACTTTGGCAATAACAAGTACTTATTAATAAACATTAATATCTAATAAGCTACTGGAGCTAACAAAAATTTAAATGAGATATTTTAATTAACATAGCAATTAATTTGAGAGCATGGCTCCGTAACAGCAATATATAATCCAAAGCTAATTTATTGCGCCTGTCCAATCGTCAAATAATTATTATTACGTTTATATATATGCAAACCAAATCTTCTATTTTTGATTTCATACGTATTTAAGAAATTGCTCTAATAATATATTTTGGATTATTGTCGGACATTTGTGAGTTATTAGTAATCATCATAGCATGCAAAAAATCGGTGGATCCAAATAGAATTAAAACTAATAGCACATGTTAAAAAATAGGAGTGCAACACATGCGTTTTACTATTAAAGGCTATTTCAATTTTAGCGTAATTCCATTATATGATTAATCAATATTATTGACTTCGAAATTAATGCTTGGCATGTATTAAACTTAGTGCTTGGTTAGATGAAAACATCAGTGAAGTTACTAAAAGCCTATCCCGAATGGCTCAAGCCGTCACTGGCTTGAATATTAAATACTCAGAACACTTACAAGTAAAAAAATCATTTTAAATACGGATTAACTTGAAAAGTTTTCAATTTTGCGTTATAATTCTACTCTATTCTACTCTATAAAATCGAACTTAGGTAGCTAATTACGGCATAGGTGGCCATTATTTTCCTCATTATGATTATACGGCATTAAAGGTAACTTAATTGGTTTTAATTTATCATATTTTTCTTATCAGTTAATAACCATGAATTAATTTGATATGTAACTTATAGTTTGGAACTTTGAAACCAAGATTAGCAACATTAATGTATTACGTAAGCTGCTTATCGATATTCGATCTGTATTATAGCCTCCATTCTTGTTTACGTGATGAAACTTAGTATAGCATAAAGGAGCTTTACTGCAGGCTCGGTTCAGTTCTTCTACATAGGTTTACTACACTAAAAGTAACTTAAATCTAGCTAGAATCTTTGATGCTGTAAAGACGAAAATTAAATAGCCATGCCTATTTGGCATTAACTGATAGCTATTTAATCTTGTAATTTATCTGTTGTAATGCCAATGGAAGAAATGATATTATCATTGTAATAGTTAAGCGATGTAGAAATTGGTGGCGCTACTGTGTTTCCTTTCCTCGGAATTACCGTTCAGCCACGTAAGGTATGATAAAAAATGGCCTAAGTTGAAACATTTCAAAGTAGTAATTTATAACTATAGGAATGACCTGATAATATAAAGCTAAAATACAGTAGTAGTAAACTGAAGTAGTATAAATATCTGCACATTCACTAAGGATCAGCTCACTGGTCTAGTAGTATTGCTTATATTATCAATATGCCTAAAATATTTTGCTTAATTTCTAAAGGGAAGTGCAATTTACTGGATTAATCTGTATCGTAATGCGACAACACATCATTATCATACTTTCCATGGTGGGTGTCCGGTTTTGATTGGATCTAAATGGAGTAAGTGAAAATTGCATTTTTTATTGATACTAATGTTTCTAATGGAAGGATCGAATTTTGTAGTTGCTAATAGGTGGATTAATGCTAATGGCCAAGAATTGCGATATCCTTGTAGCCTTAATTCGCACGAATAGATTAGGGTTTAAGCAGTGTATTTTACTTATTAATTGTAGCAAAAATTATCGTTCTATCATCAAAGTCTTGGTATATAATTTAGTATTAATGATAATTTTAATTAATATCATATTTATGTTAGAGAGTGAAATAAACTTAGAAAACATTAATAAATGATGAGCGTATTCCAATCTGAATTTACAGTATATTCAATTCCAATGTAATCATAACCGTAATAACATACAGTTCGATTCGGGCATAATAAAGTAAATATTATATTTAGAGCTCATTTTATTGCGATTAAGTGATTTGTCCGCAGTTTATGCTGGCATTACAATGACTCTCGCTAGGTTAATTTACTTGATAAGTTGATAGTATAAACTGTATTTAAGAAAGAATTTGAAATTAGTTATAGTCGATGCAATATTTCGCTACAACTGATACTCAATTAAACAACACCAATGCACTGATCATCGGAAAGTTATAAAATTGCACAATCAATACTTCTGTCTTATATATTCGTATGTATTTTACTTCCTAAAGGATACAATGGTTTTACCGATTAAAGTATATAATGAGGCCCAACTTGTATTTGTATTATTAAATTGTAAATAAATTAACTACCGTAATACATAGAATTCAAATGCTGCGATTAGAAGCTATTATTCGGTAAAGATAAACTACCTTGGTAAAATAGATCGAGTAAGACGAGATGGAACCATCCTTAATGATTCTAAACCAAAATAAAATTGATCTCATCGGCTCAATTAGTAGAGTCTTTGTTAATTACTGATTAATTTATATATGTTTTGTTATACATTTTTCTACTCGCATTTGACTTATTAAGCTATAAATAAGTTACTAATTACACATATATACTTGCATTATAACTAATGTATTATATAAAATTTTGAAGCGTTGTGGTCAGAAGCTATTATTCGATTTTAACTAGTACTAGCTAATGCTTAGGAGCATGATACCGTAGGTTAATTCTAATATCTGCTTACATTGGGGTGAATATAATCATTTCTACCCAACATAATACTTGCTGTGCTACTATGATTAACATGGTAATAATTTCTTCGCATCGATTAAAAAATAGGATTATTGACGAAATCTCTCGCTCTATTTCTATCTTCCTTTTTGAAAACTTTATTACAATGATTTTGATAATGAATTCTTTACAATAGTAAAAACATTTCATTGCATTTGAAAAGGCACCGCTTAGTTAATGAAAGCCCATTTATATATTAACTAGGCGTGGTTTTACTGCCCTTCCTTCAAACTATAATCATCATATAACGACGGTTATCATATCTAGCTACAGTATTTTATCTGCAAGTCAGATGGCGCCTTTCAACAGTCTTAAATATCTTGTTACTTATTTACTATCAATATTCGCTTTCAGTTTTATTTACTAAGCTATCGCAATCTTATATTATTATTATACTGCATTACTTGTTATATATATGAACGTGACCGCATGCGAAGTCGGTCATTATCTGGCATGATATTTTGCAAAATGCCCGTATAAAAACATTTAATCCTAGTTAATGGTCAGAATTACCAACAAAGAGTGAATAAAAGTACACCTGCTTCCACCTGCAGCTATTTATAAATTTATCTTTGACTAAACAAAATTTTTAGGGAAACCCTGTTTAATATTGTAATACACCTTACTACCAAGATAAAACCGGATATCCTTTACTTATTTACTAGATTACTTACGTTTTGCACTTCAAAAATTCTAAACTTTATGAATTAACTCTTAGTTATAAATTGGCAGCTAATAAAGGTCGATTATCCATGATATATTTAATCTAAAATTAAGTTCAAATACAAAATCTCAAGTAAGTGTTTCCGCCGTTTACATAAATAGATAGAGTAAACATAGCAGGGAATATTGACTGCCCTACAAATCAGAAACTGATACAAGAATAATTATTAGATGTATTTTCTATCATAATCAATACAGAATGGGATAAAAAATAAATACTGATCTCTGTCATTCTACGTATATGTCCAATTCCTGGCACTCTGTCTTAAATGAGTACACCACCGTAGCATACGTTTATCAATTGTAAATGCTTTAGATACCGATTAAGCTCAGAAGTAGCATTACATTTATTTAGTAACTTCTTCGTTAAAGCAGAAAGCAGATGTAATAGAATCTCGAAATAAACCTCTACTATCTGTAAATCTAATCTGATAGGTTCGTAGTCTAATCTATTCTTGATACCCAGGTAAAGTGCATCATATCTACCTATTAAATATTGGTTCCATCTAAATGTTCTATTATGAGTAGTGGATATTATAAAAACACTAAAGCTGAAAGAAAAATATGTAGAATCTTCTATGAAATTACTATTGTCTTTAAATTTGATTCTATCGTCGTCTTTCTTTATTCAACTATTGCTATCTCCATATCCTATACAAATATAATCTACCCATTAAATATTAATTGTTTGCTAATTCATTGGAAATTCTAATTGATACTTTATTCTGTTTTAGGATTTTGAACTTGCTGTTAATCAGTATTGTCTAAACTGATGAATGTAACTGTCACAAACCAGCTTCATGACAAGGATAGCGTAAAATAAATCTCTAAATCTCTAAAAATCTGCGGATTCAGTATTCCTACTCACAAGAATTTAGACGCCTTTAATTCTACGTTAAACTCAACTAGACAATTGAGAACTACTTTATTCAACTATTTGACGGGCTTATATACCCTTCTACAGCAGCTAATATTCATGAGTCATCGTATAAAAATACTTAGGTGAGAACATCTAGTAACTAATTTTTCACAGTCGGACTACAACATGTCCATTCACAGAATCATTTCAATGCACATTACAGCACAGCATTAAATTTACTGTAACACATTTATAATTAGAGTAATTCCTATTGTAAGTAACTAGTTGTAATATATTATCACTATATTATATTCACCAAATTTAGATAGCTATTTCTTCACGGTAGTTCGTACCGTGACAGTAACTCATCAATCTCAACACTTCTGCCAATTTATAGCTGTAAAAGACATAAAGAAACAGCACTTTAGTACTTGTTAACGATTTATATAATTTTCTATCTTGCAGAATCCTTACTGAAGCAGCTCAATTGGGATAAAATCGATGTGCTAAGAACCGAAACCATTTAATAGTATATAATACGTTGTTCATTCTTGGTAGTCTTTTGATTTTTGTTAATTTTTCATTCGTACATAATTACCAATAAGCAAGAAAAGATCTAAAAATTAACTTTAACTCTTTTAATTCCTATCGTTTACTGGCTAAAGCGCTATATATGAAATTAGAAACACTAAGATGCCCTTGAAAGCCTGTCCAAAGAATTTATTTACTGTTTGTCTTTTAATGACGAGTTTGGCGACTTTTATAAGTTCGTATTTTAGCTGGCTCATACTGTTAGTTCTTTGCAGGATATGGTAGGATAGATAGGTTTATTCTAGGTTATACTTAGATTTTAGTCAGTAACATAGATGATAATTAATTTTTATAGTATAGATGTAAAATTCGGTTTACTTGATGCAGTGATGTTTAATAACCTTACAAAAATTCTTGACCTTAGCAATACTGATTTTCTTAGTTTATGCTGATGCTATTGCATTGCCATGACATTTAGATATCATGCACCCAGTGAATGCTGATTTGGTGTTTGCTGTTAGCACAATCCAAGATATCATTTTGCTTGAAAAAGTGTTGTATGAGAATTTGCGTAGTTATATCCGATTGGAAAAGAAAAGAATTGCTGAGATTGAAGATCTACTAGTTACTTATGATAATGATAACTTGCAAAATTATCTTATGGATAAGCAAGATCCGTATCGAAATCCAATCAGCTATTTTCTCCTCATAAAACGATGGTATACTGTTAGCAATCGACTTAATCTTGCAAGAATAGCTCAACAATCAAAAACAAGTATGTACCGTTACATATTAATATGTAGAATATCTAATTTATAAAACTTTTGTCCCCATTCTTTAATACCATGGATAATTCGTATTAGTGCATATTTTTACTTTAGGTAACCTATAATAATTTAGACTCAAAAATGTATTCGTTCTTGCCATCTTGTGCCCTTAAATTTAAAAATAATTTCGTAATACTGAATTGAATTCACTTCTAGATTATGATGCAACGTAACTTAGATTACCAACTTTGTTTATCCTTGTTAAGTCTCGTCATATTACTTTCATGGGTGAGAAGATCATTGACATAGTGTGGGACTGATTAATGTAACCAATGATAAATTTATAAATCATTACTTCTTGTCATTTAAATACTATAAATGATATACCTAAAGCTTTTTTGAGTTAATTAATGGCTTTATAATTTATAACTCATCTAGTTACTATTATCCTGAAGATATCCTATAGATGATCTAAATAAGTACTTTATTATGCATTAATACACTTTAGGTTATTATAAGTAAGACGATTTAAGAGTTAAGATATGACATTAGGTTTACAAGCCATCAGTATATGTCATTTGTAAGCCACAAAGAATATAATTGTATGTATAAAACGGTACTAGATTGAATAGTTTCTGAAATATTTTCAACATTGCTATAGAATTTCTAGAGCTTATAAATCAATACAAAGACATTTTTCCTACGGATCAAGATAGAAACGATACCGTTAAATCAATTTTAAGGTTGCAAGCCATCTATAACATTAGTGAATCACAGTTTATAACTGGTAATATTGGAGGAAGGAACGGATTAGGTGCAACTTTAGACGTCCATGATTGCATCATTATAATACAATATGCAATTCATGGTAAAAGTTATTATCAAGCATTCAATTGGGCTAAAGCAGCTCTTAACCAACTTGATATGCAAATGAAAATTGATCAAGTCCAGTATATAGAGCTTAAGAAAAAACTGATAGAATATCTATCCATTACGGCTTATAAAGTTAGAACCGATAGTGAAAGCGAAGAAATACGAACTGCTAATTTTTATTAATTTCTAAAATTGATTTAATTTTAATTTTTACGAGTCCAAGTACTTTCTGTTGTACAGGCTGGAAAAATTGAAGAAGCGGTTAAATGGAGCAAAAAAGGATTGCATTTAGGTAATTTTGAAGCAGTCGCGGTCTTTGTTACCACCACAGCTGTATATGAGCCATTTAGATAATGAATTTAACAGATTCGGTTAAAAAGATCGAAAAAATTGATTATTATCATTACTTAGATCCCAAGAATATCTCCAAACAGCAAAGAGATCTTGTATATCAGCAAGCGTTACTGAATAAGACCAAAACTAATAACATACCAATAAATCGGCAAAAAAGCGATCCTTCTAGTTCCAATACAGCCTCTAAATCCAATAAATCACCTAATCATGCCATGCTATGTAGCGGAATTAAATCTGAAGCAACCCAGGTGAGGTTATCAAAGCTTAAGCTCTAGTTATATTTATAGTTTGATTTAATTTTTTGTAAATAAATGTACATCTATTACCTTATTTCCAATTCCTAAAATTTTAGTTTTGTATAAATAAAAGATGTGAACTGAGCGTATACATCAGAATATTAACTATCTTATGACACTGGTTACAGAAAAATGATTCAGTTAAACGAGAAAAATTAAGATGTTATTACTACAACCAATCACCTTTATTTTATCTTGCACCTGTGGCAACCGAAGAAATTAGTCTTGATCCCTTTATAGTTATTTATTATCATGTTATAAATGATCTTGACATAGAAATATTGAAAGAAATTGCAGCTACTCAGGTTTGACGCTAATTTTTCTAAATAAGATATCGGAAATTCGATTCTCTGGAATAAAAACAAGATAGCAGACTAATAGCCTAGTTATGTTTTCATTTTCTCCAATGTTAAAATCTATCAGTTAGATGTAGCAAGAATTCAACGCCAGGGCTTTCAAGGAGATTCCGAAATTGATAGTAGCAAGAGATTGGCCAAATTGTGAGTGATAAATGGCTTATTCAGTTTGTATTATTTTAATCTAGAATTGAGACATCTTGTTAGAATTATGGTATTCCAAAGTGGTCTACATTTATAACTTATCAAGCTATTGTGTTCAATAATCATCGTCTTTTAATATATTGTACCGTTTATTGTAATAGCCTAAATTTCAAATGCTTAGCAGTTATAACATAATCTGCTCGATTACTATCTAGTATAAGTCTTAAAGTATATATATCTTAGGTTCTCTTAAGATATATTTATTCAAATGCACATAGAATTATTTGTAATGTAGGCTACTACTTATCTATACTGTAATTGTTTGCAAATATGCTTGTTTGCAGTAATGAATATTTTTAAATTGTACCTGTCTCACGGTTGATCTAATGGCTTCCCATTAGCGTCGTTAGCTATATCTATATGTGATTGCAGCATTCGATATTTTTAATATTAGCCTAGTGAATAATTTTTAATACGAAAGATGGGGATCGATCGAGCTGCGTTTGAGTAATCATCTTCGATTATTTTCAATTACAGTAAATGATATGTTTGATAAAATATATTATCAAAATGATTATCCATTGGACAATTTATGTTATTATTCTCTTAATGGTCACTTTAAAGTATGTTTTGCACTACTCCTGACACGCATAAGTATTTTTTGTTGTAGTACATGGCTAGAAGACGCTTATGATCCAGTAGTAGAAAAAATATCCAGGCTAACACAGGAACTAACCCATTTGGATGTAAATTACGCAGAAGATTTACAGGTCGCAAATTATGGCATTGGTGGACATTATGTACCACATTATGATTCGACCATAATTGCAGTTAAGTTATTCTTTTTATAAGTTCAAATTTGTAGCCTTTAAATTAAGAATAAATGATAACGCTGTGAATTTTTTATAGTAATCAAATTTAGCACTAGGTTGAATCATTTTGTTATAAACGATCACAGTCTGTATTATAAAATATATTTGCATATCGAATTTTAGCCAGAAGATCCACTTCAAAGATTAGCTACGATGATGTTTTATGTAAGCTGAGATGATAATATACTAGTATTGTCTGTTTATGGGTTTATAATTATGGATTATTGCACCCTACGGATGACTTTATCGAACATCTAATGTCCATTGCCTACTTGACAGCTCAGTAACGTCGAGATTGGTGGCGCTACTATATTTCCACGACTTGGGGTAGCAGTACGGCCTCAAAAAGTAAGATATAAGTGTAGTATACTATACGAGTATGTACATACAAATTAACGTGCTAAACTTATTATGTCACCAATACAGCATAAAAAATAACTATTTTAATCGAAACGATCGAATTATCGCAGAAATAGATTATAGTTTCTGCAATATCTACAAATACTCATTTTATTATGGCTAAACATTCAGGATCCAATATGAATTGAATAACTTCGTCTATGAATGCATATTCAGTCAGTTGAAATAGAATTAATTGTAATTATAAATGTACCGATACTAATTAACGGTATATTTATCTATCTCTTTCATCTCTAGAAATTAAAAGTAGAGTAGCTGGTGATTGTATATTACAGACGTAAAGAGTAGAGTAGTCGTTGTAGTGCAACTCGTATAAGAGACGAAATATTATCCTAAGTGTTAACAGAGTACGGTAGATTTTAAAATTCCTAATGCAGTATTTTAGAAATTGTTTGACTCATATTGAATATTCGTGATTCAGAATTATCTCACGTCTAGCATTTTATAAGCTATACATAAGGGTTGCGCATATCATTTATATAAGAACAGTTAGCTAAACCCATTCATAAAATTGTATGGCACTATGCCGAAGAATGCAAGCGTATTTACTCATCAGTCTGTCTCCAAATCATGAGAGAATATTAGTATTATGGAAGATGAAAAGATTATAGCATTAAAATAAACTAAAAAAAGTTTTTACAGGAACTAAGAGTCATTGAATTAACTCAATATTGCCTAGGGGAGCGCATTATTCTGGATAAATTTGAAACGTAATGGGTTGACCAATCGGCAAACTCTTCATGCAGCTTGTCCGGTAGTTATAGGATCGAAATGGAGTGAGTGTTATCACTTATTATATTGCAAATTTACTTTCGAGGTGCAGCATAAGCTTATAATGATTTTTAATATTTGATTGTAATAGTCGCGAATAAATGGATTATTACGAGCGGTCAAGAATTTCGCTATCCATGCAGTCTTCATTCCGACGAATAATATGAATAAACTGTCAATGAAAGTCAATGGTTCTTATGGATCTAATTTGTATGAAATAAAAATTTTACCAAAGCTCAACATATCGATCAGCGTTTAATTTATTTCGAATTTTTTGTCCATTATAGCATAAACTTTGATATTGACTTACCGAGATTGTGTGCTATAGTGGAAATGATCATTTCAATACTATTCTGCCTTTCATTGCATTAGTCACACTATTTATGACAAATAGCATCTTGATAGCCTAAGATGGCTAAATTTGAAAGTTTTGTCTATATTACCCACGATTCAGATGATAAGACTAAAACTAATTGCTTAAAATTGCCATGAAAACCACGGAAAGCCTTAAGTTATCTCTTACATAATTGATAAAAGCTTGTAGTACTATCTCTAGCTAATGCTAGAAGGGATGATGTGATAATAATTGATCTTCAATGATTATTTATTCTAGCTCTCGTGTTAATTATAATTAATGAATATGAATTATTAATCGTTATCTATGTCTAATATGTTATTATTTTTAAGGATGACCATGCTTTTAACTACAGTATTTTATAGATTATTCTTTAACCGTTATCGCAATAGATATTTCGTGACATTTAAACGTCACAGGTTTACTGGCATTGGTTAAATTTTTAATTTTCATAGTAGATCACGATATGTTTAGGTATTTTGATTAGAAATTTACAAAGTGTTCCTAATACTTAAAGGGTAAATCGTCACAGATCGAATCCGTAAGAAATTACTTCATAAGTCTTTTAGTTGTTTCTTCAAAATCAGCAATTATGCCGTTGTGGAAATAAATTTATTCATGATCAATATACGATTGTCTATATACGACATTATTTGATAAATCTATTACTGCAATATTTAGAAACGTAGCCAACATTTAGCACGTTACTAATATTTAAAAATTTATTACAAGGCCCAGGATATTTGCAGTAAGTAAAATTCCTATTATTGCCAGCTAACATCAAGAGTCAATATTGACACTTATTTATTTTAAGAAATTGATTAAAGTGCACCTGTTTTCATCCATATAAGTGATGAAAAGAATAATAATCTCTGACTTGTACTTATAGATACTCAGACAAATTTATTATACCTACTATATTTAACTCATCTCGTCTACCTCAACTTACATTTACTGGTTAACCAAGTTAATTTGCCTTCGTATTGTATCGTTTAAATCAAGAATGTTAGTTATTATTCTTAAGACTCATGAATAATTAAATTTCTAATATCAATCTGGGAATTCTCAGACTGAAAGAAATAGTTCGAAAGTCGACAATTGATCTCTCGTGTAGTTTATCTAGTCACCGTATAAATTAGGCCCTTATCTATTGAATTCTTTATTTTAATACATCAAGGGTGTTATATCTAGTAAATCAGTCATTAAATAAGCAGAATCTAGGTAAGTTTATGGTCTTGAATAACTAGTTTGAGATTAATTGAGGCTAATGACGAGCAATGCTCATTGCCGTCTGGATATATCAGCTATTTCCTTAAAAGAATTTTGGTTTCGGCAAATGAAATATGAAATAGTCCTTGATAATTCGTATTTAATTGTCTGATACCCTGTTTAAAGCAATTGCTACGTAAAATAATAGTCTACTCCTGCACGTGTTTTTAAAATTATTACTACAATGAATAGGGCGATTCTATTTCTATCTTACTCAGAGTGCCTGAGAGTTTGTACTAATGTAGGCTACATTGAATCTTTCAAGCAACATTTTGTATTGTATAATTTAAGTATTAGTAACTATTGATCATTGCATATATCGCTCATCGATGCTTGTACAAATATCGATATTAGGGCTTGATTTTAACTTTCTGATCCATTTATTAAGTAATAGAAACTTACAGTGATGCTCAAATTTGCCTTACTGCTAATATTTTTTCTTCTCGGTAAGTCATCATCATGTACGATGGTTAATTGGTAATATGCAGTAATTCTTTAATTTTAAAGGAACAGTATCCAAATTTCGCAGAAGCAATTATGGAATTCTACTTCTAAAAAACCATAAGATACAGTAGATGTCATGATTAATTACACTACGAGAGTAATCAAATTGTAAGATTAACAGACGATTTAGTAAAAATTAATTTAAGCAGCTATCAAATTGAAATAATTTTTAACCAAGTTACAGTTTTAACTACAGCAGCTCAAGCACAGAATTGTACAACATGATACGATTTCGTATACTGCAATCAAATATTCATTTCGAAATTTATATGGAATTAAAACTATATCTTTTGAATAATAAAGTAAATTACTTGGATATCTTATGCCTTTTAGAACACTACGGTGCGAATTTATTTGCATATGTTTATTCCTTGCTTACAGTAACAGAAAATATTAAAAATATAAGACATTTAATCCTTCATTATTACCCGTATGCAATTTTAGAACAGTGCAATATTATTTCAGGTTCTAGTTATAATTTGGAGCGAATTGTGATTGTAGGAATATCTATCCGTAGACTGATTGATACTTTACAAATTTTGCATATTTTACAGCTTACAATACGATTCTTTTAACACTTCTTCTATTAACTAGCAAATATCCAATTTCATGGTATCTGGGGTGATAATGTACGCTCCATTGATGATATGGATAAACTACTAAAAATGGAAAAAACGCTGTATAGTTCCTTAAAGAGCTACGTTCAAATGGAGAAACAACGATTGAATAAAATTTCCGACCTTTACCAAGAAATTACTGACGGTGTTAATGGAACTAATTTACCTCACCATGATCATGCAAAGCATCCACTGGCTATATATCTATTAATTAAACGCTTTCTTATTACGTGGAAAAACATTGAGATAGTTATGAATGAAGACTTGGGGAAAGGCTAGTATACGGAGTGTTTCTATCGGTGATCGAGTACATTTTTTGAAAACTTATAAGCCGGTTATAACATATAATTCTCTATTTTCGTATCTTAGAACTCTCTAGCACCTACAAAAATCTTCAGGATTATTTTCCTGAAGAGAAGGATTTAAATGAAACTGCAAATGCAATACTAAGGCTGCAGGAAGTTTACGACCTAACCGAAGAGAATTTAGCAAATGGAAAGATTGCAGGAATAAAAAATGCTATTAACAGTTTAAACTGGAAAGATTGCCTGTTAATTAGTCAAGTTGCTGAATCGAATGGACTCTTTAATCGATCATGTCGTTGGGCTCAGCAAGCATTATATCAATTACCACTACAAGAATATAATGACACAAACTTTCCAGTACATGACCTTAAAACTGTTTTAAAGCGTATAATTACAATCTTCTATACGGTAAGGCAAAATTCTTGATTACAAATATTGTTACATCATTGTCACTTTCCTGCTCTACATCGTCTACTTATAAAATAACTTGACCAAATGTAACTTTTCATCTAAAGAAACGCTGAAATTTATGACCTATAGTAGTGAAACTTGCATCAATCTTAAAGAAAGCACTGAAATTCTACAGGCTGCTTAGTAAAAATGTTTTATTTTTCACAAGGTTTACATCAGTATTTTCATATGTCATACCCTGATACTCGTATAGATATTCGAGCAGTTCTAGAAAGCTCTACAAGGTTGCTTAATAACACTATTTTAGTTATCGATCATTCTTAGATGTCCCTACGATCTATTTCAAAGTAATGTCAAGAAAATTAGCTGATGATTCGGTACTGCTTTACGATATATAGACCACAGCTAGAAATCGATCAGTTCATGATGCTCTAGGCCATGGACTGATTGCGTCAGAGTATCACGATGATATTTAATATTTTTACCAGACACTTGCTATTTTGCTCTCATTGTTAAATGTGATAAAAAAATCATCAGAGAATTACGTTTCATGACATCCGTTATTCTTTATTAGACTGGTCAAACCAGAGAAGCTAGAATGTATATCCAGAAATTACTTCGTCTTGGTGAGTAATACATGACCGACATCTACATACTGGATATCTAAATCTGGACAGTAAATAAAAGAACCTATGACTGACTCAAACAATTTTTATATAAAAACTATTCGTATGGATCAAGATCTCGTTTATCTGACAGTTTATATCAAAAAAAGTAAAAAATTCTTTCAATTTCAATAGACAGAAAATTGCTGAGTAGTAGATGTCGTTAAATTTAGGTCAAAATAAAATATTTATTTATGGTAAAGGAAGTTACTTATATGGGTTATAAAACTATAATCCTATTATGAGAACCTATGTCAAATTTTAAAAACCATTTCAGTCGGTAAAGGAAATTATTTACTTACAAGTCTCTATTACCTGCAGTATATCAAGAGAATTAAAATTGTTTGTCTATAATATAGTATATCGAAAGAGTTCATGTTGATACAGTACATATCAAATATCACTACATATTCGAAACTATAAACCGTGATTTGATTCAAATCACGACTAAGATTGAAGCAGCTAGGAATTGCTTACTCAATTTTTAAATCTTCAGTGCCTTTGAAGTATTTCAACGCTTGTGAAGTAGATAATAAAGATTAGAATTTTAGAAAATTGTTTTATGTACGGTACTTTTATACGACGCTACTAGCTGCTATATTAACAGTAAATTAAGAAGCGTATTATTTTATTCCATTTCTGCCATATGGACAATTATTATCGAATGTCAGATCCTAAAGACGAATTTATCGTAAAGAATATCCAGATTTCCATGTTATCAAGAAAGAAAAAGGGATCTAAAACGCGGACTGTCCTTAAGACGTTGAAGGTCATGGATAATGCTTCTCTTGTTAATCAACAAGCTACTGCACGTTATCAAAAAATTCGAGAGCTATGTATAGGCAATGAGGTATGGAAAGTTGTAAAGAATAAATTACATTTTTTATTCTACGTATGCTTCTCGCTTTGATCTAAAATGTGGGGCAAAATGTTATCATTTTATTATGGTGTCATTTTACTATGCAATTCTTAATATTTTATGTATATCTCATCATGTTTTAGAATCTGCCAGCTAAATCGAGTGGTCATCATCTGAAATGTTATTACTTTTATCCGTCATCGAAGACAAGATTTATGCCATATGCTATAGAAGAAATGAGCCGTGATCCTCTAATTATTCTGTACCATAATCTAACTAGTAATGCTGAAATGGAGTCTCTAAAGGCACTAGCAGCGAAACAGGTAATTAATTAAATTTATAATACTGTAAGTCATACATAGTTGTACAGAAATAGTTATTATGATCATAAGCTTTGGGCTACGCATAGTTATTTTCACATGATAATTATTTATTCTGCGATGAGTTTGAGATAGAACACTTAGGTTATGATTGGAGATATATTGTGTGATATATACATATATATAAGCCAATAGCAGGATATCCTGTAGCCTAATTCATTTAGCTATATATATATCTAATTGATTAAGATCATTCTTTGTGAATTCTATATCGTGACTGGATATCCGTATTTTTAATACGATAGCTCCAACCAGCTGGTGTATATCACACAACTTCAGCGGATAACCGGAATCTAGAAGGCTATACAAGAATTGCTAAAATGTAAGTTTAGGGTAAATTTCCTACATTCGTACTTTAGAAGACGACATATTTATTGTAAGACTGGAACTTTTCCTATATCTTGTCGTTTTTCATACATGTACGGTAATTTCATAAAATTTCATGCTTATTATATCTATCTGTCGATTTTGTTATGGCCAGAAATATTACGAGAATAAGTTAGATAGGCCATGTATAAATTTCTGTGGTATTTATAGGTAGTGACTAAATTAGATAAAGTGTAATTCATTTACTGAAATATATATACTCTGATGAAAAATTTATACTATCATGACAAGGGCTTTTATTTTGGACGAAGAAAGTGCTGTCGCATCTGCAATTACTCAACGTTTGCAAGATGTAACAGGACTAAATATGAACTTTTCCGAACCATTGCAAGTAAGAGAATATAATGCTGAAATTGTAATAGATTTTAAATGTTTCTAATATCAAGAATGAAATCAAAATAAATTAGGTTATTAATTATGGAATAGCTGGCCAATATACACCTCACTATGATACCTTTCCAGCTAAGGTATACATGTTTCACCCTTATAATAAAACTACAATTATTTCATAATCATGGCCTTTTATCTTCAAGATATGAATGTAAAACCTGTTAATATGAGTACGACTTAAAATTCTGAGTATATTTATGAGTTTACTGCTTATCAAAGATTCTTAGAAGAGTAGAAAAAAGGTGTAACATGCGGATAATCATCTAAAAATAGATAACATTTAGGAGTAACCTGAATAGTATTCGCCATTCATTTATGACTGCTTACGCATTCGAGGTCGATAAATAGTATCTATATATATTTTTAAGAATTTTTACACTTTGAAGGCTATTTAGCGATAGGCTATCTGTTGGATTTTTTGCCTTTGTTACAGTAGTAGTAAATCGATCTTCTTGTTATCATTTCTCAGTCTGGCGATAGATCGCACCCTAGCCATGATCGATTAGCAACGGCGATCCTTTATGTAAGTTCATCACCCAAAGAAACAAATGCATGCTCTTACAATGTTTCATTAGCATATTGATACGGATAAAATGTTCAAATGCAATGATATTTAACTGTTTTGTATTAAATTGTCTTTAGCTAAGCGACGTGGAACGTGGCGGAGCCACTGTATTTACTAATATTAACGTTAGAGTACTGCCACGCAAGGTTAAAATAAACTCTAAAGTTACAAAAATTATATGCAAATTTTAAAGATTAGAATGATTGTCATAAAATCTGTTTATAAATATTTAGCTAATTCGGTAGCGGATGGATATAAATTGATAAGATTTGTTATCCTTCTTTAAACTTCAAATGTTACTCTAACAGTCGGTTCTTCGTATATTAGAATAATCTCTCATTTAGAGTGATACATTCCGATTAATCCTTGGCTTGTAATTTTAATTCTTTATGCAGTATATCTATATTAATTTATTAATGATCATGTTACTTTAGGGTAATGTCATCATATGGTATAATTATTTGCCAGATGGAAATTTACATCCTGGAACTCTTCATGCTGGTTGCCCTGTATTAGTCGGGTCGAAATGGAGTGAGTTATGAATAAATAAGCTGTTCTGTTATCAGTAATGTAGATTTTCTGTTTGATATCCTACTCGATCTTGTTTACTGTAATATAGTATTCATTACAGCTTAGTAAGTCGACCATGCTATATTAAATACGAAGTGTCTACGATTATTTAGCAAGAGTCTGACTCTTAGCTATAAACCTGAGCCTGGAAAAATGATTATGTTTCTAATATGATACTTTCACTAAATTAATATTTACGAGTATAATTTTTGCGTTTGACAAATGATGAAAAAGAATAAATTTATTTTTCGATAGCTATCACTGAATTATCGATTAAGTTTAAGTTATATCACTTGCAGTTGCCAATAAGTGGATCCAAAGTAAAGGTCAGATGCTGCAGTCGCCTCGTAATGGTGGTTAAAGATATGTTTTACTTTCTTTAAAGAACGACAGCCAATAATGTTGCGGTAAACCTTTCAAGCAAATATTACCTAATCTGTAAAGATTCTCTGATAAGATACTGCACGCATGAATAACTAGAATATTAAATAAAATTTAAAGAAGGCCGCTAGTTCTGAGCTTATTAGCTAGCATTTCATTGTAAGAGTGCTATCGATTGGTTATTAAAATTGCTTGATATCAATTCGCAATACGGTAGCAATAAATGATTATGGAAATAAGACTCACAAGCGACGGAATTGTCCTTTAATAAAATTTCCAAAAAGTTCAACTTGCATTCGAACTGCAATATTATAGTACCTACTGTGTGTAGTATAATAAATGAACACTACTGCAATGATGTGTCCATACTGATTAATTATTTTTTATTGGCATATTTATACTACTTACATAATGTATTAATAATTTGCTAGTTAGCAAATTTTAGCCAGAATATACTAGCAGAGATTTAATAGATATTAATAAGTAGATGAAAAATTACGATACTTCATTTTGAATATAGATATAATAGCCCCAAAGTATAAAAATAGAAACAATTTACAGTGCGTTGATGCTATCTCAGTTAATATTCTGAAATGTAGTTCAACTGTGGCAATTACACATCGGGTAAAAGCATCGAACAGCGAGGAGTATAGTATATTACGATGATACTTTCGTGCTCAAAGAACTCTTCGATAAAATTTCATTTTGAATAACAAAGCATTACAATCTTCACCATATGGATTATTACATACAGCAAATATCATCTGATCTGAATTATTACCATAATATTTAACAAAATTATAAATTTTAAATACATTAAATTAAAGCTTTACGTAGTAGTTTCTTAATAATATTCACAATCATAAAGAAATTCCTAATATTCTACTACAAGGTAAGTAAAATTTACAATAAAATGAATTTAGGCAACATATTCTTAATGAATCGTTACAAATACTCTCTTATAATATAAATAAAATGCAATTAAAAGCCATAATGAAGTAGCCATTAAATCTCGAAAGAGTTGTTCAGAATGAGTATTATTTGTTAGCCAATAGAAAGGAAAGTAATTACGCAGAACAATATGACCACAGTAGAGGACAATCGAATTAAATCCTAGATAAACCATTAATAAAGAGGAAAAAGCTTAAAATTACTTCTAAAAACTTTCAGAGTGCGATTACTGAATCATAGTTTTTGCTTGCAAATCTTTCTAACCTCCATAAATGATTGGATTTCCATGCCACCAAGACATGACATCAATCAGAAGATATAACATCATGAGAACAAAGTATGCTAATCCACCAAGTAACGTGATATAGGATAACGACCTAAATTTTAAGCATATGAATAGTACTTAGTACTACATAAAGCTCTGTATCACAACTGTAGAATAATATAGAGTTATTTATTCATGATTTTAAATATCGCTACTGCTGATTTGAAATATCTTACCATAAGTTCCGATTAAGCGGAATAAATCCCATATTTTGTTTCCCTCCGCAAAGAGCAACACCTGTGGCTACCTGGATGAATTTGTACAGAAATTAAATGCATAATTAAAAGATAAACCGGAAGTAAAATGAGATATTGCTTTTAATAACTATTAAATCTAAGATTTAATAATCAAATGCTGTACCCATAACACGCCCCAAAATAGCCATCTCTTAAATCGTTCTTTATGACCTTTGTTGTATGTGGTTATGATTAAGCCGGCCTATTTTGTTGATAAAATAGGATAATAGTGCGGTACAAAGAAAGTGTATTATGTTATCCATTTTACAGCTTTTATTAAATGAACACAGTATACTGTAAATATAAGGATCGAAAACGAACAATAATGCGAACCTGAAGACCCATAAAGCAAGTTAAAATTGACGTTAGTGTACTCAGACATCCTTCTGAATCAAACGGCATGTGCGTTCGATAAAGGACCTTGCATGATGGATTTGCGTCTAGGTGGTTACCAAATATAAAACGATCAATGTAACCTGTCGCACCACCAGTACAATTATAGTGATTGGCGTCATCAGAAAGTCCACCGGGTCCAAAGTATCCGCTTTAGTAATACGAGTATATGAATTTTTAGCATCAGAATATTAATAATTCGTTAAACTACGCAACACATCATATGAAAAGTTGATAAATTAATTAGCATGAAATCCGTTAAAGAATCTCTATAAATTAACAATCAATCTAGTTAGCCACGTACGTTGGGCAACCTGGAACAGGGAGAGCAAAAATTAATGATAAATAAATAGATAATAGTCCAATCATGCCAATCCAGATTTTCCATATACAAACTATCTCTCGAATGGCTCGTAAATTCTAAAAATTACCAAATATTAACATATATTAATAAAATAGTAACAAATCTTTGTTAAAGATAATATTATGATCGTTTTATACTTACAGTTATGGTATCGGGAGGCTTAGCCAAATAGAGAACTGATAGAGACACTACTATGTAAGAAATAGCAACTTTTTGTAAATTACCAGGGATTCTCCACGTAGATAGATTTACGCCGTCGTTCAAAAATAATCCAATAAGGAATAAAATAACCGATCTACTGAGAACTTTAAGTACTGCAGATGAAGGAGGCAATCTACTGGCTGTAATATAGCGATGATTATAGAAGGATAAGGCAATACAAATACCAACAATGAATATAAACCAAGGCAAAATAAGATCAGCAAATGTTAAGCCATTCCAAGGAGTAGATCTAAAATACCAGTAACCTCCACCACCAGAATTAACGAAAATCATAATTGTAATACAAAGTCTTCAGAGAGAAATGATTTTAATGATTAGACGTCCAACAAAATTAAAAAAATCTAGAGATTTTCTTTACTAATTTATTTACCCCCTAAAAGCATCGACGGCATAAATTCTTTGAGCCAGAGGGTGAATGGATTCTTCGCTAACGCGTGCTAATCTTCTGTCTATGTCATTAATATTCCCTAAATCTTCTGTAATTAAGCTCTCCGTTGAATGGTAAGCTGAACAACTACGATTTCTATGAAATTCATATGAAGACGTAATGTTAGAATACTTTTATTGCTTTTAATCGATGTTGTCATTGTTTGAGATGAAACCGCTATGTTTTATTTCGATATTTATTGTACTACTTTAATAGGTAACAGTATGCAAACTACAATTCGACACATTAAACCGTACATAATTGTATTTTAAGTTATACCTATAGAGATAGTATATTAATTGCCAGAGTAATAAAGCAACGGCTAGAATAACTGCTCCAATGATAATTGGAAGCTGAGAGTAGTAAGAATCATGAATAGAATAGATGTTACATGAGCTGTTTCCGTTAGATCCATTTTGAAATATCACCATCACGTAAAGTCCATTTTTAACGTACTGGAATTGCTTACTAAAAATGAAAGAAAAAAGGAGACTCTAAGGTGATGGGGCACTTCTTTTCGACGATTAAACGATAAATTTCTTTGTAATTGCATCCTTTTCAATTAAAGTCTATTCACCATACTCTTTACCATTACTTAGCAATATGCAATCGGTTACAAAATATTTGATATTAAATTTGAAAAGAGTTGTCATTTATACTGTGGCACTACAGTACAGTATAATTAATTACTTTCTTCAATACACCACTACAGACAGTAACGAATAACATAGTATAACGTACATACCTGCAAATTACACTTTTATCCGTGGTATTGATGGCGGTTATCAAATAAGGAAAGTTAGTATCAATATAAACTGTCGTATTATGTTTATATTGAAGATTGGCGATGTTTTCTTCTTTACAGTTATAACATTCCGCCGATTTACCGTATAAAGCAACTTTACTGGGTAAGGTAGAATGGAGTGAAACATGTGCAAAATCAATAGAATCATTATAGCTCATTCCAAATCGTGATTGGAATGGAAAACTGTTCATCATTGACCAGAGGTCAGTTGTAAAAATAGCAATTTGTGGATTATCAGCATCGCCATAGACCAGAATTAATGACTTTGTGCGAAAGGAAAGGCCTATTATGCCAGTGCTTGCTCCATTTTCAAGATTGATGGTTACATTCCAAACCATATCACCTAATTGAAGAACAAAAATTGAAACGGTTGAGACATTTAAAATTGCTAGTAACATATAAGCTGACAGCAGGTTCAATATTGCTAATAGTAAATGAGTCACTACAATTTATGTTATCAGTTTTTTTAAGTTACAATAGAGATTGATCCATATCTACAGTTGTGACTTTATTACATCATAATGGAAGCAATTACTGTGAGCAATTATTGTATTGATTAATTATATTATTATGGCTTATAACTTAATAGGTCAATACGAGTAGATACTATAGTATATCCTTTTCAATCAGATAGCAGGATAAGGTTTGTTATTGTATTTTATGCTTAAAGATACTGGAGTACATTTTATGTGAGAGTATTGTAAGTTAGCCATAATAGCTGAGTAATAGGTAAGAAAGGTTGATAGAGCAACCAAAAGTAGCGTTTGCACTTGCTAGCAGTCCATCCGAAACTAATTAATTAATTGATCAATTCATTAATTGAAATTGCTACCTTTTGCATATACATTTTAATGGTAGATAAAATTTATTTACACCTGTATTACTATAAATTAACGTAACTGCTATACTAGATCGGTAACAAGTGCATAAACTAGTAGAAAGCCTATTAAAAAAAGTTTCAATTCAGTAGTTTATGACCATAAGTTTTAATTTGTCTGATGAACGAGTACATTACATTACATTATATAATAGTGTTAATTTTCTCTATAATCAAACACCAGTTGAATATATAATTATTGAGTGGTAAACGCTTGATAGATATACAGTACAGAGTACAATACCATTTTTGGATATTTGATAATACTATTTTGATATTTTGAAAATTTTTTCTATCTTATTTGCTATGTTATGACTGTGTTTTGCGGTCGAAAAATGAATCATACTTAAGCATTTTATTATCGTTGGCATCCGGCAGTCGATGCTACTGGCTATAAATTTACAAATATGTCAAAGGATTCGACCGTAAATCTCTATAACAATGATCTATACTCCTCGCAAAATGATGATGCTATTATGGTAGAACTTGATAACATTGTGACCTATCTGTACTCTACTTTAACCAACGGAATTGTGATATAGTGTACGTGTGTGATGATATCTGGAGTAGCTAGCATAGACTACATACGCGTATAGTACATTAGTAATGGAAAAGATCTAGGGTAATCAATCATGTGTTGGCAGCTTTGAAATGTCTAGAGATGATAATTAAGTAAACATTGCTTTAGTCCAAATCTTTTGTCAATCATTACCTGGAATAATCCAGTCATCAACCCCATCTCCAGGATTTACATGGCCTTTTTTGAAGCAATGATTGCTTTGGAAAGATGTATTGAAACCAATTTGAGGGTATAAATAATTTCCAATTTCGATATTGATGTCGGGCGATGTACACTTGACATTATCATCCACTGTTGAAGTTGTTTATATACGCGTAATACGTGTATTTTAGTTTAGTTTATAAGGAATAGAAAAGAAGATTTGAATTATTATTTTAAAGCAAGAAAGAATACTAATACTAATTTTGAAGTCATTTTGAGAAAGAATTCGTACTATGACAACGGCCATTACTGCTAAAATAAACGGATAGTTTAAACTTGAAATTTTTCTTCACTACAACTACGGTCAAGTGTGCCTAATGCGTAGAGCCTTAGCTGAACTGATTGCATAGTTCAATACAGTAAACATGACCTAATGGAGTACAAAAGAAAAAGTGTAAAATCAAGTTTCAACTGGGAAATACTTTATTTTCTAGCAATCGATCCTCTATGTATTACTGCTTTTCCTTTGTAAACTGATGATATTGTAGATTTTAACTTACTAAAGTACATATAATATGATTGAATGACAGTGACAGAGGAAAATTCTTCCGGCATCGTAGTCCGTTTGACTCTATTCGCCCTTCTCACGTCATGCAGTCGAAGCTCATTTCATGACGGTCAATAGTACTTCAAAGTTAGACTTACCATTAGAATTTTGCGGATGGAGAAGTTGCTGGCAATAGCAAGAAAGGATACAGTGAAGAATGAAGAAAACGACGTCCGTTTTCAACATATCGAAGACATTGGTCGATTTGAAAACAGTCCAAGTTGGATGCAAAAGTATGAGTATGAGGAATGTGGGCCAGTCCTGTCGTCGTTTTCAAAACAAAAACAAACTTTTTGAAAATGGAGTTTGTACTGTACACGCCGCTGTACTGTAGTACAGTACATTGTGCCACCACAGACTATCATGGACTACTATAGGATAAGTACAGTACTAACGTGGCCACACTAGGGTCTCCAGTTGTTGCTGACTGAACGGTAGACGGTTCAAAGTCTATAGGCCGTGTTGCCGGTGTTATACACCTCTAGTCTAGGAACACTGTACTGTACAGTACATGTATATAAAGTAAAGTATACAGTACAGTACAGTAACTACGCAGCTGCAATGAAAAATATGCATAAATTACAGTACCGTACTGTACTGTACTGTACTGTACAGTACTGTACTGTACACTGCACAGCAGTTGACGGATTCTCCATACTGTACACTGTACACTGTACAATTGGGTACTCAGATCAAATATTCCCAAATGGTTTACCTTCACATCCAGTTGTCCTTGCTTTTGCCTATTACCATGGAATCTGCAACTTGATCTTAGGTAGAATATTCCAAGACTGCGTAACGATATCATGGCTTCAGCCAGTAGGAAAAGAAGTTGGAAAAATGCCAATGTACAGGCTGGTGATTACTGGAAAAAGAGCAAGCGAATGGCCGCTTTGGAACCGAACCATCCTTCTGTCAGTTCCTATATGTACTTTGGTGTCAATACAATATTTCGCCAAGTATGGCAGGAGATACTGCAGACCAATTTAACATTCGGTTAGCGCTACGCCTGTACTTCCACTTGTTAATAGTCCACTACAGTAGATGATATAATACAACTGTTTCAAGTATTTCTAGTCAAATGCTAGCGGAAAATGGCAAATTTTACGCTCAAGTGTACTGCATAGTAGTCATCATCCATGATATCAATATAGTACATTGCTATCATCAAGTAAATAAAATCGAGGATAAAGCTCAATGATATCGATCAATACAACGTGTATGGGTACCATTATCCTGTATACTATGCTATCAATGTTTTTCAATAAATGATAAAATACTTAGCGTGGTCACTTTGCAACATGGACATAAAACAAAACTCACCTTCTTATTGATGATGTTAGATAATATGAAATCCATCGCCCGAAAACATCTCCATTATTTAGCTACTGCAATCTTGCATTGTCTACTTGCACACCGTTTAACTTTGGCCAAAGATATGATTAGTGTATTATGCAAAAAATTCGACACGGTTCCTGAATTAGTGTGGAAGGTAAGTTTCGTGCTACTTGTAACCATCAATTTTTACGCATCACTTCTCATGAATTATTATGCAATAAATCATGAATTATTCCAAGACATGCTCGATATGATGCAGTCTTTCTTACAAGAATTAAACAGTATTCTAAAATGATATCAAATTATATTCTAATTTTATACTCGAAATAAAGTGTCGCGCTACGATAAATCTCGATGACCTGCAGTATTTTAGATATCAGATATACATGCATCTGCTTGTTGCACATATTAAATTTTCTCATGATGGAATTAAAACTATGCAACTGTAAATACTGTACTGTAAAGTAAATGGTGAAAGACAATGTATGCAAAGTCTAATATATCAAATCTGAACTATAGTACTTATGTAGTGATAGAGCTCATACTGCATATAGCTGAAAAGATGAGTGAAAGAATGAGAAAGCATACGTGTGCAATAATTAGAATTATCCAATGGAAGGCCTCCATGATTGCCTTTTACAGTGCTACATTCCTTAAAGACTGCTAGGATACCTTGATTTGCTTATTAATCTGTAATTTTACCTATGCAATCTGTATTACTTCCATAATCAGAATTATTTTATATTTCTATAGACAGGAATGGAAGTCTTGGATGATAATAATCCTTATTATGCAATGCGCTGTACAAGATTTCATAAAGCCGTTGGTGACCTTCTTCAGTACTACTTTGTAAGATTTGGACACAACTTCGCGTTTACATGTAAACTATTCTCTGACTCAATAATGTAGACAGGATTGATTGCGTTACAGTAAGACATAGCCATCAAGTTATGTACGACCTTACTCAGAAAACTTGGCTGCCAATGTTTCAATACGTACCTCAATCAAATGTTGATGTTATCTATTAAACATTCAGTTCGATTGTAGGCATACGAGTAAACCTCATGCTTAGCTGCTCTACTATATAACGTACACGTACACGGCAGATTGCTGATTGCTAGTTTTACTAGTGCTTCTATTTTGTATGATTGTGTAATGCAATCAGGTCTGCTCAGTGCTCACCAGAGTGCTGCTCACTGCCTGGCTTGTTAATCTATGAGCTAGCTCAGCTTAGTCAGACGGTGAACAAAAAATAATAATATTCCATGAGTAGGATATTTAGTAATTTAGGCTTAGCATTGGTGGCTTTCTACAATTTATTAAGACTTAGTAAAATATATTTTATCGCTTACATAGTATGATATTGTAACAAATTTGCCATTAACATTGGTATTGGCAACTCTATTTCATCAAGTCTTACTAAAACTTTCTTTCTTTACTATACGATTGCAAAATAGCCAAGCGAATTGGTCATAGACTCTGTGTCCTACTATGTTAGGAAGCAGCGTTTGAATGAAGCTGAAAGCTTGATTATCAGGTCGCTTACATGTATCCGATTTGTCTCGATTTTGTATTAGATCAACCTTAGAAGTTTAAATAATACACATTACATCATGATGTGCCTATTTGCAGTTTGATAAAATCATGTAATAGTACAATGGTTCTAGTTAATCATCAAAAGTTTCTAACTGGTTGTTAATACGCCATTTTACTCCATGAATCCGTTTAATTCAGTAAAGTAAACGTAAGTCCGTATATGAAGGAACCCTTACTTCTGGCCCAGGCTGGCTACTTTCAGTACATTCAATGGAAGAAACAAGTAGCAAATCAAAGTAAAATACAGCTACATTACAATAAAAGGATACAATAACATCGCTTGATACGTATATGTTATTATCGCTGCTCCAATGGTTAATTATTTCATTATGAATCGAGATTGACTGTCTTTTTTTAATAGATAATGATGAGGTAGATAATTCAGATTCAGATGAAACTAGGGATTTAACCCACGAAGCTAGAATTGCTATCGACCATTTAAAAGGTTTGGTCGAGACCGAAGGTGTATGGGATGTGCATATTGCGATCTGCGCGGAGGTTACTACGCTTTACTAATCCTATTTGAAACAGTACTGTTTAACCCGTTACATCTAGTGTATCCTCATTGTTACTTATGTTTAGTAATTAATTATTGTGACAGCTTTTAGCATACTTTAATGACAAAAAATCTGCTAAGAAGTTACTAAAGAAATATCTTCAATGTCAACCAACTAATACTAATGCCTACAGGTTTCATAAATTACTATAATCTTAAAGCCATTGAATCTTTAGCAGCTTTGCTACTAAAGGCAATAACTTCATATAACATATATCTGCTACTGTTTAGATATTTGTATTACTTTCGAAAACGATATTACCCCAAAGAAGTCGTTAAAATTAGAAAAGTTCTCGCCGAATTAGCTAAATTTAACCCCTGCGATATCATGTGCTTGGATATTATCAATTATTCTAATTTTAAAGGTAGGGCTGACTGATTAAATTTTAATGTGATAAAAATAAAATTTCTTATCATCTTAGAATACTTGATAAAAAAGAGGTTTTTATTTTTATCACTCTAAGTTAAATCAAGCATCAAGGAAACATTATCAATCCTATTCGATCATCTGGATTACCATTCGTGCGCGTTGAATATTCAGCCTTGGAAGCTGTTAACTACATTTCTCACTAAAGTTGATCTCAGGTAAAATTTAATATTTTTGTATCCTCTATTTGCTTAAATAATTAAATAATCCTCAAATGGCTAGCTATCGGTTATTATGATGTATAGATTCATAATAGTTTATCTAAATAGTAGGTGTGATGAATGTTTGAATTTAATCTGGGAGGAAAGAAAGCTGTGGTGGCCAGAGTATCATTTTTCTGAAGATAGCTTGGACAAGGTATTGCAGGAAATTATTTGTATCTCAAGGATTTGAAATATAGAATAAGTTCGTTCTAATTGTCATTTAAATTTTAGATTGCTACACCGAGTAAAGATCCGGCGAAAGGTATACTTATACTATAATAAAATACTGTAGAACGATAAAGATATTCTCGATGAATTGTAATAACTTACCGAACACTGAGTGGCAAAAGTAGTCATGACTATGATGTTGCAGATGTAATAATTGTCTACGGTAATGTAAAAAACTTAATTGAGAGATAACTCTTACTGGTGGACTATTTTTTGTAGAGGAGACAAACTTTCATGTTATTGCTTATAAAGCTGCCGTTGCCATCTGGATTCTTGGGTCAGATAATAAATATACTGCTCGCGTCTATTCAATTATGAAATTACGGAACCTTAAAGAACTATCTTGCATGCTAGAAAAGTGTTTAGTATTGCACAGGGAGGATAACTAACTAATTTAAACTTACATTAACTTCTGTGTCTACGATTTTCTGCTAAAAATTTGAAATTTCTCATAGTTGTATTACTGTTAAATATTTTTACTCATAGATTTATTTACGTTTGAATGTATTGTAGGTACAGTACTGTGTATACCAATACTGTTCAGTTGTATATAAACGGTATAGTAGTACGATTTATAATCGAGATTTATTTGCTACAAAATATTGGTAATAACGTTGTTTAAACATCTTTATGTACAGTGACATATATATTTTTTGACGATATGTGTGTATAGTTTAATGGAAAATAATGACGATATATCAGGCACTGGGTTTTATGGTTACCATTGATAAAAATAAAAATATATCTAGATTTCGAAATAATGGACATGTTTCTATATCGTTATTCTATTTGACGTATGGAAACACATCATAAAAAACAATTATTGTCTGTACATATATCATGCTTTTTAAGCCAGATATCGCTTGAGCTATACAAGCCTAAATTAAATAACTACAAGAATTCCTTTAGGACGCGAACTCTACGCAAGTAAACCGCCTGGTAAGATGTCTACATGCATGCATTAATTAATACAACACCACTTTAATCTATTCGTATAGAGAGAGTAGTAAAGGTATTGGACATTGGTGCAATCATTAAATCAGTATACGACCTGCTACTTTATTTTAAGCGCTTGTTATTTCGCAAGCCTGATATCAACATTTATCAATCTCATTACAATACATTCACATATATTGGATTTAGATTATCAACCTCTTTAATCTACTACAGTTATTCAACTAATGCTTAATTAATACGACACATTAGCTAATACGCAAAAACAAGGCGATCTGTGTAATTAATAATGCAATAAGCCAAATTTTGTTATCCTACATCAACTGCTAACTAATTGTAGGTAAACAACGAAAATCGTAGTTGACTTGATAATTACTAATCGATCTTCCTAGGGCAACCATAACCTAATCATCTAGATTATGAAGTGACTATTTTTAGATCGTGTGAGAATATCTTCAGTTGTTTGCCTTCACTGTTTAGAGGTATTGTTTGACGTTAGAAATGATACCATTATGCAATATATGCCCTAAAATGTACAATTTTTTTTATCTTAATTTAGATAGTAGCGGTGGATTATAAGGCAAATAAAACATTATAAACAGCTTTGATTCGTTGACTACAGTAGAGCTAAATATAAATTATACTACGTACAGTACTATAGATTCAATAGAACGAGGTGCCGAGTTTGATTACGTATGCATAGCTAATTAGCTTCATTATATTTAGTATCAGCTTCAACCAATCATATGCCTCGAGTAAATGTATATATATATACCTGGTAGAAAAACATTTTTATCACTAACGATGGCTAAATTCAGTCTTCCCCAAGTACCCTTTCCGCCAGTTAACACTGAATGGAAAGGAGTACTGTCTTGGATTCCGATATGAAACGCTTACTTCGCTTCCTTCGATCGGCCTGGGATTCGTTCTAATCAATGGTGTATTTTTCGGGTGTTATACAATGTTGTACATTAATCTGTCAATACAACATGGAACAGATCACTGTCCTTTCAATCGGTTGTAGGTGGCTGCTTCACAGCGATTTCGCCGTCACTCAGCAGAGTGCTAAGAAATAGGAGCAGTTATCCCTATGACCACTCGCTACTATGCTTATCGCTTCGTTGCTCGCTCTTCTTGTGGCTGTGAAGTTGAGAAGTTTATAGTCAGTGATTGGTCAATTAGATGAATTGTCTAGTAGCTAATTCCTTTAGCTGATGGCAATTTGAGTTATGGTAAGGTAATAGCCGTGCACGATGGATACTAATTAATTTAATTTATTTTGTTGTACAGTAGGCTTTCTAAAGCCAAGTGAAGTCAATTTTTTATCTTTAACCAATATGATCAAAAAACATGATATGTAATGGATGATAACGTGGTAATGTATAATAATAGTAAGTTCAATAGATTCAACATGTCTTACATAGAGCATTCTGGATATACATTAGCAGTCAAATTGTTTTGCCATGGTTCACTGCTGTAACTGTACAATGACAATCTAATTACTCCAAATTAATTCCTTAACAGATATTTCAGCGACTTACAGTGAAATGTAGGCTATTTTAGGTAGTTATAACTCGTCAATTCTTAAGTAGATCTTCACTATGGTTAAAAGAAGACATATCTTCGTCAGATTGAATGTATTAATACACACAAGTATATGTCTTAATGCCATTATATATATACTAGTCAATCCTCATGCTCTACACTGTATCGTAATGATAGTTAGCGAATAGCAGTCACTTGTAACATTAAGTATTGTGAAATTATTTATTTGCCAAGCTACTATCTTTAATGTAGAATCTTTGTACTATTTTAGTGTGATTTTATAGCTGTGCTACTAACCCGCTTGTCACTTATATAATATAATTGGTCTAATAAAATAGATGCATAAACTTCAAGTCAATCTAATTTTTTTCCTCATACAGTATTAATAACTTGAGGTCTTGAGGTACTATACCTCTTCCAATTTTAAAATCTCTATGTTTAGTGAAATTTTGTTTCATCTTTGAAATTCGTTACCAATAAAATGAAAGTTCTTTGTATCGCTTTTATGCATTATTGGTCTTTCCTTTTCTCAGATATTTACAAGAGCTATAAAGTTGAAAATGTACAATATTATTATTTTAATACTATAGCAGTCTATTATAGTACTACAGCTGTGCCACTGATTGGTGATAACTTAACTAAAGGTTAGTTCTGCTATGCTGTTGTCACAGAATTGCTATAATACGCAATACTTTGCGAAATTTAATATATTTAAACATTCTTAAGTTAATCAGAATTAACATTAAAATCAAATTAACTCAGCTTTGTTACCGTATAGTTTAAGCCAATTTTATAGTTTTTCAAATATTCGATACACGAGTATAAAGTCAGTCTATGCGTATATAGCAAAGAAGGTATCATGTTAGTACTTGCATAAAAGCAAGATTTGAGAAATCAAGCTGTAAAATGTAGTTACATAATGAGACGTTCATAGCAGCTTTATACACGCTCACTAACGGAGTCCATTTGATAAAGCTTGCTGTTGCGTAAAAAATTCACTAATACTGAAAATTTTATGCATTTACAACGTATACTGAACTATTTTATCTGGAAGTACTGTTTTAGATATTTGGATTAAGCTTATATTCAAGATCACAGTATTATAATTGTATCAGACCAAAGAGTTGGTCGATCCTGTATTACATGCTGGGTCTGTCATATTACCTTATGCTGATTGAAATCGCAATGTAATATACTTGAATATGTCTATACGAGTAGTAATGACAATTAAGTATAGCGTACTTGTAGATGCTTTTAATTTTTCATTCATTGATATTTAATGATCCTATTACTTCTTGATGAACTGACTTGCAGCATAATGTTAGTTTTCACAAGTATAGAGGACAATTTTCTGGTTAAAATTAATGAGCTTTATTTTTTAATTCGTCATCATACACATCAAGATAATAACCGTCTACTCTATATCCAATTAATTACAAACATAAATAATAACAGCATTAAAACTACAGATAATTTTAATCTTATAACAAAATATAACAGTACGATCATCTCGCTGACAAGACTACGCTCGTCTGTTTATTCCCGAGAATGTTATGCAATGCAAGGTTAATTTTTGTAAAAAGATGTGATGTCATATCAAGGCCGTAGTTATAATATGCTCAGAATAATTATTAATTATTAATTGAGTAACAGAAAAAGAATTCTGTTATTCTATATTTGAAACGTACAACAGCTTCCCCTCAGATATCTGCTGAGGCGTTGTAATGTAAAATCTTTCTAGTTTACTATTAATTACTCTGCAGAGGCGATAAGCACAGTATGAAGTAAGATTAACAGTGAATTAAGTTTTGTGCTGCAAACTAACTGCTATTCAGACATGTAGAATATGAGTGGCATCGACAATGAATTAGTGACTACAAATTACGTCGTAACTGCTATTCTCACCAAGCTGATCATTTATTTCCCAAACGCACTAAATAAGTAGGATCGATGTTGAATTAAGTACTACAAATTGCGTTGCAAGTACTGTACTATTCTCGCTAAACTGGCCGTTCGTTCTTGACAGCGAATTATTTACTGCAAGTTTAACACTATAAATTACATCACAACTACTATTCTTACTAATATTATCACAGAGGCATTAAAGATCTTTTAAATTTACAATTAAATTATACTGCAACTCATTCCAAAGAAGTATCAGCATATTTACAGCCCAAAAAACTAATATAAATCATGCTATAATTGACTCTACTTTGGCAAAAGCATTGAACAAATCTTATCATGATACTTACCCATGCTGAAGTTGTTTACTACTGATGCTGTTTTAGTTGTAAAATCATCAATACTGTATTAACAACTTCAGATTTGATGGACCAATCACACTGTCCTTGGCCATTTCGGTTGCTTTAGATCCACATCAAGTGAATAGCAACCGCATGATAAGTCTAGTAGTAAGTGGTCATAGGGCCAGCCGCTCCTGTTTCTTAGCACTCTTCACGAGAGACGGCGAAATCGCTGCAGAAGAGCTGTCCTATAACCGGTTGAAAGGTCGATGATCTCCTCCATAGTGTAGCAACAGGCTCAATTCCACCCGCAATAAATACATCATTGATTGGAATTGAACATCTACCAATTGAAGGAAGCGTTTGCACGTAATGCTACGGAATCGAAGATAGCACCCTTTTCCAATCGCTACAAGCGAGAGGAAAAGGAGCTTGATGAAGATGAGAATCAAGCATAATCATCACCGCAATAGCTTTCAAGCAAGGATCTTACATTTGCTTTTATACGAGTACCGATTCGGTCTACTACAATTGTTGAGGTCACATCTGCCTATGATTGATCCTTTGCTATTATCAGGTCTTTGATTATGTTTATGTTTGTGCAGTACTGTATAATACGATTATCCTAGAGACCCTAGAGAGAAAGAGACCAGACAAGTCTTTGTTTAAAAAGTTTCCATAACTATTATAATTATAATTCATCGTATGTAAAACGTTCGAAAACGTTTCTACGACGTTGGCAGATTACTTACGGTGATATACTGATATTACATGGCCGTTACCATGACAATCGACATTGGTACTACACGATAATAGGTAATCTTTCTAAAAATAGTTCCATATATTAGCTTGTCGAATACGATACAATGGATTTATACCACCGTTTAGGCAGTGTTTAGGTGGTTGGTTATTGGCATATAAGAGATCAGGTAGCGGACAATACGCTACAGTTGCAATGACATCATCGCCTAAATTTTTCTAAAATTAGCCGAAAATCCTTTCCATCAATGGTTCGGTCGGCATTCAAGAAAGTATAAATGCAATCAAATTTTCTCGGTTGCTTTACATAACGATGATTGGACTAAGTCTTCGTCAAGCACCTTTTCCACCAGTTCAGTCTGAGTGGAAAAGAGTGCTTTCTTGGATTCCATGGGAACTCTCAATGTGCTTACTTCGCTTACTTCGAAATGACGATGGTTTTCTCTGACGAAGGGTGTATTGCTATCAGTAAGAACTTGCCTGTTAATACACTCTGGAGTCGATCAAAGTCTTTTCATCCGGTCGAAAGAACCTGCTCCACAGCGATTTCGCCGTCACTCTATGTGGGTGCTAAGAAATAGGAGCAGTTATTCTGGAGACCACTCGCTACTATATCTTTCACTTCGTTGCTATCCTAAATGTAATATCATTTTAGAGCAATGAAATTGAAAGGTGATAGTCAGTGATTGGTCACTAAAACGGACAGTTGAACGATGATAAAGTAGGTAAGGTATTGTCTAAATTATAGGAAGTTGAGTTTTTGGTTAAAAAATTACTTCACTATTGCTAGGATCGATGCCATAGCATTAAAGTAATGCACTAAGTTATAGCTATATAAGAATTCTAGAATTCTCGCATTGCATCTAATACTACAGCCACAAGACATTTGTCCTCGTCTCTAATACCAAAGTAAAAAGTGTTCTGTCATCTTTATACATATTCGTTATATTTAATAAATTGTTATATAACACCTCAATTGCTAGTATCCTACTTTTGACGTTACAATGTAGCTTATTCATAGTATTACTGACTATTCTCAATCATAGAGCATCTTCTCCTACTATGATTTCCAACTCTTAAAAGTAATTTAAGCTCTTTAAATTAGGAATGAAAGTAACTTCGATATTTTCAGTTTTATTTTTGTATCTGCATACTGTATAGGTAGTATTTATTAATAACTTTACAAATTATCGAGGTATCTCAATGTATAAATTACCGTTGCTTGTCTCTTGAAGAACAATAAAGTATTTGAAAAAAATTTTTATTATCACTGTTTCATTAATTGAATTGCTTTTAAATATTTGACGTGACATAAATAAAAGTAGCAAACTGTAGTAGAGTTTAGAGCTACGTAGATAGGTAAAATGATGTATGCTACTACAGTCAAAAAACTCTTTGCAACTGAAACAAATTATTGCAGTACTGCAAACTGAAATATTCTACTCGGTTAGAACATGTACTCACCACGAGCATATATTACGAGCATAGATTTCATTTCTACATACGAGTAAATTGCAAGGATAAATTTTAATGTATATTACCCATAGTATTACTATTCCAAACATGGTCCACTTGCTCTTATACATATTTAGGTTCAAGTTAAACTAGTAACCCTTTTAATTTTCAAAAGCTTAACACAAGAATACTAGTATTGGGTTATAATAGAAATGTATATTACTAAGCTATTTATGTAGAAAAATGCAAAATTTAGTTGGTATAGCAGATACTATTTGGAAGTATTAATCGACTGATAAATCAAAAGAGTAAGCTCATTCTATTAAAATAAGTTAGGCGTGCAGCTAATCGCATGCATAATGAAAACTCATAGATATAGAGTATTCCTAATTTAGAGGGAATACATATCCTGCCGAAATAAAATTTGGTGAACACTTCGAGAGTTGCTTCCTCCTTCAGGGGTATCATATTCTAATCATAAAAAAATTAACTACATAGAAGAAAAATGTTTTAGACAAAACGTGCAAAAACTATTCTTTATTTACAATGCGTAAAATACTGCTCAGTACGTAATTTGCGGCTTAGTGATAGGAATACATTTGAGTACGACCACATTTAACTCTCTATGCAAATGTAACCTTCAGAAATGAAATAGCTTCCTACTGCTAAAATAGTCCCCTTTGTATAAATTGGCTACAGACTACTATAACTGTACAAGGAGGTCGTTAACACAAATCTGTCGATTTCAATTAGAAAATTTAGTTCGCAAAGGTTTGACAAAATAGTTAACACTTGCCTACAAAGCTAACAGATAATTTGCAAATGAAATTCCATCGCTCTTTTTAAACTGTTTAACTACTACTAATTAAATTACATTAAATGTGTAACGTATATTTATATGATATCTAGTCCTCTAATAATGGGTATCGATCCATCAAGATATCAAACATTACATGTGGACGACTGTTTAAGATACGATTGTATGTACCATTGATAGTGGTCAACTTTTTAATTTGTCGTCACTTTAAAACTACTAGATGTTCCATGAAAAGGTTGTTTATCGCCCAGTAGCCCTTTACTATGACCAAAATGTTGAATTCTATAGGTACCAGCCGGTGTATCTGGTGAGATAGTCCAAGTGATTTTGGCTGTACTTGAGGGATCAAGTATGAATGGCTTGTGCCAATAAAATCGTGTATCCCAATCACCATCAGTTAACCGCACATGCCACTTACCATGCTTGTCTTGCGTTTCAACCGTTAAGAATGTTCCTTCAGTCTTACAGTAGATAAAAAGATGATATCAGAAATTGCCTTCGCGAAGGTCATGTGCTTACTTATTAACGCTAACAATTAGAGAAGTTAGCAATTTAACTACTGGTGATTACCATTAAATTGTTTCTGGGATCAGCGGAATAAAATATTACTTCTACCGTTTCATTCTAAAAGTTCATTAACGACAATATTAGCACATACCATGCAACTTTTATGAGTCGTAGCCTTTATAAATTTTTCTTATGCACATTTATTCAAGTTTAGTAACGTACTGTATAGCAATAAAAATTAAAAACTATACTGAGTAGATGTGATGTCTAATTCCCTCTGAAAACTTACAACTTTATACTTGGACTTAACATCTTGTTTTACTTGACCAAACTTTTTACCAATCGGGGCTGAATCAAATACAACACCAGGAACAAATGATAGCTGCTTTTTTAACAAATTTGGTGGAGTCGGTCCAGGCTTAACAGCTTTACCCTACATCACCATGGTATATATTATGTTATGCTATCGAAATGCGAATTTAATTACAGTGATTTCAAGATTACTAACACAAAGCATACCTTAACTAAAGCTTGTGATAACTCAACAAACTTAGAGATATAAGCCTGCAAGGTATGAGGTCCATAAATTGTAGAAGCTCCTTCATAACGTTGTGCCTAATCATGAATTGCCAAATACAGAACGTAAGAATCATTTATTCATTGGCTAACAACGTGTTTATTTTTATAGACTCACATGATATTCCTCATACGTAGCGATGTAATCTGCATACGTGTTTGACAATCCAGCAATAACAACAGTGGTATCATTACCAAAGTGCGCGTCAACAACCTAGCAATAGCAAAAATTTCATTTAATGATAATATCTATTTAAACATATCAATTTATGTAGCTGTTAAACAGATCTGCTTACTTTATGAACAGCGTCTCTTACTCGTCGACCAGACATTGTGCTGCATTAAAAAATATTTTTTGAATTATTACTGCTTGTTAGATAAAATGTCAAGCTATTTAAAAAGTTCCATAAAAATGTAGTATTAAATCATGATCATTGTATAACCCTTGCTACTTACGTAAATTCCCCTGGAACAGCTACAATAACAAAATTTCCGATTCTTAATACTTGTAAATCCACTATAAAAGGTTGCCATCGGTAGGGAAATTTAATCTAAAAATGAAAAAAAATAAAATGAAGAAGCTTGTAAAAATCAATAGGGTATGGTGGTCCGTGGAACTTGTGTACCTCTCCTGTATCCAGTAAAATAGGTTTAGGATGTTGACACGCAATCTGTTCTTTAGATGGTTTTTCTAAAAACTTGACAATAAGGTTCCAAAATTCGTTTCCAGTTGTGCTGCCTAACCAATGATATTAGCGACTGTTATTAATTGAAAATACTATATAGTCTTTCAATATTTAATAATAAAACTAGCCTTGTTGAAATCCAAACATTCCTGGTCCATCAGTTGTTCCAGCGGCAAAGCTAAAGCCCATAGCTGGTTTGCAAGTATGAACTTTGGTACCATTCTTTAAAGTTACCGCTACGTTAGTCATATCGACATACATGTGCCGGAAATCAACAGGCCCTGTTACTTTCTTCTTTGCACCGTCATACAATTCTTTTGCCTTGCTAAACTGATTGCGACCAATTATCTCGGTACTTTCAAACATATTTGCACCAGGTCCTCTTCCAATACACTTTGTATCCTAAATTTACATAATAACTCCAGTTTTTAGTTCGAAGATAAATGAAGTCTCTATTCATACAAAGGCCGAAATGAAATTATGGAATTATAGAATCTGAAATAATGTAAGCTAGCCATTGTTATTTCCAACAGATTTCTTGATATTATTACCGAAATAGGACTATTATCAGTTTCGTATTTAATAGAAATTATTTATACATTGCTATTGACTCATGCATCAATTTAACCAAACTTACATCGCCATTGCAGGTACTGTGATTTTTATTGCAGGGTTTACCGGAATCGATGCAGAAAGGACCGCGAGTATTGGGAGATACATCACCCTCGTTGCTTTGGGCAAACGCGGCAACAAAAGATCCCTATAGAAATACATAGTGTATGCTAAACATTTAATATACTGTACTGTATTAGCTATACTTAAGGCATGATCATATATATTGCACTTGCAACTGCAAATAATATTGATTAGTAGGCAAAGCCGTTAAGACATCAAGAAATTGATTTATAGGCGCTCGTCTGTATAATTCGTTGTACTGTATTATCTAATAAATATTAGGCAGCATCCTATCGTACAGTATCAGTAACGCAAACTTTCAATCTTACAAAACTTACTTTCCCGGGGAGAGTACTTTTTCCATTCATTTCCTTTTCAAATAAATAGGAGGCATAACCTTTATTGTCACCGCTGACTAATTCGTTTGTATTATTCATACTAGTTCCATGAACTGCAAACCAATTAACCATACCAATACCATGGCCTTTAGCATCGGCCATCTTTAGCAAGACCATTTCCTTATCAACGTCATACTTGTATCTATTATAAATAATTATTACCGAATTACTACTTAAGTGTCAAGGGATAAGAAATCTTAAACATCATCTTTAAGTAATGAATTATAATCATTACGTAATAGAATTCTAACAGTCTCTTATAAAATAGCCTATTCGTGAAGCCGAAAAAATAATTTATTGCAAAGGTGCATCAATGGTATAGAATTCACAGCTAAAAAGTCTTACTTTGCTCTTTCCTTTGGAGGATTAAATAGATAGGCAGATGGACTTCTATTAATGTTACTATTCAATAGTTGTCCCTGATTGACGAAGATATTGCCAGGCTTTATATCAGCATGTGCCTTAGCAATACTTTCAACAATTCCATCGACGTAAGCAAAGAGTGTTTGATTAATAAAACCTAATGAGGTAATGTCAAATAAAACATATTGGAGGAAACCACCGGGACCAGAATGGGTATGGATGCCGCTAATACAAACGTTCTCCTCGGTATACAATTTACCGAAGCGAGCTTTAAGCTTCTTAACTACCTATATGATATTAAAGTTAACAAAATGACGAAGCTGTTACGTTTAACAAATGTATAATAATAATATCGATTATACAGTATTGCAAAAATATCATGCAGTTATTATATGAATGTTTTATTGATTCTTCTCGCGAAGGCTTTCATCGCAACAACTGCTTCTACTTTTACCATGCTTAATAATTTAACTTAATCTACTTCCAGATAATGAAAATATTATCGTTCTGTGTTAGAGATATGCAAAACTAATAACTATATTATCAGTAGCAATAAATTTATAATCCATCAGCGTATAATGATTATAGTTGCTTACCTCTAGCTTAACAATTTGATCCACCATACAAGCGTCAATGCTAACAAATACTATTCTACTTTTATTTTGCTTGTCATGTATAATAAAAGCTCGGCTGCGTTGACGGAAATGTATACCCTTAGCAGTTTGGGAAGGGTTAGCATAACCCATCTGTTGAAACAATATATGAGTATTGAATTAGATTCACTTGATATTCGAAAAGTAGCATCAGTAATATAACTAACGAAATAAATATCATTATCAAGGTACTTTAGATAAGATCTATAAGTAGTGATAGAATATAAGGTAAAAAATGATGAATGCAGAATTTGAATAAGGATAGAATTCAATGATTTGTTTGTGTGCTGCTTAATAATGTCTAACCTATAGTAGATAGTGACGAGCAGAAGGTATCAGGATACAAACCGTATCAATAATTAAGCAGTATCGCACCGTACAGTCTACATTAAAATCAAGTTTTACGTCCCTTTAGCAAATCCTAATGATTGAAACATATACTTGTTCACATCTGTACTTTAATGAATGGAATTAATCAAATTTAAATCAATCGGTCGTTATCACTTGTTATAGCTTCAATAGGATATTATATACTGTATCGTATCCATTTTCCGTTGCTCGTCACCATCAAGAATTCAGATATTACGTATGGTGTTATCCTTCTTAAGTGCATAATAATCACAAGAGTAATCTATCCAATTAATTTAATCTATTTTACCATATTAACATCAGCAGCAGGACCAGTAATATCATGGATGCCACTTCCAATAAAATATTCTGTGGATTCGCCTCGGATAAGACCGAGGATCGATATAAAAACTAGAAATGAACAAGCCAACACAGTCTTCATCTTGCCAACGATCGTTCGTTTCCACTTTCACGATCTGCAGGAAATGTTATATTACATAATCTGCATCAACAGTATATGGGGTGACGTCTGACGTCACGATACAACAACTGACGCTACCACCAAATGAGCTGATGAACCAGTGACTCAAGAACGTGAACAAACTGCACAGTACAGTAGAGACCCTACAGTATACTGTACTGTACATCCAGCCGATCAAGCCATCGAACATCGACAATCGAGTGATGTAAGCGGACTGACGGATCTTGGATGTTAGTCTCGTGATAGTCAGGCCTATATTATTATTATTTATATATATATTTATATTATTTATAATTATTGTAGTAACATACAGTACAGTACAGTACAGTACTGTACAGTACTGTACTGTATACTGTATAGTGTACTGTAATCCTTATTACAATGTACAGTACTGTAGAAAAACGCCAGAATTTATAGAAGTATTTTTGACTTTAAGTGCCAATATTAGTAGCTCGAACACATTTTATGTAAATTTAAATTACATATTCGCATAAAGCGTTTTATTTCCAATCTAATGATTCCAAATTTGTCTAATAACGACTTAAAATTATAATTTCGTATAGTTTCAATCACGGGGAAAGACTTATGAGACCCCCTCTGTACATGGTACTCACAGCATAAGAGGTACCACTGTATTGGAATATCGGGGATTACAATATTAAACTAAAGAGAAATGGGAGAAACTCTCTTTTCTCTATGGTAGTCTCTGAGAAAGCTGTACTTACTCCACGATACCAATCGAGACCGTATAAAGTACAGTATATATATATATATATGTATCTATTTATTAAAGCATTAGGTACCGCTATACCGTAGATGATAGCGGCGGATTTGTGCTAGTCATTTATAAATTAACTCACTACTAGTCGGGGATTCTAGGTGACGCCTAGTTAGTTATCAATATTAAAAATGTAAACTCAAATCGAAGTTCAGATTTAGAAACAGTAGCATAATCTGGTAATATGCTATAATTCTACAGTATGACACAATTATAGTAGGCCATTTCCAATCGCTACGCCACGGCCTCCCTTAAAACTCCTGCCTTCCGATTGTATCGTAGTTTCTGCATCGATGGTCAAGTCACTCGCCATAGCATAGTTGCAAGGTATCGGGTACCGAGTGCGCAATGGATACTGCTGAAATTGCAATCGCGACTACTGCACATTTCTTTAGTAGTTCCTGACTTTATCAAGGTCAAAAAGTGCTCAAATTTGACGATTTTAGCTGTAAGGCTTAAATACCTTTTAACCTAAATACTCCACACTCTTGCACTGTACTAATCATTTTTCATAATGAGCCAACATAGTATCTGCATTGAATAATAATAATAATAATGAAATGGCATACCTATCATACTGCAATAGCATGCTGAAGGAATTCGTCGTCGTTATTGGAATCAGTTAATAATAATAAATTGTAAAGTATCTAGGACACTGGCACATTTCATATCCAATAGAACCATTTAGAAGTGTGTGAAAGTAATTGCAGCTGTTAATTTATAAATTGCAATAGTGTTTGCTTGCATCTGCACTTCATGTCTTAATAGAATAAGATTTTTTCTGCTCCAATGGCATAGAAAAAGTAAGATGTTGACAATATACGTTGTTAATCAATTCTTTCGACTTGAATTGATAATAAATTAACAGCATGAGAATCATTAAGATATTGCCACGATACTACTTTGGCGACAGGTTAACTCATCATCATGCACTTCCTCTTCCTCTATTACTATAAATTGCCAAATGTTCAAATAACGCCATCGACGCAATTTCATCTCAGGATTAAGGCGTGATTAAGTCAACATAATTAAATATTTAAAATAGCTCATCTTTAATTAGATACCAGCTACATCTGCTGGTTATACAGTACTGTACAGTGCGGTACTAGGCGAACTCAACGCCAGTTACAGTAATAAAGTGCGGATGTGTACAGGAGTATTCTGTTAAGAATGTTGTAGTACGTAAAATCGTCGATACATATTATTAAATAGTAATTAATACGAAGGCGAGTCAATATTATAATAAAAGATATACAATAAAGCCGTAGGCACAAGCTAAAATCTCAACATAAATGTCTGTACCGTTAAACAAACTATTCTATACGTATATGTCGGATACGTGTATGCTAAAATAGTTGGTCATTTATATGTGCCTGTTTAAATACACTACAAAGTATCGTATTGAAATACAGTATTAGCACCGGTACTTGAGAAGAAGACAATTTTATTCAATATCGACTTGAAACAGAAGAAATATTGATTATATTACTGTATATCTGGATAGATTCTTTCCACCAGGAGGAGTTGCAAGGCTATAAATTAGTTTTTCTATTTCAAGCTGAAGTAAGATGACCATATCTCCATTATCGCAACAAGGTAATGCGCGTGTACTGTAGAATTATTTTTTTAATAATTATAATCGCACACATTAGGATAAAGATAGTATAGTAAAGCGCTGAATTTTATTATCGGCGTGTCTTAGGCCGATTTTTAATTACTCCAATATTGTTTTAAGGGATGAAAGAAACGTCAAAAAATCAACCATCAGAGGATCTAAAATCCGTAAAACGTCTTCACCGACATGATAAAAGCATTATGCAATCCATACTGAAATTTCTGTATCAGCCGATCGATCCGTCATCTCTTGGTATTACAAGGGTTTTATTCGGTGAGAACTATCTACTGCACTTGACACGGTATTACTTAAATGGGTGTTCAATCTGTTTAAGTATGCTGCAGAAATTAAATCTTATTTAAAGCCTAGCTTTTAAATTAACTGTAAAATGCTATCTAGGCTTTTTGATGATCTTTGATATTACACAAGAACGTGGCATGGTTTACATCAACTTAAGATGGGGTGATCCGAAAGCCTGCGAATTTCCTTTACTAAGCAATTTACCAATCTTATCTGCTGACTGGATGCATATTTTGTATTTGTCGATGATTGCTGCTGCTATCGGTATATGTATCGGATTTTACTATCGTATCGCTAGTATCTGGCTTGCACTAGGCCATTGGTACCTTATCTTGATAGATAAAACTGCTTGGAATAATCATACATATCTTTTCGGCCTTTTTACAATCTTCTTTTCAGTTACGAATGCTAATCGATGGTGGTAAGTTGCCATATTTATTGATATTGAAGTATAGTTGTGACAAAAGAGAAATCACCACGATCACTTTAAAAGTGTGATATACGTATCGATGTAGATATCTCTTCTACATGGCTATTATGCTTCTTTTATCTACTACAATTTTAAGTTTACTAATTATATATAATTAATTAAACCCTATAATTTGAACAAAATCAAGGTCTGTTGATGGAGTCTTAAATCAAAAAATTAATAATGTTCATATTCCACGTTGGAACTTAGCGCTGTTTCAGTTTCAGGTAAATACAACTACAAAATAAATTAAGTATGTGGTACCTTATCATCGGATGACTTACTGTAAATATTTATACTTCGAAACAGATTTTCTTGGTATATTTCTTAGCTGGCGTGAAGAAACTTAATTCTGACTGGATTACGGGTAGTTCAGTTACGACGGTTGGCAGTCATTGGGTTTTTGCCCCTTTGCGTTTATTATTAACTACCCAACAAATAAGCCAATATGTTTTGCATTATGGTGGATTAATCTTCGATTTAATTGAAGGATACTTACTCTTTTTCAACATTACTCGACCCTTAGGAATTGCATTGGGCATTTACTTTCATATTTGTAATTCGCAGATTTTCACCATAGGAATTTTCCCTTATGCTATGTTAGCCACTCTTCACATCTTTTGTAATCCTGATTGGCCAAAAAAAGTTATCATGAGGCTGTCACCTCGATGGAGAAAATATTTCTTGCTCGATACACCACCAAAATATTCAGCATCCAATTGTTATTATAACGATTACAATCCAGATGACACTGGAAGTAGTGATCAAGAACGACTAGGTGATTCTGTTATAGAGAAGAAGTGGATACAGGAAGATTCCACTAAAACGAAAGGAATACAACAATTTAATTCACAAAATCGGCTGACGATGGCCATACTAGCTGGATATGTAACTCTGCAACTTTTTCTACCCTTCTCTCATTTTATAACCCAGGTAAAAACTACTGGTATATACTGTCTAACAAATGTAATTGTCGACTATGAGTATAGGATCATCAATTCATTTTAAGTCAAAATAGATTAAAGATATTTTCTGCATTATCTAGTTTAAATATTCCGTTCAAGATGTGATAGAAATACTTATCTCTTATATTAGGGCTACAATACATGGAATGAGCGTGGTCTTTACGGGTATTCGTGGGATATGATGGTAAATAGCTGGTCTTACCCTAAAATTAAAATCTTAGTTGTGGATTTATCTAATGGTAAACAGTATGGCGTTTTACCAAAGGTAATATAACTGCTAATTAAGGCAATCACTCAATATCAGATTTTATCAGTTCTTGCATTAGACCATGAATGTATTTACATCAGCATTCCATTTAAACATCGCATTACCAAATTCTATACTTGAATATTTCGGTTCATATTTGTAATGCTTTCAAAATTGATGCTCCAAAATATTTATCAACTTATATAGTACGATATGTAATATCAATTTTATAATGACGATTTCATTAAGTGAATATAGTAAAATGGATATTTTGCAAGAAAATGGATGTACTAGCTATTAAGATCAGTATCAAGTAATAGCAAGGATAATTCATTTTATAAAACAACGTTATTTAAATGTTTATTTGTCTCCTATAAACTTATTAAAGTATCACGCTTCGATAATAATTATTACACATTGGTCAGAGTCCAATATTGCTAACTGAAATAGGTTCAATGTAATGGCCGATAATTAATCTGTAATTAAAAAATATTTACCGCTCCATGATATAAAAATATTCTTGTGTATAAGTATTGATGCCGAATATGAGCGATGGTATAGCTAATTTAAGATAATTTTTTATTAATTAATCTTATATCTTCATTTACATATATACTGCACTTTAGAGCTTTATTGGTGGCGCAGATTCAAGATTTCTACGCTGGAGTACTTATCCTAGCATGATTAAGCAATACGGCAATTGTCTTGCGAAACAAATGAAAACTTCGTATGAAATTAAACAGCCAGCAGTGTATTTGGATATTTGGAAGTCAATGAATGGTCGATTTAGGCAAAGGCTTATCAATCCAAAAGTTGACATCGTTTCTGCACCGTGGTCACCATGGAAAAAGACTCCCTGGTTAATGCCATTGCTAGCTAATTTAACCAACTGGAGAAATAAAATGCCCGAGCTTAAGAAAAGATATTCTATAGACGATAAAAGTCGAATTATACGATTTTATGCTGATTTCCCTGGCTATACACAAGAAGTACCTGTTCCAGCTGCTCTGCAAGCTAACCTAACTGTCCTTGAAGGTCAAGTCGAGGTTAATGCTAGCCGTTACATTTACAAATTAAACCCGAAAATGACAATTAGGTTACCTTCTAATGTCACACATACGGTCACTGTTACCTCCGAAAGGCCTGCCGCTTATTTCTATCGGATTGAAAATGCAACGCTAGCAAGGATTCTAGCAGAAGAGAAGGAGAATATAAAAAATAGAGTAGAAGATTATAGCCCTAAGAGCTATCTTACTTATTTTAGCACCAGCGTTCGATTCGTTACTGGAAATATAATAGAGTTTTTGAAAAGTAAAGTTTTAATTTATTATCACATTGCCATAAATACTTTCGATGCTATTCAAAATATTATAGAATCCGAAAATATCACGGATTCAACTCTAGATTCAGTTTCGCCTTCTAATAATTAAAATTAGACGATAAATATATTACTTAATAAATTAAGTTGATAAATATCTAAGGATCATTTATAAAAGCCTAAATAATTGTAATTCGGCTAAAGCCATAACGTTATCGGTCATGCTATAATTCTAAGAGCTATGAGCAGCATTGCGATATTGTATATCATACTATCATATAATAGGCTGAGTTCTACATATTTAGATCTCTTTATGAAATATACAGGATGATACATCACTTATTATTGCGTAATGAATGCTTTATTGGCCCCGAAGGTTCACAGTCTTCTTAACTCAAAATTTGAGTTAATAAAAGGGTACACTTTCATTATACCTTCCATTATAAACAATTACTTTAATAAGTACATTATATCTGATTATTCTACGCCACTTAGTGCTTTCCCTCTTATTATTACCACACTTACCACACTTTCAAAACATAACTACTATAATTAGCCAAAATTGCTATATATTGCAAATGTCTTTACATTACTTAACACTGTATGCCAAATAAAAGATTAACGTAGACTTTGATTATGAATTTATTTTGGTCTATCATAACCTGTAGCAACGTAGTATAGATGTACCGTACGTAAGAAATAAAATATTTTAAATCGATAAGGCAATTATTAGCATTATATAATGATTTCATCATCATTCTAGCTCTCAAAGTATTGTACTCCTATACTGTACCTTAAAAGTTTTGGTAACTGACTGTGATTAAGCGATTCTTAGTAGTTGGCATGTACAATCTTTTACTTCGATTTATTCTATCGATGGAATTTATTGCACGCAGTACGATTGAACATTTGGACTTAATAATGGCATGACGGTGCTTTTCTGTTTATAAACTTCAGTGTTAAGGTCGTCAAAATTCGTAAAAAGTGAAAATTTTACAGATATTGATTACCCTATTAAAAAATATGGCTGCGCAAAATTTAAGCAATTACGGATATGTTGCCTGTTAAAATACACATATAGTTCCTAGGATAATAAATTTATATTGTTTATCACATATAAAAGTTAATGCAACTAATTGCCTTACATTTTGTGAATTAGGTGCTGTGATAACTCCATAACCTATAGTGGAATTCATTTCTACCACTTTTAAAGACTTAATCAGATCAGTTTCATAGGCGATCCTCTTAAAGCAATACTTATTTCATTGCAGTAAAATTTAAGATTTTAAAATCATAGTACATCTCATTTATTAGGATTGCTACGTAATAAAAGAATGAAATCAAATCGCTGAATCTTGCACACTAATATATGCCTTCTTATTGATAACATTTGAATAAAGCAAATATCATTAAATCAAAAGATTTTGATAGACTAATGTTGATTCTGCTGTAATAGCTATGTGCGTATTTCTTTTGTCTAGTTAATGAGTACGATGTATGCAGTTTACACATTCTGCAGTTAACCTATTTTTATAATTCATACTGCCAATAATCGTCTTGCAAAAAAATAAGAATTTACTATAGTAGCAGTAGCTTTTAAAGGTTTTAAAATTATTCACTTACAGATTTATTTCTAAATATTCTATTGATAGCAGGATAGAAGTATCATTCTTGGATGCTGTATAAATCTGCACTAGTCAGGAGCTAAAAATTCTCTAACGGCAGCAAGCACCAAAGTTTTGGATCACTGATTTAGATATTCTAGTAATTATGTGTGGAAATAGCACAGTAGTTATGTTTCTAGCAATAAATCATATTTAGTCAAAACTATAAATCTTCTAACAGTCACAGATATCGAAGATCCTACCTACATCTCGCAAATTATCTATAGCATTTATCGTCGTGAAGTACTAGCAGGCTTGTTATATAAATTAGCCTAAAATTGTATACTCTTAACAATGTTACTGATGATTTTGAATCGCTTATTCTGAAATTTGTTTCTGGACATGAGAGTGTCTGTAGTAAAATGGCTATTTATATATAGCGAAATCAGGAATTACGGCAAAAATATGATTCTGCGACAGTAGTTCACATCAGAACTATTAAGTCAATCATTTAAAGATTTTTTTCTATGTATTAGAGTACATGTACCATGGAAATACCGGTAGTATATATTCATCTAATGAAATAGCGATGAAATTTTAAACGTAATATATTGAGGATAAATTTTACATCAAGTTTATGTACACATAATAAAATATGAGAAGGTTTTATTATCACAATCTATAAATATTGGTAAAAATTCGTACGCTCGCGGAATTTGATATGATGTGGTATAGTTGCAATTATTGATTTCTATGTGTCTGTTTTTTAGCGAATAAAAGTTGATTTAGTTGCTGTTCGTAAACGTATCAGTCTAGTACTTTAGAGTCCATATAATATTCTATTGAACTAGTAGGCGAAATACCGTACATTAATTAAACAACCTAATTATAGCAAAGGCAAGTAATGTAGTGTTCAATTCTATGTAAACTATAAGTTTGAGTAAATAGCTCTCTAAAAAAATTGTCCATACCGTTCATCAATCAGTATAGCATATTATACATTCACCGTAAATAGTACACTAGATAAAACGATAAAGTTTATGTCGCAAATGAAATGTTTTCCCTTTTATATCCGGATAATTCAGCTGATACAAGTTAAAATGTGGACTGTAATCATTGTAGCGAACAACATTATGAGCCTCTAATAGCTGGAAAAAAATTGTATCCATTTCATCTTTCTCTAATAACGTCAACAACTGTACCGTATGAAGTTTTGTTGTTATTGATAATGCTTACTGCAATACTTTTGAGACGTGTAGTAAAGAAAGAAAGAAAGAATATCACAAAGAGAAGATGATACTGGATTTATTAGTACCATATGAATTAGTGTTATTTACGATATTAACTTTATAACGTATTATTAATTTACCTACATCACGTGTAAATGTACGCTCACACTTGGGTTCAGGTACTGTATTTGTTTATACTTTATTTTATCTCAATAAATATAAAAGAGGCTTTGAGACCATGCTAGAAATGACACTTTGAGTAAATACTGGTAGTAGCATCCAACTATCGCTTCGTTAGAGCAGGTTTAGAGTAACCAGATTCGGCTACTGATGAATGCGCTATAAGAAGCTGTAATGATCGCTATGAAATTAGTTAGAGTCTTTTTTTAATTAGTCTTAGTCTTAGTCCGCAATAGAATATGCTTCTTAATATATCGAGACACTAGCTATTAATTTAAGATAAACTACTTTGCTACTTTGCCCACGTATTATTCTCTCTATATTAGTCAAGCATAAATGTTGATCTATCAAATTCTAGGACTTCATAACACGCTTTTAAAATGATGTCGAGTTAATAATTTAATGTTCTATTATTTTTAGCTTCAAATTACACTTTGCGAATCATTAGATATCAAAAAATATTAACCATTAATAAGAAAAACAAATTTCCTGTCTATGGTATAGTAATTTTCAACCTACGTGCACCGCATAGAGTAACAAGTGCAACGGAAAAGTTACTAAAATTAACAAAAATACATCATATTACGGCAATTAATTTTTTATTTTCCGAGTATCATATTGTTGTCATTATTCTAGTGTACAGTATTTTACTAGCTTTAAGATATCCGAGTAAGTTCTTCTATAGATTTATAAACACCGTACCGAGCTAAGATATATTGTAATTCGATGCTATTTTTACCTCTATTTAAATTCTGTACCTAATTTAATATCAATAATATACTCCCAAATTTGACCATGATATTCATTAACCACAACGTTAACGAGGAAATCTTAGTATTTTAATTTATTACTATCTATCGTAAATACAAACCTCTGGCAGTCATGATGGTCACTTTAAGTGGATTGAAATCTTCAATTAATGGAGCGAAATAAATAAAAAATTAGCTTAAAATGAACACTTATGCAAGCCAGATGTGGCACACATGTTTTAAAAACGTATCCCTAATTCATACCTGAATTATTAATCACTTTTAGAATAATTAGCATCGTAATACTCGTTGTACAATGGATGCAGTTAAAATTTTACTGAGTCCATTCAGACGTAATAGCCGAACTTAATTTAGTCGTATATTGGCGACTCTTCATTGTCCTGAACCAGGGCGTGATTACGCATTAGGAAAGTAACTTGTATTTATGGCTGACGTAGAACGCTCTATATTAGTAGTGCCATATTCTTAACCTAGAATTACAACGGCTATAATACTAAGGATGTTGTCTTGAGCAGGTATTACTAAAGCAAAAGGGGAAAATAGACTACTCTTAGCATCATTCTAGAATTTCATGGATCTTGACCGACCAACCTAATGAAATTGACAATTTTTATTAAAGTTTTAATCATTGTAAGCTATTCTGAATAGGCATTACAGTATTAGCCGAGAGCACAACGCATATTGGTAGATCAATCCAACTGCAAGGATATTTTCCATTTTTATCATTTTTTTATAGCTATAATCTATTGTAATTTCGTTAAATTTTAATATGCGTCATAGCTAATTGTCTAAATAATGATGATCCTTAATATCCTCTGATATGGAGGGTACGGTATGGTAGCCCTGACTTTAAAAATGTTTTTTTATTAATTTTAGGTTACTAAACTGCCATACCAGTAAAATATCAGGATAGCACGTAGACTTTTGCTAGTTTCATAATCGAGATTTATGAATTTACCGGTATGCTTTATTTCTAAGTTACAAGTGAAATTAAGGCGTAGAACCTAAATTCTCTGTCTTTCACTTAACCCTTTAATTCGCGCAGCCGCTTTCGCAGTTTCTCTTAGACTTATGGTTGCCGTATGAAAACAACACAGTTATACGATAAGTATTTAATAACCAACCTTCCATATAAATATCACAATGACAACGATATTCTCGTTAACAATTTCTAGTAATTAATTGACCGATATTTCATATATATGTGGTACAAAGATTAGTAGATGAATTAAAATATTACCTTTTTATTAATTAAGATTCTAATGCCTGTAAATATTTGATGTATATGCATGGTAACAGATACTGTACTGTACTTGGAAAGAATTGAGGCTGTAATCTTTTCAGCTTAGTAAGTAGATTAGATTTAACTCAGTCCTAGTGCAGAAATATCTCATGTTTACGTACTTTAAGATTCGTTGCTTTATTTATTTTTATCTATCGCATTTCAAATTCAATAAATCGCTAATTAATCCATTTAACTGACTTGAAATAAATAACATGAGCTTCCACTTTTCATCTTAAGATACAATTTGAAAAATCAAGTATTTATTATAAACCTTTTATATAAAGGAAATACGCGTAAATCTACGATATCTGACTGATCTACATTATAACATAATATTATGTGGTAGCTAATTATGGCTATTATATAAGATGCAGTAATATACAGCAATACAATACTTGATAGCTATGAATATGTGTATCGATAATCGTATAAAACATTTTATCTATCAAAATTCGCTGAAGATGAAAGATATCCAATGCTTTCATGCGTATGATATTGAAATACCAGGATGATTGATTTGATAAAGAATAATAATCGAATTTTAAATAACTTTCGATACATAAAATGAGCTCTTCATGCTTGCATTGACTGAAATAGTGTAAGTAGCTGCCATATTATTATAGAGTACATAGAGAGGGCCTTAGAATGTTTCTGATGATAAAATTTCGAAAAATTTCTCATGCATTAAAGCAGCTTCCTCGTGCTTACCTTGATCTTCATAAAGCTGTCCAATGGCGAAGTATAAACTTGCAATTGCTGGATGGTTATGATCAAGGACCAATCGTCGAATTCTAAGTGATTTCTTAAACATAGAAATAGCCTCTTCATGATTCTTTTGGTCACAATATATAGCTCCTAGATTACTATATGAGTCAGCAATAGAAGGATGATTGTGACCAAGGAATGAACATTGAACTTTGAGTAACTTCTTATATGTAGAAATGGCCTCTTTAAGTTTACCTTGCTTAAAATAGGCGTTTCCCATGTTATTATATATTGCAGCAAGATCAGAATGATTATCACCAAGGATTGACAATTGAATTTTGAGTGAATTCTTATACATAGATATACTCTCCTCATACTTTCCTTGGTCAAGATAGACATTTCCGATGTTGACATATGTCATGACAAGATCGGGATGATTATGACCTTGGACTGACAATCTAATTTCAAGTGATTTCTTATGCATAGAAATAGCTTCTTTATATTTACCCTGTCTTCTATAGCAGATTCCTAAACTACTATATGAATGGGCAACTTGGTGATGATTGTGACCAAAAAGTGACAACCTAATTTTGAGCGATTTCTCATGCATAGAAATAGCTTCATCATCCTTTTCTAACTCGTAAAGGCTAAGCCCAATATTATTATATGCCATAGCAAGATTGTGATCATCGCAGTCTGTGACTAATATTTGAATTTTAAGTGACTTCTCGTAATTAGAAAAGGCTTCTTCATACTTACGTTGAGCATAGTAAATATTTCCTATCTCACTATATGATTGGGCGACATCAGTGTGATTATCACCTAAAGTGGACTTATGGATTTTGAGCGACTTTTCATACATAGAAATAGCCTTTTCATGCTTGCCCTGCTTAAAATAGGCATTTCCTAAGTCCTTATATGATCTAGCCATATCGGGATGATTGTCATCAAGAACAGATAATTTTACTTCGAGTGACTTCTTATACATAGAAATTGCCTGTTCACAATTTCCTTGATTCATATATGCAGTTCCTATTCTGCTATATGACATAGCCACTTTTGGATGATTATGACCAAGGGTTGACAATCGAATTTTAAGTGCCTTCTTATGCATAGAAATAGCCTCTTCATGCTTATTCTGAATAGCATAAACAATTCCCATATTGTCCTTTATATCAGCGATATGGGGATGATCGCCTTTATGGACTAATAATTCAATTCTGAGTGACTTCTCATACATCGTAATAGCTTCTTCATGCTTGCCTTGTTTAAAATGCTCGTTCCCTAAATTGATATACGAATCAGCAATTTGGGGATGATCGTGACCGAGGACTGATAATTGAATATTGAGTAACTTTTCGTACATGGAAATAGCCTCTTCGTGACTTTCTTGTTTAGCATACTCATCAGCTAGATTGCTGAATGAATTAGCAACTTCGATATTATCTTCGCCAAAGACTGACGAACGAATCTTTAGCGATTGTTTATACATAGAAATGGCTTCTTTATGTTTACCTTGATCGCTATATACCATTCCTATATTGCTATATAATTTTGCAACTTCAGGGTGATTGTGGCCAAGGACTGATAATCGAATTTTGAATGATTTCTTATACATTGAAATAGCATCGTCATGCTTACCCTGACGAAAATAGACGTTTCCCATCTCATTGTATGATTCAGCTAAGTGGGGATTACTAGAGACTGATGATTGAATTTTGAGTGACTTTTCATACAGAGAAATAGCCTCTTCGAACTTTCTCTGATGAAAAAAAACATGCCCCATGTTACTATATGAATTGGCAATATCGGGATGACTATGATCAAGGACTGATAATTGAATTTTAAGTGCCCTCTCATACATAGTAATAGCATCTTCAGATTTGCATAGATGAGCATAGGCATTTCCCAGATTTTTGTATGATATTGCAACATGAGGATGCTTGTCACCAAGGACTGACAATTGAATTTTAAGTGACCTTTTAAACATCTCAATGGCTTCTTCATACTTCTTTTGAATGGAATAAACTTGCCCTAAGTTGTTATATGACATGGCAACATCGGAATGATTGTGACCAAAGACTGACAATTGAATTTTGAGTGACTTGTTGTGCATAGAAATAGCCTTTTCATGTTTGCCCTGCTCCTGATATACAACTGCCATGTTGTTATATGACTTAGCTACATCGTCATGCTCGTGACCAAAGACAGATAAATTAATTTTGTGTGATTTCTCGTACATAGAAATAGCATCTTCATACTTGCCCTGATTGTAATAGATATTTCCAATATTATTGTATAATGCAGCAACATCTAGGTGATTACTACCAAGAGTAGACAGATAAATTTTAAGTGACTTCTCATACATAGAAATAGCCTCTTCATGCTTGTTCTGATTTCTATACACAATGCCTATGCTATTATATGATCTAGCAACATCAGGATGATTGTGATCATAGACTGATAGTCGAATTTTGAGAGATTCCTCGAACACAGAAATAGCTTTTTCATACTTGTTTTGATCACAGTAGACCCATCCTAAGTTATAATATGATGCAGCAACATCAGGATGATTATGGCCGTGGGCTGATAATCGAATTTTGAGCGACTTCTCGAGCATAGAAATAGCTTCTTCAAGCTTGCCTTGCTTTCTGTAGATAGTACCAATATTGTTATAAGACTGAGTAACGTCAGGATGATTATGGCCAAGGGCTGATAATCGAATTTTGAGCGACTTCTCGAGCATAGATATGGCTTCTTTATGCTTACCTTGATCGCCATACACAATTCCGAGATTGTCATATGATGCAGCAACATCAAGATGGTTATCACCAAGGGCTGACAATTTAATTTTGAGTGATTTCTTATACAAAGATATAGCAACTTTGTACTTCTTTTGACTTTGGTAGATCTTTCCTAAGTTGTTGTATGATTTGGCAACATCAGGATGAGTCTGACCAAGGGCTGACAATCGAATTTGGAGTGACTTCTCAAACATAGAAATCGCCTTATCCCAATTGTTCTGGCTAAAGTAGACGTTTCCTAGACTATCATACGACGTTGCCACGTCAGGATGATTATAACCAAGAACTGATACCTGAATTTTGAGTGATTTCTCATACATAGAAATGGCCTCTTCACTCTTGTCCTGACACTGGTAGATATCCCCTAGGCTACTGCATGACTTGATGATATCGAGATGATTGCGACCAGAAACTGATAATTCAGTTTTGAGTTCCTTCTCAAGCATAGGAAGAACCTTGGCTATGCTTTGAGAATCAGTAAAATCTACATACAAAAAATTCTCGGTATCTACACCCTCCTTGTCTAACAAATTTAATATTAAATCCTGAAATTTCATTTGATCTTCCACTGCCCCATTCCCGCCTCCTCGTAATTGCTTAATACCACCTTGCTTGTCTAAGCATTGAGCAATTAATAATTCTTCCTGTAGCTTTTCAGCTAGTTCTTGTGCTTTTTTACGGAATTTTTCTGCTTTTATGCATTCACTTCGCTTTATGTATATATCCACAGTAAGTAGATAAATGTTGCATTGAAGTCGATCAAGATCAGCATCACTTGTACTTTGGGATATCGTCTGAATTTTATCCAAGGCTTGTGTATAGTAAGATAACGCTTCACTAAGATTGCCAGATTGGTGATTAACGAAACCTTTATTGAATACAGATATTATATCCTCAGGGATAGTAAACTTGATCGGTTGATTCTCCATGTTAAAATCTGAAACACTAAAGCGATATCGGTAATAGTTAGTGAATGTGAAACAGTTTTATCCAGCAACCTCTAACACGGGTAAACTGAAAAAACTTAGTAGCAAACTGAAGATCACTTCTATCTACGTTAAGACTTCAGTGGTTTTTTCCTCCCGTGGTCGGTTTTAAGACCGCATCAAGATTATAAAACTTAAGCGCAAACTGTGGCAAAAAAGCTATTTGCTATATGTACTTTGTATATTTAATTAGGAAGAATACAAGACCGTTGTACGAGTAGGGAGGGTCCTAGTCGTCATTTAGTACTTCCAAAATACTCGTCAACAATTTTCTGTTATTATTCCGTAAGAGCTGCGAAGTACTGTTTAGTAGAGAGTAGTTTTAGTAGCTAAACCATCCAGATACGGAAGTTAATCGCTCATAAGCAGATTAAAATATGCCAAAGCAATGGGTTCAATGATCATTAGGTTCAGTACATCTTCATACAGTAAATTAGTAAGTTTCGGTTTCATTATCCACACAGGCAATGAGTATTATAGTAATTCCGCAGTATCACGTTACTAGTGATATCTTTAGTGACCATGATGTTTCTTCTACGGATATAAAATACATAAGCTTGTTCAAGCTAGGTTAGTGATAGTAGTCTCTGACCTATAGTATCATGGATTCAATCCTCACTAAAGATTCCTACAGATACATATTTTGGAGTACACTATCATTCGATGTTTAAAATTCATGTAGCACTGTGAATCATTTACCATACCCCAATAATCCGGTCAGTAGTAGGACTACATTAGAGTAGTGCAGTAATTTATCATGTTCGTTATCATGCCTAGATGAGATAAACGTTTAACCCTTAAGGTTCGCGGTCCGATAACGTAAAGTTGGGGTTTTTAAAAGGATGCCGTTTCATCATATCAGTCAAAATTAAGAGTAACTTTATTAGAAAATCCGAGTATTCTACGTCACATAGTGCTTTCATTCATATTACTATCAGACTTTCAAAATATATAACTACTGTAATTATCTAAAATCATTGCATATTCTTTAGTATCTTCAGCAGTAAACAATACGGTATCCCAATTAGCTTCAGTTATAATTATAAATTCTGGAGCAGTAACAGATGTCGAAGATTTTAAGTCACTCTCTCAAGATTAACCGCTTATTTGAATCAATTTTAGTCTAAAATTGTAAATTTTGAACGGCGTTAATGAAGATTTTAAATCGCTTACTCAAACATTTATTTCTAAAAATTAGAGTGCTTGTAGTAAATATCATATGCGTTGCATATGGTAATGAAATCAGAAATTTAGATATAAAACTAAATTCTGCCATAGTAAACTGTATCGAAGCTATGCTATTCCCTTCGAAATTTATTTCTAGCTACCAATACAATGCATGCAATATACGCGTAGATATGGCAAAACCTGAAAACGTTTAACCATAATTTATAAACTTTGGCAAAAATTTGCACGACCACTAAGATTTTATTTGATGTACCGATACTATATTTGCGGTTCTTGATTCTTATCTGTCTATTTTTTTAGCGAACAGTAATGTTAATTAGTCCCTTCTCGTGAACGTATCAGTCTAGATCTAGAGCCTTCTTTAGTCAATGGAGCTAGTTGGCGTAATACATTAAATAAACTACCTGTACATTAGATAATTCACGTAGTGTTTGTCCTATATAAACTAAACGTGAATAAATAGCTCTCTAAAAAGAATATTCCACGACCTTTCTTTAATTAGCCTACTTTACATTCACCGTATATAGTGCTTTAGATATAGCAATGCAAGTTTTATCTCTAAAACGAAATTCATCTCCCATTAATTTATAATTCATCTGTTTCAAGTTACAATGTTCCGTGCATTCTAATCATTGTATCAAAAAACGTTATGAGTTTCTTATATCATGTAAAATTTGTATCCATCTCCTCTTTTTCTAAGAACGTAAACCAATATAATATATGTAGGTACATTGCTTATAAAAATAGAAATAGAAAGCAGATATTTTTGTTTTTCTCATTAAGCAAAGAGAAGATGATACTGGATTCGGTAGTATAATATTAATTAGTGTTATTCATAATACTAACTACGGTACCGGATACGATGTATTCCTTGTTTTACCTACAGCATGAGTAAATGTTCGCTCATATTCGGGCTACGTAGTACTTATTTATAGCTTATTTTTGCCTTGGAAAATATAAGAGAGGCTTAAAGAGCACGTCTGTTAGTGAAACGACGAGGCATCTTTACTTTATCACTACGTCACTCCTATCTAATTTTAATACGAATAACCGGCTAACAATGAAGAACCAATCCCTAAGTGAATTCAAGCATTGCCTGTTATTCTGGTTATTAACAAAGTTGCCGTTAGTCATAAAGCGGCATTCTAGCTGATCTGCGTCATGTAGCTCTTGATTTAGAAAAATAATTCAAATGAAAGGTGAAATAAATGGTGCGAATGCAGTCTAAATTTTAAATTTTACTATGATAATTGTGAAACTTCAAGGCTCATGTTGCAGGCAGGCAGCAACCGAGGTACCTTGCCGTCAACATGACTCGAGGCGGACCACCATCATTTACCACTCTAGTATTTATTCTATAAGCTAAATCTATTGATTCAACTATCAAATACATATTATTTATACTTAAGCACATACAATTCTGGTAAGAATTATATAATTTTTGTGTAAAATAAATTAAAGTCTAGTCTACATACACTTAACTACTTATAAATCTGATTATACACTTTTACTAACATGACTTAGGGGAAACAGTTTCACTATTTTCTACGACAGAAGACAAGCACCCGCATAATATAGAAAGCGTGACGGAAAGTCATAAAGTTAGTACATAAATAATTTAAAATGTCTAAAAGTAATAGGATGACTTCAGCGCTAGCTGTAGGGTTTCCAACGTAGATCAAGTTAATAATGTTATTCAGTTATGAAAGAAAATTCCCATAAGTATTAAGAAATACATACATAGACTATGATGTCTCGCTTAGACAACTTGATGTCCATCTTAAATGCCGAATGGGTTCATACCCCACTGAGTTGCTAAACAAACGGTTAAAAAATCGCAATAAAAGAAGGCCTCTCAGATCAGGTGAATTATATTATAGTTGCCAGATTCCAATTGGAAACAGCCATGTATTATGGTGATGTCATTATCATGATCACGTAGCCTAGAAAAATAGTTGTCCAATGATTATATAAAGAATATTATTGTCTTAAAATTGTTACCAGAAGTAGTTCCAACGGACTATACGATTGAAAAGCCGCTTTAACTTGTGAAAAACATTAGTTTTTCTTTAAAAAGGTCGTGTTTTCATCTATGTACTCTAATATTAATTATAGATTAAATATATAAGATCTATATCATTTCTAGGCAGTATTCGCAGTTAATTAAATTGCTAACAATTATCAAATTGACGAGATAGATGATACTGACACTTAAAACTTAAAACCCCTCCATACCTAGTATTCCAAATTGGCCATATGTACACTACAGTACTATAAATAAACAGAACATATATTTGGATAAGACAGCGATGGCATTATGCAATAAATCTGTTTTTTTTAATTCTGCGATAATTCTAATCTCAAATGGTTCGAAGTAAAACAGTTTATTACGAGTTTCTCGTTAACAGAAACCAGCTACTGTAGACTATAATCTCAAGTGTGAAAGACAATCTGTAATGCGTTACTTTAACTACTTATATCCTTAGCCTGTTTACAACCCGAAGATCATAAACAAGAGTTACTTAAGCAGCATCTATTAACTACTAGACTCAGTATAAGTACGAAAATTCTACGATTACTATGGTTTTCTATGAAACTTAAACTGTAGTATCCTTTGTACTTTGTAATAACAACATAAATATACTTGCACTTGTTATTACTAACTCTATAATGTTGATAACGGTACTGCAACTTACACAATAATATAACATCATCATACATTAGAGTCCAACAGTTTTAGGATTATAAGTATTTCTTCTTTTACTTATTTGAAGCGATGAAATTAATAGTAAAACCTGATATATAACAAAAATTACTTACATTGCGAATTTTCTAAATATTGATGGTAAAACATTTAGAGGTACACAGCATATAGCGATGATAGTCTGACCCCTCACAATGCAAGTAATTACGAAATGATCTATGTGTGCAATATACAGTAATGATTTCCTGAGCCTTTATACATTTCAGAAGGCGATGGATATCGCTGATGTTATGTACGTAGATTTAGAAATGTTGTAGCTACCAACTTTAAGCAAGTCATTTCAGATGATAGGTACCATATTAATTGTTCCTGCACCATTTTTCTTTGCAATATGCCCAATCCCAACTAAAGCAATCTGACTAAAAATCTTAACAGGATCCAATTACATGCTTACGGATAGGGATTCTACCTGGGTCAACATTTTAGATGTTGGATCTTAACATCATAGTAAATATCATATCGCCCAATAACAAGTCGAGACTGGAACACTTAAAGAATTGAGTTCTTCTTACTCTAATTCTATTTCAATTGAAAACGGCGGGAATAGTTCTTACTGCTGCTTTTACAAATAAACAGAATCACCACTGCAAGTGGCTACCGGAACTATCACTATGTAGATGTTTACAACTAGGTAATTGTAGCTTAATCTATAACATTGATTGCGATATTAAATCATTCTTATTATTAATGATACTGATGGGTTATTCAAAATCAAACAGGATTACTTACGCCAAGAAAGTAATCAAAAGATAATAATGCTCCTATATTAATCTATTTCATAAATAAAGGCAGCTGAAACCAAAGTCATCGAAACGAAATATCTCGAAAGAATCCAATTCGTAATCTAGCTGATTAGAATATATCCATGTTGTTATTCCTAATATTGTATCTTAAATATGTTCCATAGCTATCATTAATCTCAGCAAGTATCTGTCTCATATTTTGCACAAACCCTTGTTTTGCAGCCTTTCATGCGTGGCTTATAACACTTTTAGTAGTGACTAAGATGCGGCTTTATAAATTGGTTACAAATTAAAAAGAAAGAATTGATATATTCGTATTCAATGCTATCTGCATTTTTCACATACTCTCTAAAAATCCTTATACTGCAGTTCATCGTGCGTATCCCATAAAACTTCTAATAGCGATCAAAGTGCGTCCTTACGAATTGGTCATAAATTAAAAGGGAAAAATTGATGCGTTCTACTCACGTCTTTCTCATACTCTCTATCAACCCTTATACTGTAGTATATCATTTATTTCCTATAATACTTGTAGCAGTGATTAAACTGCATTTTTACAAATTCGTCATAAATTATAAAAAAAGAATTGATGTATTCTTGTTCAATTCTATGCTAATTAAAACAGTAGATAGGGTCAATACTCTGTTAGCTTTTGTTACTATACCGGTACTACGCAAATACGTTAAAATAGATCTACAATATAATGATTTTAGACAACGTCTAAAGTCTATCTGATGTTGGTGAACGAGTATAACAATCTAAATTGAATGACTTAGTTCATGAACCTAACAAATACTTTATAATAATATGATGTGACGACGACGACGAAATTGAATACTGATCAACGCTATCAATTTAGAATAGATGTAATGTCCAGTAGTGTCGAGAGCAATTTGGTCGAGATAGTTTTTTAGTGCGTTATTACTCTATTTCTACTCACTGGATTATTTTTTTCTGCTGTGTTTAACTGTTCAATTATATAAAAAATTAATGTTTTAATAAAGGAAAATTTTTTAAGTCTTTATTAATGTAACAAAGGTGATTAGTTCAATAGGAACATCCACTGTATGAGCTATTTAGATTTACAACACGCAGTAATTCTAGGCTGCTACAATAGTAACAGCTTGTAAATTGAATCACTAAAAGCAAGTTGAAAGTAATAACCTGTTTCAGCTGCTGAGGACGCTCTATTAGTTAAGTTAACTCTTTTAGCTACAAAAGTACTATACTCTGTGAATCATGTGTAAGACAAATTTCTATTTTGTTTGTATCCTTTGTTTATCATGTGATAGAAAAGACTATTGATGCAGAAAGCCACTCAATTAGATACTCACTATACTGCTTAGAAGTTTTGATGCCAGTATGTAGCAACATGCAATTATCGATTTGACTAGCCTGATTCGGCTACTGTGGAAGACGGTATAAGCTGAGTTATCATAATTGCTATGAAATCAGTCTGAATTACACGTACGCGTATTAATGTTTTCAATAGGTCAGATCTCTATTTGACATTTCTCATTAGTCCGCGATAGCATAGACTTCTTAATATATTAAGACGCTAGTCATTGATTTAAAAACAAACTACTTGGTAAGATTACCTACGTGCTACTCTCTCCAAATTATTCAAGCATAAATCTTGATCGATCAAGTTCTAACACTTTATGCTTTTAAAATGACATCAGGTAATAATTTAATGCTCTATTATTCATGGCTCTAAATTACACTTTGCCACGTCAGTAGAATCAAAAAATATTAACCATTAATAAGGAAAATGAATGCTCTGTTTATGGTATAATAATTTCGGCATACGTGCACCACGTAGGCTAACAAGTGTAGTGAAAATGTTGCTAAAAATTGACAAAAGTGCAACATATTAATAGATTTTTTTATTTTTAGAATATCATATTGTCATTATTTTAGTTTATTTTATTAGCTTTTAGACATGTTAGTAAATTCTTTATAGACTAATAAACACCAGACTGAGTTAGGGTTTATTGTAATTCGATACTATTTTTACCTCTATTCAAATTCTGTGCCTAATTTAATGTCAATAAAATACTTCTAAATTTAACCAATTACAAACTACGCGTATACAAGAGGAGGCCGTAGCCTTAGCTATTATCGCTTGAATGATCTACATTTAACACTACGTTAACAGGAAAGTTTCGAAATATTAATTTTTTTATTGTCTATCATAAGTACTTACCTTTAGCAGATAGAACAGTCACTTTTAGAAGATCAAAATCTTTAATTAATGGAGTAAAATCGATAGAAATTGACCTAAAAATGAACAATTTTGCAAGCCAGATGTGGCACACATGTTTTGAAAACGTATCCAAAATTCATGACTAAATTATTAATCACTTTTAGAATAATAAAGATATTGACTTAAGAAAACAATGATCACAATTATAAAGGAAGGATATCCCTTTCTTTCTTTATTGAATACACGTATGTAGTATGGTATAAGCTAGTGGAAATAAATTACCCTGTTTAGAGACTTTCATTCTATCTGACTTCCATCAACTTTTCATTCTTTCAAAGCTATATCGTAAGGGACAGTTCTTTCAATATTACTTTACTAGCAAGGTAATACTAAAAAATTTTTAGAGTATTGTGGAAAATCCGTATAATAGTGAATCATTTTTTATTTCGATATAGACTTAAATACCGATTATCTTCACCTTATCTATTGATCTGTAAAATATCGATACTAAACAAAGAATATTTTATAAAAGAGCTGTAACTTAATACTTTTGTAGTTACAGTCAGTTGATTTATCAACTATATACGTAAAAGAAAATCGATGTCAGTTTATGATTTATCAGATAGTGATATAGTCTGGCTGCCATTACTAATACGTACTTATAAGAATTCTATTTAAGCACTACTACATTCAATATCAATTACACTACCTGGATGGCACCATCTAATCCAGGTATTTTTACAATTTCAAAATAAATTCAGTATTTGTCAAATTTGTCACTACTTTATCTTTTAATATTTTGAAAACGCTTCGATAGAAAAAATGACATCCAGTACTCCAATTCAAGAAAATAGTAAAGCTAAATGTAGTAATCAACTGAATCTAAAACATCTTAATCATTTGGATGGATGGATGCGGAAAGTCATGGAGTTCCTATATCATCCAATTGATCCTTCGTCTCTCGGTATAACGCGTATTCTCTATGGTAAGAAATAGATTCATCCAAAACCATTGCAATAACTTGAATCTATTACCGGCATTTAACGTGGAATTGAACGATTTTAATTCGTAAATATGAATTCACAATCCAATACCTGCCTAAGGAGATAATTTGTTATTAGTACAACAGTAAGAGGTGATTGTCCAATAATTGAGAGAAGTTTGAAACTTAAATTCGGACAATTAGAATATAATTTTTAAGTTTTAAATCTCTTACTAAAACATTAGCGTCATGGGTAAAGTATTTACAGTAATTATAAATGATTATTTATAAACTCACTTAGCTAGATTACAATTGATACAATTTCTTATCTTTGATGAATTGATAGGGGATACTTTAACTACAGCATTATTACGCGTAGCTGCAATGCTATAATACAACTTTTGTAGCCTTTTAATCTGTTGCTAATGGATTGTCATCGACAATTAGGATTTTTAATGATTGTTGATACAACTCAAGAACGAGGAATGGAAAAGATTCCTTACAAATACAAAGACCCAGAAGCTTGTTTTTTCCCACTATTTAATATACTAACACCGTTATCTGCCGATTGGATGCATGTAGTCTACTTATCGATGATTATTGCAGCATTCTGTATTTGCATTGGTTTTTGTTATCGTTTCGTTACCATTTGGCTAGCAGTTTGCTATTGGTATGTTTTCCTCTTAGACAAGACAACATGGAATAATCATTCTTACTTGTTTGGTCTGTTTGCGTTATTCTTTTCTTTTACCAAAGCAAATCGATGGTGGTAAGTATTAACAATTTCTTCTAATACTATAATATTACGTGACTCATTTCATTGCATTCGATGCCAGTAATTAGCATCATATTCACTTTAAAATTACTTCATTTCAATAATCAAGTCGGCCTTTGAGTGACTTTAATTTCAGCAAATTTGTAAATCTTACCTCTATTAGTGCGAGAGGATATCTACTCTACCTATAGCTATAAAAGAATTGTAAACATCTTATAGTAGTCCTTTCAAATTTTCCGATGAATAATAATCATAATACTTCCGAGTGTACCTTTTCGTAAGATTAACTCAGTTAATTTCATAAAAATAATAATTAATCAATATATTTTACCGGAAAAATAGCATCAGCCTCATAATTTTAGTAGTTTTTGTAATTTCAAATAGAGATAACTTAATCTTTTAAAGCACACAGTAATCTCATCTAAATTTGAAGTTTAATTCATAGTACTAACAACAGCATCTAATAATAGAGCAGAAAGATTATAAAGCTCTAAGTAAATAATTGTAGTCAGGTATTGCCTCATTTAGCTACGTAATATAAATTCTTGAATTTGTCTGATACTTTAATTTATAACGAATCAACAGAATAGCTGGCTAAATTGATCCCTTAAAACTTTATGATTACAAATATGTGAAAATTTTAAGGAAAATTAACCCGTCATTGTCTAATTTTATTTCCTTTCTACCTTACTAAATGATTCCTTTTACTATATTAAAATCATATATAAAAAATATTTTAGCTCTGTGGATGGAAAATTAGACCAGTCAATTCGAAATACCCACATTCCTCGATGGCATCTAGCTTTATTTCAATTTCAGGTACAATTTCTAGGTTATTTAATTGCATTATGAGATGTCATAATATAAGTTGAGAAGGTCTTAATCCTTACAATAGCTACTGTTAGAGAATAGTCAAATGTAATTATTACAACTTTCAATTTGAAATATCATAAAATCACTATAAATTTGCTGATAAAGTAAATAATAAATTTATGGGTGCTAAAGATTTTGAGATCCCTTAGTTTCGAATTTACTCTCTTTATTGAAAGATCTTTCTAGTCTACTTTTATGCTGGAATAAAAAAATTAGATCCAGACTGGATAACTGGTAATTCAATGGTATCCTTAGAAGCACATTGGGTATTTTCCTTATTTCACTATGTTCTAACTCCGGAGCAAGTTAACTTGTATATTGTTCATTATGGGGGATTTGCTTTCGACTTAATGGAAGGATTCCTATTATTTTTTGACATCACACGGCCAATTGGGCTACTGTTGGGATTTTATTTTCACTTTTCCAATGCTTGTATGTTTACTATTGGTATCTTTCCATATGCTATGTTAGCAACATTACCGATATTCTGTAGACCGGACTGGCCTAAAAGATTACTTGTAAAAACCCCACAACGTTGGCAACGCCATTTCATTATTGATGCACCTAAAAATTATTCCTCATCAGATTGTTATTATTATGCTGATGAACGAAATAGCTCTGATCAGTGCACGAAAAATAAACCTAGTAAGCAAAGTACCGAAATCAAAGATAGTAATGAAGGCATTGCAGTAAACTCTGCAAAATTAGGAATTCGGCGCTTTACAAAGAAAAATAAATTTACGTTATTTGCTTTGAGCTGTTATATCGCTATTCAGCTCTTTTTGCCATTCTCACATAACGTTACCAAGGTTTGTTTTTGTCTTTACTTAATCACAAAATTTTTAAATATAGTTATCGAAATTAGGTGAAACACTTATCGCGTTAATAGTCCATATTTTAGTAGTTAAGTACTGTTTTTCAAAAGACTATTCCACGTTCGACATTGATCTATTTGTTTAAAATTATTTTCCATTAAACCTTAGGGATATACTGGCTGGGACGATCATGGTCTATATGGATACTCTTGGGACATGATGGTTCATACTTGGGCAACACAGCATGTTAAAATAACAGTCGTCGATCTTTCAAATGGCCGGCAATTTCATCTCAAGCCTTCTGTATGTTATAAATATGCGTTGGTTGTTAGATAATTATAGTGATACATTTATAGCTTTATACTGTCTATGAAAGTGCTTACATACGGTAACCATGTCGTATTAACATGGTGTAGAGATTGTTTTCAATTTTATAGATAAATAAGAATTTTAACGTTTACTATTACATAACGATAATGTAGAGTTTCCTTGTTGGGTCGGCGAAATTCAGCGATCGTTGGAATTCTCATCCTGACATGATTAAGCAATATGCTACTTGCATCGGCCGCCGTGTGAAGAAGTTAGGTGTTAAACAACCCGCAGTTTATTTCGATATTTGGAAATCGATGAACCGTCGATTTAAACAACGAACAGTTGATCCATCTGTTGATGTGCTTGCAGCTCCATGGTCACCGTTTACCAAGACGCCATGGATGATGCCATTACTCAAAGACTTTACGTGGTGGAGATCGAAAATGGTTGAACTGGATGAGAAATTATTGAATGATAGTATTACCTTGTCAACGAATTATGTAGCTGATTTTCCGGGCTTTACACTGGAAAATTTTGTACCGGAAGTTTATCGAGTGAATTTAACAGTATTACAAGGTACAGTACGCATTAGTGTTGGACAGAAAGGCCACAACATCGACGCTAATCAAACAGCAATTTTGCCAAATAATAGAACTCACGAAGTTCGCGTAGTATCCAAAGAACCGGCCAGCTATTACTATCTTTTCAGTAATATTACAATGGAAAAGATGATTGATCAAGAATTAAATAAGATTAACAGTACTGAAGAAACTGCCAAGAATGGTACTACTACATACTTAAAATCTATAAAAAAGAAATTAACTCCAATTTATCGCTTCATCTATCTCAAAGGACTTCTCTACTACCATATTGGCAACAATACAATCAACGCTTTAAGCAACATACTAAGAAATTGCAATTGCGATCAGAATTTGTTACCGACTAATAAACCTTAGCCGATGGCGCTATTTTATCCGTAATTACAGCATAATATGATAGGTTTGGCCTTGACGTAGAGTAAATCATCCTCCAATTTTCACCGATAGCTGGGTAACGGATACATGTTTAATGATCTTAATACAGCTTTTTGATAAAGTTTTCCAGCCTATTACAGAAATTACTTAAAAGTGAGGAGATCATGAATTATTACGTTAATATTGCGATGTTTACTCTTTGAGGCAAAATATCAACAGTCATTGATCTTGATTAAATTTGGAATAAGCGTATGAAAGTAGTTTTTGATTTTAGTAAAAGCAATAAAACTGTGGCAATTTAAAATAATTATAGATTACTTTTCTTGTTATCCTCAATTAAAATAAAAATCAACGTCAAAGTCGACTCTTCCAGCGTGATTTAAGGCTTCATGAATGATTCTAATGTGGTATAAGGTTATTCTAATAATAATGACTCTTCGAAAATCACACATTTATTTCGATGAAGTTGTAGTTTTAGAACACCGACAATAAGCACGATAATTGATATTTAAAGACTATCGAGAAACATTGTTTCTGTGCATTAATCTATTGGTAAAGAGTCGCGTAGATTCAAAAAAGTAACGGTTTAACAAAGTTTTGTGAATCAAATTAATTAAGATCAGCGAGTTTGAAGTGTTAATCTTTTAGTGGATCATTGTAGAGAAGCCTATCGAAAAAGAATTTTATCTGATCTTTAAACTAACTGAGAAGAACTGGTGGAATAGATATAAAATTAATAAGGAACCAAAATATGTGACAGTCTCCAACCTCTGCATACGATAGTAGACAGTGAGTAAACATCTCAAGCTATAGTATATCAGAAAACGATATTTTTGTGTGTGTTTTCGTGTTCCGTATTGGCTACCTTTAATAACAGTTTCAAGTCCCAATTTATTTGCCATACGGCATTTCATTATTTTAACTCGTTATTAGCCATTCAAGAACTTTTTGTTAATGTGATCGTAGTTCAGTTAAAAAAAAACACTAGCTTTCATAATGATAAAGTTTTTCTCTTGGGACTTGCTATAGTCAAGATAAAGTCGTAATGCAAATTATGCATAACAATAAAATTATTTTATATAAAGTCTTATATGCGACAATATATTGTCTTCTAGTGCTACTTTATCCTTTCCAAATTCAATCATTTTACAATAATACTGTATTAAAATAACCCTGAAGCCTAAAAAGTCACTTCTATCCTCATAAGCGACTATTGTTAAAGTAGATGTGCAACACAGATTCATCCATCTTAAATTTACCGCCGTCTCAATGATGGATGCACAGTACTGTAGTGATTATAGTAAGGACCAAAGACGTCTTACCATACCCGTATATCGTATCTACTATCTAGTGGCCCATGACTATATACATATATTCAAAGATGGCTATAACAGCGTTAATGAATTATTCATTACACATTTGTACTTGATTACGGAGTCTACTATTAACTAGAAGAAAGTAAGCCTAGGCATGACTACTAATAGGTTTTCTTTTGGTATCATGGCCTAGATCAGCAGCAGTACTATATACTGCAATACAAATTTATCAGTCAGAAATTGAATGTACTCTCAGTACCTTAAATTAAAGGAAAGAAACTTTTTAAATTGAACGGATGTTGCCCTGGGCTTCGTAGTCCGCTAATAACCTTCGAAAGGGCAGTGTATGCTATCTGAAGTAGTCGGTAAATTGCGCTAGCAATGGCAGTGATACACAGCTCCATGCGCGCTACCATCACATGAATGGACCCACACGAAAATCGACCTATATTGTCTCAATTACACCATATTCAAGTATGATAATCATCGTAAGGTAAGATTATTTTTAAGTTAGACGATGCAGTCCACCAATGGCCTTAAGAAAATAATCTATATCTACGTAGTTAACCATACATTTCGACTATAATGCAAATAAATTTCCGCACAATTCATTGTTACTTCAATTAACACCGTTGCAAAGTAAGTGAATGTAATTCTGAGATTACTCATCTTTTATTAGAATGCATAATCCATTAGTAAAGTAACTTTCAATCTATAGAATGGAATAAGCTTAAGAAAATATGTATAAGATAAAATGCATGATTATTAACACTTTGACTTATGGGAATACTGTGAATAATACCTGTATTAACTTTCAACAGGCTTATTGTGAAGTATTAAAAAAACATATCACTGCGATTAGTAGGCACCAAATTCCCTGGAGATGTACCAAGTATAGTCATTCGTGCTTTACATTCAAGTTAATTAGCTAAATGGGCTTCCGAATTTTAATGAAGTCCCATATGGTAACCGTTCACAGCATGTTTTGTAGCATTAGACAAATGTTATGACAAACTATTGTTTGTGAAAAAAAAGTACTTTTTCTCAATCTGGCCTTAGCAGAATCATTTAGCGTTAGAGATTTTGACTTGTTATTTTTTGAGGGTCGCTATAGCTTATACTTTTAGAAAATTTATAAGATTGATTTGATATAAGAATTTTGTAGTGCTGCTTTAGTACCTACCGAAAACGGTTCCTATCGTCAATTTTCAACGATGTTTGGCACTAGGAAGTTGATACAACTCTTACTTTTTAGCTATTTACTTCATTTTGCCATCGCCGTAAGTTTCAATTAGATCAAATTTATTTATTCTATATTGTACAGTATTAGGCACTCCCTTTTTCCTTCATTAACTCTATTAAACAAACATGCATAGTGATATCTGAAATGGAGTAATGATTCTGGTAATAAATCCACAAATTACTTGAATTTCTACCTTCTCTTTTTCTAGGTATTTCAACCGTTTCAACCCAAAACATGTCTTGAAATAGCAAAACATAACGCAAATCGTGGCAAGCGCGCAATCGAATATAATGATAAAAGTAGTGGTAACCATAACTTAGACCATTCGGCAGGCAAGTTTTGAATCGATGTTAGTTTTAATTTTAATGGCTTTTACTATCATTCAAAAAGTTAACGATTCATAAATAATCTCTACGTTTAGACTCTGCTCTTAGAAACGGTATCTATTGGAGTGATAAAGATAAAAAATATCTAGACAGTTTTGATCATGTTTTTACTGCGAAATATCCCATCGGAGGACGACCACCACAACTTGTTAGCAATCCTGAAGGTTGGACTGGAAACTCCCGGCCTTATATAGATAGCTATGAGCAAGTTTCCACCGAGAAAAAACCTGGCCTAAAACCACAGGCAGATTTTAGTCAACTAAAGGGTTGGTCAAAAAGCGGTAAATTTTTTCTAGATAAATACGATCATGTCTTTACTGAGAAGAAACCTGGTGTAAAGCCACGACCAGATTTTAGTCAATTTCATGGTTGGACGGCAGACGGTTTACCTGGTCTAGGAGTTGGTGGTCAATGGGGAGGCAAAAAACCCTACGTAGATGGTCTTACACCAGGTAACTGGCCGAATCACGGTGGAGATGGCGTTCGTAAGCCAACACAATCAGGTTGGGCACATGGAAAACCACCGTACGTTGATGGTCTTAGTGGAGGAGGAAGCTGGTGGAATAATGGCGGACAAGGTAATCATAAACCAACACAATCGGGATCAGGTTCGGGGTCAGGATCAGGATCAGGATCAGGTTCTGGATCAGGTTCTGGTTGGGGATTTGGTACTCATAAACCGTCGCATAAGCCAAATGCAACAGGATCAGGATCAGGTTCAGGTTGGGGTTCCGGCACAAGTAAACCGACTGGATCATCAGGATCAGGCTCGGGTTGGGGTTCTGGTACAAGTAAACCGACTGGATCCTCAGGCTGGGGATTTGGCAGTAATAAACCCACAGGATCAGGATCAGGCTGGGGTTCTGGCACAAGTAAACCGACTGGATCAGGCTCCGGCTCAGGTTGGGGATTTGGTACTAATAAACCTACAGGATCAGGATCGAGCTCAGGCTCAGGCTGGGGATTTGGTACTAATAAACCTACAGGATCAGGCTCAGGTTGGGGTTCTGGCACAAGTAAACCGACTGGATCCTCAGGATCAGGCTCAGGCTGGGGATTTGGTACTAATAAACCTACAGGATCAGGATCAGGATCAGGTTGGGGTTCTGGCACAAGTAAACCGACTGGATCTTCAGGATCAGGCTCAGGCTGGGGATTTGGTACTAATAAGCCTACAGGGTCAGGATCAAGCTCAGGCTCAGGCTGGGGTTCTGGCACAAGTAAACCGACTGGAGCTTCAGGATCAGGCTCAGGCTGGGGATTTGGTACTAATAAACCTACAGGATCAGGATCAAGCTCAGGCTCAGGCTCAGGCTGGGGTTCTGGTACAAGTAAACCGACTGGATCTTCAGGATCAGGCTCAGGCTCAGGCTGGGGATTTGGTACTAATAAACCTACAGGATCAGGATCAGGCTCAGGCTCAGGCTGGGGTTCTGGCACAAGTAAACCGACTGGATCATCAAGCTCAGGCTCAGGCTGGGGATTTGGTACTAATAAACCTACAGGATCAGGCTCAGGTTGGGGTTCTGGCACAAGTAAACCGACTGGATCTTCAGGATCAGGCTCAGGTTGGGAACTTGGTACTAATAAACCTACAGGATCAGGATCAAGTTCAGGCTCAGGCTCAGGCTGGGGTTCTGGCACAAGTAAACCGACTGGATCATCAGGATCAGGCTCAGGCTCAGGCTCAGGTTGGGGTTCTGGCACAAGTAAACCGACTGGATCTTCAGGATCAGGCTCAGGCTGGGGATTTGGTACTAATAAACCTACAGGATCAGACTCAGGTTGGGGTTCTGGCACAAGTAAACCTACTGGATCATCAGGATCAGGCTCAGGTTGGGGTTCTGGCACAAGTAAACCGACTGGATCTTCAGGATCAGGCTCAGACTGGGGATTTGGCACTAATAAACCTACAGGATCAGGCTCAGGTCCAGGTTGGGGTTCTGGCACAAACAAACCGACTGGATCTTCAGGATCAGGTTCAGGCTCAGGTTGGGGTTCTGGTACAAGTAAGCCGACTGGATCAGGATCAGGCTCAGGTTGGGGTTCTGGCACAAGTAAACCGACTGGATCTTCCGGATCAGGTTCGGGCTGGGGTTTTGGTACTAATAAACCTACAGGATCTGGCTCAGGTTCAGGTTCAGGTTGGGGTTCTGGCACAAGTAAACCGACTGGATCTTCAGGATCAGGCTCAGGCTCAGGTTGGGATTCTGGCACAAGTAAACCGACTGGATCATCAGGCTCAGACTCAGGTTGGGGTTCTAGCACAAGTAAACCGACTGGATCATCAGGCTCAGGCTCAGGTTGGGGTTCTGGTACAAGTAATCCGACTGGATCATCAGGATCAGGCTCAGGCTGGGGATTTGGTACTAATAAACCTACAGGATCAGGATCAGGCTCCGGTTGGGGTTCTGGCACAAGTAAACCGACTGGATCTTCAGGGTCAGGCTCAGGCTCAGGTTGGGGTTCTGGCACAAGTAAACCGACTGGATCTTCAGGATCAGGCTCAGGTTGGGGTTCTGGTACTAGCAATCCGACTGGATCATCAGGATCAGGTTCAGGCTCAGGCTCTGGTTGGGATTCTGGTACAAGTAAACCAACTGGATCATCAAGCTCAGGCTCAGGCTGGGGTTCTGGCACAAGTAAGCCAACTGGATCTTCAGGATCAGGCTCAGGTTGGGGTTTTGGCACGAGTAAACCAACTGGATCATCAGGATCAGGATCTAGCTCAGGCTCAGGCTCAGGTTGGGGTTCTGGCACAAGTAAACCGACTGGATCATCAGGATCAGGCTCAGGTTGGGGTTCTGGCACGAGTAAACCGACCGGATCATCAGGCTCAGGCTCAGGCTCAGGTTGGGGTTCTGACACAAGTAAACCAACTGGATCATCAGGATCTGGCTCAGGCTGGGGATTTGGTACTAGTAAACCTACAGGATCAGGCTCAGATTGGGGTTCTGGCACAAGTAAGCCGACTGGATCATCAGGATCAGGCTCAAATTTGGGAACTGCATCATCAGGCTCAGGAGGGAGTCAAATTAAAAATAATAATGGATACTATACATTATATGATGCTGGGAATTTGCCTTACATGGCGTACTGTGACTTCAAATCTGATAATAACTATGTTTGGACTTTGATAACATCGTTCTCTCGCGAAAATGGAAATCATGCTGCTTTGTCACCATATGGTAAACCATTCCGAAAGCCGCTCTCGCAAAATTTTCCTAGCTACGAAAATCAAGCGGATAATTGGAATAAATTACGTTTTGACCTTCCTAGAATGAACTTAATTAAAACACATTCCACACACTGGCGTGCAACTTGTAATTTCCAACAAACCGAAATATTAGCAAATCACAAAGATTATGTACGAGGAGCCCTTAAGACGCTGGATATAATTACTGCGCTTGGCAATAAGTGCGCTGCAGTAGAATATTTTAATGTTGATGGTAAAGGTTGTAGTAACTGCAAGATACCCGTTTCGACTATACAGGATAGTCTCTTTGGGGGTAACAGGATGCCTTATGTCCCTGTAAAGCATTTTTCTAAGTGTGGCACTCCAATTGCTATTACGGACAACACTGAAAATCTGTTTGGTAATTACGATGGAAAGTCTCATACCTTTTCCTGCTCCAAAGCTAGCACTTCTACTACAAATTGGTGGTTAGGTGGACGTATCTAAAGAAACCGTGGACCAATCATTCTATAAGGCTTCAATTTTGAATAAAATCAAAATTTAAGGCATATGTTTAAATTTAAGCAACTTTGTAGGATAAATTTCGGTGTTTCATATGGTAAATATCATAGCATCGTAATACTTTCGTAACACATAGCTATTCAAGGGGTTAATTATAATTATTAAGATACTTTAGCAGTACAGTATATTTCTTCAAACATGCTGGAAAATCGCTATTATTCTATCTGCAATATTGATAATAAGTAATGTACTCAACTTAAAGTTAATCTAAGCTCATCTAATATACTAACAGATTGAGATAATATGTGTATATGGTATTATATTGGTATGCAATGATTTAAAATCGTCATTTTCCTATATTTATCGGCGTGCTTAAGTTAAAATTCATATATTTTAGATTATTAATGAGATTGCTTCACTTTAATAACATTCGACCTTCGATTGATTAAGGTGTTTCTATCAGTAAAATTTCGATGAAATACAACAGTTATTGTATCTAATATACTGTTGGAACGGACTATAAAACATAACCGTTTTAAAGCTTACAAGGCAAGCTCTTTTGACTTTATTCCGTTTCCAAATCGAGTCACTATAACTCTATTCTCTTATTATCGTCAACGTTAATATAACAGTACCTTGGACTATCACATATACCTAGGTTTATCTAGTATGAGAATACAGTATAACTAGTAGGCAATACATCAGCGAAATACCAGTTTTAGTCGGAAGGAAAAGGTAGTACTGTATTTGTACGGTATTTACAGTGAGTTTATATCACTATTAAATTGTGGAGTAAGCTACTGATTAAGGATTTGTAGATGTAATAGATCGGATAAGTACATTAGTAAAATGCAAATTACCGTCATATCAGGCTGTATAGAAGTTTATTACGCTTTCCCGCTCGTCATAGAGTCTGTACGTAGTTAATATAGGGAAACACGGTAAAAAAATAAAGATAAAGTATATAGCAAAATGGTACTAGTAAATCAGAACTATACGAATGCGAGTCTCCCATCTGTATTTATTTCTATCATATAGCACAATTGTGGAAACGCATGTCCTTGTATGTCCACCGATATACACACCACTAAAACGGTAATTTCGTAACGGCTAGGTTGTTTAGTTAAATTATTTATTCTTTGTATAGTTTTACGTCTAGGCTAAAGAGACACAGATTAGATACTCGATTTATGCGTATATGAGACTAAATTCAGATGTTGATTGCTGTATCGTCAGAAATTATTAAAGGAACAGAACGAGTAGTCCCTAGTTTTGTATACGTTAAGCGCCTTTTAGACTTTGTCTATAGTATATAATTATAATAAGAAATATAAAATTTACGTAGTAATTGGAGTATACGCAGAAAAAGGAAAGGAAGGTAAAAAAAATGAATACTTTACTGCACAAGTGTATATTGCATTATGTCAACTCATTTATGTTAAACGTTACCGATACTTCCTAGACCGTGTTTATTGTCAAATTTTTGTTATAGCCGTACTTATCTACTTGTCTTATCCGATCGTTAGGAGCATAAATTCCGAAAGCACTATCTACAGAGTAATGCTTATTGATTTCTATATTACGATTTCGTTCAAATCAGATGTACCTGTATCTTAAAAACTCTGCACTAGAAGGAGCACGTAATCTGATTTTCAAGCGATTGTACTTCTTAGTAATTTTTTCATACAGTTTTACTGTTGCATTTCATGGTTATAGTCTAATACAAAGTTAACTAATTATTTTACTTCAATTAAATTTCATTTTATTTTATCCGTAAATGTCGCCTTAAGCGGTAAATCCATTCGTAAATATATAAAGTCTTGTATGACGTAAGATCAATTTTCCGTATACATAGGCATTCATGCAGGTGCAATGGGTGACTGAAATCAAAATCAATTATCAAACTATTTATAATGACGACAGTTTATTAGAATTAACAATTACAATTGGTTTAGTTTAATGATAGCCTTTATTATTAACTTGATGAATTAGGGCCAATGTTTCTTTTACTACACGTAGTTTTATTATCGCCTCTTTGATTTTTAATGCGATTTTAATGCATAATAGCCAAGAAAATTATTAATGAGATTAAAAGCTGAATATTTATTTATCTTTTACACACAGTCATGAGAATGACAGAATTGCAATCAATTTTAGTAATAAAAGGTAAAATCGAAGCATAAAAGATTTTAAAATATTGAAAAGCTGACATGTCCTAGTCTTGTAAGATTTGACTAAGTTCTACTATGTAACATCGTGCTAATGTCAAAGTTTGTTGTTTGCTAAGTGATTTTCTGCGATCTACTGGCAAGAAAGACAACTTTAAACGCAACTGATCAAAAGCTTCATTTAAATAATGCATTCGAATTCTCTCTCGTTCCGTAGCTCGGTGACGGCGTTTCATTAGGCGTTCTTGCTGATGACCTTGATTAAATTCAAGCTGCATCTGCGTTGGTGTATCTTCAATACTTCGATTTCTCCGCATAGTGTTTCTATTCGCTTTCTTAGTAGGTACGGAATCTCGTTTTAGTTATTTTCGAACTGCTAAAAAAGTTGATGAGTGTTGATAAATTTAGCAGTGTTCCATCTTTTATAAGGCGTGACTATGAAGATCTGCTATCAAAAATTTAAGACTACCTGTACGCCTGTTGATTTATAGGTTACTTGAATTCTTTCTCAGTCATATAGATATGGGGAATATTCCGAATAGCTACAGGGTGTTAAATTATAATAATTATTTATTAAAATAAATATAAGATAAAATATCTCCTTACAACATTTTCAGAATGTATCACAAAGCGACAGCCTGCAATCAGCAAATTCAGTAACACAAACAATATACCGTATGAATGACTTATCTTCAGCATGTGTCTAGATTTAACAGTACACACTCTAAAATTCGTAGATACAACAGCATGGACGATTACATTGCAGTTGAATATGTAGTATATGGTTTATTAACGCTAATTTCGTAATGTATACACATTGTTTACTGTAATAGATTAATGAGATATAAGCAATTGAAGTTCTTAACAAATTCTGGGATTAGTCCATATCATGTTGTTATATAAATACTGTAAATAGTAAGAAGCTACAGCTATTTCACACAAGGAATTGCTTACGTTAATTAATTATCAGTAAAACTCTGTAGAGCCAAAGCAGTTGCATACATACAGTATATGCACGTGTATATTAGCATTAATGACATTCGCACGTTCGGTTCAGTATCACTAAATTATTATAACTAGCGATTGCCTCACGCACAATGAAAAGACTCGCTTGTACAAGCGACTAGTTTTCTATTCCCTTTTTTTATCAATATTTTAAATTGAAAGGTGATCGAGGAGTCTGTAGTTGTGTTTCAATTTACGCCTTAGGTTGCTAACGACTACGTTCAAAATTTATTCTTGCTTGCTACTGTTATGCAAATTAAACAGTCCAGGCAGCTGCTTGCAAAAATTACTCTTACTTGACTTCAATCACCTAGACGTCAAATATTAATGAATTTATGACTATGGAATACGCAACTGAGGTCCATGACTACCTTCCAGTCACTCTTTGCTTAATTCGTTATCCACTTCTGTAGCATCATTAACGACTCGCAATGTTTCCGTATTTCATTAATCAGTGCTAAATGCAATGTTTATCATTTAATTTTAACAACTTCTTATTCTTTGCATTTTGTTGTTTCTTGTGCAGCACGCGCTTAACGCCTGTTAACATCTTATTAGACACGCGTACAACTGTCGACATTGAATTTATTTACCTACCAAAGGAATCACTTAAGATTAGGCGTAAATTGATGATCAACACGAAAGATTCATATTATTGCGAGAAACATAGTTGCAACAACCATTCTTCCTCAAGCAGAAGGCATGCTATGCTAATATTTAACAAATCTGTTACCAACTATTTCAAACACAATCAACAGCATTAGCCTTAACATCGTTATTAGCGTCATTGCTTAAAATCATGTAGTAACAATTGTAATCGGAGCGTTTCGATTGCTAAAGAATAGGTTGTAATCTTACAGTTATTTGAATACATCTAACAATTTTGATCTTTCCATTACTCACTAGAACCATCGCTTCTATTCAAGATCACAATATGGAATTTCAATAAAAGACATTGATGCGATTTCACATTGCCACAAATTTTCGTGTCAACGAAGCGTTCATAAATAAATTGTTTGGATTTCATTTCATACTAACTAAAGCAGTAATACTGTAATAGGAATGTGATACTTTATAGAAAGTTTCCCATACAGTTATATCATACAAGGTTCGAATTAAAAGCTAATAATTTTTATAACGGCTATCTGTAAACACACCATACGTAGCTAGTCATGTGAATAACGGTAACACCTAACATAAAAGAATAACTACTGTTCGAACTTGCTTAGCAATGCAAATGGTACATCAATATTTCATTTTTTAATATCAACCATTCTTTGGCACTAAAGTTTTCTGAATTTCAGACGTTTTGCACGTGGTATAACAAATTACGTAACAGTTCCAAAAAGTAATAAAAGCCGTTACTACAACTATCTCTAAGATACTAACATATAAATGTAACGGCATAACGGACTCTACTAACGTTATCTCGTTCAGTGACTGCGTTTATATAGGAATAGAATCTATCGTTGTTTAAATGCAGTCAAATAAATTTGACTACAACCATAGTTGATGCTATTAGTTAAAAAATGTTTCGGATTGGCCGTACTCATTTCTTAAAACGGAATTGATTGTAAGTGCTTTTCTTCATCAAATTTTAACACTTCCTGGTATACCATTTCTATTAAATTAATTTAATTTAATAGTGTTCTATTTAGACAAAAGCTCTTACTAAGGACAGAAATCTAAAAATAGTTTCTCTTGATGCAAATCTTTACCTTTCCATTTTTCAACTGGATATTTCGCATCATCTATCGTATGATCATAGCGTGTAGGAGGTGGCTAAAATTCATATAAAGCAAACAGAGATATATTCGGCATTTGAACGTTTTAATTTGGTGTATCAATTGTGATTCAAGACTATGATCAAAACTTAATACTAAACCGTACCACTTCACATTCGGATGCATCATACCACTGACGAACGTAAGGATGTTGGAGAGCATCTACTACGGAAGTCCTTTTTGATGCATCCATTATTAACATCTTTGACAGTAAATCCCGAGCCTGATTGGCTACGAGAACGCAAAATTAGAGGTTAATACTTTTGTAGCTTGCGTTAAGTAAAGTAGAGAAAGTAGGAACGATTGCATGTGATGCTATGCATATACAAATATGATAAGGGATTAACGCGAAGTCTTACATACCTCTGGTTAAGTAGCTACCCGTCAACGGTTGTTGAGGACTGTAATTATCATCATCATCATCTTCTGACCCATTTGGAAATAAACTATCAGGGAAAAGAACTTTAAACGGTAAACCAGCACGGTTCCCATGTTGAGATAGGATGTAATTGCGCGTCTAAATTGAATTAATCGCCTTATGTTAGGGTTACATTCCATTTAAATAGATTCATCGTTATGTTGTACTGCTTTACTAACCGAATGGCCTAGTTTATCTAGGAAGTCATCAGGCGGTGTACCAAGTTGCTGAATTATTTTATTCCATTGGTCAAGATCTGATTTTGGTATTCGGTTAAAGTCATAGCATTATGGGCGCTACGATATTAAAACATTTATTAAACTTAAATAATGTAAATTATAAAAACATTCTGGTAAAAATGCGGATACGATCATCTCCTGGAAAAAGTACCGTTCCACGGATCATTTCTCCCATTATACAGCCGACCGACCAAACATCAACTTAATTATGAACAAAAATTGTCCTCCAGTTCATTTTAAACAAAGGGACACTAAAATTTTTAAAACTGCAATAGTAACTACAGAATTTGAATGATTAAATTTCATACCATTCTCTTGATAACCAAGACCTAAAACAACTTCAGGGGCCCTATAGTATCGTGTTACCACGTACGGTGTCATCATAAATTCATTACCAGTAATTCTTGCCAAACCAAAATCGAGGATCTGTCATCATAAAGCGTACCAAAATATTGTTACTGAAAAAAATCTTGAAATTATATTCCTATAATTTATATTAATTTCAACTGACCTTTAAAGTACAATCGGATTTGACGACAATGTTACTGGGTTTCAAATCCTGCGCATAACATTGGTAGTTAAGATTTGTAAAAGTAATTAAAAAGAGTATTAAACTTGTTATAAATGTGATTTTAAAAATACACTTTACAACGCATACCCGATGTAGAATGCCAGCGGAGTGTAAATACTAAAAAATTCAAGAAAAATGTAGTAATTACGGTCGTGAAAACTCTGCTTATTTTTACATAGATTTAGCAATCCGGGATCTATACCACTAATGTTGTTAATGATTGATAATCATAGAGATTATAGTGTAATAGTAATTATAATATTCGTCTATTTTTTTTGTTTTCACAACCTTGTAATATAGCGTAGTAATTGTGCGCCAGAAGTAGTAACAATTTATAGTGTTATTTTTAGGTATAATTATATATCAGTAACATTGTGTTGTACCTTCAGACCACATAATAATTGATAAATTAAATATGACATGCGATCATGATCCAATTCCAAATTTATAACTTGGCATAAGTTGGCATCCATCAACTCCATTACAAGATATCTAAAGAAATAATACAACAAGACAATCACTACAATATTATCTAATCCAATTGGGTCTTAAGATTGAAACCATAACAAAAAGTTGTCATAACGTTATGATTAAAAAGTCTTGTTCGGAAACTATTTCAAAAATTAATCTTTGATTATCAAGCTTATGTATTAAGAAGTTTCAAGTATACATCAGCTCGATATTGAACCAATTATAATATAGATATAGATATAAAGATGATTTCCTTCCTTGTTAGTTACAATTAATCTGTGATCTAAATTAGTAGTGTGATATTGCTAAAATAACCCTTAAATGTTACTCGAAACAAATATTTTAACGCAAATAATTCTCTTGTTAACAGTAAGCAGATGTGTTACATACAATTCCGAAAATTCTTCAAGCGATCTATTTGGTGTAAATAAGTTCAGCAAACGAATAGTCTAATATGAGTAAACAAGCAAAAGTTAAGAAAGATGAGAATATACTCGTATTAGCTAAAATGTTATTAGCACATTCTAAACTACTGAACACGGACTTAAAATTAGAAGCAATACAGTATATGATTATTTGGTAATAGCACCATTTAATTTCTACGCATAAATCGATCAATTTCGTATCTACTAGTGGGAGATAGTACTCTGTTTTAGCATACATGTACAGAGTGACAACATAAACAAACAACGTGGTTAAATACATATTACTTAAATTTTGAACAAATTGAAAGCTCAATTTATATAATCAATGCTAAAGCCTATTGCACAGTAGTTATGATTATTGTTGACTACGGTATTGCACATCAGCTCTATCGCCCTTACATTTTTGTGCTTCATTATCAACATTAATACCAATTCTCGAAATGTTCTTTTGGCATGCGTAACATTTTGGAATGGCCGGCTCAATTTCTTGATTGCTACGCGATTACCGGTTTTTGTGTCATCAGCAGCACTGCAGAAAAAAATTAGATCGAATGTTTTCATTCTGTAAGACATTCAATTTTACAACAATGATTTAGCGTCCATGGGTATGCGATAATTATATCATTGACAATAAAGTAATGGTGTTATTTATGGATATTACGTAATTTAAGTCATTTTCAAATTATAGAGAATATTTCGTGGCGGTAGTACAGTATAGAGGTCAGTGAAACTTTTATTGCATCTGCGGCCAAGTTTCAGTTTTAACTTTTCCATTTGTTCACGGTTTCGCTCGAAGTCGCTTGAATAGAATTAAGCCCTAACTGGAATGATAGGAACTGTGGTAGGAGTTTGACTGCATTGCATGAAGGGGTTATGGAGATATTGTATATTCCTTCACTTCAGTTCAATGCATGCCCTGCAGCTAGGTACAGCAAGTACTAAATGTACACATGAACAATATGCACTAACCGTCAGTACAAACTCAATTTCTCTGTATCAATATTGCAGCAAGTGATATTTATGGTACCAAGGCGCGAAAGATTTCACAAAGTAAGAATAATCCAGCTTGTGTAGTCCATACTGTCTTTCACTACCACTACAGTGACCGTGAAATACAGTAAGTCTATGTAGCTTCCATACACGTCCATAAGTCAATGGATAAAACAGTAAACTACTTGAAGGAACAAGTTATTACAAGAAAGTTCTCGATCATTTATATGCATTAATTTTATCCTAGTAATCATTTTAAGGCATAAAAGATGAGGAAATGACTGGGCTAATCCATATTCGGATGTAGTCCAATGGACAAACCAACCATTTTTACATACTGTATCCTATACAAATGGGTTAATAGTCCTACTAAAAGAGCATCCCACCGTCTGTCGCGTAGCGCGTCCAGTGTCAGTGGGGCTGTTTCAGTCTACTGTGCTATACTGTACATATGTACACAGTCTACATTACTGTATTACAGGAAAAAAAAGGCTTTTTCTATCCCTACCACCGCTTCCATTGTAGTACCGTGTTATGTCTGTGATAGCCATTACAATACAGTATGTTCTAGTAGAAAATGGATTTAGCACTGCAGTATATTTTGGGTAAATTGCATATTGTAGACAGTAGGACGTGAGTTTTATCAAGGTTTTTCGTCTTGATAGGAAAAATGAATACGGCAATTTGATTTATTGGCAGGAAATGAAGCTAATTTTATAGCATAAATCGGTTATTATTCAATTGACACATAGTGAACTGATACTGCTACTTTCAAAGTTAGTAATACTTATAGTGATTCATGTACAATGAAGCTGATATCAATTGCTTCAAAACTATTTGAATTGTGCAGTTGGGAAAATGATTCAATTACTCTATTTGGTTAGTAATGTAGGCCATGCCTAGGTACATTCGACAACTTGAATTACTAAATTTGATTTGATTGGGAATTGAGCCATGGACCACTCGATACTTTACCTAATGGTCTTTACTACAAGCCAGTGCAGCTTAGTGGCGACTTTTGTCGTGATTACAGTAGTGTCAGCTTGGCTGGCCTTGGCGTATGGTGATTTTTGAAAATTCTTGCTCTTGCAAAGCAAGAGCAAGAATAACGTTGTCATACATTATCCTATTAACGGATCAATATTTCGACTACTACTTTTGATAGCTACAGTAGAGCTCAAAGTAGCTTTAAAAGGCTATATTGAAGTCTACACTGGATTTTAATAGGATCGAAGACAAATCGGAATTGCCTAAAAACTATGCCAACAAATCTATACTATCAACTTCGTCAATGCTAATTTGATCTACATTACACATTCGTGCTAGAATTTTAGACTGCTGCAATATTTACTGTATAGTGTAATACTTTACATCATATACTACAGTATACAGTCATGAGTCATACGATACAAAAGTGATGCAAAATCACCTAGACCGCTTAGTGCGGTTTCTACTGTATAGTCGTTGTACATATAAAAGAGTTTTCGGCATACCAAACGATTCCTTGTGAACCGGCTCCAATGACCTTCAGATCTTCATAACGCTTTAATACAGTAAAAGTAGTGTCGCTAACGATTTCTGTACGAAACATGGTCGCTGAGGTATTAAGGTAGAATAAAATTAATTTATCACCATTACGATAAAAATAACTACGAGGATCTATGGGCAGGAAACTTCTCCAGTAGGGAGCGCTGTTTGAAAGGAACATTGAAAATATGGGCCCAGCACATCAGCGCCTGCGTACGTTACAGTACTGCCTTAAAACCCCCCCCCGTTTTTGTCCCAATCTACAGTCTCAACGGTCATGGCGGTACTGTGACAGTATATACTGTACACTGTACAAATCATGTCCATACACAACGCATTACCACCTGCGTCGTAGCAAAATACATGACCGAAATCAGCTTAAAATCATAGATGTAAGAAAATCCTCCTCCCCTCCAAAAACATGCCACTGATTTAGACTACTTATAGTATTCAAATATTGTACAGTAAGGTATACAGTATAGTATACTATGATGGACTACTAAGAATGGTAATAGTCGTAGTATTCTAGTCGTCTATGATGAACAGATACTACGTAGTAGGTAGTATTGGACATTGCGTAAACGCTGTTGTGCAGCATGTTGACTGGTACAGTACTTGCATTGAACGTTCCAGTGGGCAGAAGCGATTACTCTGATGTATCTAGCGTGAAAATATTCGTAGATGCAGGAACTTTATTATACATACAAATTAATTAATGCTACGAATTTGCAGCATGGTAGTAATCACTTCCAATTTTTTATACGTTGCAATATTTATTATTTTAGTCCTTTATCTTAACAGCATCATAGTCAATTACAATTATGGTTGGCCTACGTCGCCGCCTTTTAAGCGTCCTTACTTACGAGCCTTAAACCCAATCAAGATCTTACAAATTAACAGAGAAATTCTTTACTACATCCTATCTTTTCGCCATATTAATTTATATTTTATGTGGAAAAAGTTATATAATACGGCCAAGCCACCACATTTATATAAGGTTGGTAGGTTGCTATAGACATGATAGAAAAATTTAAAATGTGCAGGTCATCTTAATTAAGCAACATACGGTAGTGAGTGGCAATATGATCGGCGCCATAAGTGATAAATAGAAGAGTTATACTGTATAGTGTAATAGCTTAGCATTACACTGCAATAACCAAAATAATGCTAGAAGTTACTATTACTTCAAGGTAGACTTGTACCTAGGGTCAAATAGAAATTGTAATTATGACTAAAAAAGTGGAACTACCTATCCATCTATAGGATATACCATATTCACTTAATGGATGCCGATTAGATATTCATCGTTCGGAAGAGAGTGTTCAAAATAACAATACGTTACGCCCAATAGTCATCTATATATATGGTGGAGCATGGATGTTTGGCTCGAAGCAAATGTATTGTGTATTAGCTGCGAATTTAGCTAATTTAACAGGCTGCGTCGTTTGTTGTCCAAATTACCTACTGGTTAATAAGGTAAATTTGATGATCGATATGCAATAAAGCTACTGCTACTGTATACCCATGATGCGTTAGTAACCTTTTAATATTTCGGCCGATAACCTGATGTATAATTTATATAATTGATGATGTATGTTCTTGTACTAGTATATTCCAACACAAACATAGTCTAATGTCTTTTTTATTATGCAAAATGTGCAATAGGGTAATGTAGTTCATATGCTACAAGATTTAAAGGATTGTACTCGATGGCTTATCGATCATGGGAAAGAATATGGAGGAGATCCTGTAATTAAATTAGAATTTATCGCAGTTGTCAATACCTTAATACGTCTAAATTTTACAAATAATTCAGGATAATCATCCTTTATTGTTCAATTTTTATTCCTAAATTTATCGTTAATCCTGCATTCAAAATTGATATTTACAGACTTGCACGTACAGTTACGCGTATTACTGAACTGGTTATAATTTAATCGATAGGAAAACATATTATTCGTTGGACACTCTTCAGGAGCCCACTTATCCATTTTAAATTTGATAGAATTGATCAGCCAAAGTTATTGGAATACTGAAAGTAACAATATTGTACGCAAAATTAAAGGTATTACCTCAATCAATTCAAGTAGAGAGTTCATTCATTTTTAGTAAAATTGTTATTGAACTGCAATGTTTTTAGACGAGTAAGGCATATATTTTTTATACAGAAATAAAAATGTTTTATTCCAAGATCCAAGTGACATGCTGTAGATTATGTACATCAAGTAAATTGTTAATGTGAAGGCGCATACGATATTGCTACTCTATATGTCAATGATTGTAGTGTCATACACTGCACTATAATGGTTAAGTTATTAATAATGTGTAATAGACAACTGATGATATCTAGAATCTACTGAAACTAAGAAAGTAATTCCAAAATCTTTTAGATATAACATCCTTTTTATTGTTAATTAGGCGTTATTGCACTAGCTGGCGTTTACGATATTCCACAACACTTATTATATGAGATAGGGAGAGGTGTCGAAGATGTATCCGGTATGTATAGAGCTATGCTCGGTGTTACCGGTTTAAAGCGCTATTCTCCCTACTATCTAGTTCAAGATATGCTATCAAGAAGTGAAAATACAAGCAGGTTTGATTTCACCTCGTGTGCTAGTTATTAAACGCAAATATCTCGTTAGCTGACTTTATAAGATTTTCGATATCTTAAAACTTTATATTTATCTAGAATATGCAATATTTTTGGAATTTCTAATTTTAGTAGTCAAGAAAAAGACAGTAGTCTGTGGCCGCATATCATATTACTTCATGGAGAGAACGATACTACTGTCCCAGTCCAGCAATCTGAAAAATTTTATCAAGTCGTTAAGGAATTAGATGTTACCATTGAATATTGCGAATTAAAGCACTTGGATCATACAAACTACATTATTGATATGATGAATGCCAACTATCAAATTCACAAGATTATCTCTGAAATAATCACGCCCAATGTTCAGAAAATTATTCTTCGTGAACGCTAGATCTAAGATTAATTTTCATTGGACGTACCATATGAAATCTTTTAATTGTTTAAATGGCAATGTATTACATTAATACCAGATTTTTAGTAATAAATTAAAGTATTCTACACTTGCACCTAAAATATATGTGTACACGTGTATTTGCAATCGGTTACTGTAACAAGAATTTTTTATTCGCATTAATTGGATGTCCAAAATTATAATCAATAATCACATTAAATTACAAAATAATGGTAAAGCTGTTTCAAGTAGCCATAATTATTATACAGCTATACTAAGCCAAATCCAGCACTATTTTCAATCGCTAAGAGTAATTTCTGACGTAGTGTTTCTTTCGATTTATAAACCGGTAAGTCGAGAATATTAAAGCACGTATGTGCTACCGGCAACTTCCCTTCATCTGCACCGTGAACACTTTGAAATATCAACTGTAAATCAAACGTATTGCATTGTTGAGATAATAATAAGATTTAACGAAGAATGCTATCATAAAATTCAACACACCTTCATACTTGTTACACCAGTAACAGGAACGTGATCGGTTCCAGTCAAGAATGCTATTATACAGATCAAGAACAATATAGAAATTTATTATCGTTCAACGATGTAATGTTGGTTAACATTTAGTAAAATTTATACAATAAGAATTAAAGTCAAGATGTGACTGAGGATAAAGTCGATTTGCAGTATACTTAAGAATGCTTTCTTTTTATCCAATGTCAACTCTTGAAAAATCTCCCAAAAGTACTTAATTGTTATGTGACCATCATAAAATTCTCCTTGATATGCAGTAACCTATCACAATTAGCAGAAATAAGTAACCACCTTATTTATTATGTTAACCTTAAATATTATCAGCCTTTCTATTTAATTACTTTCTCTAATTCATTGAAATCAACGTATTCTTTGCCGCAAAGTAACGCGCGTAATTCTTCCGGATGAAATAGTTCCTATGACAGCAAAATACAAATCATTTACTAAGGAGCCTATAAATACAAGTTAGCGAATACTATTGCCACAAACCAAGACTTTCCCGCCGTAAACTTGTAAGAAGCCCGCTTTAAAAGCATTAAACGATTCACTGATAGAGTCTTCGAGTTCAAATTTTACGTAAGCGTTGACAAATTCTAATCTGTAGCGAATAAAAAGAAGTAAATCTAATCGCAGAAGTTCATTTAGCGATCATGCTATTACCTATTATCTTTGGTAACAGGTACGTTGCTGCCGTCACGAGTTAAATCAATTGTTTCAGTTGATCCGTAGTATTCACGCGAAATCTATCGCAGAAGAATAGCTTTAAGTTTCGTTGACATATCAATTTCAAATTCTGGTCATTTACCTGAAAAGTTAGTCCAAAAGTATCTTCAACATCTTCACCTTCATAATCTAATAATTCTTGTAACCCTCTAAAGAATGTAGAAATCATGTCAATATTCGCCTAATTTTAGATATTGTGATAATAACTTAAAAAAGTTTAGCATTAGAAGCACCTTGCAACTGTAGGCTTAACAGAAGCTAAATCTTCAAATGTAACTTTTCTGAAGAGTTTTGGCATAGTCTACGTTAGCACTTTATTATATAAATTATAGTAACAAATTAAATAAGAATTTAAAGATGAAGGCACTACTTATTTAGTAATTTCTTGTATAGAGCAACAGGAAATTTAAAATCGATAATGGTAGCATTATAAATCGCCAGGCCACATAGAATGCCAATCAGACGAAACATCAAATCACCTTCAAAACTCTAGTAATTAAGGTAAAAAATGAAGTTTTGAAGTTATATATAACAGGCATACTGCAAGTATTGAAATAGATAATTCGTATTATGCCGGATACGCACGAAAGTATCATACCAACCTTATCAGCGAACCAGGTCATATTCGAATCTTCTATGACTTGAAACATTCCATATTTTGGATCAAAAATTTCTCTTATAATCAATAAAAAAAATTCCTAACAAAAAAACAAATACACTTATGGTAAGCTGTTAACGTCCAAATAAGATAAGCGTAAACCACAGTTTATCTAAATGAGCAGGTACCTTTCTTACACCGCCTTCATCGACAGCATCTTCGTTAACGAATTCAATCTGTGAGCGTGAAAAAATAAACTTATTCGCTCAGCCTATGACAATCTTTAAAATAGTCGAAGTGAAACTGTAAAACTCAACAATATCCTCTAAGCGCATTACCTTTAATGGCTTTCTAAAGGTTTCCGGACTAGACCTGATAATCTGCTCCAAGGTATCACGTAGTAAATTTTCTCGCTTCACTGTCAAGACTAAGAATGGCTGTACAAGTGCTACAGTTGTATTGGTACCATTGACTGATAAAATTTGATTCATGTTATAACGAGCTATTCCCTGCATAACATTCTAAGTTAAGACATTATATAGAAAAAATTAGAATAAATCAGATAGAATTAAACAAAAATTAATACTTTAGGCAAATTCCTACGGAAACGAACTACTTTATCATTATCTTTTCTCACCTGCTGCAAAATTTTAGTGTCAAGATCTAATAGTCTAGTTTTTACTAAAGTATCTAATAGGAATGGATAGTGGCAAAAAATCAGGCCCTATATTTAAGCAGTTGTTACGCATTGTTGAGTACATAGGAAAATAAATAGCTACATCTTCCTTGAATTTATCATAAAAAAGGTATAATATATAGACTATAAAATTATGCATCAAGCAGTAATACCTTTACATTCTTCACCCAGCGAATGTAATCATCCTCTATGTTGATATATTGAAGGATTTCAGTTAAATAAAACTGCGTATAACTTATAATGGCGGCACTTTCGTTACACTAGATAAGATAAAAATCAGTTGCCAATTATTAAAGACTCTAACGGTGTTATCATCAGGCCTCAATAGTTCGGAGAATTATGCCTTACTTTATTTAATAATAGCAATACAGCTAAACAACATGTCATATCTCTTTCCCTGCTAGTCTCCTGAAAAATCCATTGTTATAAATATTGAAATATTATCTTTTTACTATATATAATATCTATGAAGAACATTTACAATAAAATAGGGATACTAAAATGTCAATAATTCCAGATACTAACTGGTAGGTGAGCTTGAAACAATGATAATATGCAATCCTTAATTATCTGAACAGAGAAGCTTCGTATGTTAGAGATCAATTCTTTAGCTACATCAGCTGACATTGCAATTATATAAATTTATAAAGTAGAAACTTTAGCAAATAATACTAACATACATTTACGATATGGACGAAATAAGCGGCTCCTAAGGTTGACCACCATTTACCTATATATAATGTTTTAGAAATTAATAGAGAAATTTTAGAAAGTCTATCACAGAGTATCTCCGGTCTGGTTGCATATGGCTTGATAATTACTGGTACTTACTCAGGACCTCTTTTAACTGATCAGGAAGACTATAGACAATTTTGCAATAGTTATAGGCAAAGAAACGTTTGCCCTCGGTATCGGTTATGCTTGTAAATTCAGGTAATAAAAGCAAAAATCGAATTTGATCCAAATGAAAGAAATTTAAGTTCGGTTGGAATGTTACCACTAAAGTTGCCTGGAGCTAGATGCAAGTATCGTATATAGAAATGGCAAATGGTTACAGTAACTAAGTTGCCAATCAGCTTCGATGTCGAAACGACTTAGTAATAATTACACCTTACATCGTGTAAAATTTGTTTCGGTAATCTTGATATCTGTCGCATTATTTGTCTGGCTTCGATTAGATCCATTCCATTGTCATTTTTACTCCATTTATCACCATTTATTATAGGAAAAGATCCATTAAGACAGCAATATGATGAACAGATTAAACTTAAATTCCTAATATATAAGATCAAAGAAGAGATTAAAAAATTTGAAAGTATTCTTGACAACGGCTAGACTTACTTTGAAGTAAGGTTTTCTCTACATAGCGTATCGAAAGTACTAGTTGATAGATATAAGGGAGTATCGAAGAAATTCTTTTTCGTATAATCTAATGACACTTCATCCTGTTGCAAAGCATAAAACCTTTCATAAAAATTCAATTTGGATAACAAAAACTAGATATAAACCTATCGTACAGGTGTAATCCATAATACATGTATAGTAAATTACTAACTACAATAATGACCTGTGAAACAGTAAGAAATGAGTGATCTCCACCGGCGGCTATATGCCATGCTTTCAATTTCCAAGTATTTACAGAAATGGTTGGGTTTGTAGTATTCTTGCAGCTGTTATTACCCAATTGACCACTACCATTCAGTCCAAATGAATATAGACGCCCCAATTGCCTGGCATATGCTAATGTATGACGCCTAGCAAGGAAATATATTTACAATATAACAACTACCTATTACATCTGACAAGATAGCGTATTTAAAAATATAACTACGCGTATATACGAGTATAGATAGGTACATTCAAACCTGCCACAAGTAATCTGTGTTACGACAATGCCCATTAAATCAACAACCTAATAATACAAATATTTTTATAAAGGAAATTGATGTTACTTCTAGATTCAAAAAATGTTAGAATTGATAATTTCTGAACACAATAGTTACCATTTGAGGACTGCAATGATGAGAAAGCGAATTATGACCCAACTGTCCACTGCTACCAGCACCAAAAGTAAAGACACCACCTTCCTAATATGTAAGTGCATATTTGATTTGAATTTTAAATTTGTACTAAGATTACTTGGGATATGTTACGGTGCAATGACAATTATAGGGTATCACTAGAGTTTTTATTTACCTTAGTTAAGACAGCAGTGTGGTCTTCTCCGCAAGCAGCATAAGCGATATGTTGCGATCGCAGACTAGATACACATGTTGGTGATAAAACTCCTATGAAATAAATTTAAGACCGATATACTGCATTAGCACCCAAATGCTGTATAAAGCTATTCCTTTTGACGCATACCATCATTAGTTCCTAAACCGAGTTGGCCAAAACTAGAAATTTGTAGGTACAATAGAGTAGATAAAAATCAATACCGTTTACATTAATTAATACAGTACAGCAAAATCTTATCGTCGAGATATTGTACTATGAAACGGCACATATAAACAAGTACGGATTCATGATGGGCAGAGAACTGCTACTTATATACGGGTACAAAAAATATATATATGAATTGTTAAAGTTACAAAATGCCAAACCTATTCTTTCCCCAGGTCAATAAAGCACCAGAATTTGTTATAGCAAGACTGTGTGCCCCACCTGCGGCAATCTGAACGATGTAAAATCCAGATAATTTTAGTATCTGCTTTGGTTCAACGGAAGATACATTACTGTCAATGCCTAATTGCCCATATCGATTGCTTCCCCATGAGAATACCGTACCATCTATTTAAAGAGATGAAATACCATGACATTAAGAATTTATAATAACGTTTACTACATTTAAATGTAATGAAGGAGAACGAGAACAATTTCTTATCTATCACTCACCGTTAATAACTGCCAAACTGTGAGATTGTCCACAAGCAACTTGAACAACGGCGAATTTGGACAATGATTTAATTTGCCTTCAAAGCAAACAATCAAGATTACATTATAATAAGAAGCTATAAATATAAATATGATGAAGTAAAATTTTAGCAAGTTAACTACGCCTCTTCTTATTGATAGCAGTTTGCAACTAATAACTAATTAATTAAAGAATATTTTTGAAGTCCTATACTCACAATAGACATAGATATAGATTGAGGTGCAATCAAATTTAATTTTATCAGCTTATCTGCAGAGCAATAAGTAGATATATTTATTTATTTAAATAATAAATATAAACGGTAACTGATGCGGATACAGTACTTCATATCCAAGTGATAGAAGCTAGTCGATTGTGATCTTGGGTAAAAAACTGACTGCTCAGATTACAATTCCAGTATACAATCTCTTAATAATTAATAAACTTATAATGACAGTCCGTTTGCTCCAATGTCATCACTCTACTTCCATATGAACTATGACTGTAGTTATTGTCACAGAAATAGAAAGTAAACAATTTACCTCGGAGTGCGATAAAATTGTTTTAAATTTTGATCAGTGACGCCAAGTTGACCATCACTATTATCGCCCCAAGCATAGATGCAATTTTTATCATTTATGGCCAGGTTATGATTAGCACCGTTAGACGAGACATTTGTAATTCGCATAGATTCGAATGCATCAATACGTGCTGCAATATAAGGAATATTTGTTAGGTTAATCTTAATAGTTGTCACATTCTAAAGTTTTCCTATTAAGGTTTAAATTAATATCTCATTTAGCCTACAAAAAAATGTGTTCATATCGCGTATTTATATCTATGCATATTACATCAAATACATATTAGAAGAGTAACTGTTTCAAGTTGCCTTATCTTAAATACTTTCATCAATTTTTTTACTATTCTCAACTTAATAAGATATCATGACAGATTACATCAGATAATCAAATTGTTCCATTATTCTTAATTAGCTTGGTCATTATTAAAATTGAAAGCAGTACTGTAGGGTAAATTTGGATAGATCAAACACTGGTATAGTACATAATTCTCAACTGCAGAGAATCACTATTCATCTCAATTGATTACGAGTATAAAAGGGGCAAGATCGTAGAGAGTCTGAAACATCTCTGATGTGTAGCAACAGAATACGCCGCCCTACACTCGTATATAAAGTAGATATTTCATAGCAAATGCGGACTTTTCTAAGTACACTGCAGAATAAATACTGCTAGGACAGTGGATACTGTAGGAGAATACATCATTGCAGTTCGAGGGGACTACAGTATCTCTCGATCACTGAAATGATATCACGCCAGCAACTACTCTTATGGAATAGGGAGGGGAGGGGGTATTTCAAAGTTCAAACGCAGTTCATTCAACTTTAGACATGATAAGCCCAAACAGCATTTGTTCAGTAATGAAAAGTTCAACTCTGGTATTACTATAACAATTACAATTACAGGAAGTAGCATAACAGTGTAGAGCAAAATTATTGCAATGTAGGATATGTCAATGGTGTACTGTATATCAGTAAAAGTTGACATGATGTCCACTTGTGCGTAATAGGAAACTGGTTCCCAATACCAATCTAGCTCAGACTAACCGAATCGTTTGTTGTTTCGTTGTCTTCCAGTTTGGCCGTAATCATTGGAACCACAACTATAGATCTGACCATCTTGCAGAAGCAAAATAGTATGATTTAATCCGCAACTTATTAACTTGATGGTATGGTTCGTCGTTAAGTCAACGTGTGTTGCCTTTAAAATGCAATTTTCGTCGATACCACCTAAACCTAATTGGCCTTCAATAGCCTTGCCCCAAGCAAACATAATTTCAACACGACCGCAAGTCTAGTGTCCTAACTTCCGAGTATAATTAATCCAGGAGCTGCTCTTATTAATGATGCTGCGGTGCTTAATTAAGTAGCATTGGATGTTTAGTGCACTAATTCTTGAACGCCACAACAATATAACTAAGAATGAAAATGATTCTCGCTCGATTTCGCCATTTGCAGTAAAAAAATGTTCTAGAATTCACCATGTAAAGATAAGATAAATAGCGAAAGATGTGTGAATCTTTCAGTCAACACCCAAAAGTCTGAAACTAGTGTGCGTCACCCCCAAAATTATACCTTAATTGAATAATAAATACTGTACACTGTATCATGTCTGTGCTGTTCTACAGTATACAAATGTGTACAGTACGCTCCTGCAGTACAGTACATTTTGCGGGTCTCTACAGTTGTACAGTACTGTACTACTGTACTGTACTGTACAGTGTACAGTACAGTATAGTACGGACAAATGCTGGACAGGGGTACCGTATTGTACTGTCTTAGAGGTCTGGTAGAGTGACACTCACTCGTTGACGTGTACAATAAATGACTCTACAATGTACAGCACAGTTCAATACAGCATGTGGTTCAACCACTGACTCAATACAGTACTGTAGACTGTACCGCCAACACGAGTGATGATGTCACCAACTGGAATCATGATCACCGGTAGGATATCATTCCGGTACAGCTAGTTCTACGTAAAACGAAAGGCAAAATAACATGAAGAGGATTTTGCAGATCTGTGATGCCGACTGTATTATAATATACAGTATAATAATCATGTATATTGTACAGTATAGTACTAGGTAAGGATACAAGAATATCATAAACCAAATCTCCGCAAACAATCGTCAAAACTATTTCTAGTACAGTAAAAGAGTAAAATCCTCAAGCTTTAAGCTTTACGGTGATGTCACCGATTACAAGGACGACACATCATGTTTGCGTCATCATATTTGTCAAGCAGCTTGTGTGACACAAGTATGATCCCATTCCGGCCCATGCACACTTGTACAGTATGGCAAAAGAGTAAAACTCTCAAGTTTGAGTTTTGCAGTGAAGGCAGGGGGAAATGAATGATTTATTAATGTATACCTTGATATCTTGATGATTTGCCATTTTGAGTTTGTGCAACGTTTTGAAGGATAAGATTAATAACCGTTATGCATGTACTGTAAATGCTCGCACACAGATTAGTGCGCAATAGAATAGTATTGACAGTAAATGACTTAAAATGAACTAGTTAAACATTTGAGTTCCGTCACTGGATCATGTTGAAGCTGAGAAGAGAGCTCGAAATAGTAAAGTATTGTTTTTCATTAGCTTTTGAGCACAACTGCGGCATCACCTTAATGATCATATTCTGAGTATCCATGTTATCCAAGCATAGCAATATAGGGTTCTTAGTACGCAAGCTAACAAGAAAGTCTCAAACAGAGCTTCGCAATAGACATCGCGAACTCTATTACTTTTTAATCCATTCAATGTCGGCACTAGCTGAACGGTAATTAATGAATTGATGAATCAGTCGTCTCTGAGGATTGAGTCTGATGCTTAAATTAACTTGACGCTGATATTACTATAAGAATAAAAAACCACAACACCCAATATACTTTTAAATCTGATGACGTTAGCCCAAAGGCTAGCGATGATCTCAGAAATACAAGCCAGTCCTGATATAATTGAGGGAATAACTAGCGATTCTCTGATGAAGAAACTCCAGCATGATTATGACTGATTCACCGATGATATAATTGAATTAATCAATTAATTTAAATGATTCTCAGCGGATAGTCTCTAATTTAAAGCGTGACACTACTCAATTTTCAACTCTTGACTGCTAAATTCTGATATATGGATTCAAATTAGTCCTACGTTTCAAGTCTGCATACTGTTTTTTTCAGCTTTGATTTTTTCTGAGTCGGTATGACGGTAGATAACTTGCGAAATATTAAATTTGAAAACCCTTTTTTTAATCTACAGTAAAATATATCAATTTCGAAAAGATAATGATTCATCGGTACATACAATCACAGTATACCTGTAAGTACGCGCAACGTATAAACTGATGAAAATTGTTTTATTCAAGCATACTGATCAGGCTAGAGTTTTACAGTTACGTTTTGATTTAATTGAGTTCATTCGAAATTTTAATTGATTTCAAACGCTGGATTATACATATGAACAGGAGCTACAACTTATCTTCCTCATGGATTACTGGAAGAAAATGTTTTCTTCTAGTAGTCCATGTCTTCCCCTACGAGGATCAAGTATAAGGTAACGATAATACGAGTAAGTAAGTATATGCAAATATCGAATCTACTGCATAAAGGTCCACAATAAGTAATATCGTTGTTACAAAGATAAAAAAACGAGAAATTTATTAATTGGTTACAATCTTGAAAGCGAATACATGTTTAATGGACAATCTCTATTTACGTCTAATTTAAGACTAAACTGTTTCATGAAGTAATCGAAAAATATATATTCACACTTGTGAAGTCGACATTCGAGCAGGCATGATCTGATAAAATTTGCCCAGATCAGGACGGGTTGAGTATTCATAGGCCTAATCATTCCCAGCTTAAAATGGCTTACAATCATAATGCTTTCTATTTTTTGCCTAATACCCACCAATGGCGTCGTCGAGAAAGTGGTCGATAATTTTTGTTTTCTCTAGATGAAGATGCTCCCCATAAAATCTGAAAATACGGATGAAATTGAAACCGGTAAAACATTGATATGCAGTATAAGATATACCTATTAATAACTGTATGATCATACAATCGTTCAAAATTCTATATGTCGCTGGCTCACCTTATTGATGAATCTATGAATGCTCTGATCATGTGTAGCCTTCGGATTAGACTCATCAGCAACGATATAATCACGATCATTATTTATATCCTCCGAATCGATGGACGCTTTAAGATTAATTCCGTCGTTGATTTGTTGATCTAATATATCTTCATCGCTATCTTTACGTTGTGTTTCCGATTCGTTGTCGTCACCGGCTTCGTTTACTTCTAATGCTCTATCGGCGTCTTCGTCATTTTCGTGATCACGATAATTAGGGTAAACAGGATCGCTACAGGATAGCGCAATCAAAGCGATCACACTCAGGACGACAACTGCATTTATTGTAACCATCTTATCCTTTAAGAGGCAACAAGAATCACTACATGATTATACAATATTTCATGCTATAGCTACATTTATAAATATCTAGTTTCTACTTATAGTAAATATTTATTTATATAAATGGTTAAACTAATAATCGAAATCAAAAAGCTTCGTTTAATACGGAAGATTACCTCTTTCTTGCTTTAACTTTTATCGTTCGAAATCGTAGTAATACGTATATAGAATAGCGAAGCCGAGACTACAACCGGCATTTATATCTTTTTAGGCCATATTTCATGAATATTACCTAGTATGAACCTTTCCCTAAAATTTCTAAAGAAAATGGCTTACAACGTGTTTGCCATTGTATTTAGTTTCGAAACCTCGTAAATTCTTCGAAAATAATCTATTCATGTAGAATTATGTATTTAAATAAGTAAACAAGTTCATATTTACTATTTAAATTATAGAAAATTAATGAGATATCATTAATTCTGGCTTCCGATTATTAATCTATCACCGAAAATGAACAACCACATTTTTCTATGTTATTTTATTCTGAAAAGTGGCGTCTATTATAATTATGAATAAATTAATAGCTGATCATTCACTGGACTAAGTACATTCGGTACTTTATTCTTTTGATGCATTCTATAGAAGAAATTTAAGTTCACTATAAATGTAAACTTGACTTGGCGCCATTAATAGCGATACATAGAATGTAATTATACGTGTATGTAAACTAAAAGTGCTTTCGCTCGAAATGCATTTACAGTGTGTCATCTTAAAATTGCATGGTCTGTTTGCATGCCCTACTGCTGATTATGTAAATATACAAATTTATCGCTGTTTAATAATTATAGTGGCATGGAAATTGCTCTATGGCTCACTATCGATAATAATTTCGATAAATATATTCACTTGCTACTCGGACTATTGTGTTGATAAGAACGAAATGATGCATTAGCCTACAATATGCATGTCCCATGAATACTATGTTCTACATGCATATTTGACACTGATCAAAATATGAGATTAAAATCTCTTCCTTTTTAGAATACTATACGTACTATATAATTATCAAGAAATTATTGATGTCAACGGTTATACTGGTACAATACCTACACTATGCATGAAATATTAATGTTATCATAAACTTTTCTTGATTTCAGGCACAAGAAGGAAATAAGCCTATTTGATAAGATTATTCTTTGTTCCTTCACTGAAATCATCTATACTTATCGACGGTTCCTATTTTTACGTATAAATTAATGCCCAATAAATACTATCGTATAGTAATAAGGCGTTTGCATACTCCCCTGTGGTTATTAATACAATTAATAATAGCATCGATGAATCTATCACGTAACAATAAATCTTTCGCTGGCCTAATTATAATTGCATTATAATTATCGTAGTTATAAAAACATAGAAAGGTTGCTTTCGAAATCGTGTCAGGCTTAACAGGTAGCTTCTTGCTAATTCATTTATTGTCTAACATAACATAAGTATAGCACGGTCACAATTGATTTAATATGAAGTTCTGATCACGCTAATCTTTACTCATTTCAGTAATTCGTATTTACTCATGAAATCGTATCTGTCGCAACCTGCAGCAGCATCAAACTACAATGCTTGTATCCTGAATACCTTATCAAGCTGAATTTTTATAGGCCAATTTCTATAGCTGGAATATTATAAACCTGATACAGTAAGCAAGTTATTCGAATCTCATGTGCTATTGCTAAATAGCAGAATTATCGTAATTTATGTCCTCTATCCTTTCCGTATAGACAAAGGGCCTACTGTTGAGTATCGCATTGTAGTTATTGTCTTTCGTACTAAAAATAGTAAGAATAATATATAGAGCTTTCCCATTTGACTACATTCTTCTGAAAATCAAAATACTCACAGGTAGTTAACAATGAAATATTTTTACATGAGGCATAATCTATCCAATTTAGTCTTCAGGTGAATTTAAGAATAGTTTGTAAAAGTGACGATTACTATTACCGCCATACCGGAATAATTTCAAAATTTTATCGAAATCAACTGAACGCAGGAGAACTTCTATAAAGATATCGCATTCATGCACATAGTTTTTATCCGCTGTAAAGCTAATAGTGTTTCTTCTGATGGATTGCAATATTTATTCAGAGTTTATTGAAGACTGCTTGTATCAATTTTCGATTTATGTATTGTCTATTTCAGGGAAGTAGTACATTAGTAAAATGATAATACTGTATATCTACGAAATTTAATAAAAATGAATTACTAATGTTAAATAATTACAGTTTTTAGTCCAGTAAAATGTAAGCTAAAAGTCATCGATTATTATAATTGGTACAATCTGATAATATTATCTGGCTGAAACCGTTTCAGCCAAATATCATCGTGATAATACTCTACTTACTTGTACCTACTACTGTACTGTACTGTAGTAGTTCTTTGTCCCTTGATAAAGTTCTCAATGTTTATTTTTATAAAACCTTATAATCGTAAAATGATAAAATAAATTCATTCCTTAATTGCAAGGATATCGTGGCCCAACAAGTTATGAAAATGATATGAATGTAAGCATGGATTGCAATAAGTATGGCTATGGAATGCAAGAAATTAAGCAAATCTGTTGATTAATTACAGTTCATTCGTTTATCAGCATGGATTACAATAAGGATGGAATACATGCAATTAAGCTGAGTCGAATATTACGCCGTTAAGACAAATCTGTTGATTAATTTCAGTCCATTCGTTCATAAGTATGGATTACAATAAGTATAGAATACAAGCAATTAAGCTGAGTCGAATACTACACCGTTAAGACAAATCTGTTGATTAATTTCAGTCCATTCGTTCAGGCAATAGCTATAATCACAGTGGACATCATACCTAGGATAGTACACAGAAGGTATACAGAAGAGTATCAGATGTCCCTTGATCGTACAGAACAGTATAACCCTTGACTAATGTATAATACACTATCATCTTGAACTCGTCAATGGACTGAATTAGTTAGCAAGCGCAGTAGGGAAGCCTGACTAAAAATATCGCCAACTACTGGTGTTGTATTATAGAGGAGTAGACGATGCGTAGTTGCCCCTTAGATCCAGTTTGGATAGAATTAATTTACTGCCGATGATGGTAGGGGAAAGTAAGGAAGGAAGTGATTGCCTACAGTAGTTGAAAGAAGATCATGGCGTAGAAACGTATGAAATTATATTAATGTAAGTATGACTGTAAGATATAGAAGATATCAACCAGGGGCTAATGGGATACTCTGGTGATTCATCCATGGACAACCTGCATGCAAAGAGTAGAATACCAAGGACATTCAAAAACATCATTGGATATAGTGATGGACTTTTGTTATTTTAATAGGCCACCATGGAGTAAAACCAAGATAAATCCAATGATTAACAGTATGACCGAGAGTAGATGATGTCTTGGTATTTGGATATTCAAAGCAATAGATAATAGAACCGTCATGCTATGAAGATTGTTCGGATCAGTTGAACGCACATACCGTTAAATCTATTTTCCCTTAGACTAACTCCAATTATTATGAGTAATTATTTATTCATTTAATCTATCTTATTACATTACTGTAACAAATGGCATGATCTGTTGTGAAATTAGTTTAGTGGGATAAGATAGACATAGAGTTAATCTATTAGACCAGCAACTCATGGAGATAATATCTGGAATGAGTACGTCCTTAAAACTGCAATCTCAATATCTCAACCCTCAACGGACTAAACTGGACGTGATACGGTGCTATTTGCATTTTCCAGTCAATACAGTACTGTACTCTAGAAGATAAACGAATAGGCAAGGATAAAGTGTCGGTCTCTTCTTTAAATGCCCTATCCTGATCAAACATTTTATTTTCGGACATTGCATGCTTAAAAAGAATTTCTTACGTACCATTGTTATTCCTTTTCTACTTGCTTGGGATAACTCAATTCTAACTTGGGTACAGAAGTGAAAAAAATGATCAGAGATCGAATGGACTGTTTAGAATGATTGGATAGACGTAATACGTACAATAAATATGTTCGCATAGAAGTAAATGTTCAGTACTGAGTGATTATAGATCAATACAATTAATATTTTCCCAGTTAAACTGTTAATTAACTATCTATTTACAGTCGTAGGAGTATATTGAATCGTCATGCCGTATTTCCGTGACCAATGTAGTAAATTAACAGCTACAGATACGCCTATAACATGTATATGAATACACTTCTAATTCGTTCATGTTTTGATCAGCGATAGACGATATCAAGATCGAAAAGTAAAACAAAAAAGTGCCTCCTATAGCCTCGTCCATGGTATCACTTTGAAAAATTATTGGGTACTGTGGTTACAAGACTTGAAATTGATCGCTTAAAGATTATAGTTTTATTTTGGCTTAGTAATAACGATAATTGAAATTTATCTATCAAACGAATTTCGAAAACACTCGAAAAAGTGGCTATATTTTTCATTTCTTTTTACGCTGTCAAAAGTAATCTATCATCAATAGGCTTTCTGTCTGAAAAATAATTTAAAAATTGCCGGATTTAACAAGTTTTCCATAAGCTAGGTACTATAAATCGAAATAGAATCACTACAGATTCTTACTACCTTTCCGAATTGAACACTACTGATAATAATTAGTCAATTTTATTGATATCGACTGCGCACTGAGTTTTAGCAAGCAAAACGTCCCTTTTTATTCACGCTAGGATCTTGTCTAGATCTTATAACAGTGCCTAAAAGGTATCATTACTACGGCCATTATTAACGATGGACCTAGTTAGGCAGTTACTTTCTGCGACAGAACAAGGCAATATTTCCACTGTAACTTCTATGTTGGATTTATCAGACAATGTGGATATAACTGACGAAGAAGGCACAACTGCACTGCAGGTAGCTTGCGCTAACGGTCACGAAAATGTAGCTCGTTTATTAGTGGTACGAGGCGCTGACTTAAATCGTAGCAATTATTATGGTTGGACGGGGTTAATGCAAGCAGCGTCCTATGGCCATGTTGGTATGGTTAACTTACTCTTACAAAATAAGATAGAAGTAAATGCGGTTAATGAATTTGGTACTTCAGCGCTAGTATTGGCTTCTTATATTGGTTGTTTTGAAATTGTTAAATATTTAATTGATGCTGGTGCCGAGGTCGATGGTTGCAGTGATGATATGACACCTTTAATGGCGGCATCACA